CCGCAATGGACCACGCAGATCGATTGAGGCTGAGCACCTTCGGAAACTCTGTCTGCAACCATTACAACCACTATCGTCCACCAAGTCGTGACAGGGGACGTCGAGCCAAGTGGCAATCCTCAAGCACCCTCACCGAATAAACCCGCCTCCTGCCACGATCCGCGCCCGCAGCTTCGGATTCATGTCCGCGGCAATGCATCGACGCAGCTCCTGCGACTGAAGATGCGTCTTCGTATCCGGCGTGGTGAGGTCATGATCGATTCGGTCTTTTGATAGCGGTCGACGTGCAATTACCGTCGAGTGACGCTGTTTCGTGGAATCTAGCAGCGTGGGGCAACTCAGGTCCACCATCGGGGCTGTGCATCGCCCGCGGAATGTTTCACTGCGCAAACAACTCGGCGTGGTGCGCGCGTACCGTGACGAACGACACACCTTTGAGTGTAATTGACCATTGTCGACATGTGCGTTGAAACGCCAATAGCTCCGAAATTGATCGCCTCGGTGCTGCAACTGTACATTACTACGTATGGATCCGCGGGTGCGGCCTCGTTGCACTCGAACTACAATGCAACAGGTGTCTTTCAAGTGGAGACTTACCAAGTCTGTCAAGTTCCCAATTCGAATGTCTCGGAATCCAAGAAAGGAAAAAAAACATTTGAACGAGTCGCGGATAGAGAAAGCTCCCACCCCATCCAAACAATCCCATTCATTGACAGACAATGACAGGTTCGGTCAATCGCACTGTCCGACCTTCTGTGAGAAAACAAGAGCGCGCGCGCGCGCGTGTGTGTGTGTGTGTGTACTTTGCGCGACCCCTTCTTGGCAACGCTTGGCGAGCATTGGATACTGTGCGGCGGCCCTGTCCAAGTGCCTCCATCCCCAAGCGCCAAGATACAGATGCAAAGTGCAAACGTGGGAAGCCAAGTTTCTTAGCTCCCGTCCTCTTGGCAGCGCTGGACTGAAAGAGGAGAGAGGCTGTGATCGTCGTGTCTTGGCGATTTGCAACATCACGCGACAATTCTCCGACGGCGAAGCAGGCATTCAAGGCATGTCAAGGAGTTGCGGACGGAAAAGAAACGGCGAGGCTCAGACGAGTCCGTTCTACCCTGCCACGCCAAGGACGATGTTATGCTGGTCGGCGTGTCTGCCGGTATAGCATTGGGAATAACGTCTTTTTCAAAATAACGGATCTAGCCCATGCCGGCCCAAACTTTTGATATCGCGTGCTTTTTCGTCAGTGAGCCTTGCACATCCAACCCGAACCCGTGACTGCCCCTCCCCGTCCGCGCCATTCGCGAGGGGCCAAGCCAGAGAACGCCCATCTCATCATGCCCTCCTCCCCCTTCACCGCCTCCCCAGCTCGACCCGTCTCACGCGGACCATGTCGCCGGACGCCGCGCCCTCGGCCTCGACGCCAAAGAAGCCGCCAACGGCCGTCCGCAGCGCCTCCTCCCAGAACCCGGCGACGACCCCCTTCAGGTCGCCGCCCGTCTGCTTGAAGTCCGGGAACGAGTTGACCTCGAGCAGCCACGGCCGCGCGTCGGCGTCCACGAGGAAGTCCAGGCCAAACACCTCGAACGCGTTGCCCAGCGGCTGGAAGTGGATCGTCATCTCCCTGGCGGCGGCCTCAAACACCTCCCCCGTGACGTCGCAGATGCGCGCAAAGATGTCCTCGGCCGTCGCCGCCGGCAGACCCCCGCCGCTCTTGTCCCCCGCGGGCGAGACGAGGTCCCAGAACTGCTTCACCGGCGGCAGGGCGGGGTCCTCCTGCCCGCCCTGGAGGCAGGTGTTTGTCAGGTGCCCGTCCAGGTCCGCGTCCTCCCACGGCGCGCGGTAGGCCTTGCCGGCGAACAGCGCCAGCATCGGCCGGTAGACGTAGACGTCGAGGCTGCCGACGCAAAGGACGTACGTGCGGATGTGGAACTTGCGCGCGTCGCCCGCGAGGAGCAGCGGCGGGTGGATGTACGGCTGGGCAATGAAGTGGCGGAGGTGCGACGTCGTGATGTAGTCTCCCCCCTTTGCCCCCTCCTCCGTAGTCGCCGCCTGCTCTGCCTCGTCCTCCTCGTCGTCGCTGTCGGGCCTCTCCTCTTCCCACTCGTCAAAGACGCCCTGCAGCTCCTCCATCGAGCTGAACAGCCGGATCCCCTGCCCGCGATCGCTCATCCCCGGCTTCAGGATCCACCACTCCCTCTTGCCTTCCTCCTCGATGCCCTCGTTCCTCTCCATGCTCTCCCGCAGGTCAAACGCCTCGACGAGCGCGTCGTCCAGGAACTCGGCGTAGTCGACCTCAAAGTGCTCCCCGCGCTTGACGTGCGTCTTCAAGGAGGAACCGGGGTGCTTCGCGACCCAGTGGTCCACCGTCGACGAAAGGTAGTGCTTCCGGATGAGCGCCTTGCGGATGACGTAGCTGTTGACGAGCGCGGTGGACGGGTGCGAGGCGACGTGGTCGAAGTCGAGGGCCTCGTAGGGCGCGATGTGCAGGATCTTGGTGTCCGGGGACGGGAGGGCGGCCGCAAGGGCGGGCTCGGCGTTGTCGGGTCCAGAGGGTGCCGGGAGGAGGGAGTAGGCGCCCGGGAAGAGACGCTGCATGGCATCAAGGATGAGGGGCTGGACATACGGGTCCTCGTAGTTGATGACGGCGTGGAATTTCGGGTTCGACACGGCTGTGGTTGCGACGTTCCTCACAGGGAGGTTAGTCGAGGACGCCGCTTGCTCCTCGCTAGACCCTTCAGTTTGAGGGCTGTCACTACAGACAAAGAGACGTGAGAAAATGCTTCTGTGGTTTATTGGCTGCAAAAGCGATCGAGAGCGTAAGAGTACATGCCGAGCCTGCCCGCTGCCCTCTAAACCCGTCTTGCTCGTTCTCTTTTGCCCCTTTGGGTGTCGTGCTCTCATGCTTCATGCTCTCGTGTAATAACGTCCAGACATCCTACCTGGCTTCTTTCGCCATGTCATGCTCTCACTCTTGCAGGCACCATGGTCGCATGGCCTCTCTTTCTCGCCGCGCCTCTCTGAACTCCAAGGGCTCACTTACAGAATCAGCTCCTTTTGGTGCAGTTGCTCGGCAGCATGCCAGAAATTGGCCTTCAGGGGCGTCACACTGCATTGCCAAGTCAGTATCAGGCCTAAACGACGGCAATTAGCCAGCAAAAAGGGGAAACGTACCTCGTGTAGCCCTCCTTGACAGCCCACCCATCGTTGCCAGGCGCTGCCTCTTCGACGCTCTGGTATACATCAGTGAATCTAGGCGCCCACTTGAAGTGCTTGTGCTTGTGTCCACCCGCGCCCTCGACCTTCTTCGCGTCGCCGCCCTGGGCCTCGCCGCCGGCTCCCTCGCGGATCTTCTGCTCCTCTTCATCCTCATCACCCGCATCCCCATCAACCTCCTGGAAGCAGCTGCCGTCACGCCAGTAGTTCTGCAGCATGTTCGTAAAGTACGTCTTGTGCGTCTCGACGCCCTCGACAAGCGGCACGTTGACGCTGTACAGATCCACCTCGTCGCCGGCCGGCCACTGCTGGTACAGCTTCTCAATGACCTTGACTGAGTGCCTCGCCGCACCTTCGATGATGACGGGGTCGTGGTTCCGCGAGAAGAAGGCGTAGCTCAGCGCAATGGCCTTGCGCTTACACACGGCAGCCTCGAGCGCGCCGCCCAGCGTGCCCGAGCTCAGCGCGAAGACGGCCGTCGTGTTGCGGCCGTAGTTGGGGCCGCTGACAACGAGGTCAATGGGGCCGCGCTCCTGGAAGAAGTGGTGCAGGCCGATCTGCACGCACGACGCCGGGGTGCCGTCGACGAGGATCCACTCGTCGTCGGCGCCGTTGGGCGAGGGCCGCGTTGAGGTCGTGCCCTCGGTGCCGAAGAGACCCTCCGTCGATGGGCGGTAGTAGAGCGGCTTGACGGTTTGGCCGATCATGTGCGCTTTGCCGATCCAGGAGCGCTGGGTGTGCGGCAAGCAGACGGAGACGGTGTGGCCGGCCTGCTGGAGCTGGTGGATGAGGGAGTGGACGTAAGGAGAGGAGTGAGGCGACGGGGGCCATCGTCATTGGTGAGGAGGATATGCATGCTGGCGGTTGTTGCGGTGTTGCTTGTGAGTTGAGTTGATGCGTGCGTGGAGGGAGAGAAGAGGTTAAAAGTAGAATATTTCGGGGTTAGGAAATGCCCCGCGGCAAGAGACGGATTGGCCTTGGCAAGTTGGTCACGATGACCACTAGGCCTCGCTATGACAACTACAAATGGCGGTGCTGGAGGGGGTTCAGGCAGTGACTACCGGCAGCTTGGGCTTGAGGAGAATGAAACTCACTGGTGGTGAGTTGTGGGTTACCTAAGTGTTTGACTGAAGGAACTTGATGAGGCAGAGACTCGGAGCGCAAAGTGGGATGGAGGGGTTGCAATAGTGGGGCAAGTTGACGTTTGTTGGACACGGGCGCCCCCGGTGCCCGCTCTCGGAGGAAACGGCGGGCAACGTCGGGCCTTACCATAGCACCGATCATGGTCGGGTTCTTGGCTTACATGAGCAATCCCAGGCCAAGGCTGTTGTATCGTTGGAAGGAATTTTGCAAGTCACTCAACGCCCTAAAGACGCAACGAAAGATGGAACAAGGGAATGTTGTCACAGAGTCATTCTTGGCTATCCTAGAGTGTAGGCCTCAAAGAGCCGCCCAAAGCGCTCTCACAACACGCAAGGCGAGGTCTTCGTAAAGTTTGACCAACAAAATGCTCGGACCCTATCTACCAGGGCTCACAAGCGTTCTTTCCATTATCCGTAGACCAGAAACAAGTCTACCCTAGTAAAAATCGGGACTTCAGCTGGGAGATATCTCAAACTTCCCCCAGCTACCATCTTATCCCCAGCCCATGAAAGTAAAGTAATCGTTACACAAAAGCCTATCAAGAATTGTGCTTCCTCATCCCATAGCCCTGATTGAAGAGACAATGACCCAAACTCCAAATTGCTTGGGTATGCAAAGAACGATGCTCGAAAAGACCTCAAACCTCCGCATTAGTTACGGGCTCGCTTCGGAGTAGATGCTACCAGATCATCTCCCGTACGTTTGGTAGACGAACCCTCATGGCGGCTCTTGACCCGTGGCCAGTCGTCAAACGGACTCTGCCGGCCCTTGCGCTTGATGGGGGTCGCTTCTTCAGACTTCAGGCCAGATCGGGTAGTGCGTCTGGTGTCGGGGGGTGTAGCGACTGCCCGACCAAATTTAGGTGCTTGCGGAGTCGACGGGCAATCATCCTGGGTCTCTGCGGGGGTCTCCGGAGTTTCCTCTTCCTCCTCATGCTCCTCGAGGTGATGATCTTCGATGTCGGTAACGGCTTCTTCCTCCTCAAGGGTGGAGCCGGTAGCGGGCGCCTTGGGCGCGACAGGGAACAGCAGGCGCGGCTTGATCGCAGAGCGTGTGAGAGGCTTGCGGATGCGAGATTCGCTCGAGCTGCTCTCGTCGTCCTCCTCTTCGTCCTCGGGCTCGGCGAATTTGCGGAAAATCTTCTTTCCTCGGCTGCGACAGCGTTAGCAATGTTTCTGCAATAAGTAGATATGGGGTTCAACTTACAAGACATAGACCATGCCGTCCTCACGCTGGAGCGCCTCATCGACAGCCTGGGCAGCTTCACCGGGAACCGCAACCTTGCGTTTGCTGCGGCGGCGAGGGGGCTCATGATCAACGGCAGCGCTATCGCCGTAGAACGGGTTGTCGACGCTCTTGTCGGCTTCGGGAACGCGGTCTTGCGAGTCGGTGAAGATCTCAATCTGCTGCTCGACCTCCGTAGCGGTAAAGCTCTCCAACGAATTGCCGGAGTACTTCTTGGGGGTTCGCTTTTTCTTCGGGGTAGCCAGTGCCTCCTCCTCGGTCGGGAACAGATTGCGCGCTACCGACTTGATCTGGGCCGTCTGCTTCTCGGAGGGTGCCTTCTTGGGCGTCTTGGCTGGCGTGGGCAGCATACCGGATCGGCGGGTGACGGAGGCGTTGGTGGATTGGTGGTCCATTCTGTCACTTCCGAGCGACGAAGCGGCGTGAGAACTGCTGGCGGCGGACAAAAATCCAGCCGCTCTTCGGACGGAATCTTGAGCGGGCTGGCGCTTCTTCTGAGGAGTGGAGGCCGGCGACATGATGGCGGCGGCGACGGAAGGTGCGACGGACTTGCGGGTTGATCGTGGAGGAGTGCGGTGGGATGGCGGTTGGGGAGAAGGAGTTCGGTTGGCAGCTCGACGGGATGAAATGCGCGCCGACTTGCGAGGAGAGTAGTGTTCCCAGTTGTCGCTCCAGCCGTGTTTGGGCGTTGGCGGAGTTCGGATGGTAGGGGGAGGTGAAGGTGTTGATGCTGCGAAGATGGTCGCCATTTTTGTGTCGGAAAGGGCAGGCAGGAGGCAGGCAGGCCGAGCGGTCTAGTACCAATGCACCGTCACTTCCTATTCAGTCTCGTAGCAATACTCCAATTGCGCATCCAACTCTTTTTTGAGTTGCGAATGCGCGCGGTTGTTCTTATGTTGGGTTGTGTTGGTGATCCGGATGAGGTGAGGGTGATAAAGGATAAGGTAAGGTGCAAGACTCGGGATGAACTCAGGCGGTCAGAGTTCAAAGAAGGGGGCAGACCTGATGAATTTGATAATAATAGGCAGGCGCAAAGGTTTTGAAAATGGGTGAGTTTGTGATGTCTCTGGTTGCTCTGGCTACAAGTGTTGCAAGTGAGATGTGGATGTGTGGAATGGATTGATGTTCGCGACTATGGGGTGCGGCAGTTGGGATGCAAGAGGAAACGGGCACAAAACGTGGGAGGAGGCTGGAGGCTAGGAAATGTAGAGGCTGGGGGATTCAGGGTGAGGCGACCCGAGGGTGAAGTGGGCAGGAGTCGAGCTCTCTCTGCAGTGAGTGCACCAGCCCCAGCCCCCCCCGTTTTGCACCTGCACCTTCCACTTTACCGCTCTCAAGCCTCAATTTTCCATTCAAATTAAGCGAGCCCCACTACTTTACCGGCGGGGGCAGCTACGCGTCGACTACTTAGGAGACGCGAATTTTCGCGAGACACAACAGGTACTGCCAAGCAGCCAACTGAGTGCCCAGCTCAGTGCGCCAAACACACTTCAGCGCTAAGGTACTCTTCGCGGCAGGGGTCTGTCTCTCTTGCTTGCAGCCCCTCACTGGCGCATCCCACATTTTCCACCCAAACGGCCGGCCAGGCACCTCCAATCTGAAAGTCTCAATTCATCAACAAATAACGTCACACTCGTCCCCGCGCCGCGCTTCCGTCTCAAGGGTTCAGACTTGGCCAGACCGCGCTCCGACCAAACCACATTTCCTTCAATCCAAACCTGGAACAATAACAACCAAATAAGGATACCTCAGCCACAAGCTAAGGTCGCTGCAGCTGGACCCTGACTGCCTCGCACACCATCATGGCTGACTACACCGACGATTCCCTCACCGAGGACATCTGGGCCTCGCCCGGTCCCGAAGGCGAAGGTGCCCCTCCATCCGATCGGCCCAAGACCCCTAGAACGCCCAGAACCCCGAAAACACCAAAGACGCCAGCGAACCCAAACACCACTTTTGACAGAGAAGCGGCGTTGCGGAAAGAGCTGGAGGGTGTGCGCAACATCAATGCTGCTATCGAGGGCATCATCACCACCCTCGACAAGGCTAAGGGCAACATGAATGTCTGCCACTATGCCCAACATCCTTGTGTCTTGACTCCGGCTGACCCCTTTTTTACAGACCGTTGGCAGCACCGTATCGAACGCATCCACCCTCCTCAACACCTGGACTCGCATCCTTTCGCAAACCGAACACAATCAGAGACTCATTTTGAACCCCAACTGGCGTGGCGCAAGCAACGACTTGGTGGAGATCGAGGCAGAGGCAGTCCAGAAGCAGCAGCTCGCCGAGAGACGAGCCGCCGAAGAGGAGAGGCGACGTGAGGCTGCCCGTCGAAAGAGAGAGGAGGAAGATGAAGAGCGGCAGAGACAGGCGGCCGTCGGCAATGCGCCGCGTGGGCGAGGCGTCTCTCGCGGTCGGGTTCGTGGCACGACGAGCACCACTCGCGGCCACAGCTACTCGAGTAGCACATCGAGGATCGGCAGAGGTGCGGCGAGCGTGCGTGGTGGATATCGTGGGCGAGCTAGAGGTTCGGAGTAAGAGGGCGACGATACAGGTTGTTTGCGAACGAGTACCGATACCCCAGCAATGCATTCAAGCGGTCGGCCGCTGGCTATCTCGGCCTATTTCTTCTTGAAAAAGTCGCTCATTTTCTTCATGCCCTTGGTGTTGACCTTCTCCAAGGCCTTGACGCCGCGGCTTTGAGTGGCCTTCTTCTTCTTTTCCTCCTCCATCTTCCGCTTCTTCTCATCCCGGGCCTCTTCCTCCTCCTCATCAAGCATGCGCTTCCTAGAGTAGTCGGCCATGGACCGGGATGATGCAGCCTCTGCGCGAAGCTTGGTGAGTTGAGCCAGGTAGTCGTCCAGAGGCGAGAAGTCAACGCCCGACGTTTCCTTATCGGCAAGGAGCTCCTTGAGATTCGGTGTCATCGCTGTCGCAATGTAGCTAGAGCAGATGAAGCTGAAGGCAACCCTGAGTCTTTGGAGACTAGTCACCTCATCAGATGCGTGGATCGCGCTCACCACTGTTTCCTCAACTACCTCGCCCCCAACAGAAGTAGCTGTCGTTGAAGCGTTCGAGACAGCTGTGGTTGTGCTGTCTTCTGTTGGAATGGAGGACTGGGACTCTCCGGACTCGTTCTTGGGCGTAGGTGTGTTGGATTCGTCGGTGGTCGTCTCGGGAGCCTGCTTGATAGTTACACCCATGGCTTGTGATTTTTGTACCTGAATAGGCGCTTCCAAGGCTTTCTTGACGAACTTCTCCTCCATGCTGGCGGGAAGACCGTTAGAGCTCATTGAGCGGGCCTTCGAGAGAATTTGAAGAACGAGCTTCTTCTCGCTCAGCCGGTACATCTTCTCATCGCCAGCATCGACAGTATCGCTAATAGACTCCATTCGTGATTCGAGTAGGGCTCGAGTCTTGGGGCATCGGAGAGCCTCGGACATGTGGGAGGATGATGTAGACAGCGCATCGAAGTGGTCGTCGCTGGAAAGGAAGAGACGCTTCGTCTCTGACGTTTTGGCGTTGGTAGGCCCGAAGAGGCCAGGTACCAGCAAGAAGAGGGGGTCAACGGGTGTCGCGACGAAGAGGTCTGCGCCGTTGGTGACCTGGGCTTCAGGTTGTAAACCATCCTTGGGCTCTGATCTTTCCAAATTGCCCGCAGGTGTCTCAATCATCCAGCTTCTAGGTGTTGTCTTCGGTGCTGCAATTTTCGTGAACTCATAAATGCCCGTGTCCGGGCATAAAAGATACCGAGTGGGTTTCGAGTAGCGAGGGTTGGGCAAAGATACTATGCGAGCTTCTTTTGTGGCTTTCTTGGGAACAATGAATAGCTTCGGGGCGTTGGGCGACTCCTCGGGTAAGGTATATTTGGCCGTCGAGGTGTTGCTGGACTCGGTTTTTGCTGCCGGCGCAGGCTTGGTGGATCTTGTTCTCGCCATGACTTGAGGTGATTGTCCAAGTGAGTCCCAAAATCTTCCAAGCTCACAAAAAAAAGTCAATCAATTGACAATACCAAAAGAAGATAACAATGCGTGCCAAAAGGAGAGACAGGAAGTGTAGGGAGGATTGGTAGTGAACAATCCAGCTTGCAGTCTTCGTGAAAGTATGCCGCGGAACGACGGGTGGTAGGACCCGTCTCAATTGGACCCTGCTGCGCTCAGACTGTGACAGTGGACGCGACGCGCGCACTCAATTAGAAGGTGGAGCGCGTCTTCAGGGGTCCCACGCGACTACAGCCAATAGAAGCACGGTAAAACCTGGCATCACTCCACGTCAAACTCCTCTTCTGAGGCTAGTCGCCTAGGCTTATCGTGACGACAAGTTCAGATGCGACAACTCGATAACGATTGAGGCATTCCGACCGCACTCTTCGTGCTTTTGCATTCCTTTACTTTTCATAGGAGGTTCGGCTTGCAAACTCCGACGTCGCTCCTTTCGCCGCCTCCCCGCCTTCATTGGTACCTCATTTCTCAGCCTCTCCTTTGTTCTTGGATTGCGATTGTTTGTTTGCTAGCACAGACCCCTCCATCAACCAACAATTTGGGTGTTGCGCCGAGACGAAGTTGACCAGGCCTTGTGGCGGGTCATGGGCCTTGTGGCGTCGAAGCTCTATCAAGTGGCCTTCCCTAAGAAAGGCTGGAAGACAACCGCTGCTGCGCTACTCACCCCGTCATCGTGATTACCTGGCAATATGCCTCCCGGTTCGTTACCCCACGAGACTTTGTTGACCAACATCATAACATTGATATAGCCCCACCCAATGAGCCTCAATGGCCCCCTCGATCCCCCCACGAAGTCCTCGCTAGCACACCAGGCGGCCGCGACCGCCTAAGGCGTCTCGTGAATCGAACATCACCTTCTCCTTCTCCGCTGAGGAGGGGGCGAGCAAACTCCACACTATCGGTGCGATCGTTGAACCTACAAGACGAGATGGATGACCAAGAGGACGAGGACGAGGAGACACTCCAGTTGAAGTTGCAGGAAATTCAGGCGAGGTTGAGGTTGAAGAAACTGCAGAGCGCAAGAGAGAGGACGGCGGGAGCTGTGTCTCCTAGGCGCAGATCACCGCCACCGCAACAACCAAGGCCGATATCAAGAGGCTTAGGGCTCGGCGCAAATCGAGTAGCTCCGCGGCCCGAGTCGCAAGCTGCGATCGAAGTGCCCGTCTCTCCCGTCCGGAAGATGCAGCCACCACAGTCACAGACATCGCCGAGTCGGGTCCTACTAGGGATTGACAAAGGACTCAGAGGGAAAGATGTTTCGCTAAAACGAGCACCAAGCGTGTTGCGCAGGAATGCGAGCTCCCAAGATGGACAACAGTTCGGCGGTTATCTTCAAAGGTCAAGGACTCCGGCACCTCAGACCGAATTACAACGACCCATGAGTTTCAACGAAAGGCTGGCCGCGGCAAGGACGCAAGAGGTCGACCGCCAGGATTTAAGAGACAGAGTCCGAAAGGCCAGGTCTGGAGCGTTTGAGATTGGACAGAAGGACATTGACCAATTCAAACAGAAGGCGGTCGACCTTCCGGAGCAACCTGATGCTGCGCCGCAGTTCAGTAGGGAGGATATCCTTGGTGGAAAGGGCAAACCCGAACACGGACAGAGGAAACTTGACACAGTACCTGCCCTGCCAGCGCCAGCGCCAAAAGACGAAGACGATTCACAAGACCTCTATGAGCCTCCACCTGACTGGATGATGGCTGGACAGAATCCCAAAAAGGTCGCGCCCGCAGATGTACCCGAGGCAGAAGCATCGGCTTTCGAGCCATACTCCAGCTTTCATCTCTCACAGCGCATTCTTCCTCATCAGGTCTTGACAAGGACCTTGTCCGGAAAGAAGATCTTCAAGGTGCCAGAACTGCTACGCAAGGTCAAAGGCCCTGACTTCCAGCTTCCAGATATCGAACAGGACATCGTTGTCTTTGCCGTTGTCGCCAAAAAGTCAGAACCTCGCCAACATAAGCCCCGGCCAGATCAAAACGGCAAGCAGTCAGATAGAGGCAAGTACATGGTCATCACGCTCTGTGATCTCAAATGGGAGCTCGAGCTATTCCTCTTCAACTCAGGCTTTACCCGGTTCTGGAAGCTCACGGAAGGTACGGTCTTGGCCATCTTGAACCCAACCATTATGCCGCCACCAGTGGGCCGTGAAGCCACCGGCAAGTTCAGTTTGGTTATCAACTCTGATGCGGACACCATCATGGAGATTGGAAAGGCTCGCGACTTGGGCTTTTGCAAGTCCGTCAAGAAAGACGGAGAGTTCTGCAACTCATGGGTCAACAAAAAGCGGACCGAGTTCTGCGAGTTCCATACTAACGAGGCAGTCACCAAACAACGAGCGACGCGAATGGAAGTCAACTCTATGGACTTTGGCGGCATCGGAGAAAGGCATCGGTGGAACTCACGCCATATTCGGAACCCAGAACCTGAACAAAAGCAATACGACCGGGAAACACACAGCCACTGGTTCGCCACGAAATCAATGAGCTCGGCGCAACTCATCGACGGAGCTCAAGCACTTGCAGATCGGAGAGAAAAGGAAGAAGGGTTAAAAAAGCGAATGCTTGCCCAAGAGCGCGAAAGAGGGATCATGCAGCGTTTGAGCAAGATCGGCGCCGGCGCCGGCAAGGAATACATGAAGCAGTCGGAACGAACCCGCAACGCCGCATCTGCCCTCTCATCATCCGCCCCGTCGGCCAGCGCGATTGAGGAACGGCAGCGAGTCGATGCGAGGAACTTGGGTCTGATGGCTCCCAGGAGTAAGGAAATGGCGATCCATCTAAGCCCGATCAAACGCAAGAGGCCGCAGAGCGCGCAGTCCGGCTCGTCGATCGGGGTGTCGTCATCGTCGGCGGCCACCGGAGCTAAGGGCGGCTTCGGTTGGGGCGGTAGCCTAAAGGACAAGCTGGCCAAGATGAAGGACGGCGACAAGCTGAGCAACGACAAGCCGCCGGTGCGGAAGAAGACGAGGTTCGTGACGGAGAAGGGCATCCGCGAGGCCGGGAGAGAGAGCCTGGGGATGGATCTGCCGCAGCGGTCGGTTTCCTTTGAAGATGACGACGATGACGATTTGATTATTGTATAAAAGATCAGCAGCATCATTTTACTGGGTTTGGGGTCACTACGGACAGGAGAATTGGTTAGAAGACACCATCAAATGGGTTGGTCGGTCGGCTGGGAGGTGTCTGGCTTTTTACAGAGTAACGACTCCTGGAAGAGTCCGCTAAGAGCGGTTACGAGTACCAATCATGGATTTTAAAGACGGATTAAGAGCATAAAATCAGATACATTTCCAATCCCCGGCGATATTGGCCCAACGATGTCAAGTCAGCTACATATACAGGACTATTCACTGGATATCTCAAGACTTGTCACTTAGGAAGACCTGGCTGAAGAACCATGGCGTAGATGTCTACCTTTTCTCTATTTCAAACTTGGTCCATTTGTCATGAAATATACGTGAACGTCCTACAAGGCAAAGCATGTAAGTGCATTCGGACGATGGCTTGTGTTCGTCCCTGGACCGCCTAACGATGTCGACTCTGCCGTCGCCTGAAGAAGATAGCTTTTCATCCGGGTTCATTTCATATCATTATAAGCAACTCCGCGACCCTTGCTTCCCATTCCGACTGGCTGGTGTCTTCAAGGTGCAACCATGAGTATATCTCAGAGGTACGCAGTCCATGACCGGTGGTCTCTGCTTCGTCGGATCACGCGAGAGAGCAAGGCTCATATCTCTGGCCAAGTGTAGCGTGAATCATCCCAGATGGGCGAGTGAAGTATGTTCAAGAAGCTATCGCTACTAAACTCACAATCTCGACCCAGCGACATAGCTCGGAGGCCTCGCCTCTTTACTCTTTCCCCATTCCGACTCCTCGTTCCCCAACGTCAACTCCAACGTCTTGCCCTGGGTGAAAAAGTCGTGGCTAATCCAGCTCCTGTTGTACGTCTCGCCGTCCAGTTTGGCGCTCTGCACGTAGATGTTCTTGTATGCCGCATCAAACCCAACACACTTCACCGTCGCGTTCTTCCCCGTCGTGGGACTCTTGACAGTAACCTCCTCAAAGAACGGCGGCGTGATGAGATACACATTCTGCCCTGCCACAGGAAACAACCCCATCACAGAAAACGAGAGGAAGGCGCCCATGGCGCCCGAGTCGTCGTTCCCGGGCAGGCCGCCGTGCGTGGAGTTGAAGGACGAAGGGATGTACTTGTGAATCCGCTGCGCCGAGAGGCCAGGGCGGCCGGCATAGTGGTAGAGGTAGACAGTAAGAAACACGGGCTCGTTGGAGATGTCGGCCAGGGGCGAGGCGTGGAAGTAGTTGAGGCGGGAGATGAAGGCATCGTCGCCGCCCATCATATCAATCAGGGTCGAGGTTGCATGCGGCACAGTGCTGCGGGTGGTATCAGCTTGATGGTTGCTGGATGGATAATACTCTGAATCGACTTACAATTGGTATTGCCAGATGCTCGCCTCGAAAGTCTCGCTCGGGTTTGATGTCAATGAGCAAAACCCGGCAAGATTCGAGCAAGCTATTGGGTCTTGAAAACCCCACGTCCCGTTCATGTACTTTGGTTGGAAGAAACCGGTAAAATTGGTGTCGGCTCCATTGATCAGAGACTTCTGGTCGGGCTTCCACAGGTTTTGCCAGTTCATGCTTCGCGTCATATACTTGTCGTGAAGCGTATCCTCTCTCAGACCCCGAGCCAGCGTCGCGAGACAGTAGTCATTGTAAGAATACTCCAAGGTCCTCGACACGCTCCTCGAGTTCGTCCCGAAGCCGACGGGGTCGAAGTCCAGGTAAGGGATATAGTTGAGGTTCTTCCAGCTTGTGAGTCCACCACGGCCCTCGTATGACCACTCTCGGGGCTCGTCCTCGGCGTCTTTAGTGATGGCTTCGAGGGCTAGATTCCAGTCTATAGAGGTCAGGTTCTTGACGTAGGCGTCAACAAGGACCACGTCGGCGTTGGAACCGCCTTGCGTCCAGCCTTTGCACATGGACATACGACAGTCCGGCAGCCAGCCTTCGTGCTTGTATATGTCGAGCATTGAATTGACCATCTGCGTTTGAGCAACTGGGTCGATCACAGTGAGTAGTGGGTGTTGGGCGCGGAAGCTGTCCCACATGCTGTCCACTCGTTAGCGAGGCCGATTGGAGATAATGTTGGTTTCTTACCAGTAGAACGAGTCAAAATACGGGACACCACTATCCCAATACGGATTCTCGCCAGTGTAGTTCTGGGGCGAGATCATGTTGCGATACAAGCCGCTCCAGAAACTCCTTTGGAGATCTTCCGTCGCACCGCCTGCCTTGATCGACACAGAGTCTAGCTTCTCCCTCCAGGCATCCTTGGCCGTACTGACAAGCGAGTCGAAGTTGTTCATCGGATCAGGAATCTCCTTGTCGGCATTTCGGCATGCCTGGTCGCTGCTCTTAAATGACACGCCCACCCTGGTGGTGACGGTGTTGTTAGTCAGTTCCTCGAAGCGAACGAAGCCGCCGCCTTCAAGGTAGAACATGTTGAAACCTCGGGTGACGAAGAGCTCCTTGGGCTCGTTGCCGGCGCGGTTATTGACCCAGACCCCGGTGTCGAAGACTTTGGCCCCGAAGAAGTCGACGCAGTAGTGAAGCGCATACGACCCGGCGCCAAAGCTTGGCAAAAAGGTCCCATTGCCAACCATTCGGCCAGTGGGAGTATCGACCTTGACAGAAGCATTCTGTCGACTGGCCCAGAGATCCGTCAGATCCAACATGATGAGCGGGTGCTCATTCCCGCTCGGAAACGTGAACCGCATGAGCGCCGCATGTTCGGACACGGTCATATCGGTCTTCACGCCCGACGCCATCTCGACGGAGAAATACCCTGGCTCGGCGACGGTCTTATTCAGATTATACTGCGTCGCGCGGTCCCCGATCCGGAAGCGACAGTTGTTGAGCTCGTCGCCGGGGCAGACCTGCGGGAACAGCGGGAAATTGCCGAGGCTGGGGTTCCCTCCTGTTCCGCTGTCATGGACGATGCTGAAGCCGGTAATGTTACTGCCATCGGTGGCGAAGCCGCCCGTCTTTTCTCCATCGACGTCGGCGACGGCTTTAGCGAGGCCGTAGGGTAGCGTTGCACCGGCGAAGACGTTGCCGCCGCCCTGAGACCCGATCAATGGGTCGACAAAGGAAAGGGGGTCGAACGGCTGACAGACTGCTGCCGCTGTGAGGGCAACGAGTGAAGCGAGCAGGCGCATGGTGCTGGGTGCAGACAAGATGACTTATAGAGGATCAGATGAGATAGGCCCAAACGAGGCGATGGACATCGTGGACTTGGCGGTAGCGTTCTCAGATGAACGGAGCCTGCCCCTCATGGAGAACAGAATCTTCAGGAAGGATGCAAAACTGAGGAAGCCATCCAACTTTAAGGACATTGCATAGCTCACTCCGTGTTCAACACGCGCAGCGGCCGCGCGGGAACTCGGTAAAGTTATTCTACTAATTAAGCCTTAGTTGTTGACCCCGCGTCTGCTCCAAGCGGCAGGTGGTATCATGTATGTCTTCTGGTCCTCGTGGAAGCTCGGGAATAATAGATTGGAGAGCAAAACAACATGCCGATCACCAACCATGATGTGCCGTGCCACAACCTGCAGCCTGCTGCACTTCTTTGCCTGCATTTTTCTGCCCGGATCTCCGCTTGCGCGCGCACGCACGTACGCACTGCAGCGGACTTGAGCGAGTGTCCGACTCTGGAGTCCATCATTGGGACTTACAATGCTGTCTTCCTGCTTGATCCCACCCGAACCGTTGGTAGAGGTTTTGAGCGAAAGCGTTTTGTCAGATGCGTCGATGCGACAGAGGCACGATGAGAGAGCTTTGAGAGCCGTTTCTGCAAATGTTTCGACGAGGCCAACGTTGTTTGCAATGTTGGAAAACACAGAGTGAGTAAACCTGTGAGGACCGAAAAGACCCCCTAGCTCGTTTCTATTGCAGGGGTAGCTCGGCGGTGGAGGACCCCACAGTCTCCCGTTCCCCGCCCGTGAGTATCCGGCATGCCCCTTCATCTTCTCTCGTCCGCCTCATCTTCTGTCTGCCAACTGCTTGCGACGTGTATTCACAAAGATACAGGCGACCTCGACTTATGAGCCATGCCACAGGTTAAACACTTTCATCCGAACCTTGTTACGTCTCAAACCAGATGAACTCAATGAGTCAAATACTGGATGTTAGAAGGGCCCCCTGGAGTCGTGCGCCCGAAACACTCAATGCTCCAGCTTGGCCCCCCGGGAAATCGCCCGTGAATGGGGAAGGACACCTGGGCCCTTTGGATGCGACTCTCATCATTTCATAAGCTCTCATCTCCATTTCCGTCCTCCTTTGCTCTATCTCAACGTCGTTCTTGCTTCAACTCCATTCCGCTGAGGTATCCTCACATCATCTGCCAGCCCGTGAATCAAGTGACTCAGGACTCCGTTCCATAGCAGGTAGCCGCCGCAATGCTGGACATTTACCAGCTCAACCTGGCAGGCCTGCTCCTCGCTTGCGGCACGCTCTTCGCCTCGGGGAGCCAGGAGAAGCAAAAGGTTGCCAAAAAAGATGTAAAGAAGGACACAAAGCCGAAGCCGAAGCAGCAAGGCTCTCAATGGGCATTCTACGTCGTCTATGCTCTCGTCATGGGCTCAGACTGGCTGCAGGTCCTGTCACTCGCACCCTGGCAGTTCTCAACTCTTATACTGACACCACGTTCAGGGCCCGTTTCTCTACTCACTCTACAAGAACGAGCACCAAATCCCGTCAGACCTTGTCCCGACCCTCTTCACAGCTGGCTTCGTCTCGGGTGCCGTGGCCGGTTACTTCATCGGCTCTCTTGCCGACCGGCACGGCCGCAGGGCGAGCTGCCTCTTCTTCTGCGCCGCTTACGCCCTCTCCTGCGTTCTTACCACGATCCCCAGTGTTCCGTTGCTCTTCCTCGGCCGCGTCCTGGGCGGCCTGGGCACGAGTCTGCTCTTCAGCGTATTCGAGAGCTGGATGGTGACGGACTTTCATGCCCGCCGTCTGGGTGATCAGGGTCTGGACCTGTCCCGCACGTTCGGCATGATGAGTACCGTCAACAGCGTCGTGGCCATCGTGAGTGGTGTCGTGAGCGAGTGGCTCGTCTCCGTGACAGGGACGCGCAAGGCACCCTTTCTAGCTAGTGTGGGGCTGTTGGTCCTCGCTGCTGGGGTCATTGCCAGCCAATGGGTAGGTTACGGCATCTTATCTTCTTTCTGATGCATCGACTAACTGATTGCAAAGGATGAGAACTACGGCTCAACAGGCCAGGCATCATCATCAGAAGCATCAAAGGGCAAAAAAACGAGCCTCTGGTCCACGATGACCGACAAACGCGTTCTCGCAATCGGCCTCGCCTCGACTATGTTCGAAGGGTCTATGTACCTCTTTGTAGTCCTATGGTCCCCCGTTCTCGTGTCTGCCTCCTCTTCCCCTGAGACCCTTCCTTACGGTATCATTTTCGCATCCTTCATGGCCTCAACCCTTCTCGCTTCTCTCCTTTACCCGCGTCTCCTCGCTCTCGTTTCTACGCCGTCTCGGCTACTGCTCTCGGTCCTTCTCGCCGCCAACGGCGTCTTTTTCGCTCTTGGTACCGGTGCACCGCGCGCGGAGCAGGTTACTTTTTGGCTGTTTTGCCTGTTCGAGGCCTGCGTTGGTCTGTACTTCCCCTCGATGGGGTACCTCAAGGGAAAGGTCGTCGACGATGGCGTCAGGGCGCAGGTGTACGGCGTACTGAGGATACCGCTCAACATCTTTGTGGTCGTAAGCTTGATGTTTAGCAGCGACGGACAGGCGGGTAAGGTGTTTCTCGTTTGTGGCATGTTGCTTCAGGCGAGCTGCGGTGCTCTATGGCTCATGGGCGGACAGGATGCGTAGGTTGTTATTACGCAGACATATCTACAATGAAGGAGCCAAAGCAGATGTATAATGGCGATGTTCAAATTTTCAAAGAAGCGAGTCCATCTCCAGATCCACAGCACTGTTGCGCCAGAACTCAGATCGCCAGTCCGCCCTAAGCCGAAGAACCGTCGTCAGTGACTGACGTCGTCTACTTAAGCGCCCGTGAGACAGTTTCACGGAACAGGCTCATCGGACCGCCCAAATACCACCTCGCTCGCTCGCCCTGGTGTCGGGTCTCGTGGCGCCGGGACTTGGTATCATGGTGTTTCCGGCATTGGTGCTTTTCCACCACCACCACCACCACCAGCAACACTGTCCGACGTTGCGCCGTGTGTATGTGCACATGGTGAATCTGAAACCGAGGGATGATGTAGACCGGGAATATTCATGGCGTGCAAAGGATACCAACGTCACCTGATGGATTAGAGAGGTACAGCACGTCTCACTCTCAAACTTGACAGGACTGTTGTGTACCGTAGACGACCATCAATAGCTTTCGCCTCACTTTATCGCTATGCTAGTCCGAAGTGGGTCAAAGGGAAATTCGGGTATCTCGTCATCCCGTATGTCTTCAAGGAAACGCAGAGTGCCAGAAAATTTGTAGTTACACAGCTATTGTCATGAGTATTCTCCTATGGCTAAGGGCCGCCCCATTACGGTACGAGTTTGCGCTGCACCGAGCGTCGGCAGTTCGTTTAAAGAATCGGGCGGAACGACGTCCATGTCCTCCACCTCGATCTTCAAGCTTGGGACGTGATCCAGCGACATCGTCGTGCCATCCAACTAGGCGAACCTTTGTTAGCACATACACCCTTTCTCCGAAAATTTAACCGCATCCCCAAAGGAGCCGTGGGTGCGATGGTCGTACTCACTTTGCTAATTACAACCCCCAACCCATCCTCAATGGTACCAAGCACACTCTTCGTCGAGAGCCTACTGATACCCACTGCCTCGATACCTCTGCGTAGGGGAATGGTATCGTAACTCATCCCCTTCTTGGGCATGTCCAACAACGTGAACGACCCGGCCAGATTGCCCTTCAAGAAAAGCTGCACTTGACAAGGCAGCTCTAGCTCACTCCTCTCAACCTCGACCTTGGCGAAGTACTCCCTCTGTGGCATCCTCTCGCGCCGCCTCAGCCCCTTGAACGAGTACCGCTCCTGCCACTGCTGCTGTTCCCGCGGGCCGTAGAGGCTGTTCACCGTCCTGCTGACCTCCATCTTGGTCTCCCCTGGCGCCTGGTCCCAGAACCGCATGGGCGCGTACGTGTAGCCCCAATCACGGATGTGCGTGACCGACTCGCTGGTGAGAGGGCTGCCTCCCCAGCCCATGAACGGCAAAATGGGATACTTGGGCGTGACGATCGTCCCGGTTGGCGTGGCAAACAACTGATCAGAGGCGTACGAGAAGTGCATCGTCGCGTTCTCGAAGTGGAGGGCCTGCCAGAAGGCGATGAGACGGTCGACGTTGACGTGATGGAGCCAGCTGGATACGAGTTAAAAGCAACGACATGGACCGGAGGGAGTATCACCACTTACAACAACGGTTCGAAGGCAGCGATTGAGAGGAGAGCAAGATCTTGACCGCATGCTGCTGCAAGGTGGACTCCGCTATGGGGCCCCTCAAAGTTGGCTCCCTGGTTCTGAGCAGAGACCATCTCATCGAAGGAGCTGGCCCTGACAAAGACATTGTACTGCAGGTTATCAGCAAGACGTCATTACACAACCACCAGATGTCCCTCGCCCGACTTGGTCACGGATTTGTTAACTCACCACCGTCTCCTTCAAGGTGAGATTCGCAAGCTTTTCATTAGCCGTGGCGGGATAACTCTCGCCGTCCTTGGCGCAACGATTCGTGTAATTCGCCCCGTCGAACGACCCAAATCCGCCATCGAGAACCGACTTGGGATATTTGAAACGGTAGAACGGATTCCGGACCGCCGTGGGCTGTAACGTGCCGGCCACAGGCTTGTTGATGATCACGGTCGGCATTGCCGTCAGGGGTGGGACATGGGCGTCTGCGGCCCAGTCCCAGTACGCGGTGCGCAAACTTTCTGCGGCTTCCACGTACTTCTGCTTATGTGGTTCCGGGTAAGCAGTCGCGATGCGCTTGGCCTCTTGCACTAGAACCTGCTGCTAAGGGATGAGGCCCGTTGATGGGAAGCGAAGCTTGTGAATCGATCGTACGAACCTCATAAAGTGAGAGATAGCCGCGATGCCAGGTGCCAAACAATGCTTGCTTGGAACAAGTTAGCCAAGATCTATTCGCTAGTATCGAGATCTCTGGGGTGAGTACGTTGTGTGGACAGTATCCGGCATATGCTCCTGTTTGAGGTCCGCCCCCGGACCAAGCCATGTATGGCTGACCATGGATTCCTAAAGACTTAGCAGAATGAAACAAGGCAACGAACCATTTGAATACTAACCTGCTACCTGAAAGTATGATGTGGGATCCGTCTCGTTTGTATCCTGCATAGCAGTGAGAGCTCCGACGTAGAGATCCCTAAGAGATCGTGAGCGATTGTTGCCTTCTTCCGAGCGCCGGTCTTACCATTGCGGCCCTTTCTCGTTGTAGAGACTGTTGATATCCCTTCTGATAGGCAACTCGCCGGTCCGTATGTTGATACCCGATCTTACCCCAATAATTGGAACATCTTGCGCGGCGTTCACCCATCGCACGGCCGCCAGAATACCGAAAACGAGTACGAGCTGAGGGGCAATCATCGTATCTCGAGCTAAAGTTTCGACGCCAATCTTGTAGGTTCGAAAGAACGAGAGAAAAGGGATGCCTCTACGAAAGAAAAAAAAGACGACGGTGGAAACAATCCGAATTTATCTGCTCCTTACTTCTAAGCGGTCAAGCACCCTACCGTTCCAGGACTAGAGCAAACGGAGCCCGTCGTGTCCATCCAATCTCTTTATACTGTCACCAGTCTTGTGGTTCGCTCACTATGCGGGAAACGGAAAACTTGTCACGCCCTGCCTGGGTGCCGTCGCATGCTACTGCGCGACATGGTGACGAAATTTGACGAAGAAAGACCCCCATCTTCTCCCAAGCTGTGCCGAGGAGCACATGACTAACTGGCGGCGAGAGAATCTGTTTCCAGGAACCGTTCTAGGACTAAGTTCTTAGATGTCGGACGAAACTTTCAACGGCGGCTGTCCATGTATCACACACTCCCAAATCCGCGCGCTTCGTGTGGTCGTCTGATGCATACTCGCTTGTTCTGAGAGCGGTGACCAGAGTCCTTGCCCTGGAGGCGATTGTCCCTCTTCTACCAGCTGCGAGGCAGGTTTTGAATCCAGAAGCTCGACGAGTGACTTCGAGTATATCATAATCCGAGCATAGATGAATAAACATAGCTTTAATGGAGCGGTCAGATCCATCCTCTTCTTGCTCTTTCGATGGTCTCTCCTGATACGGCTATCTTGATCTTCCGTCCGCTCGGCACCGATGTGTAGCTTTCACTGTCCATTTTTGGTTACAACTTTCACCAAGTCACACAAAGAGGACCATGCGTCATCGTTTACGCATAGTTGCCGCTTTTCCTATATGCGAGTGTCCGATGGTGTAACAAGGCGAAGCCCATCACTCATGGGCCATGTTCCCGTTCTCTTCACCGCTCTCTGAGTAGCATCGCAGTTATATGGGCTTTCAGATACAGAAGAAGTATTGGCCCGGCAACATTGTGGTGTTTCTCCCAACTGCTATATCTTTCATGCTGCACGAGCCGCACAAAGTTCTCTGACGTGGCAAAGCTCGACTTATGTAACCGCATCGAAAGGGCTTTTCCAGCCTCCGTGGCAAGACAGTGAGATACGATAAGCCATCATGCTGCAACATGTTGTCAAAGTGAGGTGTTTCGGATGGTGATGGGTTTAAATTGAAGAGGCCGGACGTAGCACATCATCAATATCGTGACGTACCTGCGGGCTTGCTGCGACTTTCACCGGTATTGTCTAAGATTATTTGTTCGTGAGTGCCTTTGGGGGTCAAGTTGTTTGAGTCCGAGGTGTTTCATGCATGCTTGGTGCCCCTCAAACGTTTCTATTCAGGTGAACCTCGGCACAAGTGATTCAGTTTTGTAAACGAAAAACTCTCGTGTGATTGAAAATAACAAGCAAGCTAGAGATCACTGAAGTCGGGTTTTGCCTTTGGTAATACAACTTTTTGGTAGAAGCAAGAAGACATGACTGATAAACTGAAATTGTCCTAGACAGTACTCTCTTGAAAATGCACCCATTGGTAATGTCAAAAAAGCGCCGTGGCTCTTGGTCAAAGCAACCTTATCCATACCCTAATTCTTCCAAAGAAACAAGCATGACTCCATGGATTCGTGAAACCGTTCTTTGCAGTTGAACGCAGAGTTGAGGCAAGACTCATAAGCATGGGTTTGCATTGGCCCCAAATAGTTTGTGTTGTGATTGCCAGTCTCACAAGGACTTTTCAAGGACAACGAGATCCCGGAACCCCTCTTTCCACTTTTTCATCTGTTCAATCGTTGGCTTTGGCAAGGGGCTCCGGGCGACGCCTCCATAGCCCAACCATGCTTGAAGACCAGCCTTCACACCGACAACTCCTCCTTGAATGGCAGTCCAGTCACCATGTGATACGATCTCCTGCATATCCTGAGCTTCTTGGTAGTTGCCCTCTTGGTAAAGCTCAATGGTTCTGATGCAAGCTTTGGGAGCAATGTTGGCCAGACCCGCAAGGATGCCGTGTCCTCCGGCTACCAGAGATTGAATCGAGAAGTCGGCCGAGCCGGCCAGGACAAGAAATTCGGGAACCTTGGCGTTAGGGTCCTTGGCCAACTTCCTTGTGGAGCTGGCAACGCGGTTCAACTTGCCCGTGTTTCCGCATGTAAGCTTGACGCCGACAATGTTGGGGTGTTGAGACAATTGAACAATGACGTCGGAAGATAGGTCTAGACCTCCAACCGCACCTGGAAAGTTGTAGATTATGAGCGGAATAGGCGATGAATCTGCCACGGCGTTGAAGTACTCAAAGATGGTTTCTGACGATGGTGCAAACAGGCCGGAGTAGTAAGATGGGGGAAGCACAAGGGCGTAGTCTCCACCAGCAGCCCAGGCTTCAGTACAGTACTGTACGGTCTCGCGGGTGCTCTGACTTCCGCAGCCTACGATGATGGGCATGTGAGAAAAGCCAGCATCGTTGAGGGCTTGCCGAGTAGTTGCCGTAACGAGCTGGCGTTCGGCGTGAGTGAGATGAACTGCTTCCCCGTTGGACCCCTGCGTGGCAAGGCCGGTGACACCGGCTTGGGCGAGTCGTACAGCATGGCGTGCGATGGTGTCAATGTCTACGTTCTCTGTACCAGGCTCGAAGAAGCACATGGTCGGTACGTAGACTCCGGGAACAAGCGGTCGGGTTCCATGGAGATCTACACCAAGCGATGTACTGTCGTATGAACTGCTGAGAGGGGAATGCGACTCGGCGGCCGCTAGGCTGCCGAGTTTGAGGTTCGAAGCAGTATTGGGCCGGAAGGAGTCTCTGTTGAAGCCGGCTGTGAAACTGCCTGCCGGTGAGGGTACGTCTTGATGAGGAGCCATGATTGATGCCGAAGTTTCTTGGAAGCGTTCTAGGTCCAAAGTCGGACGACAGAGAGCACGACGTATGTCGTACGAAGCGTGCTAGGTGTGTATGGTAAGGATTGGTTGGTATGACAGCAGGTCTTTTTGGGTAGTAAAGTTAACAGATTTTCATACACCGATACTTCGTAGAGCTGACGGGCTTAAGGATATAAGGATACCAAGAAGACGAATAGCTCATCAGAACAGGGGGCGATGGGGGCCTTTTTATCATCAAGAGAAAGAGCGGGAAAAGCTGGGCAAAGACAGGGCCCCATCAGACGTTGCTTCTTTCTTGACAAGTGTATCCTAGTCCTGCTGCAAGTTGTGGCGTCCGAGGCAGCTTCATGGCACATTTATGCTTGCGATGGCTCGCCCCATGCGCTAAGCCAACGTCGCCCAAGATCAACATCTGGGCCATAATTCGAATGGGCGAACGAATCTCCCTGTGTACAAGGAAGTACATACTGCTCAGCTACGCAAGAACCAGTCGCACCATGCGAAATACAAAGGGAAAAGCAGGCCGTTCTGACCGCGTCAAGCAGTCGTCCTGTCCGGCCGTGGTACGAAGAAAGTGCAGCAAGAGACCAGGGATCTTTAGGAGATTTCGGCGTCTGAACTAGGGCGTTACGACACAGTGCGTGAAGGTCGAGGCAGGGCCGGTGCTAAGCCCATGCAAGTCAACAGACTGGCGCATGCGAGAGGAGAGGGCGGGATGTCCATACATAGATCCAAAGCTGACTAGACCAGGCCAGGCCAGACAGACATGGTTGGGGTTGACGAGGGTCTCTTGTGGGGAACGCCCCCAGACCCAGCTGAGTGGGGGTTAGCCCCAAACCCCGACGTACTGTACCTATAGTCGTGTCTCAGCACCGCTCTCACTTAAGGGGTCATTCGCAGAGCGAGTCCGTCGGGAATCCCGGACAAGGCCATTGCTGAGCAGTATTTTTGAGGCTTTTGTCATCGGGCGAGTTGAAGTAGGTCGCCAATACCCAAATACCCAAGACTCCTAGCCGTAGTGTGATACACAACCAAGGTCAGGACGAGGGCAGGGAATAGTCGTAATGACGATGGCAGGTTCGTGACATAATGTGAAAATGAAGGCCATCATTGTGCACATATCTTGGTCATGACTCAATACCAAAAAGAGAACTGTTGGAACAGTGTCGAACTGCACGATTCTCCAATTGAAGGTTCCAGCATGATGTTCCCAGGCTGCATTCGAAATATAAGCGTTATCCAGAGACCTCTCGAGTGTTCAGACATCCGAGGCCTACCGTGACGAACATATCAAGCAGACTGAGTCGTCTTTTGTCGTCGTTTGAGTGGACAACCTAACTGTATGCGTTCATAGGTGTCGGGGCCACTATATGGACGTGATATCATGGAGTTCCATCCACGAATGTTAACGAAGAAATCCGGCGAAGGACCCCTACAACGAGTCGTGAAAACCCTCGATGGTCCAGATCAACATCGTCGGGTGCTGGCCGATGCCTACCCGACCAATGATGATGCGCTCACGCCAGAAAGCCCCTTTTTCACGGGTGAAGTAGCCATACCCCGCGACCTAAGAAGGATGGCAAGCGTATACCGACCTTCAGGTACTGTAAGAAAGATGATGTATTCGGTGTTTATTCATTGGCCCAGCCAACTTTTTGGGCAATGGGAACTTGCTGTCAAGATCTGTAGACGACAAGTGCGAACACAATGAACGGCAATGACTGCCAAGTGCCGTCTTAGTGCTGCCCTAGCCCGAATTTTGGTCCTATGTACTAAAACTGTAAATATGAGGTTCTCATTCGCATTTCATTCATTTTCAACGAGCCATGAACAGCTGCCACAGAAATGTTTGCTGTTGTAGATATATCAAAGGTCAAAGGGTATGAGGGCCTAGAGATGCATCCTCATCAAATCAGCCCAGGTTGTAGGCCAGGCCCAATGCTTCGGCCATTCAGGTTCAAGGTCACCGAATGCAAAGTCCTGATGCGACGACGGGGATTTCGAAGTCTTACAGTTAATTGCCCATCGCTCGAGATTAGCGGCTGGATACGTAGGCCATGGGATCATGACAATATCGTCGGGCGTGTGACCTGAGAAATGTGGTGCCTGCAGGTCCCAAAGATGTGCAGCATCCTCACAGCTACGCCAGCCTCAGCCAATTGAGTAATAAGACCGTTTAGGTATAGCTCTGGTTTACAATGGTATAGACGGAACGGGATTGCTGCATTGGCTCGGGTCCACTTCTGCCGTGCTTGCCATGATTGACGTGGCGATGCTATGGGACCTGGGTGTACACATGGAGGAAATAAATACTCCTCGTGAAAAGTAGGTAGCGGGCGATAGGATTCGTTGCGATTTCCTCAATACCAGAGCTCTTTGAGGACGCCGTGAAAGAAGTTGCGCCTGCTTGAGACGTATGTCATTCTCCTTCGGGCATGGAAAGCAGTGATGACCATGTCATGGTTGCGTACGGAGCCTTCGTCACCTGCTCACGTAAGCTTAACTTGTCGACCTTCCTGTTGGTTTCGGGGTTCTCCCCTCTGTGCCCATGTGATTTGCATGGACATGCAGACACTCTATCCTGTGTCTTTTCTTTCCATGGATTCACTCGGGGTGTTCCCTCATTCGAGTAGCCCAGCCCGTTCATTTTGGGTATCTCGCTTCAAGTCTCACTACCATCATCCCTAATGATGGCTCCTCTGCCTCATTGAGAAGAGAGGTCATCTCATTCTTTACTCCGTAGGAAAGCGCCATTGGGCTTTGATCGTAAGAGCAAGGTCGAGGATATACCAGTATACCGGTGTCAAGTGCCCTTGATCATTGACGGTACCTCGGACGTAGCCTCCTCTTGGCACTTCACAAAGACCGCCGGACACATTGGCAAGACAAGCCCCCAGCATCAGACACCACACAGTGCCGCAGATGCAAGTCATCTTTTACTGGAACAAACTAACCATTCTGAGGCCTGTTGGCTTGCATGATGCAGAGGTCCTGCAATGGAACACCGCCATTCGATGCCTGCTCAATGTTTGTCCATATTGGGACCGTGTCTTCGTCATGTGTCCAGAATACTTTTCAAACTAAGATTGCTTTAGTTTCCGTGTGTCTGAATCAACAAGCGAGGGGACCAAGTGTTTCGAACTGGAGCGCGCAAATGCTTTGCTGTCATCGGATACCGGACGGATCGACGGCCATCAGAAAGACACTAACCCCCACGCTAGCCATCTCCCCAGGAGACCAGCCTCTCTAGTCTGGGGGGGGGGAGGAGGGGCGGCACTTCTGTCATGAGCTGGCCGTCAACTCATTAGAGTCAAAGCTTGCGGTGAGCTTTCTTGGATTTGACAGCCCGTCCTAGGTAGTCATGCCGGCCCTGCCTCATATTGCCGAGTCTTACATTCAGATCGGTCTTACCCTGCATCATCCAATATTGGTTCACCAAATCACCTTGCTACAGAAGCAACAGTCCCGTCATCTTGTGCGCGTTGATGACAGTTGCAGCTCGTGACGGCCAACATTGCCTTCGACCCCTGCTTCATGGAACACGCATCCTGCCTCTCCCTTTAGATGCGCGCATCGGCTCGTGACCAGATAACAGGCTGTAGGTGTGCCCGAAGTCTTGGCTAGAAGCTCGCGACAGTGTGAGTCTCTCACGGTTCTCACAGTGTTTGCCCGCTCTCCAAACCACCATCTCAACAAGCGCTGGGGGTCTATGCTGGCGTGCTCGGAATTAGCTGGGCGTCTGCTGACCTGAGGTCCCCAGATTGCTGCAGAACTCCGCCTGGGTGGTGTGGGCAGTGTCATCGTAAACGCTCTTGATCGACGCGCAGCTGCGCCGCGCAAGCTTTCCCGGTTTATCTGCCCAACACACCATCCATCACGTCGGATAGTGGCACATCACCACCGTCGCCCCCTTGTTCTTTACGAGCAATCGGCTGTCCCCGCACTTTATACAACACTCATCTGATGTTTCCTCCCAAAGCCAAGTCATCCCTTTCAGCCGCACCGTATCATGCGTTCATCGGTATGATCTTTCACATCATTTGCTTGGAAATACGGCATGTGTCTCTGTCCTCTGATTGACGGAGAAATGTTCCGTCCACCGTGAAGATTCTGGCCTCAATCTCTCGCCTCGTCTCGGTCTCGGCTTCAGCTGATAATCTACAACTCGGCGTTGCAAACCTCAACGGCACGTACCAGTCCTGTTGCACGACACCCTCCCGCCTTTGGCCGTTGCGAATGGAACCAGACCTATGGCACCACATCATCCTGACAAAGATCAGCACTGAGCCGCCTGTGCCACGTCTGCAGGCTTGGGTAATCCGGGGGCGGAAACGTCATGCGTTGCTGATCTCGAGAGTCTGGCCCGGCGTGGAGTCTGACATGGAAGACACCATTCCGATATGGGCCGTGGCGCATGACTCTGGTTGGCATCTCTTTGAAGCAAAAGAACAGATTCCAGGGATGTCTTCGCTGTGAATGCATTTCCGGCCTGTTGACGAGACCTTTTCCGTTAGCTTGGCAGTCGTGGAAGCAATGGCAAACCGCATGCCTTGAAGCCGCTTACTGCCGAGAAGACTCATTCAGTGGTGGGCCCTCCTACACGTGTTGTATCTTTATCGTATGAAATGGAACCGAGTCACTTAAGCCGCTGCTAGTATAGAAGTAAGACGTCACGAGAAGATGTGTTGTCCCCTTGTCGCTCTACCAGCCGCTCGGCAGAATGCATCGATCTGAGCATTGTTTTATCCATCCTCTCACAAGAGATCCATTGATGCCCGAAGACGCAACATGTTGCGCTTATAGCCGTTGAACCGATTTTCTTCCAAAGTTCGAAGGGGGAGGGGGCTTGTTTGTGAATCTTCTTGTGCCGACAACTATCCATCAGGCACTTGGCAACATCTTTGCCCTAGGGCCAAACCCTTCCCTCCAAGTCAACATTCAGTAGTCTAGCCGTTTTCAGTATTGCATCTTGGAAAAACAGCAGAGTTTGGGTTCCAATCATCTTCCAGGAGACTATCCTTCAGCCTCCAGGATGAGTACTAGGTTTGCCGGGATGCAATTTGGCTGTCAGCCTCATTAGGTTTCCTTGCGATGCTTTGTCTACCTTACGTTTTGATTTCACGTTAAATATAGGCGGATGAATCTCCTGACTCTTTGTATCCAACGCATACGAGGGGCCCTGTCAATGTTCAACAACCCCACAGCTGACCAAGGTGGATGTCTCGCTGAGCCCCCACACCCCACGGCCTCCATGTGCGGGCGGGACAAGGGATCTCGACAGACCTTCCCGAAGAAGCTCGGTTTAAGGGCCAGGCAGCCCAAATTCTGGTATCCAGGCGGGATCTCGGGACTGGGAAGGGGGCTCTAAGGCGGGCTTTTTGCAGGGGAACATAGGAAGATGCTGTTAGGATGTAAGCCGACGTCGATCAGGCTATAAGCCGGGGCCCTACCAACCGTCTACATATTGGATGACTCTATTTTAACGACATCCTTTGGATAAATACAGTTTCTGAATTCCTGGGACACTGTGCCGGACTCGGCACCCTTTGCCGGGGTGGGTTGAGGCAGCTAAGTTGTCGATAGAGGCTTGTTTCTCTCTCAATCGGCGGGGTTCGAGTGCCTATTCAAGCAGTTTTTGAGTTTAGGGTTGTTCGTAAGAGCATATAGCCAGCTGTTATTTACATTGACACCTTTGTTCAACCTGTTGACTGTATTGTGTATCTTCTTTGGTATAGTCCTAATGGGAACATACCATAGTTTCACGCTCATGGGCTTCCTGCTCTACCCAATACCTATCTTGTTCAAAGCAGGGTATCTACCATCAGAACCAGTACGGGAACTTTCTCACTGTGATTCAGTCTCTAGGGTGTCCAGACGTCGAGTCTCAGGCTATACACCCTTAATTTAAATAGTGGCCCTGGGTTACGACCCCTATTTACTAACACGCCGTTCCACGTATTACCGTAGACAAAATATCTACCGAGATTAGCACATAGTCATTCCATATCTTTCATCGGAATCGCACTGCCTCAACAGAAAGTATTCGATGCTGATGCGAGTGGGTCTTTGTATCGGAATCTCATGAGTTTTGGGTTAGATTGAGACCAAGTGCTGGTTCTGGCAGCAGAGATCAACCATTACCGAGGCTTATATATAGCCCAACCGGTGTCCCATGCCCGCACATCGCACACCTCTCGGTGACTGGAGGACGGGACCAGCACAACCGCCCCCCCCCCAGCGGACTCTATCTGTATAAGCAATTCCTAGCCCAGCCAACACCACATGCGACCATACCCACCGGAGAACTCGGGATCCCGTCCGCTCTCCCATCGATAAACCGGTGAGGGCCGGAGTAGTAGTTGGGTCGGAGACCACCAGCGAATGCCTGGTGTTGCATGTGTATTTTTTTTTTTCGCTTCAAGGACTTCTCGTGAGCTGAAGCCCAGCTGACATGAGGCATTGCGGACTTTTCTGCATTCGAGATTGACTGGCGGCGGCAGGGATCAAGGCATCTAACTGAGTGATCTCTACCACCGTGGGGTGGTCGAACCTGCGTGTACCAACAGGCCAGAGATCACGAGGGCGAGGCGCAGAGTTGCGGACACAACCTTTAGTTTTGCGGCCTTGCTTACCATGGACGCACGCACGTCGCTCTTCAGTACCCGTTGCTAGTTGTCCGCTCGAAAATCCATTCAAAGGCCCAGCTGGACGTGTGTTTTTTGTTTTGTTTTTTTGGAGGCCGGGTTGTCTACAGCCTGCAGGTGCGGTCCTTCCAAGAGTACAAATACAGCAGTTGAATGAAACGAACCACCGTCTCAATTGGGAACCTGTTACATACCTAAATTATCATACTACTAACACATCTATCAACCTTACTCATGAATGCTTATCGAGGCCATTCGTGCTTCGAAGTGACTCGTCGAGTGAGCACAATGAATAAGTGAACAGGCCGCAACCTCACAAGGTTCCCAAAATTTGGCCAGGGCGGTGGAGTCTCATCGTCGAGGTTGCCGGCCGCCAAGGTAGCAAGTAATACAGTAACCCACTCTGATCACTAAGATTTCGTCGTGTTAATGGGTTCGTGTGAGGATCGCAATGTGGACGGCAGATCCGGCCTCCCATGAAGAAAACCCCGTATCCGTAAAACAATCGACCATCTTGATGCACCTCAGTTTGCCTGATTAACTTTTCGTTGCCAGAGGTCGTAAGATGTCTCGAGCTATCCATGGGCTTGGGTCACACGGTCCCGGGAAAACATCAAGGGAATAGTATCGTATTTTGGGGCCAAAGGTCGCCGAAAATCCGCCTGTTGCATCCTAAGCGAATGAGCGAGGAATAAGAAGATGGGTGAAGGTGCCATGCCATTCAATGATAAGGATAGTTGTTGACGCCGAAGAATTGGCTGAAGTTTCGAAAGAGTGCTCAAGAAGGTCATAGTCATGGTGGAAAATTACTTATTCGGAGCCATTAATTTCACCTCAGAGAACCGAGACGACCGCAAAGCGAGGCAGACGCGTAGTTTAAATAGGTGTAGCAATCTTATACTTTTATTCAGTCACATGCTCATTTGTAGAACCATATATGACATAAAGACAAAACACAGAGTGGCGGCGGGTCTTGCGGTTCTGTTAAACCAGGCACACGGTACTCGTCCAACGGCGACTAGTTCCCCGCGGGAAACACCTATCTTTGGCAACAGTGGGTACATCGTCTTTCAATTGACTTTAAGAAAATCAAAGTTTACAAAAAAAAAAGGGGGACGTCACGAATCTTCTACCGGGCTATGTGGTACCGGGCTACTCGGAGCCTCCAACTCGTGGTGGTATACTTCACCTCATGTCCACGTTCATGCTCGTTTGCAATGAACCGACGAAGATACGCCACCCCCTTTTGCTCAATTGTCAGAATCAAGATGTCTTTCCATCAATATGTGAGATCAACTTAGATGGTTCGCTCCTGTCTCTTCAGCCTCATCAATGTCTGCCAAGATGACCCTCTCGCCCCCAAGGAACTCAAGCATATGTTGCAACATATCCTCTGAATACCAATGGTCCAGCTTACAGTACTCTCTGAGATCGACATTGCATCCCATCAGTCGTAGCACTCTGCAGGCTTGTTGACCGTGTCGAAGCAACACCTTGTCGTCCTTGCTTCCATGACCAAGGAAAACGGGCGTTTCCTGGAACGGTGGCACTGACTCGGATGAGTGCGAAGGAATACCAACCTCTTCTCGAATGATACGCAAGGCCTGTTTGAGTGGATCGGCTTCGGGTTCGTTCTCCTCCCAGCCAAAGAACGACTCGTCCTTTAATGCCTCGAAGACGTCGTCGTCCGGATCTGCTGGGTTCGTCTCTTCATGCTCGCCATGAATGTTATGGTTACGCTCGTGCAGAAGGTCTTCAATAGCGTCAGCCATAGGCAGCATCCCGCACATGCCTAGGATGCCACCGAGGGCATCGCCTTCCCACAATAAAAAGCAGAGAAGCGCAGCCGCACAGCCTTGGCTGAAGCCGCCCAGGAATATGCTGCCCGCGCCACCCACAAGCTGAGCTTCATCCCTGATAAGCGCGTGCACGAACTCAACGGTCTCCCGTGCATGGCCCAACACCGTTTCCTCCCAGTCGCCACTTCCGTCGTACCATTGATTGATAATGGAGCGTCTATAAATTGTCGCCCTAGACCGAGGCGCAGTTGGAAAAGTGAACTGCGTATGCGGTAGTGCTTCTCTCAAGACGACGATGTCGGACCGTGGTCCGCGGACATGAGCGGAAAGAAATGGCGGCGCAAAGATACGCGCACTCGACCCCCGACCATGCAGGAAGATTATGGAATTCAGGTGCGGCTGTTTCAGCGGCGGTATGACTAAGGGCTTTGGGAATGTGTGGAGTGGTAGACGCGCTTCATTGGTAACGTCAGGAGCATACTTTGAGCCGTGGTTTTCATGCATTGTCAACAAATCGGAAATTTCGCTACATCGCTAATCTGTGGCTGGATCGCTGCGAGGTGAAATGAAGTTCGGTTATTTGGCGGAGAGGTCCTCACCCCGGAATCCTTCCGGGCCGGATCCCCGCTTATTTACCGAATGTGGCAATTGAGGACAAGTCATGGGAACCGGACGTTCAACCACTTTTAGCTTAGGAAACAGTCAGATCAATAGTATTAAACGGAAGAATTTCTCAGAAAACAACCGCTGAGATTACCTTGTAAAACTCGGTCATAGGACGTGCTACGAGTCAGTGTTTTCGGCCATGGTTGGCCCCTTCTCCATGCCTTCTGCCAGCTCTCAGTGAGTCAACAACTTGATGCCGCAAAAAGACATACCTTTGGCTCGCCTGCATTTCATCCCATTCACAAGGCCACAAAGTAGACAGAGTAGCAAAGCAATAGCAGATAACTCCACAAAGGTGCAGCTCGCTCGCCGTTCTGTTCCGGAATCTATATACCGTTCTTGTGCACTCAATACATCATCTCATGAGCCGGCTTCATGAGGGCAAGTTCAATCCGCCAAGGCTTCAATATCATCTCCACCGCTCCATCCCTGTCAAAGTATGGCTCGTCGTTATAGGACAACTTGGCCTTGACGAACTCCCAGTACACGGGGTAGTAGCCAGCCTCCGACCAGTTCACAATTGCTAGGATATCTCCTGTCCACTCCGAGACGTAGATGTTGTCCGCTGTTAGGTTCCCGTGAGTGAAGACGAGCTCGCACCTGGACATTGTGAGCTCGTCAACGAATTCGACTGCGCTACGGACGAGATCATCGTCGTAGGCTACAGCACCAACACTGTCTTTAAGGATGTGGACGAACTCCGCATTATTCTTGTAGACCCTTTTCTGGTTCTTAGGATTAGTCCCGGGACGAGAGATGTAACGGTCGGCAATGATGGGACGTTGAGGGATCTCTTCAGGCTTAATAGACCTCAGCGCCTTGAGCATCTCCCTAAGTTGCACCACAGCGCGGTACTTCAGTCTGACATCCAATGTATTCCAAACTTCGCCAAGCGTTTTCACACCTTCCCCGCTAATTGGATCCTCAATGACGACTTCGGTACCAGTGGAAGGCGATATGACAACTCGGTAAGGAGGAATGCGGATGCTGGTCTCATTCTCAAGGTGTTGAAAAAGTCCATATCTCCATTGCTCGTCAGAACTGGCACGTGTCAAAGTGAGGGAAGGCGTCGAGGCTCTGGAACGCGAGAGCAGAGGCGGGCTGAAGGGCCGTTCCATTCTAGAATCGTAGGGATGGTATGCCGTGTTGCTTTCATGGGAGACCGCAGCATCGAGAAGGCAAAGACCCTCCTGGAGCTGTTTCCCGATTCGGTTTCTCTCGTAGAAACGAGCCAGCTTCTGAACAAATCCATGGCCCATGGACGTTTGATCCATACCAGAATATGTCATGGTGGGGTTTAAACAGAAAAGAAAAAAGAAGAAGAAAAAAATGAATGACTAAGAGAACGTGGACGATTATATGACATCTGGTATACGGTGTTGATTCAGTGACTTGAAGAGGAAGAGAATTGAGATTGTTGTACAGGACGGAGCAGAAGTCTTATAATCATCGTCTATTACCATAGGCGAAGCCTCATGTGGTTCTTGAGAACCTAATGACCAAAGAAATATCATACCATGTCTCACACATGCCTTCTCGGACAAGATGCGTAATAAACCCTTACCACCGAGAATAGACTCTTGAGTTTAGTCATATGGGTATGACTGTCTGCGCGTAAGGGTCCGCGTATCAAGCTGCTGCCAGTCGGGTTCGCAAGCTGTCGCCGAAGTCGAGAATCTCGAGGGAGACAGGCGCCTCTATCCGATGTATTTTAACCATTTTTAAAACTCTGTATTTCAACCATTGACAGGAATATCCCAAAGCTTCTTTACCCTTGGCTTTCTCGTGGCTTCAACTTTACTCAAGCCGCGCTAGACCCGACCCACCAAATTCAATCGCCCAACCAAGACATCTGGAAACTCTCCGACTAGCTTTATATCTGCGAGGGACCAATAATTGAATTCGGTACCAAGGATGTGTTGAAAGGCTTCGATGGTTGGCTTGAAATCTGGCAAGAATTTTCAAATGGCCCGTTTAACAGCCATTATTTGAAGGTGCCACTATCGAGCGAACAGATTTCGATGAAAAGCCCCAATCTAGTCTGCCATCACCTCCAATTTCAAACACTAATTTTGTGATACCGAGGTCAAACCCATCCTGATAGTGTCTGCATGTGAAGCCATTCGAGCCGCGCTGGCGGCAGGCAGTCCTGCCCTCCCCGTATATACATCTCCGAGTGGCTATCAGAGAATTTAAGGCTGTCAAGGAAGAACGAATGGGCTAGTCGCCTATTGGTGACGTACACTTAGGAATCCTGCACTAGTGTCCAGTTCAGGCGGGGACACGGATTGCCTTTTGCAAAGAGTCACCATTGATGTCGCTGTTCGTTTCCCTGACTGTTTGGATTCACGCCCAAGAGCCTCGTTACAGGTCCTTCTCCTTTGAGATTTTCTTATGCGCAAGATTACCAATAGCTGAAGGTCAGTAATGAGCCAGTCAAATGACGTCTGCTTCTGAATCGGTGCTGATTTCAAGGTTGTGCTTCGAAGCGGATTATCTCGACACAATCGGACTAGGTCATTATCCATCTCAAAACAACGGTAAAGCTAGAGCCTACTACTCGCCCCAAACGATGGTTTCCAAGGCCGCATTGAATTACTTCAATGGCTGTTATCTGTGCATATGGAAGAGCCTCGAGATACGCAGTCCAAAAGCTGCAGTGTGCAGAGCCAACCCCCCGAGCGCAGAGAAGCATGGCCGCGAATTTATTCGGCTACATGTTGGATTTCCTATTATAATTCCTCCCAGCTGTCTCCAAATGCTTTTGAGAAGGTAGGAAACCCATGTTGCAGTCTCACATACCTCTAACACAATGTGGGCCCATGAAGCGAAGCCTTACAGCGTCCGGTGATCGTATCATGACAAGCGTCAAGTGGCCAGCGGCACTCCTACACTTATTCTTTGGGGCCTCCACTTTACTTCAGAGTCCCTGTTTCAGCATTGTTGTACGAATATGAGAGAGCGTTGCGCTCAACTTGGTATACTTGTTGCATCATGCCTTGAGTTGCTAGGAGCACGTAACGCCAACACAAGGGACCCAAATATAGGTATAGAGTTAATCATAATGACAGAAAGTACAATCATGCCCCATCATGAAACATTGTTAGTACGTGTCGCGGTATGTAACTCTCACGTTGTCATGGAAATCGTTGCTGCTTCGCGAACCAGCTCGCTGAGGGGCGCCGCCAAAGGTCTCGTTCGCAGACAAGCATGGAATTAAGCATACCTGCTAGTGAAAAGTGAAAAAAGGCAAGCCCACAAGTCTCGATTGTCTCTCTACTACGTAATACGAGACCGAGATTACTCGAGGTCGAGTGTGCGGTCAGCCCTACGTCAGGAGCCAAGCGATTGTAATTTGGGTCCCTATGCGGTCATGATGATCTGTTTGGCACCACGATTGGAAGCCCCTTCAAGGCGTACCGCCAATAGCCAAAGATCATCCGGGGGAGCAGCCAGAAAGAAAAAAAATCGAATCTCCTGTTGATGTCTAGCACGCGTCGGCCAAGCTATTTGTGCAGTAGCCCAATGCGCACACAGGCACGGCAGTACGGGTATGCGGCTCACTCCCAGGCCCCAGCAACGGGTCGCTTAATCCCGTCCCTGTCACCTCTTGCCCTCCCGGAGCATTTCCAGCGGACCAGAGGAGCGCTTGCGAACACTTATTTTCGTTCCAGGCCCTGTGATATGTGACCGCGTCTGGTGATGGGTCCGGAGCCTGCTGCTGCTCCCTCCTCGTCGTTACGTGGCGGTGACGATGGTCAGCCACAATCCTGCCCTGTTTGCGGCGTTGCGTGATGTCGTTTCATGGGGCGACATCATTCTGTTCGATATCGTGTTAGAGATTCGGGCGTACATAAAGAAGGCAATGGCAGCGACTCTTCTGGGTTGGTCCTTGGGAAACAGACAAAGTCGACTCAACTTCAAACGGAGCAACATTCACCGCGGCCCGCCACTATCATCCGCCCATTGGTGAAGCAGCCATACCCCGAATAACACTTCACTTACATCCAAAAACTCGTTCCGCGATGACCGCAATGAACCAGCGTCGCCCCATGGACGCGCCACTCGATGGCCCTGTCCACCGCGAGAAGCCCACGGGTCTCCTCACCCGCTTCGTCCCGGACCGTCTGCGGCACTCCAAGTTGTACAAGCTATTCCTGCGCCTGACGCGCGTGCTCCAGTTCCTCTCCTCCGTCATCTCCCTCGGCATCTTCTCTCAGCGCCTCTTCAAGGTCTACCGCCTCGTCAACTCCATCAAGACGCGCCGCGGCGTCAACGGCTCTTACGGTGCCGTCGAGGGCATCCTCGCCGCCGCTGTGCTGTACACCCTCATCACGACCATCTTCGGATGTATCAAGAAGAACTCTAGCCCGGGCAGCAAGAGCTGGCTCCGCTGGCTGTGGGTCGTGCTCGACCTCCTCTTTGTGGGCGCCTTCATCGCCGTCGCCGTGCTCACCTCTCCCAACGGTGGCATGGCTGGCCCGAGACACTGCTACAACGGCACTCGTCTCCGCGACGGCTCCAACAATGCTTCAGGCCAGACTGCGAGCAACGACGATACTTGCAACTTGCCTTGGGGCACCTTTATTCTGGGTATCATCAGCACGTAAGTCCTGCAAACCCATGTCGCAGTATATAATGATGCTAACACTTTCTTCTAATAGTCTCCTCCACGCAATCACTGCTTCTTTCCACGAGGTCAGAGATCATCGCCGCAGAAACAAGCTCGCCATCGCCGAGGAGGAGAAGGCCATGCACCACGCACACGGGGAGCCCGGATACAATGCGCCGGTCCACAACGCACCCGGCCACGCTGGTGGTGCACACGCCGGACCTGGTCATGTCGGACATGGACAGGCCGGACATGCTGGAAACGCGGGAGGGTATACCAACGGCTCCGTACCCGCGTCAGGCAACACTACGTACTAGTGAAAGGACATAGTATTTTATTGACGATGCGTCCGTCACGTTGAAACGTCGAACACGAAGGCGATGAATTCCGGTTTTGCGAAGGAAGTGATCCTGACAAGCGGGTTAATTTATATCAAGACCGAAGATTGGGTCATGATGGTTTGAGGAGGTTTAGGACTGTTGCGGCATTGATACCCTAGCAATATGTCTGCTTAATAAATCAGTTTTGTATTACAAGAGGATGTTGCTACCCAAAATTATTGACTTTGTATGACTTGTCGCGAAAGTATTCAAGGATAAATCAGTCCCCTAACCTGTGTCGCCATATTACTCGGCGTCACGCCAGCATAACCAGCTTCCACCTTGACTGAATCTGCTGAAGAGTAAATTGGAATGATGAGAACAAATGTTGATCATCAATCATCTACGCTGTTTGAGTTCGTTAACAGCCTCACAACCCAACCATGCTGAGATGGAAACAAGACTATAGACAGGATCGCCAAGGAATATGGTTGATTGGGCTGTGACAGGGGACCCAGCAAAGCGATGCGCTGTCATCATCATGCCGGCAGTCAGCGACCGTTGTAGGAGACTAGAGGTGACGTTCAGCTCGTCCTGCTGGAAGCGGCACAGCAAATTAATGTATGTAAACCTGCACATTGACCACCCAGCTTTGTCAGATAGTAAGGCAAGCCAATGGATAAAACGCCTGGTAGTCGCGCCAGAGATGACCACTTCTTGGCGACGTTTGCTGTGCGTTCTGACCAAGACCATAAGCTTACCCACCGTCTGTTGATTGCATCAAGGGATGCGAAGGGCATGTCAGCGCCCACTCGCTCAATTCCGCGCGAAACTGAGGATGTGGCGTTTGTTTGGCCGCGATGGGGCATGAACTTGGGTTGATTGATGCCAGCCAGACATCCGAGACGGGCGCGGGGGGGAGCAGTGGGAACCGGTCGGAGACGCCGTGGCCATCGAACCCGACTCGTGAACCTGACTGCTGTTCGACCCCAGTCTCGCGCAGCGCCTTACGAGATGTCTCTTGGGGTGGTTGGACAAAGAGAAAACGAAAAAGAGCGCCATAAGGCTGAGTGAGGCCAGTCACCTGCAACCAGATGTCAGTAACATGACGAGGGGTCGCAAGATGCCGACGTGTGGATAGGACGTCCGCCAGATAGAAAGGGCGTTACGAGGTTTTTTTGTCAAGATTAGCGAAAGAGTGGCAGATGCTCCATTTGGCATGTCACGCCGTTCTCCGTTAGCCTGAACCTTCCCACATTTAGAGACTGAGGATACGGGGTTGGCATAGAGTGGGCGGGTTCGAGTTAAATTTAGAGGTGCCGCTGGCGCTAGCGGCGCGCTTCCGGCTCGTGAGCTCTCTCGACTTTCGGGGGATTGCCTGGATGCTTCTTTTCGGGATCCGTTGCCCGGGCGCTCGTGCCGGGGCATGGTGGCATCACGGATATATTTGGTTTGACTTTCTTGGAGCCAGCGATCGTTTCTCGAAAGCCCGAGATCGACCAGGCAGTCCCGAGACAGGTGGTGTGGCGCGCTGCCGGTGGTCACACAACCTAGAGATGTGCCGATTTAGCCTCCCAAGCCTCCCGTCACCGGTATGTTGTGATACCTGCCAACCGACCAGCCCCAGAGCCGTGGTCTCTGAAGCAAGTCCTTTTCTGCAAGCCCTGCGCCTCCTCCACAGTCGACATGGAGAAGACCGAACCTCAAATTTGCAAGGATTGTGATGGAGAAGTTTGGGTAATCAGGCGACAAGGCGGTCTCCATCAGTAGAACTCCAGTCAGCATCAGGACCTAGGCGAACAAGGAAAAGTCTTCACGTATAGAGCAAAAGTTCGGACACGAGGGACAGACCGCTGGCGCACGATGGGTGATGGAGGGCAAGGCCAGAGGTGGGCTGAGTGACGTTCAGATGCCAGGATCGGTGTGTCCCGCCGTGTTCTGAGTAAAGAAGCGTCCGAGCTTTTGGAAGACAGACGACTGCAAGCTGAGTGTTGCTGGGCCGCCGAAAGGGCTGAGAGTAGTTGGGCTCAGGACCGGGTTGAGCGAGAGCAGAGGCCACAGCCTATTGTCGACAGTTGGCTTGCACAGCCACCGCCTGACGGCTTGCAAGATGTGGGGTTGAGGCAACCCAGCCAGCTGGGATACGAGTGCTCGCAGCCCAGGAAGGGAACGCTACAGCTTGGAGCGTGGACGGGCTCGGGATAGTCCGGTCCATCTAGTCGATGGTTGCGCGAGCGGACAAGACCATTTGCGCGGTCCCCCGTGATCGTCATGAAGCTGTTGGGACGGAGCCCAGCACAGAGTAGTGAATTCGGGTTCATGGAACGTTACGGTCTTGCCTGTCTCCGACTGGCAACGCGCTTACCTCGACCCGAGATTGGCTTCGCTCCAATCCCGAGGCCAGAGGCAAAATTTGCTCGCAGTTGCCATGACCAACCTTCGCCTTTCGTGTTGTGAAATGGCGCGCGGCGAGCGGGAGCCCCGTGTTGGCCTTGGGCCCCTAAGCCGTACAGCGGAGAATTATGAAGATCTCTGGAGTCTTTTTTGGGGGTCATCGGCACGAAAGGATGGAATGGGCCAAGAGAGGCTTGGAACCCATCCTGCTATGCTACGACGGACTTAACGCAACAGGAGTCGCGATGGAGAGACAGGGGGTAGCTGGTCAGTGGGCGAATGAGGGGAAAGACAAGAGGTGACAGGATGCGACCAGAGGCTGAAATGAGAGCCTTGAAATGACGGTGGGAAAAGGGGGTTTGGTGGCACTGTGGCCTGGGCAAGGAGCAAGTCCGAAGTCCATTTGTTCAGCTGTCCGACCCGCCTTTGTTTCGAACAGGTCGAAGCTGAGAGCCGGTTCGCGTTCACGCGAAAATAAGAAACCATGGGAGTCCTGGGCGGATGGACTCCTGTTTCAAGGAGGACACAAACAGGCCACAGCCAGCGGTTCGGGTTCGCGATAGGCCAGAGATGTAGAGATGGTCTGGTTCCCGGGCTCATGGGACTTGATGGGATAACGGTGCATTGCAACCATTCGATGACATGAGTCTTGGGATCGAGGGGGCTGTGGTTGGCTGACAGCGGCCGCGGGGCCCGGTGCATAGTATCTTGGCTGGAAGTTCTAGGCGGCTGTGGGAGGAGCGCGGCTGCTAGGAGAGAGAGCGTTGGGCGATCGCCCCGAGATGAGCGCAAGAGACACCAGGGGATGGGAGGAAAACAAGCCGAACAAAACAAAGGGCCGCAACTCGGCGTAGCCCGCGTTCAGAGGTTCCGTCTCCTGCATAGCTGGGCGCAGCTTTGCTTACACCCCAATTATGCGCGCGCGCGCGCTCTCTCCCACTAAGGTGTATTGCGAGTCTAAAAGCAGGGTCCTCTGGACGTACATGTCATCTAATACTCTCGATAGCACCGTCTCCTACCAAGTTAAAGCGCCAAGTTGCCAAGGTCTGACGATATGCTGCGGCACCAAGTCTCAAGTTAAGGTACGGTAGGTTTTGGGAGATCTGCCTCGGTGGACGAGCTAGAGTTTGGCCTCGCAGCGGGAGGCACGCGGCCAGACACGGCACCATCATCGGGCGATGGGGACCCGGGATTGCACTGGCTCTTGCGTTATGGCTGACCAGGGCAAGTCGGGTTGGGTTAATGAGTCGAGTAGGAGTCGAGCGAGCGGTTAATTTGAACTTGACGGAGAGTGTGGGCACGACGGAGACGGAGACACACACACACACACATAAACACCGTGCACACTCCATTCACGGACCGGCAAAAACGGATATGTCGCAGGGGTCACTGGCCACTTTTTCGTTCAGCGGCAGGCGAGACAGGACTAGAAGCTGGAGTCGGGTCGTCCGTAGACACCAGCAGATGGAAGATGCGACGGCAGCCTGCAGTTAGTTCATCTGTGCCCCGTGTCTTGGTCATCGAGCCCCTGCAGCGTACACTGACTGCGATGCCTTCCTTTTCCTTTTCCTTTTCCTTTTATTTCTTTTAAATGTGAAGGGAGCTTTGGGTATTCCATCTTGGCCTGGGGTACAGAGTACCCGCCCAATGGAGCATCTCGATCAAGTTGGATAAACCTGCCTGGGTAGCCGAGCAGCGGGTAACACGAGCTCTTCATCGGTTCAATGGGCCCTAAGGCTGTACATAGGAGGGCGGTCCAGGTTCTGAGTAAGGGGAACGACCACTCGGTCAACATCGGGGCGACAATGCGCGCTCGACCAGTGGTGGACGGCGGGCGGGTGTGGAATGCGGGAGACAGAAACAAAGGAGGCGGGCGGCTCGACTGGACAATGGATGGATAGACCGAGAACGGAGCAGCTGGCTGACACATTTGACGTTGCCTCCAAGCCGCCCCGAGGAATGGTTCGGCCTCGTGGGCAGTGCAGCTCTTGGAATGCGCTGGAAACGGCCCGGATAGGAGGCAGACGGACGAATGGTTCGGCGGCAACGCAACGTCAGCGAGGGGGAAAAGAAACGTAGCGAGTCCTCGATGGTGATCGTTGCGACCTCCTGGTGGAATTCCACTGGGGCTCCAGATACGAAGGTAGAGTGGTGTGTTGTGTTTGTGTCCGTGTTTCCGTGCGCTTCTTGTGCTGATCACGTAACGTCCCAAGTGGCTTTGGCCAGGAAATATGCTTGATTGCCCGTGGGTCGCTATCCGCAATGATGTAGGGCATGTACATCTGTACAGTACCTTAGCTATGTACAGTACAGCACCCCGACTCCAGATGCCGCTGTCTGCTGTCTTTCCTCTGTGCTCCATACAGTTCCAGAAAGGACCGTCTGACAGTGTGTCTCTGGGCGCTGTGCCTGCATCTGTCTCTCTGCGTCGCTGCAATAGTCCAACCCATAGGTACTAGGTATGGACGTGCTGGACGCAAGCGACCTGAATGGCATGGGCCGTCTGGCGTCCTGCAGTGCGTGCTCAACTCCCAGCGATCCGAGATCCATCAGGAACGCAGGAACAGATGGACGGCAGGCCTTTCTTCCCTCTCTTTTCCCATCCGTTCCCATCCTTGCTCTTTCACCAACTAAACAACAACATCACCACCACCACCACCGGCTCGCTGTGTACCGCCACTCCAGTCCTGCTTCTGGGTACCATGTATACTACTTCAACTTGCAAACGGTACCCTGCCCTACCGCCCTCTCTGCCTTACGGAAAGGAGATCCCGGCCGAGAAAGAAAGCAGCGCCACTCCACTCGGTGCCTTTCTTCTTCGGGCAAAGTGACAGAATCCTGCTTCTTTCATTGGTCGTCTATGCAACTGCAAATTAATCCTTTGGGGACTTTGGATCAAGAAGCAGCCCACCAGTGTCTTTTACCCCCCCTGATCCAAGCCCACTTCGAGTCCATGTCCCTTTTTTTCCTGGTCACGCCGCCACTCACAAGTCTCGACTCCTACTTCACACACTTGCAGCTGCTCCTGCACGCTCACACACACTCACACCAGAGCAGGAGCCGAATTGCCCGCCCGCCCTGGGACAAAATGAACGGTCGCGCTCCGTCACCCCGGTCAACCTAGCCTTTCCTTGAAGAGCCAAGTGGTCCAGGGGTAGCCGATGGTTTGAACAGGCTTGGTCGATGACCACCACCACCACCACCACCACCCCCCAGTCAGTACCAGGGTGCCAGGACATCAAGCAGGCGCAGGGTCCTGAATAAGGTACGAGGTCGTATTGATTCGCCCGTCCTATGGAGCGTGGACCATGGGGACATGCCGTCCCCTCCTGTGGGCCAAAGAAGGGAGGGAAGAGAGAGGAGAGAGCGCGCAGTTGGCCTGGCCTGCTTGCTCATGGTACCTGCTGTCACCGTATTGCCTGCTGCCATGTAATGGCACTACTGCTACTACGTAGAAGTGGTTCTTTTCTTGTCTTGTGCTGCCTGGATACCCTGCTGGGCGTTGCTGTGCCTCACCTCGTCGAGACTAATAAAACCATCTCCCCCGTTCGTGTGTCTCTCATCCTTTACCTCTTCCTCACCTCCTCCTACTTTGCTTCCCCACGAGCTTCCTCTCTTACCTTTTCTTACCTTATTTGCCAGTCTCTCGTTAATCGGCATTATTTCCACCACTGTCGCTCCCCAAGCCACCCGCAAGCCTCCAGCTCCAGCAACCGGCCAGCCTCCTTTTAATACCTCTTTCAAGCCTCTGATACTTATTTGGTCCATCTACCCGGCACCTCCTTCCAGACAACATTCTTCTCTTACCCGGTAGACGTAAACAAGTCACAGCAACAACAATGTTCTCCAAGATCCTCTCCGTCGCTACCGTGGCTCTTGCCACCACCTCGCTGGTCTCTGCCCAGACCTTCACCACCTGCGATCCTACCAAGAAGGGTATGTACTCCTAGTCACCGTCACCGAGGGCTGGTTTCGTTTTGCCGCGGAACAGATTTGCTGACTGGTCCCGCAGACTGCCCTGCCGATCCCGCTCTGGGCAAGTCTGTGAGCGTCGACTTCACCAAGGGCAACGATGACTCCGTCTTCCGCAAGCTCGACGGTACCGCCGTCAAGTTCGAGGATGGCGGTGCCCTCTTCGCCATCAACAAGGAGACGGACGCTCCCACCATGGCCTCCAAGAAGTACATCTTCTTCGGCAAGATCGATGTCGTCCTCAAGGCTTCCCCCGGCCAGGGTGTTGTCACCTCCGTCGTCCTCCAGTCGGACGACCTCGACGAGATTGACTGGGAGTGGGTTGGCGGCGACAACGAGCAGGTCCAGACCAACTACTTCGGCAAGGGTGATACCAGCACCTACGACCGTGGTGCCTACCACCCCGTCAGCAACCCCTTGAACGACTACCACACCTACACCATCGACTGGACCCAGGACTCCGTCAAGTGGCTCATCGACGGCGCTCTCGTCCGCGAGCTCAAGTACGCCGACGCCAAGGGCGGTGCCATGTTCCCCCAGACTCCCATGGAGGTCAAGATCGGCACCTGGGTCGCTGGCCGCAAGGACGCCCCCAAGGGCACCGTCGAGTGGGCTGGCGGCTACACCGACTTTTCCAAGGCCCCCTTCAACGCCTACTACAAGAGCATCACCATCACCGACTACCAGGGCAACCAGGGCAAGAAGGGCGCCAAGGAGTACGTCTACGGCGACCGCTCCGGCAGCTGGGAGTCCATCGTCGTCAAGACCGACGGTGGCAGCGACGACGACACTTCTTCCTCCGCCAGCAAGACCGCCACCAAGACCGACTCCTCCAAGACCACCATGAGCACCGTCACCGCCTCCGGATCCAGCTCCGCCTCCTCCACCGCCTCCAGCGAGGCTTCTGCCACCGAGGAGGCCTCCTCCACCGCCACCGGCTCTTCCGACTCTAACTCTGCCGCCTCCGGCACCTCTGCCGGCGCCAGCTCTGCTCCCTCGACCGTTTCCGCCAACTCTGGCTTCGCGACCAAGGCCAACCTTGCTCTCGGTGCCGCCGGCCTGTTCTTCACCTTCCTGCTGTAAGCAGGTCCTCTGGAACCCCAGATCAACGACCGTACATGCGCATAAAGACAACGCAAGAAAAAATCATTCCGTCGATGGAGAGCGGATTGCACAACTCTTAACCTTCAACCACGATCCTTATCACGACTGAGTTACGCGAGACCCCTAAGGGATCTTTGACGGAGCAGTCGAGGCCAACCTTGACTTAATTTGGTACTTTTAATGATCACGCTCTCCGCGGCGTCTTCCTTGGATCCTGGGGAGGATGCTGCTTACCGCGACGGCCTTGCGAATTTCGAGGTGTTTTGTATTCACGCGAGGGGAGGAAAGGGACAATGGGAACATGTAAGCATTGAGGGCATTGCATTTCGGATCGAGGTGGTTTAGAAGTTGGTTGCGGACTATGATACCTGAGAGACAGTTGGAGGATACCTTTGGCCATGTTGCCAAGGTAGTCAGACAAGTTGAAATCAAAAAGCTTGACAAACATCTGCGCGCTTTACACTACCTTTGATGAGTGGCATCCCGTGCGTGGTCTTGGACCGGTATCCGACTTTGATGAAACCGACGCGATGCCTTGGCAGTGTGAATAACAGAGATGGTGTAATTTCGCCGTGTTTTGGAAGTTAAGGAGCGTCGACGGGGCCCCACTTCGCACATGGAGGATTGGGCGTTTGGCTGAAAGAGGAGAGGGGGCCGGCCCCAGGGTTCCCGCGCTCTACCTTATTCGGACCTAATTTCCACCTCGTGCGCCGCGTCCCCGTCTCCCCAAGCGAGCCCAGCAGGCGAACTCAACGGGGGGACATCTCACATTGGGGGGGGGGGGGGGGGGGGGGGGGGCCTGCAGCCAGCTGCAGCCTACATAGCACTATGTACACTACGGTGCGACAGCCTAAAATGCCTCGTGCGGTTCTGACGTGCCTCGGGCTGTTTCCTCCAGTCCTATTGGTACCAACCACGAGCGATGGGCGGTCCGAGGAAAGTACCGTGCAGTTGTCATCGTGCGATGGAAGCAACACAAAGAAAAAAAAGTCTTGTAGGCAATCAAACTCGCTTGGGCCAAGGCCGCACGCCCTGCGGACACCGAGATTGCGCCTCCCTGCGGGATCATGACTCCCAACAAGCGGGCGACCTTACATAGATAGTATTGGCATGGCTCCATGGCGGTCTTGGTTCTCTCGCCCAGCCTTGCTGGCCTCATTTGACTCGCGAGCTGGGCGAGTTCGACCGTATACGGAGGCTAGCCGAAGGAACACGGGGCAATCAAACTGGATCTTCCCCCCGTTGCCGGGTTGTCAGGGCGTTGGTGGCAGCCTGGCATCGTTGCACACTCCACGGGCATGGGGAATACGGGAGGCGTCGATGCCGCTTGCGCCATCCAATGAAAGCCAAAGTTCCTACATCCCCCTCCCGGCGGCTGCCCCAGCCGTGATTTTCTCCGGGACCCTTGTTGCCCGTATTGATCAATGTTCGTTGATGAGAGCGAAGGGGGGCCAGGCTGCCTGGCGTCTAATTCGAGAGTGTGTGCTTTCTCGGGCCGGAGCTACGACGGTGGCAAGCGGTGGGGAAAGCAGGATCGTCTGCGAAGAGCGGAAGAGGCGAGGCGGTTCCTAATCTCCTGTTGTCTCGGTAAAATCGAGTTGCGGGCCTGTCGTCTGGTGGAGATGAGAAGTCCTAGACCGGGCTATTTGTTGTAAGAGCAATCTTGGGGTTTCCCTCGGCGCCGTCCTTGTCATAGTCGAGTGGTCCGGACGCGGGAGGAATCCTCTCGGCATTAGGGGCGAAAAGGAGCAGATGGACCCCCGCTGTGTTCCGTCTCCTTCCCCAAAAAAGCTCCGGAGGAAAGAACAGAGTTACGGCGTTGTGGGGCCGGGTACCGCCGAGCCGTTGCAGCTGTGTAGGGGTGTGTGTGTGTGTGTGTGTGGGTGGTGTGCCGGCAATGCAGCATGCAGGATCTCGGAGAGGAAATGCAGGTACGGCGCATGATGATGTCGATTCCGTCATGTGTGGCCAACCGGCCGGGGTCGGTGGCGAAACACTTACTCATGAGGTACTGAGGAACAACTTTTTCTTCTACCGTAATCCTTCGAACCTGCCGCGCTGATCGTCCTGCCGATATTGCACATCCTGCAGCTGTCACCGGGGCGTCTGTCAAGAAACCAAGGAACGAATTGCGTGCATGTCGCGGCCGCCGGTCACCGCGCCGGTCCCATCCTGGATGGGGGTAAAATAAAACGTGCCGGTTTCTGTTAATACAGAAAGAAAGCACCGCCCTGAAATGTCAAATAAAGAGTGTGAGAATAACAAAATCAGTATCATACAACAGGAGAAGCCTGTAAGTTCACCTGGTTTGCCTTTTATCTGACAAAATGTATGTATTGTGGTTGAGAGTCGATGAAGGAATCTTGTAAGATATCAGATGGCGGCGCACTTTTCTTCAGCCCGATAGCCCAGTTGACGTTATTTCTCCTTGAGAAGTTCATCTGCCCAGTTGGGTGGGCACCTGGCACGAAAGCAGAACAGCACGTATGCTACTATGATAAGAAAAGCAGTTTCAACGTTGATAACGCGTTCGCCGTATCAGTAGACATGCAGTGGTTGAATGCAATCCCCAGCTCTACAACCCGGAGAACGGAGGAAAAGCAAGCGCCACGCCTCCGCATCCCAGACGCGGGATAGGATTACGAGTTGTTAAAGAGAGTTTCGGGTGCTTCCCTGCCGGGAATGCCGGATCTGATGGAGCGGAGATAGGGGCCTGCTGAATCGTTATTTGCGCAACCCAACCGAAAAGTTAACTTTGAAGGACGTTCTAGCCACTTGAGGGGTGACATCCCGGCGGCCGCCAGCCAAGCTGCTCACGCCAGCCGCGGTAACAGCGGGAATGCGGAATTGAAGGACGGCATTCGCAAAGTAGCATCTTGCAAAGAAACGGTGTAGCGGTAGCGGCACGAGAGCGAATGCATGAAACCGGAGTCCATGGCAGTTTCCACAATTGTTTTGAGGTACCTTTCATCCTTGATTATTCTTTGTTCTTTTTCTCGGCGAGATAAGTCCGGACAAGTCAGCAAAGGCAGTCAGCTGCGATCCGGGCTCCGGAAGGGACCCTGGACCACGATAACGGCGCATCGGTGAGCGAATGTCCCACCTTCTACCGGAGGAATCAAGCCGTCATCTCAACAGCCGTGGCCGATGGAAGATTGAGTTTGCAGAAGGTGGGCACAATATCTCGACGGTTTCTCCAGTGCCAAGTACTAAGTATGGTGCAGCAGTCAATCGAGACGCGCAGAGCAGAAACAACTGGAATGGCCGTTGACGACGGGATCGAGGTGACCTGCTGGTGGCCCCTGCACGGCAGAAGACTTTGACAACGGGTCCCCACAAAAAAGCACGTTTTCTAGAAGCTTGACCAGAACACACAAGAAAGAGTGCGGCGAAGGCCGACACCAACGCCACGGAAAGAGCCCGCAGTTGACGTAAGGCCCGGAACCCGCATAGGGCAACGAAGTCGCCAAGACCAGCAAAGTCGCCCAGATGCCTTACTCGCTCGGTGACAGAAACCATGGATGGGATTGTTGGCTTTTCGAATGGATGCCGAAGTTCATCCGCCCTGTTTTTCGAACTGACACTTGGAGGAAGGGGATAGAACAGGGTTCCCTGGGGGGATGGGAAAAAAGGCTTTTGAGATTTTCCCAAACGCCGCAGAACAGAAACTCCATTTTTCCCTTTCCCTCCTCGCCCCTCAGTTGCGGTGTGATGCCGCCCAAATGCCGGAGAATACTGGAGTCGATGACATCAAAACATCACGATTAGTCGGGAACCGCGGCCAAGAAGGATCCCTGAACTTCGTTATCGGTGGCCGCCCTGCCAATGTCGACGTGTAAACGATGCACGCAGTCTGGACCCCCCCCCCCTTCTCCCCCTTCTCCGCCTCGTCCCGGAACGCAGTCGGAGAGTCTCAACCGCCGTCTGAAAAGCGCACAGCCAGGACCCAGTCAAGAGCCGCTCACTGTTCCCGTGTTTTGTCCCTTTCCGCCCAAACCACCCCTAACCCGGGACCAAGAACGTTCACGATTTCTAAGCCAGATTTCAGAGTTTACCCACTCGGGACACCTGGACCCCCTCCTACCTATGCCGGCCCGACGAATCATGACAACGCATCCCGACCTTCTTTGATGTTCTCTCTAGAAAACTGGAAAAGTCCCGCACCGCGCCGCTACCCAGACGCCCAAACGACGACGCTTCGCATCACCGCCCGGTCAACGGCCCCCCCCCCCCCCCCCCCCCTTGTTTGTTCCTACCGATCTTTGAGCCGCGGCATCGAGCCGCACTTAGGCCCATCTGAGAGTCACCGATCTCTTCCCAGTTCGTTCCCGCTGTTTGACCCCACTCGCGTTGCAGTTTTTTCTCCCGATGCGCGGATTCCATGTCCAACTTCACTGTTCCTTGGACGACGACGACCGACGGCGTTAATCCCTCTTTTCGCCGATGACTTTAGGAGTTAAGATGTGTTGCAAGATGGTCGACCCAAGGCTTAAAAGACGAGTGCTGCTCCCGCTTCTGAGGTGATCTTTTTTGGTGGCACAGACAAATTCCCTATTCACTTATATCACATCGTCACCTTTTACACCCAACCTACCCTCAGATACCCCTCATCTTTTTCCACCTTCACAACAAGACATAATCACAATGGCCGCTACCGACTACAAGTTCGAGGGCTGGGTTGGCCTTGACGAGAAGTCGTCCGAGGGCAACATGGTCTGGCAGCAGTACGACCCCAAGCCTTGGGAGGAGACGGACGTCGACATCCAGATCACCCACTCCGGTGTCTGCGGCTCCGACATCCACGTCCTGCGCTCCGGCTGGGGCCCCGCCCCTACCCCGTCTGCGTCGGCCACGAGATCGTCGGTGTTGCCGTCCGCGTCGGCTCCAAGGCCGAGGGCGGCATCAAGGTCGGTGACCGCGTCGGTGTCGGTGCCCAGTCCGACTCCTGCCTCGGCCGCCAGGGCGACTGCGAGCCCTGCGCAACCAAGAACGAGCAGTACTGCCCCAAGTCCGTCCACACCTACGGCGCCTTCCACTACAACGGCGGCAAGGCCATGGGTGGCCACGCCAAGTACCACCGCTGCCCCTCCCACTTCGTCGTCAAGATCCCCGACGGTCTTGAGTCGGCCTACGCCGCGCCCATGCTGTGCGGTGGTGTCACCGTCTACTCCCCCTCAAGAACCACGGCTGCGGCCCCGGCAAGACCGTCGCCGTCAGCGGTGTCGGCGGTCTTGGCCACATGGCCATCATGCTCGCCAAGGCCCTCGGCGCCGACAAGGTCGTCGGTATCTCCCGCAAGGCCGACAAGCGCGACGAGGTCCTGAAGATGGGCGCCGACGACTACATCGCGACCGCCGAGGAGGGCGACTGGGCCAAGAAGTACGCCAACACCTTTGACCTCGTCATCTCCACCGTCTCCTCCTCCAAGGTCCCCATGCAGGACTACCTCAACCTCATCAAGCTCGACGGCTCCCTCGTCCAGGTCGGCATGCCCGACGACGGTGCCTACACCATCGCGCCCGCGCCCCTCGTCATGCGCCGCGTCAAGTTCACCGGCTCCCTGATTGGCTCCCCCCACGAGATCCGCGAGATGTGGGAGCTCGCCGCCAAGAAGGGCGTTAAGCCCTGGATCCAGGTCCGTCCCATGAGCGAGGCCAACCAGGCCATCGTCGACCTCGAGGAGGGCAAGGCCCGCTACCGCTACGTCCTCCAGAACTAAGCTAGGGATGAGCGCTTTCTCACGACTTGGAATTACTGGGGAACGATGTACATAGGACGGGGTTGATGATATGACTTGGGTGCATAGAAAAGGGCATAGCGATTGGTTACATTATAGACAGAGATAGACAAAATCTCAGGAGCCGTAGCTCCAGTTTCATGACAATATTCTTCCTTTTGCATTGTGAAATCGACTGCGGGTTTACGAGCTTGTCGACATGTGAGTGTGCGGTGAGCATGTGCGAAACTGTTCAATATGAATATGCTCTGTAGACCTTCAAGTCATTGAGAGGATGCTTGTGGTGAGATCAGTGAGTATTGACAATGATCGGTGTAGTCTAGGTATGATGTCACGCCGTCTCGGTCAAAGACTCACTTTACACCTTGGCATGTGGAGAAATCGATTCCGGTGCTCCACTTCAACACCTCACAGCACATTACCTTGCCTTACTTACACAACGAAAGTACTTCATCTTCCAACTGAAGATACGTGCAATAAGCCAATCATCTTCATCGCTGTTAGGCACCGATTTCAATCCAACGATCCAATTACATCGGGGGATTCAGTCGTCTGCAAACAATCCTTCGAGTTGTATTGTGCCTGCAGCGTGTCTGCCTGCGGACGCCTGATGGCCAACACAACCTAGGTTGCATTTGTTGACTTTTGATATAAAGATCGAGCAACACCCAAGGATGAGACGCAACATCGTCAATCTCGGCTACAACACGTGCAATCCGGTCAGAAACACTCTTCCGCGCCCTCTAAACCCTCCAAAGCAACCCAGTACGTCTCATCAGACCCCGACACCCAGCTCCAGCCACATCCCACTGACACCCGCGCCAGACTTCCACCGCAGGATCTCCTTCGCCGCCATGGCCCCGCACAACGACGTCGCCGCCTTCCACGAGGCCCTGCGCTCCAGCAAGCGCATTCTCGCCCTCTGCGGCGCCGGCCTCTCCGCCTCCTCCGGCCTGCCGACCTTCCGCGGCGCCGGCGGGCTCTGGCGCAAACACGACGCCACAGCACTCGCAACCATGAACGCCTTCCGCAACGACCCGGGGCTCGTCTGGCTATTTTACGCGTACCGCAGGCACATGGCGCTCAACGCGCAGCCGAACCCGGCGCACTACGCCCTGGCCGCGCTGGCGGAGAAGAACCCAGACTTTCTGTGCCTGACGCAGAACGTCGATGGTGAGAGGACCTGCCGTGAAACCCAGTCTTAGATGACGATGCTTTTCGAAAGATGTACGTGGCACGAGCCAGCCGGCTAACACGGCCCAGATCTCTCGCCCCGGGCGGGACACAAGATGGAACAGCTCCGCCGCCTCCACGGAAGCCTCTTTGACATCAAGTGCGCCAACTCGGCATGCGCCTACGTCGAGCGCAACAACACCCTGGACCCGCTCTGCCCGGCCCTCGCCCCGGCCTCGGAGGACGTCAAGGACCCCTCTCAAACCCTCCCGCTTCTCGACCCGACCAAGAAGCTCAAGCGCATCGACGACGCCGACCTCCCGCACTGCCCGTCGTGCAAGACGGGGCTGCTGCGCCCGGGCGTCGTGTGGTTCGGGGAAAACCTCGACGGCGAGATGCTCAGCGGCGTCGACGCGTGGATCGACGAGGGCAAGGTCGACCTCATGATCGTCGTCGGCACGTCCGCCAAGGTGTGGCCGGCCGCCGGGTACATCCACAAGGCGCACAAGGCCGGCGCGCGGGTGTGCACCGTCAACCCCGAGGCCGAGGACGGGGTCCAGATGCTCCAGGTCAAGCCGGGGGATTTTGCGTTTGGGAGGGACGCGGCCGAGGTGTTGCCGTTGCTGCTGGAGCCGGTGATTGGCAAGATGGGGACGGATGGACGGACGTACACGGAGGAGCAGAAGTCGGAGTAGAAGGACAGCAAGGACAGAGCGGTGATGGGGTTTATGAGGGAGGTTCAGGGCTACCGCGAGGGCGTTGTTTCTGCTGTTTTGAGGTTCCGGCATCTCTTCCCGGCAACTTTTCAATGTCTGGTACCGTTTGTCCGCCTTGCCCGGCAGCATGGCCGTGAATGAGGTCATGTTGTCTTTGAAGGGCACTCTAGGACTGGTACAAGACTGGCCCCAGCTGCTGCTGGCTCCTAAAATTGGCGCTCTAATATATCATGATACCGAAGCCAAGTTCCATCAAGAATGTGCTCCCAAAAGCATGAACGTTTCTGAGGTAGAGCTTGAGGCGGGTTGGTCATGTAAAGCTGGCAAGGCAAGAGAACATCTAGAAGCAGGTAATCCTCACGATGACACGCGCATGAGGGATACCGCCGGCACCGATGGTTGTTGGCAAGCGCGCTTGGGTTAGTAAAACTCCATGACCTGGATTCCTTCACTCTGTTCCAGTCCAGCCATGTCTTCTCCTATACTATGTGAGGCTATACCGGCAAAACATATATCTGGGCCAACAACAACATGATCAGACAACCAACCCCACAACGGTGTCAATGAGAGAACCTTGTCGTTATCAAGGACCTCCGGCAACCACATCAGCCACGTCCCAGATCGGACTCTCGAATGTGGACGGCAAGACGACGACTCTGTTCAACGCCGTGGACTTCATCCAGCTGCGCACCTTATATCTTTCGAGTGAATACTCGTTATAAACAAGCATCACCGCTTCGCGTATTCAAGTCCTAGCCATAACGAAGCGACTTAGATGCAACTTGCCGAACGGTATCTCCAGCTCATCCAACACTAATGACCATAATTAAGTTAATCCCCCTTTTCCGACGGTGTGTGAGTATGATTCCTTCCTTTGCCTACTTTTATATCGTATGTATACTGGCCATACACGCAAAAGCACGGTGTGCAAGCACATCGCTAATGTTTCGAGGTCTCCATGACAAGCCGTGCGTTTTCATTACGCCCAAGAATACAGTCACCAAAGCTTTATAGTACTCGACTCCATCACGACGTACGGTGTCAAGGTCACAGAAACGTCTCCCTCAAGCAGTCTCATTGGCAGTTGATACTCGTCACATGACCTGCCCGTCTCCTCACCTCACGTCTACTCAAAACGCCCCAAGCCCAAACTCACTCACCATGACAAACCCAGCTCACAATCGGCATCGCAATCCAGTCAAGATGTTCGCAATCTGCCCCCCAGACCCCTCCGAGGCCCCTGCAATAGCGTCGATACACATATCCTCAATGTCCTCCAACCCCCTCCTCCCCCTCCAATTCCCCACGCCCGCCTCCCTCGCCGACCTTCACGAACACCTCATCTCCGACGCCCTCGACCACCTCGCGTACCGCCCGCCGCGGATCCTCGTCGCCCGAGCCAACGGCGCGGATCCCGAGTCTACGTCCAACCCCAGGGCCGGCTCGTCATCGGATACACCCTGCAGCGGCGGCGGCGGCAGCAGCAGCACAGTCGCCTCCTTTGCGAAATGGGACATTGTCCGACCTCGCCGCCGTCGCCATCCACACGCTTCTCCTCCGTTCCCTTCACCGCCGACGTCCGCGTCGGAACCCGCTCTCGGCTCGCGACGCTTAGAGTCGGGGAGGACCACAGCGGATGCGCGGCGGCAGCTCGACGTGGGCGATGCTCTCCTTTCGCATCAACACCACCACCAGCAGCGAGCGGAAGGAGCGGAGGAGTTGGAGCATGGCCAACAAACGGAGAGCGACGATGACGAAGACGGGGAAGAGTGGCCTGCCTCGGCGAACCGAGAGTATCTCGCCGCCTACGACTCCGCCGCATCGACAGAACGCAGGAAGTTGATGGGTTCGCGGCCTTTTCTCCGTGAGTCGATTTCGGTCCTTTCCTTCTCTTGCCGCACGTCTGCACTGTGATCTAAAAGCACGTCTGCCTCTCGCTCGTCGGATATACCATCTATCCCAAGCACACCGGCGGTTTCTTCCCATTATCGCACCCCGTCTGCTCCCCGATCCCGGTATTTCCCATTACGTGAAATTTTCGGGGAAACTCGTGTCGTTCGATAGGCATCCACCCTTCCCCATCCCCATCCCCCTCTACCTGCCGTAACCGGTATCCATATCTTGCCTGCCCCCCTTCCGAGAGCGCCGCTGGTGCCGTATCTGTCTGATCAATGTTCATGGCGCGCCCCAAACCTTGTCGTCGGCTCCGACCTCGGTGTTTGCAAACACGTGTGGGCCCACCTCCGCCCAACGGGTTCCCGAGAAAGCCAGATCCCAGGCCATCGGCTGTTTTTGTTCCGCTTCTAGAACGCCAGGTTGCTGATTGTCATTTCGGTGACATCTCCGCGGGAACCACACTTTTTGTTCCCATTTTCAATGCCACGTACGGATGGAACGTCTGCAACCCATCTACGACGCAAGGGCGCTAGTATTGAATCTCAAATGCTAACGTTTCATGGGTCTCCTCCGCCGGACCGGCGTGTTTGGCGCCGGGAGGCCGGAGATGCCCGATGGTTCCATTTAGATCTTACCTTCCTCTGCACCGACTCCCGGTTCCGAGGGCGCGGCGTAGGAACGGCGTTGATGAAAGCTGTTACGGAGGTCGCAAGGGCCGAGGGCCTCCCCGTGTTCCTCGAGAGTACGACAGACGCTGTGCCCTTTTATGAAAGGCTGGGATTCGTGAGGACTGGACGTTTCCGGATGAATATCCCGATTAATAGTCCATCAAATCCGACAGAGGGAGTTTACGAAGAGGTCTGTATGGTTCTTGAGTAAAAGTCCACATGGGTTGGCGGGCTATACAATCACAATGTGCCCCCCATACGAGAAACACTTTCAAGACCCAAGGTGAATCTGTTTGTTGCCATAACTGAGTCGAAGATCGACGCAGTGCGAATCGGATGGACCTGCAAATATCAGCAGACATGCCCTTATGAGTGCATCATGTGCGGGACGTAGAGCGCCGGCCCCTTCCCACCTCCTAGTGGACGTTGTCGCCCCTCCCCTCCTCTTATTGGATTCGCATCACCCGAGACCTGTTTGCTTGAGCATCGAGAGCGACCGAGTAGGGTAGGTCAAACACGCCCAGGCCGCCCTCGATGCATCGCTGGATTCGATGACCAATTGCAAACCTAAGATCAACTAGCAGCACCTTATCCTGAGGATAGTTGTTCACCGGTTTAAGGTTGGCGTTAGTGCTACTTGGAAGCAGAGCGGTGAACACGACCTAATTTGATGCGATTTCCTTTGCAAATCTGGTTCAATATGCTGTTTAGCCAGCGGCAATCGTGGCAGCAGTGGCACACGGAGATTCAAAGCCCTCCGAGTGTAGCAAGGCAAGCCATTGTGGCATTGTCGAATCGCAAGTGGAAGGGATGGGCCTATGCCTCAAGATCGCAGAAACCACACGACTACCAGTTGCAGCAATGTTTGCGATGTGTTATTTTCTGCCACATCACATGTGAACTGCTGTTATGGTTATGGAAATGCCTATTTTGATCTCGTGGCCTCAGGCCGCAGAAGGGACAGCCAGGTTACATCTTCACCTGGCGGGAGCTGCCGCATGGAAGAAATAGGCAGTTGATGACTCGACGTCCAACTTGGTAGGAGCTCGTACGCCTCCTGCACCGCCCGACGGCCCCCGGAAACGCTAGCGATAGAGCCGCCGGGCTGGCATCGTGAGTCTAGCGGAATTTGGAGTTCAATGACGTAAGTACCGGCTGGGCAGGTCGAAGACCCCTGTATATTTTAGGCGCTGCTGGGTTAAGGGTGTGATAGGTGGGAGAGTCTACAATGCGGCGCGACGTATGGAGTAGTCCCCCACGCACGGGGGACGTGTCTCTTGGGAACGGCTTGTGGCTTGCGGATTGTTGAGGCGAGGCGGTCGGGAGACGCAGAATGCAGGGATTTGTGGGGGGTTCCCGCAAGGGAGGGTGGGAGAAGAATGCCAATCAGTCTTGGGAGGTTGTCAAAATGGTCATTCTGTCGCGAGAGGTCAGAAGGCGGCTGAGCACGAGGGTCGATTGGGGGCTTTTTTCGGCAGGTGAGCCGACGTGGCAGTTTGGACTCAAGATAAACCGGATGATATTGGGTAAGAGAGGTTGGCAAGAATGCCGTTTGGTCCAAGGTGGCGGCAGGATGAGCGTACCTAGTGGTGTGGGTTAGCCAAGACCATGGATAATATATGGATAGACTTGTTGGTGGATGGTTGTGAGTGTTTTTTTAGGCCCTGGTCGCGTTGCTCGCCTGTGCGTGCATGCGTGCGTCGTGTGTGATGCCGACGGCAGGACAAAATCGATATCCAGTTTTGTGAGATTTGCATGGTTGGCATGATGAGCAGCGAAACAGGGCCGATGATTCGCAGGAGACCAAGTGCCCCGCAACCCCGCGTTACCAAGAACTGAGGGCTGGTCCACCAGATCTGGTTTTGGCTTTTTCCTCGAAAACCTGTGGTTGGAGTTCCCGAGCCCCTGAACCGCCCTCTGTTTGGGGCTGCAACACGGATACAGCGCAGCGCCTGCCGAGTGTCTCTTGGGTGTCGAGCACAACTGAGAACAAATGGCATCGGAGGCAGGTTGCGCGCCTGCGTCCTTGGTCTCGAGTCCTCGTGTGTGGCATGTCGGTGGAAGAAAACAGTCGTGTGGACCGAGTCACCGACGGCGTAGAGTTGGATTCGATGGAGACAGCAGGACCAGGCGGAGAGGGGGGAAAGGAAGGTGACAGGACAGGGGCGATAGTGCCTCAGGGACCTTGCGGCGCAACGGCGGACCGGCGGTGATTTTAGCGTGGCATATAGAAGCCCATCCGTCGTGTCATTTGTTGGACGATCGGTGGCCGTGACTGTGCTCGTATGTAACGGAAACCACAGCTCTGGTATGGTCTGGTCTGGGTGTCTGGTTCCTCTGGCAGCTCACGTGGCATGCTTCCAAGCAAGCAACAGCGCTCCGAGGATGGCGGTGGTGAATTCGCGTCTATGTGCGCTCAAACTCGGCGTTGAAGTGCATATGTCTTAGCAGCTCCTGGGCTCATGGATGAGGGATGATGATGTTGACGGTGGCCCCCATGTTGGACGTTGCGTCGCAAGAGTATCCCTCCTCCGAGGGGTTGCTTGGGTGATTAGCGGGTCTTTGAAGGGGGCTGTTGCTGGTACACTACTGTAGCATGCCAGCCATTAGCAGTTTGTTCATCAGGCTGCATGCGACCGACGTTGGACATGCTGGTGGTATCACAAGGTTGGGTGCGGTCCGCGCAACAGCGATATCAGCGCAAGTGTTGCCGTCGCGTAACGAAGCGCGGGCTGTACGGAAAGGTAGAAGTGAGGAGAATGAACGAAAGAGAAGAGGTAGCGAAGTCTGACTCGGCAATATCCAACTGTTACGTTATAGGTACTGCGGCGCTAGTCCTGAAGCGACTACCGCCAAGTTTTCTATAAGGTAATGGGAGCCACTTCTCTAAAGGGGTGGGGCCCGCTCTTGCACCATAGGCACCTACCTAGGCAGTCTGGCAGACTGCGGGAAGGCGGTACCGCTGTACTGTGTAGGTATACCAGTGCGCTACAAGCGCTCGTAGGGATGCAAGGCGGTGACTAAGCTGCACAATGGTAGTGAAAGAGGGTGGGTCCGAAGTTTCGCCCGAGTACCGCCGACTCGGATCTTGCAGCTGAGTGGAGCACCGGACTGCGGAGCTTGCTGGGAGGGGGGAGGGGCACGCACACACACACACGCTCACGCAAGGCCAGGCGGGTGCAGGCTATCTTACCCGCTACGGAACAAGCGACGAGGGATGAGGAGACGCGGGACCTGAGAGTGAGGTGAAATATATGAGACGTGATTTGCCCATTTATCATTATGTATTTCCGTCTCGTAGCATCTTTCTAATTCTCCCGCCCCGGAATGGACAGAGATAAGGCCGCACGCATCAATGGCCAATGTCTCGTGCGTCCTCTATCTCTCCGTCCCTCCGGGCCCCACGTCGCTGTCACTGCCAACCCACACAACCAACCACGCACACATTTGCTCTCTCCCTCTCCCTCTCCATCCCAAGCCGGTCCCTACCTAGTAGCGGTTCCCATAGCTGAACTGCGAAATGCCATGTGCTTTTGTGGAGAATCTCCCTCTCTCTCTGTCTCCCTAACCCAATCATCAACGTCTCTGTCCATCCAAAAGAGTGCAGACTTCACGCTCTCGCTTTGGCAGAATGTAACGAAAACGTCCACCCTTTTTTAGCCTCGCGCGCCTTCAACCACCCACCCCTCCCCCAATTGTATTCGTCCCTGTAACGATGCAATTGCTATCAACCGTCTAGGACGTCGTTAGACCTGGACTTGGCCGACTAACACTTCTCGGTTCTTTCGTCTACTTTGGTTCTTCGGGTGCCTCCTTTGAGCGATAGGCCACTTGGTCACTTTCCTATTGATTTCCGGTCTTTTCTGTCACCACATCTCGCTACCTTTTGCGCTTTCGTCTCTCTTTCCCCCCCCGTCGCCGCATCGACGCGCGCCTTGTCGTTCAATTCCCGGAAGCCAAAAGGTGGTTCGTTTCTCTGCCATTGGACATCCTCAACTTGGCTTTTTCGACACTTGCCCCATGCAGGGCGAAGCATAGCCCCGTCGACCCTGCTCTCGTTCTCTTCCGTTGCCCTGTTTCTTACCTTGTGTTCGTTAGCTAGTTCCTCTGTGTCATATGTCACCGACACGCACGTTTGTTGCTTGTCTCCTAAGACTTTGATACCGAGGCCATGCCTGTCCAGCGGTCTGTCTGCAGCCTCCCGCTCCAACGCGTATCCTGACGGGGTCGGTGAAGGTCATGGAGAGGAGGGACAAGAGGGTGAGGCCATGCCCGTCCCATCCCATCCCATTCCGACCTGCCCTATCCCTTCCCGTCCCATCTCATTCGATTGTTCATGCCCATGCCCTTGGTCCCCATCTTGATCCCCGTACCCCATCAGACCAAGGTTTGGGCCTTTCTCCTTCATGTCTTTTTCGGTCTCTTGGTCCGCCACTGGGCCCTCGAGTCGGCGCCCGCCGGCCAGTCAGTCACTGCTTCGCCTCCCCTTGCAACACACCCCCTTCCGCTCTCTCTCGACATCTACCAACGCGAGATGTACCTGCCATATAGAGCGAAGGGGGCGGTAACAAAATGCGTTACCTTAAATTTCTTACCTGCCTTAAGGCTCTGCATGTAGCTCGCCGGCGGTCAGGGAAAGTTAGAGTCTGACTCTTTGCTTGAATCCCTCCAATCCTACGCAGTACATGTGCTGTGCTTGCTGTACCCCATCCAAGCCAGATCCCGCTGCGAGGCAGCCCTTGTAGTTTTATTTAGTCTTTGGGTCTTCGGTTCTTGGAGAGACGCGACGCAACAGTCGATCGAGGCTGATTGAAGGAGAGGAAGACATGAAGAGGGGCCGTCGCAAGGGGAACCCATAACCCGTTTGGCATTCGCATCCCCCCGGATGTATGGGTTTTTTTCCTCCTTCTGTGGTTGGGCTGGGTACTGGTAGTTGAGGAGAGCATCCGTTTTGCTCTTTCTCTTACGCATACCCTTTAACCTCCTTGGCCTCTCGTCTCTCCTTTTCTCTTTCTCCCTCTTACTCTTTCTCTCTTCATTTCTCCCTTTCCTCCCCTTTCCTCCCCCGTTCTCTCTCTTTCTCTCTCTGCTCACACTACCCATCATCCTCGCCACCTAATCCCCATAAATTAATATTGTTCCGTCTCCAACAAAACGGCCGGCTCCAAAACCGATTGTCCAAGGGGTACGGTGCAAAGCGCGTCCAATAATGGATACTTGAAGCGCCAAACCACAAGAGACATTGTCCTCTTACATATACGTCTTTCCCCGACCCAATGACACCGATAAGCCAGGCTTATCTCATCCTTGCCTCCATCGTCACTTGAACCCACCGATATCGATCCATTAACTCCGCCCATCCAATCCCAAGGTTCTGTTTCTCCCGGGCCCCAAAGTCGGCCCTGCATCCGCACCCCCCAAAAAATACAACCACAGCCAGTGTTTCCATCACCAAAAACGGGCGCAAATCAAACCGCCTCGCCCACTCCCAACTGCGGCCCCTCCGCGACCTTATCTCTTGCTATCCCCAAGGGACTCAACCGACAGCGCACCCCTCAGACTTCTGCATCCCACCCCAGATCTAACCAAGGGACCACTCCTTGCGCTCAAGGAAAAGACCAGGAACTCGAGTCTAGCTTGTGCCGTTTCTAATTCCCGTTGCCGCCTTATCTCGTACCCCCTTCGCACGCGACCCAAGGAAAAGATACATACTCACATCCTACCTGCGGACCGATACCTGTCGGCTTTCTACCTAACACACAATACTTGCGTGGTCTTTGTTCCGCACCTTTATCCTACGTAGTCTCAACACCAGTCCCCATCAGGCACGTCGAAACCTCGCAATCGCTACCGGTCGTCGTCCGTCTGTCGCAACTTGCCCACTGCCACCTTCAGACAGAGCAGTCTTATCTCGACCGGTCTCGGCGCGCCGTGGTCTTATCTGACTCTGTGCTGGCTCGTCTGCTGTTTTGTGTTACAACACAGGCTCACCTACCAGAACCCAGCGAGATCGAATTACCGCTCACCAACCAATCTTGTTTGCGGATCCTGCATTCGTGCTACGCACACAATTTTGCTTCTCATCTGAGCTCGCCCACAGATATCATCTTTTTGCTATCGACTCCTCGGTGGCGATCCCAAGACCAAACGGGCCAGGAACATTACATCACTTGCATCTCGTCTGCCGCACGCCGTGGGTCGCATTGCCCAGCTCTCATCCCGGCGAGTGTGCCAGCCTTTTTGCTTCTTTAGCCATTCAGGAAGCCTATCGTCCTATCGCCGTCTTCATATCTCCGGTCAACCCTAGGAGTAACTCACGCCCGCTTCATACCCCCCAATCTCCAGACCAGACCAGACCAGACCAGGGCCCGGGGCCCCGTCTTGACGAGCCGGGTCCGTCCGTCTGTCTCCCCTGCGTCGGCCCAGCCCTGTCCGTATATACATAGCTTTCTGCTGCCACGCGCCTGGACTGCCCATCATGTCCAACCCAAGTACCGTCATCAGGACGGCTCCAATCGCCATCGCACCTAAGCCTCCCCGTCGCCAGAACTCTTATCGGCAAGATAGCTTTGCGAACCTCGAGCTTTTCCGCGGCAGCATGCCTGGAAGGGAAATCGCCGAGTCTGTTGGCTCCTACACAACTCGGTCTCTCAGCCCTTGCGAATCCTGCCAACGGTCCAGAGTCAAGTGCATCGTGAGCGAGGACGAAGATAGCTGCATACCCTGCCAAGCTAGCGGCTCCGACTGCTCCCTGCTCAACAGTCCTCAGCCAAGGAAACGCAAGCTGAACGGCGACTTCGACGACAGTGGTAAAAGAAGGTCAGTCAGCCGATTTTCCCGCTCACGCTGTTCGTTCCCTTCCCCTTTCCTCCCCTTGAAACACACATACACACATACACATACACAGCGCGTGTCCCCCTCCTACAGCGTACTTGTTCCTCCCCGACAGAGCTTGGTCACCTTCCCTTGTCCCTTTCTCATTTTGCGCCCGCTCGATGTTTCTTGGGCCGCTATAGGTGCACGCCGCAGTCAGGGGGCCACGTCTGATAACGAACCTTAATCTCTGACACGTGATTGGCCCATTAGTTCACCAGCCAGGACCGATATCAGAAGGCGAAGGCAACACCAGCCCAGCCTCTCCAGCACCACCGGAAGCAGCTCTTTTCTTGAAGACATGGCCAACGTCGGAGGCCCGACTCTGTTGAAGCGGACGCTGGGTCTCCAGAGTGATCGCTACAGTCAGTATATTGGACCGACGACCGACTTCGAGCCTTCTCTCATCAACCTTTCCCCTTTCAACCCCCAGGATGAGAGCCTCTTAGCACGTGGCACGCTGCGGAAGGTCAGTGACGACGACACGTTTCTCCTGCTACCTGACTTCAACACGCCGGGCCACGAGCACGTCCTCGAAGATATCGAGGAGATCGAGAACCTCGTAAGGCCCCACGGCCGTAAGCTGGTAGACTTGTATTTCCGTATCGTCCATCCTGCCTTCCCGATCATCCAGAAGACCGTCTTCCTGGAAAAGTACGAACGCAGCTACCGCGAGTTCTCGCCCTGTCTACTAGCCGCCGTCTACCTGTTTGCAATCAACTGGTGGGAGCAGGATGAAGAGCTCGCGCAGGTTCCTCGTCCGAACATTCCCAACTTGGAACGAATGATCCGCACAACTCTGGCTGATGCCATGTACCGACCGAAGCTGTCTACCATCCAGGCCGGTCTTCTCCTTTCCCAGCGGCCTGAGGGCGACCAGTGGGCTCCCACGGCCCAGCTCGTCGCTATCGCCCAGGAACTTGGCCTTCATCTCGACTGCACGCATTGGAAGATACCACCTTGGGAGAAAGGGCTGCGGAAACGCCTTGCCTGGGCTCTTTACATGCAAGATAAATGGGGGTCCCTCGTCCACGGTCGGCCCTCGCACATCTTCTCCACCAACTGGGGCGTGCAGGCGCTCACGTCGCACGATTTCCCCGACGTGGAATGGAATGAAAACGATGTGGAGGAGAAGCTGGAAATCGAGCGCGGCCGCACTCTCTTTGGCCAGATGGTACAGTTGTCGCAAATATTGGCCGAGATTCTCGACACCTTCTACTCGTTGCAAGCCATGCAAACCGTAACCAACGCCGGCGGGCAAGGCACGCACTTAGTCCTGGGCATGGCTAAGCCGATCCAGTTGAAGCTCAAAGAGTGGTATGCCAGCCTGCCAGCAGCAATTCGCATGGACAACACGTACTCGACGAATCCAGCCCCCTCGAGCCGCTTGTCGAGCATAGGATACCTTCACCTCGCCTACTTCGCAGCCGAAATCACCCTCCATCGTCGCATTATTCGCTCGCTCGAAGCCACCGGATCGGCCGTCGACTCGTACGTTCAGCACATTTGCCGGAGTGCGGCAAAGGCGCGTCTCATATCTGCCATGGACTTTGTCAACCGCTTGAACTCGACCCACCTGCGCTCGTTTTGGTATTTCGCTTCCAAGACCAACTTTGCCCTCATTGGCACTTTTGGATCGCTTTTGTGGGCAACGTCGCCGGGAAGAGAAGAGGCAGACTGGTACCGAAGGCGTTTGGGAGAATACCGCTGGACACTCTCCGTGAGCTCGAAGCCTGGCGAAGGCAAGGGCCTGACGGAATTCGCCATGACTATGCTCGACATTTCGACCGGTCTCCTCAAGAAACTCCCCGAGAAGCCGTCGATGAGCCGGAGTGGTAGCGTTGTAGAAATCGGACCTGGCAGTATGAGCAGTAGCTATGCTGGCAACGGTTTGCTTGCCTTGGGGCAGAGCGCACCGCCCGCGATGACTCTAGGAGGCTTCAGTGGGTTCCAGAGTGCCGATGTGAGCAACGTGCAAAGTCCGATGAGCGACGACAGCAGCGACGACGAAATGTACGAGACTTTCGCTCCGACAGCGGGCATGGCGGGTTTGACCGAATGAACGACGCAACAGCTGCGTTCGGGGCGGGAAGCCAAAGAATAATGACAATACGAAGAGACGACACGCTCACTTGAGTAGACATCCTCCGAGATGGTCTGTAACTGTGGAAATGGGTGGTCTTTTCTTTTGGAGGGAAAATGGTAGTGCATAATGATCTGCGGGATACCACGGGGTACTGGGCGGCGGGCACATGACGATGTTGGTAAAAAGCCGCAATGGCGAGAACGGAGGAGGAAGGAACGTCCCGCCAGCCACAACCCCTTCTTGATGACATTTGGACTTTGTGCTGTTGTTTTGGGATCGACGATGCAAACGGAACGAACCGTTATTACCGGGTGTCGGCGCAACCTCTGGGGGATTTACACCGTCCATCAATTTTGAGCGGAAAAGCAGGGATATAGCATCTTTTTTTTTCTTTCTCTGGATGTTGAGCGATCCATACATCCCGGCATAGGTTGTAGAGCTTTTGGATATGAATGATATACCTTGACGTCTTGTGATGGTTTGTGTTGACGTACCTTGATGTCCTGCCTGAGAGCTTATGTGGTATGATGTGACAGAATGTGCGATGAGATTTTTGAACCACGTCCTGTAATCATCCTCAAAGAGGAATGGCAAGACCTCAAGCGGTGTAAGCTCGATGGCGAGCTGTGTCGGCCGTGAGTCGCTGGAATACCGGCAACGGTTGTGTCACTTGTGTCTGCTGCTAGACTCAAGTCTTCAGATGCTGGCATCGAATATCGGAATCCGTCCTGAGGCTGTAACTCTTTGACATGTGCTGGCTCGACAGTGTGTTTTTGTGTGTGTGCTTGTTGCTTGACTGGTTCTTGTCTGTTGTGAGCGGTTCAGCCGGGTGAGCCTTGCGAAGTCGCTGCCGTTGTAAACAAGGTAGGTCAAGATCGTATCAGCCCTTGTCGTCCTTCGATGTCTGTCTTGCTTGGACGCACGGTATATTCCAGGTGAGAGGGCAGATGAGGACGGAAGATTCGCTCTCGTAGACCGAGGTTGCGCCTTTTGCCGTATCGTCGAAGCCTGCTCACTGTTTGGGTAGAGAGCCGGCGGTCGTCAAAGTGCTCCGTGCCAAAAACCACCACACCTGAGCTCTCGGCGTGCGGCTGGGACGCAACATTTCTGGTTGGTCATTGCCACCATACCGTCGTCTCACCGTTTCTCCTTCGGATACTCATTCTATATAGACGAAGATAACGACCAACGAAGTTGCTGAGATAGTCTGAGGAGTAGCCAGTTTTAGTTTATGCCTCTAGCAGAGACACCTAGGTCCAACAAGCAGACTTCGTAGGAGTACCTGCCTATGGATGAACTTCTGCACTGCAGAGGAGTACTGACGAAAGTCCGAGGCAAGAAACAGTACTGAGAAACCCGACCTTTTCTTACAAAGGTATGGATCAGGGAGGAGAAGCCTCTTCCCGCAGGCGGTGTGTACCACTGACTATTGGTGAGGTATCCAAAGACCAAAGACCCCAAAACGAGCTTTCAGTATTGTATGAACCACAACAGCAGGCCATTTTGGTATTAGTGCTTCTAGGCTTGGAGGGAGTCGGGTACAATTCGCATGAATCTAATGCAGGGAGCATCGGCTCGAGCTGATGTATCGCATCCAGAAGTCGGTCGCTGGGGGTCTTCGTTGCCCTCCAGCTTCTCTCTTGTGGCAGTGTATCGGGTGCAGATATGGATGTTTGATCAGAGTGTTGCAATGATCGCGAGACCGTAGTTGCTCTCACCCTCTTGGCAGCAATCCATAATAAAGGCCAACAGCTGATGGTAGTTTCCTCGAGATCAAAGCGTGCCTCCTCACATTGGTGGTGAGCAGGGAATGAGATGGACAAAAGGCTGTACAAGTTGAGATTGTCACAAGGTCCTGAACTTTCTCAAAGTGGCTCCCAGGATGGAAAACGACGGCTCAAGTATTCAAGACCCAACCGAATCACGCAATCGATGGTGAAATTTGGCCACCAGTCTCGTCCTCAATGGGTGGCCATAACAATGTCACAAACCTGCCTGCTTCGGGTACGAAAGCATTGGCCTTACGCACGAGTCCAAAAAAAGAAAAAGGATATGTTTCGTGGCTGGCAGATGCCCTCGAATGAGATTCGCATATCAAGTCGCAGTCGGGTTACCAGAAGCAGCTTGCAGCCGTTTGGTGCATGACGGCTTGGGCGATCCCATACGGAACGGCTAAGACGGCACGAACCCCCCAAGTTAGTCAGCTATCAACATTGGCGGGCGTGATACTGTGTCGACTTTGGATTCAATCGTAATTATCTACGATGCTAAAGAATACGTTGCGGTCTGAAAGAGAAAAGGAGGAGAAGAAGTGGTCACAATCATTCAGTGAATACTCAAGAGTTACCTATTCCAGCATATTACATAATCCCGCTGCCCCGCGCTAGAGTTCCAGGCACGCGCCGCAAACACCCCACCATCTCCGAGATCCCACCGTCAACAACCACGGTCCCGAAAGAAACCCATCTCCGGCAAACATCGAAGTCCGCCGTCACCGCCGCCGCCGCCGCCGGTGCCGCCGCTCACGACAAAGTCTAACCTCTCTACCAACGTCAAACAAACCCCAAAACCCCCTTATCAAAAGCAAGCAAGCAGGTAACCACCCCCGACACAACCGCCCAAGATGCAGGGCTTCAACATGGGACGCTACGTCCCGCCCGACGTGGAGGGCACCACCTCGGGCAACAAGCTCCACGGCAAACACGCCCTCGGCGCGCGCGCCTCCAAGCTCGCCTCGTCCGGCATTCTCACTGTCCGCTTCGAGATGCCGTACGCCATCTGGTGCTCCACCTGCCCCAAGCCCACCATCATCGGCCAGGGCGTGCGCTTCAACGCCGAGAAGAAGCGCGTCGGCAGCTACCACTCGACGGCCATATGGCAGTTCCGCATGCGCCACGCCGACTGCGGCGGCTGGATCGAGATCCGGACGGACCCGCAGAACACGGCGTACGTCGTCGTCTCGGGGGCTAAGAAGCGGGACACGGGCGATGACGGCGACGACAACAACAAGACACCGAGGGAGGGAGAGATGGTCATCATGACGGACGAGGAGCGCCAGAAGCTGCGCAGCAGCGCGTTCGCGAGCCTCGAGAAGACGATCCAGGACCGCGAGCAGCTGGCGCAGGCGACGGAGCGCATCGACGAGCTCGAGGACATCTCTAAGAAGCGGTGGGACGACCCCTACGCGCGCAACAAGGCGCTGCGCAAGACGTTCCGCGCGGGGCGGCATCAGCGCGAGAAGGACGCCGCCGTGGGCGAGGCGTTGAAGGACAAGATGAGCCTGGGCATCGACCTCGTCCCCGCGACGGAGGAGGATGCGCGGAGGGCGAGACTGGTGGATTTCGGGCCCGGAGATGGGGACGCCGGTGATGCGGGTCACAAAGCGCTTGCAAAGCCTCTTTTTTCTTCGACGGCGCCGGCGGCTGTGGACGGGAAGACGAAGACGAACGGCAAGGCGCTGCCCAAGGGGACGCCCAAGGCGGAGGTGCTGGCGTCCAAGAGGAGGGAGGACATTGTGTCCGAGATTGTCGGGAACACGCGAATGGCGCGAGACCCGTTTCTCGTGGAGCCCAAGACGGAGCGGACGCCGGCAAGAATCCCCGGCTTGAAACGGAAGCGCGGCGTGGAGGAGAAGGAGGAAGAAAAAGAAAGGGAGAGGCCGAAAGCTATTGATGATGGTCGGCCGAGTTCGGCCCCCTCTAAAGCATTGGTGGGGTATGATTCCGAGTCGGACTGAAGGGCTTTTGGTCGGATCAGAAGGCGTTGTGTTTTTGGGAATTTTGGATTAGATAAAGATACCCCAGGCTTGGATTTACGTGAGTAAAGATGCTAAGGCCAACATTAATGACACAGCTACGCCCTGTAGAGGGTTTTCAGGCCAATTCGTAGAGCAAGTGGATGTGGGCAACTGCATGTCTCGCTGGCTCGGAGTTGGCGAGGAAGTACAAGGGCGGACCCTCGCTTCTGAACCCATGAAAATGTTGACAAAGTAAAGTCACATGGCAGCTATAGTTACCAGCGTATACTGTTTGCGAGCGTAATCATTTACTACTACCTGATGGCCCCGAAGCAACTGGACCAACTTCCTCAAATAGCTAGGGCTTCAATCTGGAGCAGCATACGTGTGCTAGCACGCATCCCCGTCAATATCGGCCAAGTCTCGTTATCTTGAGGTATGACAATCATCGTAATCCGGTAACGATCCCGTCCTGTTTCGTCTCGTGTAGAAAACTCCAAAAGTTGATTTCCCATAATGCCCTGCCTTATCCCTTGACACAAAAAAAAAGAAGAAGAAAATAGAAAATAGAGACTCCCGGCTGCCAACTTCTCTCGGTAGAACAGGAAGTGTATGAGAATGTAAAGACCAGTCGAAACCCGGGGGATATAAGTCTCCTGCGACGCCATTTCCATGAATGCTCTTCCAGCCGAGGTTCTCTTCCAAGCCATCTGCGTCTTCATACATCGTCCAGTCGCCCCGCAGGCTCCTCGTCGTCGTCCCCGAAACTGCCCACGGAGGACATGTCATCGTCGTCATCGCTCTCGGCGCCGGCCTCGTCGGCGGCGTCTTTGCTCGCGTACTTTTGAACGTATTCTGCACTCCCCTTGTCAGTGAAGTTTCTTTGTAAGTTCCCCTGCTTATAGGTATTCCACACGCACCCTTTACTTTCGCGTCATAGCTTTTGGGTTCCCTGATCATCAAAGCAGCCGCCTCGCCATTAAGGGGGTCCGTCGGGTTCGGATACCGGAGTAGCTGGGGCAGGAAGACCTCGAAAATATTGATCATGTCAAACATGGGCGACCACGTCTGGTTGATGACGTCCAAGCAGACGGAGCCCGATCTACGCGGTTTCCCCAATCAGTTCCTGGCTCTGTATTTCGGAATCCGGTATAAAGTCTCTCCCGAATGTTGAATACTCACAGCTCGTCAATGTTGGGGTGGAAAATGCGGTTAACGAATCCGATACTCGGTGACTTGTAGGGGTACTGGTCGGGGAGTTCGACGTGGACCTTCCAAACGCCGCCTTCGAACGGAGCTGCGCAGTGTCAGTATGGTAAACTATTGTCTATTGTTGTTTGACACTGACTCTCGGTAGGCCCCTTAAATCGCACGTAGAACTCTTGCCTGTGTCGAGTCGTTAGGGTAGGAGAATGTCGATGAATGAGAATTGACCTTACACTTGGGCGTGTTAGTCGTAGCAGCTCCACGAGCTTCAGAACGGTGCCAAGAGAAAGGAAAACTTACTGTTATCATTTACCAAAGTGACCTCGTAGTCACTCATCAACCTGCACGAATCAGTATAAGAAGAACAGGGTGGTTCATCAGCGGTTCGCACATCCTAGATTAGGTTAGCTAGGTGTCAACGATGTGGCGTAACTTGGGCGTTTGTACTTCATGACCTGGAAGAGAGGCAGCGCTGTCAGTCTCCTTGAGGTCTCATTTAAGTACGAGTTATGGAAGGCGGCATAGTCTTACATCAGTCTCGATTCTTCTGCGTGGGCTACTCATCTTGTCGGTTGCGCGCGGGGAGTTCGGAGAACGGGAGGGTTGGCAGTCGGTTGTAGATCGTTCGGAGAAAGATGGTTCGTTGTTCGCGCAAAAGTCGTAGTATGTCAAAGTTGCGTCGTGCAGTATCGCTTCAGCGCTGGTATCGAGAGGGGTGTGAGTCAAGATTGGTCTTGATGTCGAAAGGAAAGATGTTGGTTGCAAAGAGGGGAGGATGAGGTCGGGTCGGGTTCCTGACGCCAAGTCACGCGCAATGATGATGTGGGCGATCCCGGACCATTGCTGATAAGTGTCAGCGATAGGGGGAAAGGTGGGCCCGAAGATTAAGCGGCTAGACTCGGATCTCTCCAGGCTAGCCAAGTTATCCAGTCTGGAAGGGGAGGGGAGGGTTGACTAAGACAAAGCAAGACAAAGCGAATCTTGCTTTGTCGCAGGAACAATACCCACGGCTACATGGAGAGGTTGGGGAAGTTGGAGTCCTCAGGGCTACTGACAAACTGCTACCCACTTGCATCCGGGAAACGGGATTCAGCATTCCTTGGACACAGCCTAAAGGCAGTATGAAGCGCGCCATGGTGGTTGCATGCACGCAATCCCGGCTTGAGTCAACTTACTCAGTCACACTCATAAGCGCAAGATCATCAGGCGTCTCGACTCATGGAAGCCTCGAACATGATGTAATCACTCTCCGCCAGACGACAACGGCATCAGGGCCCGTTCCGCTCAGGGACGCCGTGGCCGCCATGTTTGTTGGTGTCGTCTACAGGGAACAACCCGCCGTGTCACGACAGTACGGATGCATACGCGGTACCGATGGTATTGTAGCTGAAGGTGATGAACCGGTTGTCACAAGCCAGCAAGAAGAGCACCGTATATCGTCCGGCTCTAAACTCACTCCCATTATCCCAGCTATTCCCAGAAAGAGAAGTATCCTGGTAGAGATTCGCTCCGTGTTGATGAATACGACGACCGGCAAATGCGGTGTTGTCGTCAGAGTTGGCCCGTCGGGTTCTGCGGCAAAAGGCCAAACAAGAACGTGCTCGTCGAAAGAGTCAGGTCACGCGGAGACCACGCCTGTAAGCTGAAGTTCCTGCCCAAAGACCGATCTGGGCTAAAGGGAAACCTTGTGCTCCCCCAGCGTCGTCCCTGCGGAAGACCGAGATCAGATAGTATGCCGCCGGGCCCGAGGCAAAGTTGCCTCGGTCTTGGCTCCAACATGGGCTCTCAGCGCAGACTCTGGTACAGAGTACAGAGGGAGGCAGCGCCCTAAAGTGCACCGTAAAGCACAGAACAGCTCACTAATCTCTGGTGGGAAAAGACGTGGAGCGGTGGGGGGAAAGGGAGCGGACGTGCCTCGGCGCCTCGACCAACACTGGCCAATAGCGGAGGCTTCTTTGTGTTGGACTAGACCCCGTTTCCTGGGACTTCCACCTAACTAAGGGCGTGTCTCCACTTTTCGCTTTCCCATCGAAGCGGCGGGAACGAAACACCACTGGTAATTTTTGGAGATACTCAATTCTACGCAGCAAAAACCATCATGACTTGGACAATAAAACATGCGCTTCGCCCTAAACCCAATCTCTTCCCAAAACTTTCCTCTACATGAAAAAATCGCCACGCGATCAATACAATCGAGTTTGCATCTTCACGTTACCCTTTTTTTCCGCACTCGCGCATTGCATCTAGACACTGAATTCTGTACTCTGCCAAAAAGGTACTTGGCCTCACACATGTCTCTCCCTACTATTCGAAGTACCTGTCTGAGGTCGTGTGCCCCCATGATGAGAGGCACGCGACCTTTAACCGCAGCGTCCCTGATGCGGCCCGCCTATCCCGCTCTGATGCGACAACCCCAGATGCGACACAGCTCGCATTCCCCCATGGGCACTCCTGCTGCGAACCAGAGAAAGAAAGTCACCATTGGTTCCCTACGCAGTCTGTACAAGAAGCGCGAGCCAATTACAGTCATCACAGCCCACGACTTCCCAAGCGCCCACGTTGCTGATCATGCCGGCATGGATATCATCCTGGTCGGCGACAGCCTGGCCATGGTTGCGCTTGGCATGGAAGACACGAGCGAGGTTGTGGTTGAGGAAATGCTGCTTCATTGCCGCTCGGTTGCAAGGGCTACCAAATCCGCCTTCACTGTAAGTGCACCCTGAACCCCCAACCCCTGAACCCCCCTTCTGATCCAGAACCACCAGGTTGGCGATTTGCCTATGGGCAGCTATGAGATTGCCCCGGAACAGGCCTTGGAGACGGCCATCCGCTTTGTCAAGGAGGGCCGAGTCCAAGGTGTCAAACTCGAGGGCGGCAAAGAGATGGCCCCCACCATTCGGAAGATCACATCTGCGGGTATTCCTGTCCTTGGCCATGTGGGATTGACACCGCAACGGCAGAACTCCTTGGGAGGTTTCAGAGTCCAGGGCAAAACATCCAACGGCGCTCTCAAGCTCCTCGAGGATGCACTGGCTGTGCAAGAAGCTGGCGCATTTGCTATGGTCGTTGAAGCTGTCCCAGCCGAAGTGGCCGCACTCATCACGGAGAAGCTGTCGATCCCCACTATTGGCATCGGCGCAGGCAACGGTTGCTCGGGCCAGGTCTTGGTGCAAGTCGACATGACCGGAAACTTCCCTCCCGGCCGCTTCTTGCCCAAGTTTGTCAAAAAGTACGGCGATGTCTGGGGCGAGAGTCTCAAGGCCATCGAGACCTACCGCGATGAGGTGAAGAGCCGACAGTACCCTGCGCCGGAGCATACATACCCTATTTCCAAGGAGGAGCTCGAGGCGTTCTCCAACACTCTGGAGAAGTTGTGAGAAGCTGTTGACTGTCAGCTACTAGAGCATTGCATAGCATTAGATTCGGGGCTGCATTACTGGTGTTTGGGGGGTTTGGAGGCGGAGGCATTTGCATCGTTTAACCAGACGTTGGATACCATTTAATAGCGTACTTGCTCAATTTCAGCCAAAGGCTGGGTTCATAGCGTAAGAAATGACAAGCTGGCCGCTTGAGTCTTTGAAACACTGTTACCATATGTCAGCAAGCAGCATAGTCGTGATATCGGCCCTGTCCGTTGCTTACGTTGTGCAAGTTGCCGACGATCTCGTCGAGAGAGGGCGCGAAAGAGTCGTTGACGTAGCAAAAGACGCTGTCTGTCTCTTGTAGCTTCAGCCTCTTGCGTAGATACCAGATGACAGTGTGGAATGTCTGGGTGGAGGAGATCTTGGCCACGCCCCGAGCGAGGGAAGGGGCGTTTCCGACAGCCTTGAACTTGACGACGACCTTCTCAGACGGGTATTCGCCGGCACTGGCCAAGGCGGAGGCCACGTCGCGGGGTTGAGCTGTTAGGATAGCTGAGGCGGACATGGTGAGCGGTATCTCGGGAGAGGCTGGGCGATCCGGGATGGTTGCTGGGACAGGCGAGGCCGAGCCTGACCTCGGGATGCCCGGTGAGGTGGGACTCGTCACCATTGTGGGGGCTTGTGTGTGATGGTTTGACGTCTACCGATGTAGATGTAACTGAGACACCAAGTGGTCTTGGGGTCGTGGTTGTTGTTCGGGCTGGCTTTTGCTATCGCTCAGTGTTGGCAGATTGCATACCATGAGGTGAGGAAGTGAAGCGTTGGAGAAGGCCTATTGCTGTCATGCTGAGTGTGAGTCCTGGCGGCAGGCGGACACGATTGTGGGGCACCATCCGCTTTGGCAGGTGCCTGGCCGGAGCCCCGTGAATGGTCACTTGCCTGCAAAAGAGCGTGCCCAGTGCGCTCTTCAAGGCACCCTTACCCGCTGAAAAGCGCCATGTGGTAGGGAACGAGCCGTTGGATCATTCTTCAGATCAACATGTTTTATGCAAACATGTCTTGCCCAAGCTTGCCATGTCAAGTAGTGGCAACCTGAGCAAACGGTAGCCTCCTGCTCAGCCAAGAACCTTGTTGTCCACGGATATGGACATGTGCCGAGACAACTGTTAGGACCGGCCGTTGCTGCAGCCTCTGCCTTTCGTTCGGCTTGTAAACACCTGCCTGAGAGACGGTGGCGGGACGGGAGCTCACGGCGAGACACTCGAAAGTGCATGACGATGCATGGGGATGGGATGCGACCACCGTTGCTTGTCCTTGCTGTGTGTGGCGCCGAATCGGTTGCTTCCGCTCTCACCGCACATTGCGTACCATCTGCAGATGGTGCGCAGAGCACTTTCCAGCTGCCATCGACTCAGGTGAGGAGTTAGCCGCCGAAAGGAAATGAAGGCAGGACACACTTGCTGTCCCCAGTCAGGCGGGCGAGGACGAATGAAAGAAAGTGGCGATATGATTGATCCAAACTGGGTATCGTTGCTGTTGCTGCTGTCGTAAGGGAATCCTGCACAAAATATGTGGAAGACAATGTTCGAATTCACCTATCCTTCCTTCTTCCTGCGCCACACTGTCACCAAACATCCTGCATCTGTTGGTGATTTACATCCATCTGTCCTCATCCACCTATATAACACGGCACTTCAAACATACCGCACTCTCTTCTCCTACACTATTCTGATCCAGTCGGGTATCTGCATCTCATTCTACAAAAGACATCATCCGTCCCTTCCGTCTCTCGACTTAGCCTGACACGCGTCATTTATTCCTCACACAACACTCGCAGAGATGACAATACCACCGGGTCCCGAGTTATCACACGCTTCGATCTTACGGGATGAACTGGACAAGCTGCGAGGCTTGCAGTATTCCAACACCAATCTTGCGTTAGACGGCGATAGTCTCGATGTTGCTACCGTAGTGGCTATTGCTCGACATGGACTCACAGCTCGCGTCAAGGACGACCCGGAAATCAAGAAGAAGGTTCTCCAAAGTATACAGGTCCTCGACCATCACATCAAGAACGGTTGGGTGGTATACGGCGTCAACACGGGCTTTGGCGGAAGTGCAGACTCACGAACGGAGCAACTCAAGAAACTCCAAATCTCTTTGCTTCAACACACGCAAAGCGCCATCATCACCTCCACAGACTTGGCCCAGGGTCAGGTCGATCAAGATGGACAATCACACGTCATACCCCCAGCTTGGGTGAAGGCCGCCATGGTCGTCAGAGCGAATCAAAACCTTCGGGGTCACAGTGCTGTCAGAATCGAGGTCATTGAAGCTTTACTCAGTCTCCTCCGCCACAACATCACACCGATGATACCCCTGCGAGGAACCATATCCGCATCCGGAGACTTGATGCCGCTGTCTTACATCGCTGGGACATTGATCGGGGACCCCAATATTTGGGTCACCGTCGGATCAGGCGACAACAGGAAGGTCATGACCGCTTGCGATGCCTTGAAGAGATGCGATGTCCAACCTGTTGAGCTCCAACCGAAAGAAGGCCTCGGTCTGATCAACGGAACTGCTCCCTCTGCCGCTTTGGCTAGTCTGGTCGTCCACGAGGCCAATCAACTCGCAGTGCTCGCTCAAGCTCTGACGGCTTTCACTGCTGAGTGTCTCCTTGGAAATGTCGAGTGGGCAAATGAGTTCATACATGGGATCCGGCCTCATGTTGGACAAGTAGAAGCAGCACGCAATATTCGAAGCTTCCTCAAGTCTTCTGACTTCGTGGTCGGTCTCGAGACCAAGAAGCGGACTGGACAGGGCCTGTGGCAAGACCGGTATTCGACAAGAACGGCACCACAGTGGATCGGGCCGTATCTCGAGGATCTCATGCTTGCGCAACGTCAAATCGAGGTTGAACTCAATTCAACATCCGACAACCCAGTCATTGACGTCGCCACAAGCAGTGATTGTGCTGCTGGAGACGTTTACTCTGGAGGCAACTTTCAGGCAACTGCCATCACTTCAGCCATGGACAAAACGAGAACGGCTCTCCAAATGGTTGGCCGCATGCTCTTTTCGCAATGCTCGGAATTAATCAACCCGGCAACAAACAACGGCCTCGACCCGAACCTGGTTTTGGGAGACCCTGACGAGTCCTACACTATGAAGGGCATCGACGTCAACATGAGCGCTTACATGTCGGAACTGGCCGCCCTTGCCCACCCCGTATCTTCCCACGTACAGTCGGCTGAGATGCACAACCAAGGTATCAACTCCCTTGCTTTCCTCTCCGGCCGAAGGACTATGGAAGCCGTTGATGTTCTCTCGCACATGTGCGCTGCTCACCTACTCGTGTGCTGCCAAGCGGCCGACTTGAGAGATTACCACGAAAGATTCCTCAGCTCGATTTCCGTCTCCAGACTGATGAATAAAAACAAAATGGGGCTTAGCAGTGTCCAGTTGGCGAAGCTGACGACTGGTCTGGACGAGTTGGTCCGAGTCTGGTGGAATGAGGCAAACAAGCTTGGCTATATGCAACGGTGCTCGGTCGTGGCCTCCAAAGTTACATCTCACGTCATGCAATTCATCATGCATGAATCAATCGACGTAGTATCGGTGAAGACTGTCATGGATGTCCAAGACGAGTTACGTCAGAGCATGGAGGCGTGGTTCAAGGATCAGTCCAACGACCCCAAGATCAACCATTTTAACTCGGAAGACACTCACGCCGCGTATCTCGAGGGACTAGGTCAGGGCTCTGCCCTGCTGTTCGACATTGTCCGTGGTAAACTGGGGGTTGCGTTCCATCAGGGGCTCAAAGAAGAGCAGAGCAGCACCATCGGTACCCGCGTATCCCGGATTTACGAGGCGATCCGACAGGGTGTTGTCGTCCCAATGCTGATGCCGTGCCTCGAGGGCGGCGATGATAACAAAAACCCGCAAGTTGGCACGGGAACGCCAGTGAGTAGTGATGCCAGTGTCGGTTCGGTCGGTATTCTGGGAAGAGTCTAGAGTATTGCGAAGACGAGGTAAACGTAGCAGTCTGGACCAAATGTTCATGACTGTGCAAGCACTTGGCTCCCATTGCAAGAAGTATTCCTAAATTGCACCACTGCATTTCAATTCCTTCTGCTTCCAATCGTATGTCTTCTTTATTCGCACGGGGTAGCCACCCAAATGGTGCGGTTGCATAACACTTGTCGGCGACGGGGTGAAGAAGCATCAAATGTCACTCACTAAGGACTCAAGTCCACACAAACCTGGACCACAAAACTCAAACCCAATTCTTATCTGCAGGAGGATACCAAAAAGCGAAAGAGGAGAAAAGACAGTAGCTAGCATTCGCAAAGAATGGCAAAAACAAATGTCCCTAGCAAGGCTCGAACTTGCGACCTTTGGATATCCCGACCTGAAGGCAGGGTCATATTGATGAATAATATGAGACCAACGCTCTACCGACTGAGCCATAGAGACCAATTGTTGAAAACGTGGTCATGTCTCCCACCTATGTTGCACTAGCGGGCGAAGACCAGGGTACGGTTGGCTAAATCGAGATTGGATCAGTGGGGGGTCCGTGGTCTTCCATGCTGAAGCTTGAAGCGGGATGGCGCGGGAGATGTGAGGGGGGCCCGCGCGCCACACGTTCCGGCGCCGATGCGGGGGACTGCGCGCGCGCGACGGCCGCGGAATGCACCTTGTACGCGGGCGCGGGCGCGGGTGTGCGCTTGACGTGACCGCGTGGGTTCGTCCGGTCCCTGACTCCATCGCGACCGACGACCTCTGCCAGTCGCGTCGAAGCCTACGCGCTTGCCTCTCTACCCACCTCCCACACCATACGCTGCCGACTGCTTGAATCGCCAAAGCAAGAAAGGACGGCACACCCGAGGATCGCTGGGTAGATGCTGACAGCCCCTTCTACCACCAAGGCTTTCATTCGTCATAGCCCCTCCCAGATCCGAGCTCGGGCCGCCATCTAGACCTTGGTTCGTGAAATGGCGTTCCCAATGTCTCTGGCTAGATTAGCACCAAACTACTTCCCGAACGCCCGGAATCGTGGTTGTCGATGCACCCCCGGACTCCGGAGATTTCGTTTGCATTAGCTGCTGCTCTGGAAGGATTTGACACCTGTGTCTCCTTTCGAGCGGGCGACCCTAATGGTATCGATGGTGCCCTTCTTGGTTATGTCACATTGAACTTTGCACCAGGACCAGAATGGGAACGGGAAGATGGAAATGCTTGACTTCGCCTAAACGCCTTTCTGAATAACGCAGTGCCTTGAGCTGCTTCTCACCACACCCGCAGCGGCATGCTTTCCCAAACCATGCAGTTTTTTCGTGTTCAACGTACAGTATACACAAGCATAGACTGTTCAATGATATATCTACACCATGCTTTCATTATGACGCGCCGTCCTGGTCCCTTTCCTCCTGTCCGCATGCCGCTGCCTCTGATGATGTACGACGTTTGCCGTCCGCCCTGCCCGCGCCAAATAAGGAAAACTGAGCCGTCGTGGTATAAAATGCTCCATGCCGAACGCCATTGTGCATGCAATGCTTTCAGTGCGAGCCGCCAATTAGAGAAAGACGAAGTGAAGAGAAAATGAACATGACCGGAAACCAAACATGGTTTCATGCTGGCCAGTACTCTGGTATCATTGGTTCCATTGGATGTGGAACAAATCCGTAGTTTTTTGATAATATGCCCCGTAATCTTGAAGCGTGATGGCGTCGGCAAGTAGGGGGAATCGAGAAGAGTATTTGGAAACGGGGCAGAATCGGTTTCAAGATGCCGGGCGATGTAGATGAAGTGGTCCATGGGCTGGCCAGGCCTACAAGGACTCGTCCGCGTAGCTGTCGCCGTGTGAGTGTTTGGAATATTTGGGTGCTCGGCCCAGTTGGCTGAGAAGGTCATCTAGCTCGGCCCAGTTGTCGTTGTTTTCGGCAAACTTGCGATGTTTGCGAGTAAGGATGTGCTTTCAAAATGTTAGCGTGGTGCAGCATGAATGACGTTCAGTTTTGGCCTACCTCATCGAAATCCTTGAACTTGTCCTGGCAATTCTCACAATATCCTGGCTTCAGGTCACGCTTGCTCTTGGGAGGCGGCGCTGCCGTCTTTGAGCTGGCCCTGGAAAGCTTAGAGCTCTGCTTGTCAGGATCCTCCTCAATGAGCTCCATTCGCCTACTAGTAGTCCTGGAGACGCTAGTAGACCTGGTAGAGGTCGCCTCCAAGGACATCTCAGTAAGTCGTCGAGAGCTAGCATCCTGGGGTGCAGGGGCTCCCCTTTGCAACACCTTGCGCTGCAGGCCATGCACCTCCTTGCTAGTACCAGCCTTGGCACCGTTGATACCAGACGTGGACGAGATCATCTGCGAGCGGATGGCCGAGGTGATATTGGAAGGCTGCACTCCAGAAGCCACAGGCTCGCCAGCAAAGAAACGACCAGTACCTGTGCGGCCGGTAAAGGCGTTTTGCGTCCGTCCGAAATCAATGGGGTTGGAAACCATGGCCTTGGGAGGGTTGAACACATCCATAGGCTTCATCGCAGCCCGAGTCTTGTTCTGCCCGTCTTGCATTTCCGAAAGCGTGCGCTTGCCGATGACAGCTTTGGGTGCAGGGACTTCAGGGGGTTGAAGAGATTGACGTTCCTCGGCCACGGGCTTTGCCGCAGCACGCTCCTTCTGCTCTTTCGACTCCTTCTGCTGCGTCGATGGCTTTCGGCTAGGGCGTTCAACTGGCTCTGGCTCCTCGACAAACGGACAACGTCCGTCTGTCACAGTTCTGAACTGGGGCCATTCGCCATCGTACTTGTTGCTGACCTTGGGATACTCCCGCACCATGATGGGCTTCTGCTTCTCATCAATGTCGTAGACATAGATGTACGGGCCCTTGAAGTTGATCATCTCCCTGCTCGTCACGGCATCAGAGGGGCCGTTCAGTCGTTCGTGTTGCAGCAACTGCAACAAGCCAGGTTCTTCCGTTGCCTTCTTGCTCCCCAGGTTCCTCGCAGGCTCGCCCTTAGCACCATAGGCCGCAACAACATGCGGATCTGGCTCCAACAGAAACTGCAGCATCCTCTGAAACTTCTCGACGGACCAGATCTTCTTGCCCATGTCGCGGGCTTTATGGAGGACATCGTTACTCTGGGCAGACCGCGTCCGCCTGGTTCTGTCGTCTTGTGGCTGGGTGTGGACTCGTCTCGACGTGGTCTCCAGCAGGAGACGCCTTCGTGCATCGGTAGACCGGTCGAGAAGGGACGGATTGATGGTCTGGGGTTGCTCTTCGGGCTCGACATCGTGTGCAGACGCTTGCACGTCCTCTTGCGCTGGTATCGGGCGGGCGGTCACGATGTGGGTGATGCTACTCGAGAAGAATCGCTCGTCCCTCTATACGAGTGCGGTGTCAGTCAGTCAACGATATCCACGACAGCAAGGTTCACATGTAAGACATACGGCTCCGAGAGACTGTGCATGTCTGGAAAGCTTAGCCCTCTGGTCCTCGGGGACACTGTCAAAATAAAAGACCATCTTTGGGAACCTCCCCCGGTATTCGGCCTGCCATTGACGGATCCTCTCGACATTGGCGTCATCGTGATGTACGGATCGTTCTTTGGTCATGGGTCGACCCACACGCTGGGGTAGCTGTGAGGCCTTCGTGATCTTTGACGGCGACCGGAGTTGACGCGACCCGGCATTCTCGACAGCCTGCTTTTTGTAGGGCGGCGGTTGGGCGTAGAGCTCTTCTCGCTGGATATTGGCGTGAGAGCGTTTCTGCTTGGCCTGGGCCAGAGCAGAAGCAGCTCTCAAGGGCGAATTGGCCACATTGGGGTTGCTAGACAAAGGCGTTCGTCTAGTGGACATGGCCGGAGGAGGGATTAGATTCGGTGATAGGGATATGGCTGCCATAAAAATGCCCAATCAATATGCTCGACGAGAAGAAAAGGAGAGAGCTCGTTTGATTTGTCGGGTTGGGTTGTTCGACAGAGAGAGTGTGAGTGTGTGTGGTGGTGTCGAGAGGGGTTGCTCTGTGGACGACGGGCACGCGACGTGGTAGGCTAACACACGTCGCTCACGCGTACCAACAGAGACCGTGTCGAAATCTTCACAAAGACATTGAAGAGCGATGCGAAACCTGGGAGATGTGACGGAACCACCGGACGGAGAACAAGTGAGGGACGAAGGGGAGGATGTCGTCGTCGGGAGTTCGTACGAGCAGCACCACGAGGTGTGTGGTTTGGTGTGGGCAGGTTCTGGCAGAGCTTTATTAACGAAGAGAGTGGTTGGTGTTGTGTGGTGCGCAGGAGAAGGTCCCCCCCGTCGCTGGACCCGAATGACCCAAGTCGCGCTTGACGAGTTTGGGAGGGGAACAACAGCGCTAATCCCAGTTGGACACGGCCGAAAACACGCACGGGCCAGCCGCCTCTCCAGCAACCGGCCAAAATTTGCTTGGCCCAGCGCGTCTCATAGTGACCTTTGGCAGCCGTGATACAGTGGAGGTCACTGTAAATGGGACCAACAACAACCCAAACTGAGCTGCCAGGCCATAGGCGACGGCAGCCTGGAAATTGGATGGAGCAGATCCAGTGCGAAAACAATAAAAAATCCTGCTCCTTTCCGGGGCCCTGCTGGGTCCATTTTCCCGGTGCATTTTACGCAATAGCTCGCTTCTACAATGTTATTTGCAATATCTGGTATTGTTTGCCGGGTGTCGAAGGCTTGAAAGTACCTTATCTTTTCACACGCGAGAGCTGTTGGGATGCATCGGCAACATCAAATCCGTCCATAACTGACGTCCATGGCACGTACGTGCCTCGCTCTTCCCTCCTCACATCGGGTGTGGAGCAGCATAAACTGTGTCTGCCACATGGATGGGTGCGCCTGCAATCGAACACTTGCAGGTACAAGACGATACCTCTTCGTTAGATACATAAAAACAATACTCCATATCCGTCCTCACTCACAAAATCTCATGCACTCAACTCGTCATAGTGGCACGATACCCAATAAGGACTTTTAGGCCGTCTCAGCCCTCAGTCTCCAGCCCTCACTCTCACGGAACGTCCGCATGCGCTTGGCCTAGTTGACGAGTCAGCCGTCTTGCAATTCTCAGTGCACTCGTCGCACCTTCGCTGCAGGGTAGGAAGGAGATGACCTCATCAGAGTCGTAGTGCTCTCCTCTCTGTTTTCTCCGGTGCCACCCTCCCCCAACACCCCTTCTCACTCATCACCACATATCCGGCCATGAACGTTTCACGGCCGGTGAGCCGCATCCTTCGAACCGCACAGAGGCTACGCCCCTTGTCTCTGGCTTCATCATGGCGGCCTTCTTCCTTTACCGGCCGTCCCCTCCGGCGCTATTCCGCCGTCTCTGCTGCCGAGTTGCAGTTTGGACAGCCAGTGCATGAGACTCACCCTCACGTGCTCAAGGCCGGCGAAAGTCAGTAACACCCATTTCTTGTTGTAAATTGGCTTCACTCCACACATTTGTACATTGGCTTGTGAACCATAAAAAATCCTTAATGAGCGATACGAAGAAATCATATTATCAAGTAAGCCTTCTACTGACGCAGCGACTCAGTCACACCCGGCATCACGGCCCAGGAGTACTGGGAACGACGCGCCCGCCTTGCCGAGAAGCTCCCGGACGATGGCGTCGCCGTTCTCGCCGCCGCCGACCTCAAATACCGCTCCGGCGCCGTCTTCTTTCCCTACCGCCAAGAGTCCAACTTCCTCTACCTCACCGGCTGGAATGAGGGCGACTCGGTCGCTGTCATTCAAAAAACCGGCAAAGAATTCGGCGACTTCGTCTTCCACCTCTTCACGAAGCCAAAGGACCCCGTCGCCGAACAGTGGATGGGACCCCGCAACGGCGTCCAAGCCGCTATCGACATCTTCAACGCCGACAAGGCCGCTGACATCGCCAAAATCGATCGCCACCTCCCCGAGATCCTCAAGGGCGCCAGCCGCGTCTACACCGACATCGAGAGGCCGCGGCAGGGCGAGCAGGAGGGCAAGCTCTGGCAGCTCATGAAGGCCGACAAGTCATGGTTCCCCTCCGTCAAGCTGCCACTATACCCCCTCATCAATTCCCTGAGAGCCATCAAATCCCCAGCTGAGGTGACCAACATGCGCCGCGCCGGCCAGATCTCCGGGCGTGTCATCACCGACGCCATGCGAAGGTCGTGGACCCGCGAGAAGGATCTCCATGCCTTCCTCGACTACCGCTTCATCGCCGACGGCTGCGACGGCCCGGCCTACGTACCGGTCGTTGCCGGAGGCCAAAACGGCCTCTGCATTCACTACGTTGTGAACAACAACGTCCTGCGTGACGGCGAGACGGTCCTCGTCGACGCTGGCGGCGAGTACGGCACTTACATCACCGACATATCCCGTACCTGGCCCGTGAACGGCAAGTTCTCGCCTGCGCAGAGAGACCTCTACGAGGCCGTGCTCACGGTCCAGCGCTCCAGCGTCTCACTGTGCCGGGAGAATGCCAACCTTTCCCTAGACGACATCCACGACCACACCTCAGCAGGATTGCTCGAGCAGCTCAAGAGCCTGGGCTTCGATATTACAACGCGCGACATAGACGTGCTGTTCCCCCACCATGTTGGCCACTACGTCGGCTTGGATGTTCACGATGTGCCGGGCTACGGCAGGAGGACGCCCTTGAAGAAAGGTCACTGTGTGACCATCGAGCCGGGCATCTATGTACCGGATACGGACCGATGGCCAGAGCACTTCCGGGGCTTGGGCGTGCGGATCGAGGACAGCATCTGCGTAGACGAGGAGTCACCGTACATCCTCACGACAGAAGCCGTCAAGGAAATCGCCGATATTGAGGCTCTGAGAGACTAAAGGAGCCATGTATAACAAGCGAAACCTGCAAACAATGTAACACTGCTGTAATACTAAAGTACAAGACCAGAATTGCCACTGACTATGCGCCGTTGTACGAGAGAGCCCGAGTCTCCGCCAGATTGACAGGAAGTCAGCAAACCTCTCTGTAGATCTTGTAGAAGATACGCCATAGTGAAACGTCGATATGCTAATGAGCTGTGCTCACTTGGCTGAGACTTTCTGTCCTATGTCCTCACTCTCCCAACACAGGGGATCAGGACCCTGGACCCCTTGAAGCTCGGACACTGAAAGCGGAAGTTCATCAAGCACGTTCCCAGTATGGAACGGGCGGGGCCCGCCCATGTCACAGGTTGACCTTGTCTGTCTCCAAGGATTTCTTTGGGAATTGAGCCTCTAGACAGATTGTAGGCAGTGTCCGGGAGACAAATGAGCCATGCCAACTGCCATTCCGTCATCCTCATCAACTACCCAGGTCTTATTGTAGGCCAACATTGAAGAAAAAAGATGCAGCAATTCATTGCAGGTCTAATAACCTGTGAATATGTATATGTGTCTATTCATTTCTCGTAGGTTGACCGCAATCGTATATTTTTGGGGCAAATCGCAGCCCATGACAACGTAATATGTACAATTCGCAATCGTAATGCGTAATGTGGTAAGAGGAGAGATTTATTAACAGAAACCTCTTGGGTCGAAGAGTGTTCTGCTATAGTTCGGCATAGGGAAAGGTTGCCGCGCCTGCGCGCTCAAGAGTTGCTCAAAGGCTTGTAGGCGCCTCGCTAGTTCCTGGTGCTCACGCATGATGGCCTTGTTTCTTCTTTCTAGGTAGTGGATGTATTCAGTAGCCTTTGTAAGGACGGTACCCTGCAACATCCTGTAAGCAACCATTCCGTGAATCACCTGAAGTGGTTGAAAACCCTTACCTTGCTGACTTTAGGGCCACGCTGCGATTGGCTGTCTGCCTCAGCATCTTCGCCCCCTTCCTCGGGTATTGACTTGAGTGACGGAATTGCGTCGCGCAGCTCCGAAATTCTGTCTTTGAGATTGGTACGATATTTCCTCTCGATGTCGTTGTGTGCTGTTCGGTCACCTGCCTTCGCCTTATCTTTGGACTTTTCCGATACGCCAGTGGCATTGGTATTAGTGCGCGATACTTGCGGCCGTTGCGATTGGGCTTCCTCCTTTACAGGTGCCTTTTCTTTCTGTTTGCCCTTATCAAGAGCCGACTGGTCGGGGCCTTTAGCAATGTCGTTCAGGTTCCCTGTGGCCATGTTGGCGTCGGAATTTTCCAGGCTCGCAAACTCCGGGCCCAGATCTGCTCCAACCCCGAACCCCATGCTAGAGCCCAGACCGGTTGCTGATGAGCGGCCGCCGGTATTGAGGGCTATCGCCAGCAACCGTCGCTGTTCAGGGTCAAGCATGGGCGCAACCATGCCGCCCATGCCGCCCATGCCGCCCATTCCGAAGAGAGGGTTCATCCTCAACCCCGGTGCTGGCTTTTCCCAACTCAGGGGCGTCGAGTAAAGACCCTCTCTGGGAGGCACCTCCTGGGGTGGTTGAGAATCAATCTTCCCAAGTTGGTCGCCGAGGTTCATCGACTCCAGAAAATCCTCATCATCCGACAGAGCATTGTCGAGAGCGGTATCGTCCATAAAGTCCTCTGGCTTAAATACAGGGTTGGTGTACAATCCGGTGCCCAGACCAGGTGTCGTGGACATCGGGTTCAGACGATTTGCAGCCGGTCTGATAAGTGTCAGTTCATTCGCCCTGCCATATCAGGTTTGTGTGTGGGAGTCAAAATACCTTGGCCGGTAGTTCGGAGTCGGATTGCTACGCCTCGAAAAATCAATCTCGAAGCTACCGCCAAGCTTCTGCTCCTCATCATCGTCGAATTGGATCCAGTAGTCAACAGATTCCAGCGCGGCGGCCTCGGAATCGACCTTGGTGCGCTTGCGCGCATGGCCATCTCTCCGCCGTGAGTCCTGACCTGGCGCAGCTCTGTTCGGCAGGCCGGTATTCCTTGACTGGCCGTTACCGAACTGCATCTGAGCTGGCATGGGGCCCAGGCCAAAGTTCGTGTTGCCAGGCGACGCCTGAGCAAAGGACGGCAGCGACCCGGAAGGACCGTTAGACGTTGACTCGGAGTTTGTTTGGTCGCCCCTAGGGACTCCCAAAGAGACGTATCGGGCGCATTCCTGGAAGCACCTGTGGCAGATGACTCCGCGGTTTGTTCGGCGGAGTTTGTGGTTTGATTGTTGGGGACGGCGAAGTAGTCGAGGTTCTTGAGGAAGTTGGGGTCCATCACAACACCAGCATTTCGGCCCCCGAATCGTCGGCGGTCGTCGATCTAGAAACCGATACGTGAGTTGCGTAGGACGGCTCAATTGCTTGCTGGTTATTACTGAGCACAGGGGCGCTCAGATCTCGTATGCTTCTTGAATGGGGAAAGCGTTTGGCTGTTCAAGATGGCCAGTGGTACCACCTCGTGTAGCCAATCAAGCTCGTGTTGTCATCCAATGGCGGCGAAGTCAATGAAGACAAGGAGGGGGCAATAGTCGTCGACGTCGGCAGGGGTTACTCGGATCGCAGGGTGCTGTGAAGAACAGAGATGTTGCTCGCATGTGTGTACCGTGAATGGTGTCGCTCGCAAATGGCGGGCAAGAAGACGATGGCGGCGGGGATAGGCGCTTGTAAGATCAGCTCAGGCTCGCAAAGACTCAAAAGGACTCGGCTGAAGCGAGGTTCGTGACCAAGGTGAATCAGACGTGGGAGGCAAACAGGAAGCACGGGGACGGAGAGCAAGATGCATCAAACATGGGGAAGGACAACAAAAGAGTTGAGGGTTGGGGAGGAATTTGTGGAGGCCAGGACGAAAATGGCTGGTCACACCTTACGTATCTGGACAGGGACCTGTGGAAGGCGGCAGGAGGTTTAAAGAGCGAAAGAGGAGCAGTTGATAGGCTCAGATGACTCGGTTGGTGGTTGGCAACGATGGCAGTCCGCAGAAAGCTGGGAGAGAATCGCGAATCGCAAAAAGGCGCTGGACGGGAAGGTCAAAGGTAGACGGTCGGCTGATATTCAAGGACACGAAAGAATGACCCGCGCCGGTTTCCGCGAGATGGACGGAAGAGGGAGGGGGGGATGACTCGGCCAGAGCGGCCGACAGAGAGAGAAAACGTGCGGGAAAAAAGTGTGCAAAGAATCACCAATTGGACGGGAAAGCAAGATCGAGGATGGGAAGGAATGGCCTGACATGGAATTTGCCAATGGCCGGGGCACACTGGCTGAGCGTATCAAAAATCGTCCACTTCATCTTGACAATCGTATGATGGACAAGGCTGCTGGAGGGGAGTCGTGCGATGTGCGCCAAGTCATGCAACAGGCCTGTTTCATTGGATATCTGTCGATCCGGCCCCACCACAGGCCACCCGGGTTGTCAGCCTTGCAGAATGGCCCGAGCGTGGCCCCAGAATAGACTTCCCGCTCCATTAGGGTCCGCCTGTTTCTGGCCTGGTTCTGTTTGGGGTTCCCCTCCCCTTTCCATTTATTAACAGTGCCGACCCGTCTTGGTTCCAGCATCGGTCCTTGACGTTTGACACGCACGACACGTTCCATTTCACGACAGGCAGGGCGCCACCGAGCGGGCAGGTCAGCCATGGCTGATGTTGACATATGGTTGCTGAGCGGACCTTTTGCCTGTGAGCCCCCTACCATCCTGCTGCCTCTTAATTGCTGTTGGCAATGATTCGTTTCCAAAAGACTTTGTTAGCCCCGTCCGTGTGCGCCGCCCTCAAGGAGGATGCCCTCTTCCGTCGCCGGGACGGGACCGGATCGGAAGACGTTATGCGCCAAAAACCAACGGCTTTAACTCATTAGCTAACATCTTGTATATTTTTCGCTATCTCTAATACCGCGTGTCTGCCTCCCCCACTTCTGTATTTACGTCAAATGATATAACTATCTCGAGTCAGCGGCTGGGCGCTGGTGGCTACAACGCACATGGGGTATTCAAGACAGGTACCGGCAACCAAGACATCGTTGGCCCCGTTGGAGAAATAACGTACGAAGATGTTGCGGGCTCCCGCCAAGTATTCTTTTTCTCTTCTCCCTTGCATCCCATCTGCCATAACTCGTGTTTACCGGCCTCTTAGCGAAAGATTATGATTCCAACCTCTTAATGTGTAGCCCCGCAAGTGCACCAAAGGATTTTTCAGGCAAGGGCCCTGTGTTAGTGGTTTGGCAGACAGTATCCTCTGAATGGTGTACTTTCCGATAAGAGTTGAGAGGAAGCATCGCATCGTCACGCTGAACCATTACATCAAGTGCCTCTTCTCTCCATGGGTCGAAGTTTTGAAGTACAAATACTCCTACTTGCATTGTGATTTGCTGGAGTACAGAAGACTCGAGTATCACATCGTCTATCCATCTAGTTCTACCTCAAAGTCAAGAAAGACACCTTTAGTCATTATAAAGCTTATCAAGACCCTCACCCGCCAGTCTCCTGAGCTCGACGTCAGTCAGGGCCGCCCCAGAGAAACCCCGTGGGCACCCCGACCCCACACGTCGATCTAATGTGGCCCAAGTGCTACCAAACAGTGTCAAACAGCACTTGCCAAACCCTCGCCGACAAGAACAAGATCGATCTCGCCGAGCTCGTCACCTTAAACCGCAGCGTATGAGGGCTGGATTAATATTTCGAGGGAACCATTGTGGCGAGCTACTGCGTCAAGCCGAACGGTTGGAAACAAACACATGATACCAAGAAATATTGGTCATGAAAATTGGAGGAAGTTCACTTTCAAGACAAAGGAGCATCACTTCATTCAAGGATATAGTCATACGGCGAGTTTGTGATTTGCATAAGGTTTTGTCTCCCACTCATACTCTCATTAATGGGGGAGAGGTCGTCTAGATTTGCTATCTCGGAAAGCGGGGGAAAACTAGCCCTATAACCAATACCGACAGGCTTCATCCCTTCCCCTGCAGCCAGATTGTTCTTCTTGCTCAGATTGTTGCACTCGCAGTCATATGAACAACGTCACGTTGCAATGCGAAGTCTTTAGTGACGTCGAGGGTTTGGGTCGGCCGCTCGGTTGGCGCAGTCAGTGCAGGGTCCGGGCCAGGAGACCGTCTCGTGCTTGGGCTTTGGTCCTTTACACCCTTTGCCCATATTAGAACACCACTTCATATCGTGGAAGCCGGTGTGGCCACATTCGAACTGCTTGTCAATTTGCTTGCACATGATGTCGGACGCCTTGGCTCGCAATCTGAAGTCTTGCTCTTGTTTCCTCGCGTGATCTGTATTTGCTGCATCTACACGTCAGCAAGTTCTGTTCATGCCATTGCGGTCTCTTCACGCACAACCTCGAGCCTAAGGTATATTCATACATTGAATGATTGATACTTAGATGACCCTCACTGTTTCCAAATCCTTTGCAGTTTGGTCTCTTTGATGCTCTTGGAGCCTTCCAACTATCGGTTCAGTTATTTGCCTTCTCGGTTGGTCTGCTTCGGACCTCAAGGTCGCAGGCTGTCTAGTAACAGCAGGAAGCGTAAACGGAAAAGGCAAGTTAGACTCGAGTCTCACGGCATCGAGTCCGCGACAGAGGATCCCAGAAGAGTCTCTGATGGGGATGAGAAGGTAACAAGGCGTCAAATACGAATGAGCAAATACAGATGAGCAGAATGTCTGTATTTGGAGGTATGTGGTTCTCAGTAGGCCAGAGAAAACTTTGTTGAAGACAGTGAGAGGAGGTCAACAGAAGATCAATGGATCTCCTCTTATACAGACGACGAAGTAAGTCACTTTAGCAAGGTGCAACCCATGCCATGTAGCGTAGGCCTTTCGGACGCCCTGCCGCGTTCCGCGGTACTGGACACTATGGCCATCCCTGAATTGAGGTGCGGGCAGCGATTAAAGGCAGAAAACCGTTGGAAATATCATATCTCAACATTCTGCAGAGTGACTTTGACAACTAGGATAGGTGCCGAGCTTGGAATGGTGGCACCATTGGACATGGTGGACGGAGGAGAGGGATGTCCGCCCGCCCGGAGTCGGGGGAGTCCCTTTGTTTCTTCTCATCAGCTTCTCTTTGGCCTGGGACTGACAAACCGACGTCACTCCGGCGGACGAGCTCGGGATTTCTACTTCCCCCCGCCCACCATGTAGCCTATCGACGGACTTCGGCGTTGGGCTGCCCGGCTGATTGCAGAGGAACATTAGATGCAAGAAAAAAGTGGTGGATGAAGGATACAGTTGTTCCTTGTTCCGCTCTTCCTGCGCGACATCGAGCTCTTACGCTGTTCCAGCTTGAGAAAACATGAGGCATAGGTCCCTGGAGGGGTAACAGGGCACTGAGCAGGCAAATCGTTTGCTATGAGTGAAGAATGCTGTCAAAAGGTGGGGGCCCCTTTGGTAATATTCATTGTTCAAAGACCCTAGAACCCTGTTGGCTCCTCCGGGGTAAATCCCCGCCTGGCCCTATCACACACTTGTCAGGTTGTCGCTTTTGATAGATGATCTCCCTCAGGGTGTCAAATGTCAAAAGCCACGACCCTCCCGGCCCTCGCTGCTATAATGTTTCTCTCCTCAGCCGCAATGAAGGGAGAAATGGATGTGAACCCTCTCCGTAAGCTTACATGAGCATGCGAGACATGAAGGGCGGGATCCAACGCTGAATACTTCCGGGTACGGGATACCGTGCCAGGACCTGAAATTGTGTCGCATCCCGCGTCAAGTTTTTCCCAAACAAAAACAGCCCGCTACTACGAGCTTCTGCGCGAATGGGCTGACTCCGTTAGTCTTCCTTGCTGGCGCATTTGTCAGACGCACGTTGCAGACGTGCATACGGCACACGCACGACAGGTTGCTCGTGCAGCGAATAGTCGACGCTCGAGGACCCCATCCAAGTGGAGGGGAACGATGCCTTGTTTCCTGCAGGGTCATCAGAGTCCAATCCGATTGTGATGCGAGGATCCTTCGCTAGCGATGGTTCTGGCAGGTGCGGGGCCATATTGAGCGTCGTGTGTGACTTCTTCCGAGGTCATCATCGAGATGCCGGGACCACCACCAGCTAGATATATGTCTGGCCGTCACTACCGCGCGTTGATTGGAGTCCTTGTTGGTTTCTACAGTATACTTGTTTCTGGGGAGAAACACATTGAGATTGGTCTTAGCTGTTGTCTAGTTGTCCGATACTAATAATGGACCAACGGCCGATGATACTCAACCCTCAATAGGGGGGCGGCATACTCCTGCCTAACCCTTGACGTTGTGTGTGTATGATAGCGGTGCTGTGAATGGAGTCGATACGGAGGTAGACTCGGTCGCTCTTGATGGGTTCTGGTCCGCAAAAGGGAGTGAATAAGTCGTCGCATCCCTCAACCCGTCCATGCTACTCCTGGAACAGACTTTGCGGTGCCATGCTGATGGCCCCACAAACGACTGACACTTGCCGCATCCAGTGCTTGCTAGGTATTCTTTACCTATCTTTAAATAATCTTCTTTGCCGCCTTGTTGATAATTTGAAATGGAGGAGATCGGCCCGGTAACTCCTGGCGGGCACATCTCTATTTGATCCGCCGTCGATGAAGATTCAGCTGACGCTATGGGTTTCCTAAGGCTTATCCGCTATGAAGTTCGATTTGCATTATTGATACTCAGTATACCTGTGAGAGACTGATATTATTTCAAGAGGGTTCAAGCAATCACCAGGTCAATAACTGTGCGTAACCAAGGTAGCCTACTTAGTAGTGCTCTCTCCGAACCTCTTTCTCATTTCGAAAAGTTATCGAGTATGTATTTCCACTTTTTACTTGGGCTCGATCAAAACAGGAGGCATTTGAAATATGATAGAACGCTTCTTGGTTCACTCTACGACTGTCACAAAAACCATTCTTCTAGCTTTTCGTGAGACATCAAGATTGAAATGTCTGCCTCAACACAACGAGGTGACAATGTCACTCTAGAACAACCTGAAAAGTGACACGCATTTTCGGCCGAACTCGCTCTTTCGGAACAAAACCACCTGTTTTTACCTTCACCATACGGAGAAGCAGTGGCTAGCGTATACAGTGTGGCTGCGTCCCTTCCCTTTTCAACCACCCTAACGGAAGGCGCCTTCCCACGACGCTCTCACGACACATACCCCACATGTCCCACCTGCTACTTTCATATTTCATCCCGAGTACGAAACCTATTGGGGAAAGAGTATCTCTCGATTTGCTCTGAACACTGGCTGCGAGGACTGGTGACTAGCCTGTCGACGTCACAACCTGTTCATCTCATATCTTTCTCCGACTATCTGCGAGCCACATGAAAAAGCTTATCACCTTCATAACATACAAGAGCCACCTCGAATTCGACGATCAGCCAGCCCCTTGTCGGCAACCCACGACATCTGGTGTAGCCATCGCGCCGGCGCAACTCCCAAGATATAATGCGTCGCGACATCTTCACGATCCTTTGGGGATCGTTGATGACGCTCTCTTGGTTTGGAGGCGTCGACGCATTCTCATGGGGTGGCGATGGAGGCGGTTCGAAATTTCCCCGATCCTTGGAAGAACACATCGTGGAACCCTCGGTTGCGATCCAAGACAGATCACGCTTACCGAACGTTTACGCCGTTGCCATGCAGGAACTCCAAGAGTTGGAGTCTGAACCTTTATGCCATCGCATCGCTGCCCGCCTACTGGTCAACAACTGTCAGCTACTCGACGGCAAAGATGATGCTACCGTTCTCACAGATAGTGGTAGGCAGGTTCGCGACTTTGTTGATTCGTACGCCGCTAGTCTCGCCATTTGCGACCTTGAAAGAGGCAGCTTCGTCATCCCCTCCAGCTGTGCGCCATTCCGAGAGCACTCTCTGGCCAAAATACCAGATTCGAGCATCCCTCGCCTCCACGCCTCCCCTCAGCAGATCGACTCGTGTCTTTCAGGACTGGCCAAGTCCGACTCGGCATGGAATACTTGGGTCAGTTACCGTCACAAGGCCTTGAGGTTCTGTGAAGCTGCCCGTGCGGACAATGAAAAAGGTACGCCTCTCCGGGGGATACTGAGATCGTTATTGACCATGTCACAGCCCAAAGCATTCGTCTCCATCAGCGACTTACAGAAGTTCTCTCCAAGCTTTCTGAGGGAGTCGAACAGGAGCTCGAGGATAATCTTCAAGCCATCAATACCCGAGCAACCGAAACAACAGAACAGTTACGGCGCATGGTGCCTGAGATCGAACAACTACGAAATAGGCTCCAGGACTTAGACCGAAAGATATATCAGGATGTTATGCAGGCATCTCAGGTTAGTAAAGCATGTTATAGTTCATGATGGGAATCTGGCTGACAAGAAAGGCATCGAATGCTGTGATTAGAGACGGCTTTGAAGATGCTCAGAACCTACAACAGCTGTTGAATGTTCTTCTCAAGACGGTTGTGAGAAGCAATGCGGAAGTTGCGGCATCTCAAGAGGTGGCATTGGCGACTTTCAAGGACCGCACGGATTCTGAGGTTGCATTTGTCATGGCTGCGCTTACAACAGCTGCAGCGTCTTCCGCTTCCCTCCAGAGTCAGATAGTGGGTGCACTTGAATCCGCCGAGATCGTACACTAAGCTGATGGTGGTTCAGGAACTGTCACACCTTCGAGCGGTGGAACTGGCTGATCGACAAGAGTACCTCGAGAAGGCAAGTAAAATCCCTCGAGTCCGTTCACAAACCTCCAGCTAACTTCTTGCAGGGATTGGTGAGGCTTCTAGACATCACCGAAGACCTCTCGTCGAAATATGAGTCCCAAACGGAGAAGCTAGATTTGGCCCAGCAGATATCAGGCGATCTTCTGGAGACACTGGATGACATGATGATTTCGGCGTCAGAAGTCCGTGGTTCTCTAGGTCACCGATCCAGTTGGACAACCTGGTTGCCGTATGTCATCTTCCCGGCTGCATCTTTACTCATGGGATCATACGGTCTTCCACCATCTGCAATTCGAAATATCGGACTTATCGTGCTAGGTGAGCTCGTCGGTATCTTAGTCTTTAAAGTCTTGAATGCTGATATTTCTGCCACAGGGGAAATTGCCGGGTTCGTCGTATCTTACGCCAAAAACTTCACCCCGAGCGTTCTCAACACCCCTCGACCTGGGCTCCCCTCTTTCCTCGATGAGAATACCACGATTGCTTTTAATCCAGCTGCAACTGAAATTTCACGCAACCTGCCGCTAGATCTACGTAAGATCCGATGATTGAAAGCGGTCTAGAAGCGTTTATCAAGCAATCGACCATCATTACATCTCTACATTGCAACACTTACACGGCTATGATGACTGGTCTCGGGGATATTGGTTTCGGCGTTCTTCATTGTTCAGTTTGTTTTACGGTTTGCTTTTAATTTCGGAATTATGGACTGGCTCATGGGGATTGCTGCGGTGGAATCATAGTAGGGAAAAGCGATGGGGTCGCCTCTGACATCATTTCTCGCATATGGACTTAGCCAATGGCCCATTTAGGTACATCGGTCAACAAATGGAGTTTAATCATTCTCATCCATGCATCTCCCTCTTTTGCTTATCATTTTGTGACAGGAACGCCAGTGGATGACTAGCTGCGGGGAAGTGCCTGAACGTAATATTTGCTGCCTCTTCTCACAGCCTGACCCCGACTTTTAGCCAAAGTTTGCCGTTGTCTCCAAACACCCAACTGTCTTGAAGCTGCAGGATTACCCCCAAGACGAGACGAAGGATAGCGGCGATGGCAGACAAGGTCAAGATCGCGCTCATACAAATGCACCCCAAGGTCAGCAAGTCTGGGACTACCCCTCATCAAAGGCGCCTCAACCAAGCTTAGCTTCTGCGCTCCTCTTCCTCATGCGCCGCCTAGCCGTCGACCCGGTTCACGCGGGACATGCAGCCACGCCCATGGGACGGCCACAAACAGAGTTCTAACAAGCATCACAGGTCGTCGCGCCAGATGAGAACTTCGCCAAGGCAGAGTCGTACATCCGCTCCGCCGCGTCCCAGGGCTGCTCGCTTGCCGTCCTGCCCGAGTACCATCTCACATCATGGGTCCCCGACCACCCCCAGTTCGTGTCGAGCTGCGCGCAATCCGGGGTCTACCTGGACAAGTACCGGGCGCTGGCTAGAGACCTCGGCATCTCCATCGTGCCGGGAACCATTATCGAGCTCGACGGCGAGGAGGGCGACGACGACCTCGATCTCCTCAACGTCGCGTACTTTATCGGCCCGGACGGCGGAGTGCTCGGGCAGTACACGAAGAAGAACCTGTGGCACAACGAACGGCCGCACCTCACCAAGGGCCCGGAACCGCACGGCGCCTTTGACACGCCGCTGGGGAGGGCGGGGATGCTGGTGTGCTGGGACCTGGCGTTCCCCGAAGCGTTCCGGGAGCTCATCCGCGATGGGGCGCGGGTCATTGTGTGCCCCGCCTTCTGGCTCGCGGACGAGTATAAGCGCAAGGGTGGAGACGGGGGCGTGCAAGTGGTGAACCGGGACTCGGAGAGAGTGTTTCTGGAGAATGTGATGGTGGCACGGGCGTTTGAGAACACTGCCGCCGTGGTCCTCGTCAACGCAGGCGGGCCCGTGGGCGGGGGCGGGGTCGAAGTCCGAGAGGGCGGTGCGCGGGTGCGGTATTGTGGCGTTAGCCAGGTCGCAATGCCGCTCATTGGGCCGCAAGGGAAGTTGGGCGCCGAAGAGGCGATGGAAGTCGTCGAGGTTGACCTTGGGCTGTTGGACGTTGCCGAGGGGGCGTATAAGGTGAGAGAGGACATGAGGAAGGAGGGGTGGCATTATGGGTATTCGATTGTGAAGGAGTAAATGACAGAGAAGGGGATTTGAACGGCCAGGAATAAGTAGAAGAAGAGGGGGGGAAAGGGTTGAGGTTTCTGAACAGGTAATTCCCACTTGCTCTCTGGCGATCACAGGATCCTTGTGGTCGCAGTCAGTGAGTGCTCGGGAAAGGAAGAGCAATGAATGATGGATAACAGGACACACGAGATAGAAGCACGTTAATCAAGACTGATGGTTCACGATGAACGACTATTTATCGCGAAATTCGGGTATCAATGACATCGCTCTGCAATTGGGCCCAGCCACAGTCAAGGAAATAAGTTTTATCAAGTGATGGCATCTTCTCTCAGCTCACTGGGAGCTCTGAGCGACCTCATCCAGGTATGCCAAAAACTCCCTTCTCCGCTCGATCCGTTCCTGCGTGTGCTTCTTCACAAGGTAACCCCAATACTTTTGCAGCCTCGCCCGATCAGGTCCGGCTTCGGGATTCGCATCATCGATGCGTCGTAGCCGCTTGTCATCGTTCGCCGTCCAAACTCCTTGCCAGTTGTTGGGTAGCTCCTTGTGCTTCCTGAGGTACTTGAGCAGATCCGTGGCTAGTGGAGTGCAGAGCGACGTGGCGTTGAGCGCAGTGACTATATCCTCGCGCGCGTAACCGAACGTGTCAAAGCGGTCGATCAGGTCCTCGAGCTCGACGGTTTTATCTGCCGATTCCTGGGAATCGGGGATGGCTCGCTCTGTCCGTTCTTCTGGGTCCTCTCCGACCTCTGCAGCGGGGAACTCTGATGCTGGGACAGGACTTGCGGCCGGGATTCTCTCGACCCCCTTGCCCTTGTCCTCGAACGACAGAGGCATGGGTGTCACGGCTTCTACCTCGCCAAGGAGCTGCTGCGACGGCGAAATATCGAACTCGGCACTACTTTGTGATTCTTGTCGAGGAGCATCTTCGAAGGCGAAGTCTTGCGTCTCTGGTTCGAAGCGGCGAGCTCTTCTGGAAGGGGATCGCTCAACCTCCCCGTCCATCCCTACGTCTTCATCGTCGTGAATTCCCCTAGGTACCCGCCCGGCGCTGAGCGAAGGGCTAGGGCCAAGATTTCCAAAGCTTGCAATCCCTAACCTCTCGTCAGGAGTGGAAGGAATTTCATCGTCTGCGCTAAAACGCTGCCGCTTCTTTCTACCATTTGGAGTCGAGGGTGTACCTGAGGTCTCCACAGTGATCGCCAACCTCTTCTTGGAGGTGCTGGGAGTGGTATCTAACCGCGTTTTTTGGGGCTTCGCCGGCATTCCTAGGTCTACCTCATACTCCCCGGACTGAGATGCTTCATCATCTTCAGACTCTGCATCAGGCTCGTCCAAAAAGCCGCTGGCAGCGAATTCGGCGACGTACTCTGTGTAGTACTGCTGTAGTGGCTGGGCAGCTTCGTTGTGCAAGCCCAAAGCCTTCGCGGCAGCTTCCCAGTCTGTTTCAACCCCTCCTTTCTGGTACTGGTCCCTAACAGCTTGCCAAAGGAGCCATATGTCGACGGGCTGTCCGTTAATTTCGGGATTGATTTCAGTGCCCAAATCTTTGTACTCCCGGAACGTCTTCAGATGATCGAAGAAAACTTCTCTCGAGACACCTTGAGACGCTTCGCCATCGCCTTGTGGCTCTGGCTGCTGCTTGTGGCCATCGTTTTCTGCTGTAGTCCTTGAGACTAGTGACGCAGCAGGCTCCAAGTTCCGGATGACGGGACGAGTATCAGGTTGCCCGGTCGATGCCTTTTGTTGATTTGGTTGGCCGCTGCGGGCTGTGTCTGGTCTGGGTTTGATATTGTTGGCGGGCGGCTGTTTTGGCAAAGGGTTCTCGTCCTCGAGATTTTCATTCAACTTCGACTTCAAATTGTCTGCCCAGTGTTTTCTCCAAGCAGTCCAGGAGTGGCTAGGATTCTGTCACATGTCAGCACGATGCCTGCGTATGCTGAAGGAGAGCTGCAACGTACTTTCTCTGCAAAATCTTGGAAGAAGCGAGTAGTAAACGGAGGGCCATGCTCTCTGGCCGCCTGTAGAAGTATGTCATCTTCAGCCTTGGTAAAATTGACTCTTTTTGGAGAAGTCATCTCTGGTTTGATTTCCACCTCTTGCGTATCGGCTATTACACGGGGAGTACCGGCTGACGGTAATCGTGCAGCAGCTGGTGCAACAGGAGCAGGTGATCGTCTCCTTCCTACTTGAGCAATTTCGGGACGTCTGGAAGAGGTCGGAGTTTGTGATGGCACCGAAATCTGGATCTCGGGGGCGGAAGCAACCAAGGTGTCTAGTGCGGCTTGAGGCAACTTGGAGACCTTCTTCACCCAGCGATCTCTCCAAGACTGCCTAGTATGGCGATTGTTCTATTGTATATTAATACCAAGCCGGAATACACTCATAAAAAAGCTCTCACCATCTCCTCAAGTGTTTTGTAAACTTCGTTGCCACTCCTTTTGTTTGGTGGGTGCGAGAGCACCCATCTGGCGAGAAGTGCATCGTCGGCTGCATTGAACGGAGTGCGGGTTCCCTTGAGTGGCGCCGACAACGCAGGAGGACGAGAAGATCCGACCGGGCGCGAAGCCATAGGCGACTGACTGATCATATACTTGTCTGTTTCTTGCACAGCGCCGTTGTCAACGGAATCCTTGACAAATCCCCAATGAAGTGATCCCGGCGGACAATCTGCCCTGGCGTGATCGGCGATGACCTTGTCCGCCTGCTTGTCCAGCTTGACAATCTTCCCACCATTTTGCTATTAATGTGAGCTTCTACTGAATTCATCGTATTTGGAGCGGGGCGCAGATGTACCGTGATCAGGTCAAGAATCGTTTTCCTGTCGGGGACGCGCTGCGCAACGAAGAAGCTGATTTCCTTGAAGAGCGTGCCTTGAGCGCCGGGTACTCCATTGTAGGTGATTGCCGCCGACATTATGAGAGATTTGTGTTTGAGGGAAGGATTTCAAGCGAGTGGTTCTCATAGACTTGATCTGCTTGGTCTTGTCGATGCCTCGCGCGTTGCTGGTTATGTGCGTATAAACGTGGGCGAATCGGAGAGTGCGCGCCTATTTGGCAAAGAGGTTGTTGTGAATGGTCTTGGCACTTCTTTCCCAATCAAGAGCCAAATCGATGTTGTAGGTAAGCGCTGGGGGAAGCAAGCCTCGGTGTAATTAATTCTGTTATGAGGGCATTCGCAAAGAGGTCGCGCTTGTCGCTGTAGTCAAGACTCCCCACCCTGAAACAGCATGGAAATGAGACCAGATGACTGCGCTTGTATTTGGTGCAAGGCAGGCCTGTTGTTTTCTTTTGGCCAGGTCCTATAGATGCATCAGCGGCTGGCTCTTTGTCTTGTTCATATTGTTGCACTGCTGAAGTGACGCGCAACTTCCAGAGTCTGCGTCGCGTGATCACGTGTACTCAGACGTGGTTTATGCATTTAGGGAGAAATATAGTCGTACAAGAGCTACCCGGTCTCCCTTCTTAACGGAACGCTATGACCTCTGCTGACCAGCCCAATGGTGTTTTGGCACCTTCGATGACATGGCTCCCAATGAACTTTCCTGGGAACAGATATTTCAAGTACCCATTCTTGTCAGTTGAGCCATGCTTGACAAACAAATCTACTAAACAAAGCCAATCGGCATTTTGTAACTCCTAGACCGCTTTGCTGTTCCGGTGTTTTGGGCGACGTGGTGGGCCTTTGCTGACACCTCAGGCTTTATTCGCTCGCTGCAGCCCGGGACTTGAGCTTCTTACTGCACTGCCTACCAGATTCCGCCGATTTCCAACTTGAGCTAGACGGGACCCCCTCAACCAACCATCGTCTGCGGGCTCTTCTTCCGTAAAGAATGATTCACGAGAAGTGAACAGTAGCTTGAAAATCGGACATCATGGGGACTTTTAGGAATGTGGCCCTCTTCGTGCTGGGCATCTCCTTCATGGTCTTTGTCGCCTTCTTCGGCCGGCTACCGGCTTTGAGGTTCGTTACTATGCCCAGTACGCCAGGCAGGTAGCCAACGTGTATGGCTTCCTAAACTCGTTTCCTAACTACCGACAGGCATACACCGATCGCAACACTGCACAGGGTCATGTGGATTCATATCCCGAATGGCTTCCTAGCCGTAGACAGACTCCTGACAGGAGGAAGGTTCTCAACCTCCATGATGCGCTTCGGCAACTACATGATGCATGATCGGCATCCCACTGTAGTCGTAAGTGCCTCAACGAGATAAACAAGTATTGTAGTATCATATTTCCAGACATGCTGACACCCTCAGGTCTTCTTCCTTCTCATTCTCTCCGTGTCGGAATACTTGTACCTCCCCGGCGCTTGGCCCCAGCTCCCCCTCTTCCATAAAATCACCGGACCCATCGTCATCTTCCTCCCCTACCTCTTCCTCTACCTCTCCGTCATGGCCGATCCGGGCTACATCACACCCGAGAATCACGCCTACTACATGTCCCTCTATCCCTACGACTACTCTATCTTCTTCCCCGGCCAGAGGTGCAGCACCTGCAACCTCATCAAGCCGCCCCGCTCCAAGCACTGCAGCATATGCAAGCGCTGCGTCGCCAAGCTTGACCATCACTGTATCTTCATCAACGGCTGTGTCGGCTATCAGAACCAGCACTACTTTGTCCTGCTCTTGCTGTCTACGGCCATCCTTACTTCCTACGGCGCCCTGCTCGGCTTCTCTCTGCTGTCTGGCAAGATCGGCTCGCAGTACCCAACTTGGTCTATCTGGCCGCCAAAGGGCATGGAGGTCAAGGAGTACCTGCTCATCTGGAGTTGGGCTCTGCAAGATAATGTCGGCATGGGCGCCGTCACCCTGCTCGCTACCATGACGTCGCCTCTGGTCTGGGGTCTGCTGAGCTACACCGTTTGGCTGATTTACTGTGGCACCACGACCAACGAATCGCTCAAGTGGTCGGACTGGAAGGCCGAGATGGACGACGGCTGCGCCTTTAAGCGGAGCATGCCCGCGAACCGCGTAAAGGACACGCGTTTCGAGCCGGAGCGGACGCGCTGGCCTCTAGATGCCCAGCAGATATTGGCGAGGACCGACGACGGAATGTCACCCCCGGATCACGGGCCGGGCGTGGGTGAGTGGGAGCGCGTGTGGAATTTGAAGGATGTTGAAAACCTATACGATCTGGGTCTGTGGGATAATCTGGCAGACATCTTTGTCTCCGACTACGACTTCAACGTCAAGCGCGATCAGCCGTCTGTGGAGACCCTGGACGGCAGAGGCACGCACCCAAATCTTAAGCCTTCTAGCCATACTACTAGATCAGAGGGATTTGACGCATAGAGTTAATGCAACGTATCCATCTTAGAACAAGGGTAGCCTGTAAAGTTTTGCGCCGATTGTTTCTTTATTCCTTCGTTCCTCCCTTGACATTAGCCGTGTGACCCCTAAGGTCAGAGACATCGCGAATGGTCAGGCAATGAGTACGCAGGGAAATGTAGATTTGACGTTTATCTTCGTTTCGTTTGAACATGTCTCATCTAATTCGTACCTGGGGCTGCTGAACCCAAGGATCCTCAGACGCCCAGCTACTCAAATTTTGTTAGGACAACCACGAGAATCTAATGATATATGCCATGCCTCGCATCACTCATCCAATGTTGCCGACCATTGGAAACTTTACGCTTCCTTGTCGGCAGCTCGTTTGGCGGCTGCCGAACACCCAAACGCCCCTCCTTACTCAGGAGTGTGCATTTAGAGGATGGTGCCGAAGCTGGGGAGAGAGTTAGTACTCCGTGTTACAACATACGCAAACGTGAAATAAGGACATACCCAAAGGTGCGCTTGATGCTGTTGACGTAGTATTCCTGCCAGTTGCGCTTGGTAGCCTCCTCCTCACCGACGGGGACACCATCCCAGTTGACGCGCATCAGCGTGACGTGGTCGACGTCGTTCTGATCGAACTCGATGCTGAGCTTGGAGAAGTGGCCCTCGGGCCACTGCTTCAGGCGCCAGCTCTGGACAATCTTCTTCGGTGGGTCAAGCTCGAGGTACTCGCCGGTGACGTTTCCGTCAAACAGCTCAAACTTTGCGCCCTTGATAGCGCCCTGGAAGACCTTGGGGGTGCACGGGTGAAGGCGGCGATGCGGGCGGGGTCGACGAAGGTCTGGTAGGCCTCCTCTGCTGTGGTGCGGAACTCGGCCGTGTCAGTGAGGGTCATGGTGTTGACAACCTTGCCGCTGCCGCTCTTGACGCTTGTCGAGGTGGAGGCGGGCTTCGAGGACGAGCCCTGAGCGTGGTACTTGGGCGTGGAGAAGCCGCTCGAAGGGTTGGAGCCGGGAGCATGCTGGATGTCCTTGCCGTGCTCGGCGATCAAGGCTCCAGGGAGCTTAAGGAACTCTTGGCGGAGCTTGGGCAGGAGCTTGGAGCGAACCAGGTCCTTGACGGGCTGCTTCTCCTTGGCGTCGGAGTAAATGTCGATGTCGAACTGTTCGGGCGGAGATCTTCAGTAAAACGGGGTCTTTGGAACGGCAGAGATTTCACTTGGGACCCACCACAAACTCGTCTTCCTCGGTATCGTGGGCGACCTCAGGAATAGTAATGGTGCCCGAGACTTCAGTCTCGTCAGAGGTGGTGCCTGCGCTGCGTTAGCGAGGCTCCAATCGACAACTTCACACAAGATGATACAATGGCAGGCAGAGGTTTGTCGTTGTTGAACGAGATTTTATGGGATGAAACACATGTGTTTGCATTCAAGTATGACCTACCGGTGTATTCTAAGACGAGCTTAACATCGTAAATGGTGATGACCTTGCCCTTCCTCTGGCTAACGTCGACGTCGCCATCCATGCTCACAACCTTGCTAATCTTTGCCGTGACACCGCCATCGGCAGACTCGACTTTCGTCAAGCTCTCCTCAAGATACTGCTTCGCCCAGGCCGAGGCATCCTTGTTGACCCAGTGCCAGTTGTTGGGGTTATGGAGGACCATCTTGTCGGCGGTGACTCGGTTTCTGATTTCAGGCTGCGAGATAGGAAAACGTGTGACTGTGCGGTTCCGAATTGCGGGTTAGCAAAGGGAAACGAGACGGCAGAAGATGGTGAGAGTTGTTGAAGGTTGGTTGGTGTCCCGGATCAGTGGTTGGTCAAAAGACCGCAGCGTTTTTCATCAAAGAAGGGAGTACAAATCACTCTATGACTGGTGCCAGCTGGCGTATCATCATGTTGGGAGGGAAGGCGCGGGGTAAATAAAAGGAGACGGGGAATAGGGGATTGTGTCCTTACCTCAGTGCGGATTGGCGCGTTGGGGTGTCATGTCCAGAAGCGTTTGCGCATGGAAAGAAAGAGAAGAAGGGATTAAATCTGAGCGCGGGACCTTCTTTTGAAAGAAAGCTCTAGAATTCTGACGGTCCTCCGCTGCCGGGCGGTAAATTTTCGGCCGTTTGGTTTGCCCGTTCTTGCGGCTCACCCCACCTTTAGCTCCATTGCAGCCACAGCGGTGCTGCAACTGGCCTGTGCTCCCGAGGATGGGCGGGAAAGAAGCTTCACGACCGTGCCTTCCGTTCCAAAGGGTCAGGGTAGCCGCGGCTCAAGGCCGACTACATGGTACCCAAGCGCAAAGTCATGTCGCGTCAAGATAGCCTTGCACTCAGCTGAGTTGCCGCAAAGATGTTTGTCTTCCTGCTTGCTAGCGGCAGACTGACGCTCCGACGCGGTCACGGCCAGATCGTCCGTGTCTCCATCCAGACCGGCGGTCCTTATCGCACCAGCGTTTATCAACAATCTTACAGTTGGAGTCCATTTGCTCGAACAGAGTCTTGCCTGATCAACATCGCCAGCTGGTCTGTACAACTTTATGTCATACCTGTGTTCTAATTGCGTTCTTTCTATATTCTTGTCTTAGTTTCAGGGCATACAGCAATGCAACCGGCTCGCTACTGCAGCTTTCTTTTTCTCTTCATCTTGTACCAGATCCCTGGATAGATTGAAGAGATCCCTTCTGGCCAGCTCACACAAACCCCGTACGCAAATATAGACTTATAATGACCGGGGGATTCTTTGATTGCTAAGGATAATGCGCACTAATGTTCACCACTCAACCACTTTCCAAACGGATATCCATAGATCGCACACTGCTTAGACAATAGCGAACTGCCGGACAAACACCCGCAGGCATACGACTGCACGACCCTGGTAATGGCTCGTACAGTCTAGCTCACCAAGATAGCAACCTGCAACCCTTGTGAGTCTGGCTGGGATTTAAGTGAAACGACTGATTTGCATGCCAACATGTAATATGAATAGCTTCCAAGCCGACTTCTGGAAGCCGGATGTGGTCGCTCCCGATCGGTCAGCGTCCACACTAGGCTTGCTATCAATTGCCGCGCCTCTTCGCAGGGGTTTGTACGCTTTGCGATAGCCATTAAGTGATTACGTTCTGGCCATCGCATTCACACGATGTCACCGTGAGGGGCAGAGGGATGGCATCTCTACGATATATGCAACATCAATGAACTTCATTGGAACCACAACCTGCATATATCCCAGTGCCCATGCATGAGATTACACCGACGCAGGCAACCTCGATATCAAGATGCGGCGAGACATCAAGCTCTCAAGGCTTTGATGAATACCAAGCTGAAGATGTGCCCAGTGAAGTGAATTCTAGGCTCACGGATACCTCACGAGTCAACTGTCAGAATCGAAGCGACGAATGACAGGCATATCAATATTTAGAACATCTCCGCCTGTTCTTGGGTCTCCCCGCAGCGCTAGCTACATCCTCGTGGAACCTTACTTAGTCTAATTACGTTGGAGATGCTCCGCATCATGTGCAAGTCCCTCAGGTACCTTAATCATCTCCAAAAACCAACCACCCGACACATCTTGCACAACGGCTAGGTGAGTGATGAGTCGGTGAGCATAACCCCCAAGACCTGGTCACTGACTAGGATCAAAGGTTACCATACCAGACGCTAACGCGTGCCTCTTCTTGAGGATGCCGACCCACGACTCGAATCACACTTCCAGGCTCGAGGGGACGGGCGAGCATCGAGAGGAGACACGGCTAAGAGATCAGTAGAGGCTGTTGGAGCCTCGGACAAATCAATGGGCATTTTAAGCGCCGACAACCACCTAGACACTCTTTTCACAGTGCCATCAGCCAATCAAGCCCTCAACATGCATGCTGTACTAGCCAGGATCCTAGGAGGGTTCCAAGAATAGATTGGCCTCCCGTTAGACAGCCGACCAATCGTTGGTGTCCCTTGCCAACATCTCCACGAGTTTCTTCTCTTGGCTCCATCAAAAGACAGGCCACTTTGGGCCGGACCCTGGCGCGATGCTCACTCGCCTTTCCTCTTCTTGGGCAGTGGCAGGTCGCTACGGGACTTCGTCAATGCTGTCTACCATGCTTACGTTTTCTCGTTGGTCGTTCATGCTAAGGTCTCAAGGTCTGTTAGCCGTACCGACACGATGTTACGAGCTTGACTCTGAGCGCCTTTTCCCCTCTTCTTCAGAATGCCGCTCCGGCCGATGGACGGTCGTGCGCAGTACCACACCATGTCATCATTCTGAAATGGGAAAAGAAAGCCAGAGATTGGAATGATGGACCCGAGACAACAACGGCAGCGCGATAGCAGCATCACACCTTCTGCGCGCCCGCCATGCAGTTGCAGCCACATGGGATATTGATGGGCCCTGTCATCGCCGCGCAGTGCCCTTCATCGTCCCAATGCTACCAACAAAGCAAGTGCGGTTTGCAGGCGGAAGAGATGGATGCATCCCCCTCTCAACTACCTCAGTTTCCCTCCCATGTACCGCGTCCCGCTATGAGGTACATTGATACCCTGCATCAATGCCGGGAGCAAGCAAGTCACCCGCCTCAAAGGCATCCGGTTTGCTCCATCAACCCGTCGTTGAGCGGCGAGTGCTTTGGTCCGGGCTTTCATATCCACCATCGTGCTTTTGCTCCGGGACCCGGCTGCTATTCCTGTCTTGCCATGGTGCTACTGAAATCCCGCTCTCTCTGCGAGCCCCTCCCTCTTTAGTCAATGTCTCGTCTTAACCTCCCAAGAGTTGGGTGTCGCAGGGGTGTACTACTTGTTGGCGGGCGATCAAGTGTGAGCCACCATCCCTGGTACCCTCCCATACGTGAGAGGCACGTCTATACCTCCGTATGCAGGAGGTTGACCACACTGCAGCGGCACCAGACCCGGCCTGGCCGCAGACATCTCTTTTATCTTCTGCATCCTCCCACCCAAAATTTGTTCCCTCTGCTTCAGCCGCGCCCTCCCACCTTTCGGTGTGACACGACCTTACCTGCCGGCTGTCTGTCCGCTCTCCTGGTTGTGTGGTGTGTTCCGCGACATGAGATTGTCATTCCCACGCTCAAGTTGAACGGGTTGGTAAAGAGAGGAAGAAGAACAAAGAGGTCAACAACCTGCTGCTGGCTCAGGTTTGCTTGGCCACGACACGGGTCTAAGCCTCCATTATCCTCTTCAACTATCCCGCGTATCGTTCCGAGCCCCAACCTTTGCTCAGATCCTAGCCGTCGCTTGAGTCTCTCAGCGTCCACCAACCCGGCTGATCATGAGCAACCCTCGCGATCCAACCCGGTTGCGACAGGGTCTCAATCCGCTGTTAACTCAGTCTTTGGGTGCCTATCACAGCCAGATCAGCACCCCGCTGTCCGGTGTGTCCTCGACGCATTTGCACTCGGCTCACACACCGGCGAGCGCAATCCAGCCCTACAACCCGCAAGAATGGATAGCTTCGCCTGCTACCGGCCCCGAGCGGCCGCATCCGTTTCCGGAACAAGGTAACACTGTTAAACCCCAACTGCGCTGAGTTGGCTCCGCTAAACAACCTTAAGGATCGCCGTTGCCCCCTCCTCCATATAGCCCTCCACGGAGCCAACGGCCGCCGAGTGGCATCTTCGAGTCCTCGCCAGCGGCCAATACATCGGCGGCACGCATTCCTCCGACAAATCTTCATAGACCGTCCCCGGAACCTTCCACGAACACATCTTTCCCTCCGCCTCCGGGTGCCAATGGTCGAGGAGGCTCCCGTGAAAGACGTTTTGGCTTCCCTTCCCTCAGACGGAGTAGGGAACACCACGATTCAAGTCCTCCTGAGCCCATGCCACCTATTTCACTGTCGAGACCGGCGCCCCTTCAAATACAGATCCCACATCCTGTACCACACCGCAACGATTCCGGCTCTTCCCAGGGACCGCCTGCGGCTCGACGAGCTGCTTCCGCAAGTGCTGTTGAGACACCGACTTCGGCTCGCTCACGCTCAGCATCGCAAACAAGATGGGAGCCTGGAATGCCACTCCCACCGCCGCCACCAGTGCCGCCACCAGCTTCGTCTCGTTCTCAGAGCGTTCAGAGCTCACAGAGAACGACAACGCCCATGGCATCACCACCCACGAGGCGGCCACCACCAAGCGGTGTGGCAGCTCTGGGCCCAGTTCCTCCAACCCCTGCGGATTGGGTTGATCAACCCGAAGAGGCGAATGGTGCTTCTCACCGCAGGTCTTCCCCTGGCCTGACTATCGACACCGCCAGTGCCGCAAGCTCAGCTCAGACGGGAGAGTCAAGCAACTCTGGCGCACTTAGCTCTGGTGGAAGCCTTAACCGGGCGAGAGCAGTCCGTCACGACAAGACCATTGTCCAACGTCGCGCAGAAAGTCGCACTAGACACGGAGGACCACATAACTCAATAGACGGGACCATCAATCCGGTCCAGCTTAGCGATATTGTCGTTCCGAACGAAGGCACGCTTTCTCGCCGTTTGACAATCAGTAGATCAACACCAAGAAGCGGAGGACGGACAGCAAACGACACACCCAGGACTGATGAGCAGTCTACAACACCACGGGCACCTGGGTCATCTCAACGGCCTCGAATTGAAGCTGCGACGCCACCTTTCTCACCTCACCCATCGAAAGGCACCCCAATGATTGAAGGTTCACCAAGCATAATTCCGAAGGCATTGCCAACGCCGCCTCCTCAAACTCGATCGGCATCCAGCTCCCAAACAAGATTCAGTTCTATAACCCCTGCGGATGAGCCCCCGTCGGCATCTGTCTCGACTACGAAGCATATTGTTATCACGCAGACTGCCGACCAGTTTTGCAGTGAGACGATTGAGCGGTTCCAAGCATTCGCCATGCAGGAGTCCACGGCGGCCACCGATGCCGAACGTGTTCGGATTTTTGCCGACTTCATTGTGAGTGAGTCGAGGATCAGGCGCGAAAGATACTCGTCCGCAATCGGTGCCATGGGTTCAGAGATCTTCGATCTGACAAGAGATCTGTTCCGCCCCATGGTGACGAGACGGGAATCCGGGGCCTCCCAGGCTGAGTGGACGCCCCAATCATCTGAGCCTACACGATCGCATCGCGGTTCGCTCAACTCGATCTACCGCGAGACGCCCGGAGAGTCCAGTTCTGCCCCTGCGTCAGCAAACATGCCGGGTTCGCCCATCGGTGGTCCTACAAACAACCCCAATTATTCATCCAACTACATGCCGTCTCTTTCTCCGATATTGAGCCTCAGCGTCAGCGACAACTATGACGGCGACTCCCGAGGTCGCCCAGCGAGTAGGTGGTGGGAAGCAGACTCTTCAGGGGAGGGCGGCAAGTTTATTGAGAGATCCAAGAGAGAGTCCAAGTACATGGGCGTGCCCAAGGAAGCTCGGGAAGCACTTCAATGGGAGGACAGCCCGCAAAGATCTGATACGTTCGCGGGGCCAAGCGACTCGGGCTCTTCGAATGATTACCCGCCCGAAAAGACGGGATGGCATGAGCAGGAGCCAGTAGTCACACCCCAGCCATTGCGGTACTCTGCAAACTCTCTCGGATCTTCAGCTTCACCCACGACGCCAAACCCGGCCCACTTGGATGTCTCCCGTCTCGTCACTCTGCCACCACCTTATCCCCGCCATCACCCAGCCGTGAACAATAACCACCCTGAGCTTACCGAGACGAGGATGGCCGTCCGTAAAATCAGCGACCTCTCCGAGATCGAAGCCACCAAGGAAAGGTTCCAGGTGACTAGCACCAAGAAGCGCGAGGAGGCCGCAAAAGCCTCTGCTGAACGGCGACATGCTCTGCGGAACAACCTCCAGCAGGAGGTCAATGTCGGCAACATGTCCTTTGCCGAGGCGTCAGCCATCGAGCAAGATTCCGTAGCCGCCGAGAAAGAGAAGCTAAAAGAACTCGGCAAGACGGAATTTGAGCAGTTCCAAAGCCAGGTTGTCATGCCGCTCAACGATCTCGTCACCGGCCGCATCGCAAAGGCCACGGCACTTTTCGACAAGCTGGCGAGTGGTCTCTTCGACGACGTCGCCAGCGCGGCGGATATGCCGCAGGAGGAAGGTGACGACAAGCCCGAGCTACTCGAGAAACTGACACTGCTCAAGTGGATATTCGAAGCTAGGGAGATGCTGCACCGGGCCATCTACGACATTCTCACAGACCGCAATAACCGGTACCGTGAGGTCGTGCTGACGCCCTACCGGCTCGCCGGCAACGAAGAGAAGCTCCGCAATGCCGTGGGCTTCTTCGCCGAGGATGCCGCGAAGCGGCAGCTGGCGTTCGCGCACGAGGTGTTCGCGCGCACGCAGGAATTCCAGGCAGTCATGGAGCAAAACGTCATGCGCGGCGTCGAAGTGCAGCTTTCGGCGTTCTGGGACATCGCGCCGCCTCTGTGCCGGCTGTTGGAAAAGATCCCGCCGTACCTTGAGAACTTTAACATCCAGATCCCGACAGCCGAGTACGAGGAAAACCCGTCGTACCACAGGCACCCACTCCAATACCTTTTTAGTCTGCTCCTGCACACGGAGAAGAGCACATACCAGTTCATTGAGTCACAAACGAACCTGCTCTGCCTTCTGCACGAGGTCAAGGAAGCTGTGACGCACGCCAAGGCCCGGGTCGTTCAGAGCGAGGCCGAGGATGGCGAGGGTAGGGAGTATGGCGAAGAAGAGCGTGAGGCGCGGGCGCAGCATCTGCGGCACGAGGAGGGCCAAGTGCTGACGGTCGACTTGAAGGAGAAGGTGCGTGTCGTCCAGGACCAGTGGACCAGCGCTCTGGGCGAGAACATAAAGAATGTCAAGCAGATGTTGGGGGAATATCTGTTGGAGACGGGGGGTTGGGATGAGACTCTGGAAGAGGGCGGCGTGGGCAGTGTCTAGAAACTGTTGGGGCCGAGGATACTCGGAAAACACAAGAGGATGGGTTATGATTATTGTTCACGGCTTCGAAGACGTTGATACCCCTTTGCGTATGTAACGACTCTTATTTTCACACTTCTTGTACATATTTGCTTGAGAAGCGCTAGATATCGGATTTGCAGCCCAGGAATCACTAGATATGGCACGAAGAGATGAGAGTAAGAAGCTCGGATTTCTTAACCTGGTTCGAGTGTATCGGAAATGTGACATGTTGCTTCCCTTTGCTAGAAGGGCTTGTCCTCTATCGACTTTCGGACATGGATGAATGTCTCTTGGTATGTTTTCCAACCCAAACGCCCGCCACGTGTAATGTACATATATAACAAGATGCAAAAACAGCCCACTGGCGGAAGAGAAACCCGCCGTCGTCGTGGTTTACCCGTATTCATAACGGGAAGATGTTCAGTCGGTCCTTATGGTAGATGGTCCTTATTACCAAGCCGATAATGTCGGAGGTCTCGCTCGGACAACCGAGCCTCGTGCATCGGCTAGCGTCCGTCCGCATCTTCCGCGATTCTTCGGCAATCTCCAGATCAACCCAATCGACTTAACTGCTCATTCCAAACGGTCCTTGAACTCCTTGGGCAGGTCCATGCCGACCCTCCGGGCCGTCAGGCGCACGCGCTCCTCCTCGTCCATGTTCATGCCCGGGTTATAACGCTCGAGGAGGGTGACGTAGGTGCGCTGGGCGCGGAGGTAGGCGGCGAGCTGCTCCGCCTCCGCAGCGGCTGTGTTGGCCTCGACGGCGTTGGTGTTGGCCTGAGTGAAGCTGGCGCGGAGGCGGTTGTGGATGGGAGAGCGCTCGCGAGCGAGGACGGGACGGGGTGGGAGCTCGCGCAGGAGGGAGCGGTAGATGGAGCGGAGGCGGGTTGCGGCCGTCATTGTGTAAATGTAGCCTGGTGGGCTTGGTCTTCAGCTGTTTCCGTTAAGGTGGAATTCGGATTGGAAGTATCGAGGTAGTGTTGGCGGCGATGATGGTGGTGAGCAAATGCGATGGAATATTTTTGGGGGGAGTTGCAGCGATTCGCGGTGGACGGAATTGAGAATTCAAGGTCAGGGTCCTCCCGTCTTTACCTTGGAGCTTGCCTTGCGGCGGTGGATCCCTGCTGCTGCACCGCTGTGTATGTACTATGTAGGTACAGTGCAGTGAGACCGGCACCTCAGGCACCAAGACCATGGCTGGCACTCTAGCTCTCGCATCAGTGTCTAGGTATAGCGGCAGTCGTTGCACACTCAGGCGGCTGTCGGCCATGATCCCCCGCACCGGCACCGGGAGCAGTGGGCACGGATGGAGGGGTTTTACCTTGGACTGGCACTGGCAATGGGGAAATGCCCCTCGACGGCGCATTCTCAGCTCCAAGTCTCCAACAAAACCATCAGAGCTAACGAAGTGTCCCCCTTCGAGTCAGGCTTTTCTCCTTCGTCCCCTCCCCTCTGCTCGCACGCATATCCACAGAACGACAAGTGGATGATTTGGTGAAAAAGCCGATAGGTATTAACTGCAATCATTGGCCGTTCCAAGGCCAATTGCCCGTTTGTGCGTCCACATTTGCATCGAAAAAAGTGCTAGACGATACCCCTCGGAGGACCCTCGCATGACGCAACAGCTTGCCTTCCTGAAGCATCCCGGCCCAGGCCAGACCAAAAAGTCATCCTGCACTCACACACGCACACCTTTGACCCCGTCTTAGAGTTCTATGCCCTCCAACGTCCAACCACCAGATAAGACGAGACAGAAACCCACCAGGTCCTCGTCTACACCCTTCCTCTTCATCTCTTCCATACTAGTCGTGACGCTGGCCATCCTGTCCCTACGAGCCATCCCCCGGCTCTCCCTTCTCTCGAACCACCTCCTCCCTGCGACCATCCTCACCAACGCCCCGCGCGCCTTCTTCTCGACTTTAAAGAACCCGGCGCCCACCATGTCCTCGTACGCAAAGGAGCTCGAGGTCGCCCAGCTGGCCGTCCAGCGCGCCTCCATCCTCACCAAGCGCGTCTTCCACGAGAAGGCAAAGGGCACCGTCGACAAGAACGACAAATCCCCCGTCACCATCGGCGACTTCGGCGCCCAGGCCCTCATCATCGCCGCCCTCCGCCACCACTTCCCCGATGACGAGATCGTCGCCGAGGAGGAGGCCGCCCAGCTGCGCTCCGAGCCCGCCCTGCGCGACCAGATCTGGGAACTCGTCCGCACCACCAAGCTTGATGACCCCTCGGCTGAGTCCTTCCTCGGCGGTGCCATCGAGTCGCCCGAGAGCATGATGGACCTCATCGACCACGGCAACAGCAAGGGTGGCGCCGCCGGCCGCATCTGGGCCATCGACCCCATCGACGGCACGAAGGGCTTCCTCCGCGGAGGCCAGTACGCCGTCTGCCTCGGCCTCATGGTTGACGGCGACGTCAAGGTCGGCGTTCTCGGCTGCCCCAACCTCCCCGTCGACGATAAGGCGCCCCTGACGGCCGACATCGGCTCCAACGCCAACGACGACACGGGCTACGGCGTCATCTTTTCCGCCGTTCTCGGCCAGGGCGCTACCTCCCGCCCGCTGCGCACAGGCGCCATCGCCGAGGGCTCCCCCATCTCCATGAGGCCCATTACCGAGATGTCGGCGGCGACCTTCTGTGAAAGCGTCGAGGCCGGCCACAGCGCGCACGACGACCAAGCGCAGATCGCCGCCAAGCTTGGCATCACCAAGCCCAGCGTCCGTATGGACAGTCAGAGCAAGTACGGCTCCATCGCTCGCGGCGCGGGCGACATCTACCTGCGCCTGCCTGTCAAGGCGACGTACCAGGAGAAGATCTGGGACCACGCAGCGGGAGACCTCATCGTGCGCGAGGCCGGCGGCCAGGTTACGGACATCCAGGGCAAGAGGCTGGACTTCTCCGTCGGCCGGACGCTGGCGAACAACAAGGGTGTCATCGCCGCGCCGGCCGCAGTGCACGGGGATGTGTTGAAGGTTGTTCAGGAGGTTCTGAGCTCAAAATCCAGCTAGAGAAAGTACAGGGGATAGATCTGTCTCTTTTTCTTGAAGAAGCAGCAAAATAAAAAATAGTATACAATGTGTCTTTTGCCCCCCCCCCCCCCCCCCCCCCCCCCCCCCCCGTCCGTACAGTGATATACAGCTATACACAGCCCTCCGGCTCTCCGGTCAACACGCACCACATTCGGTTCCGTCGTAGCGGTGCCATCCACCCATCCACACGCCTCATCCACCACCCCTGGATTATCTATTTGATCTTCTTCTGCTTCAGCTTGATGGTCTGATCGTTGATGAAGACACCCTTGCCCTTGTATGGTTCCGGCGGCCGCCACTTGCGCACGCGGCCAGCAAAGCTCATGATCTCCTCCCGGTCGATGCCCTCAAGCAGGATGCGCGTTGGGCTCGCCGCCGTCGCCTTGACGCCCCGCGGGATGCCCAGCTCGACCGGATGCGTGAAGCCGAGCTTCAGGCAGAGGAATTTTTGGCCAGGGAACTCCTCCTTGGCGCCTCGCTGCTCGACGGTCGCGCGGTATCCGATACCCACAAGACGGAGGATCGCCGTATGGCCCTCAGAGACGCCCATGATGTAGCGCTGGAGGTAGGCCCATGTCGTGCCTATAGGTAGAGGAACAGGTTAGCAAGCGGTCCAATTGGCGAGTTCGTAAGGCCAAGGAAGAATTCTCGCACGAGCCGGAGCTCAAGCTTCTTCCCAAGGGATAAAGGGGACACAGGCAAAAACTCACCCCACATCTCGCTCTGCTCCTTGATGTTCGAGTCCTCGACACTGAGAAGCGCACGCTTGCCCTCTACATCGTGGTCGATCTTCAAGAAAGGCGGGATCTCGAGATCCAGTTTGCCTAGTCCAGTCCAAGAATTAGCATCCCCCGATTCTCTATTTGCGTAGGCTGCTTAGCCAGAGAGCTAGGACAAGCACGAACCCAGGGGCCCCGTGACGGTGACAGTCCTCTTGTACACCTTGAGGTAGCTCGTCGGGTCCTTCTTCAGCTTCGGCTCGCTAATGGCCAGCTCTACGCCGGGCGGGATCGACAGGGGCGTCCGGCCGAGCTTCGAGTGTCGTGTCGGCGTCGAGGAGAACTGTCTTCGGGACAACAGGGGCTTTTGCTGTTGCAGGGCCGGCACGAGAAAGGCCGGTATCGTCGTTGCTGGCGAGGCGGCGAACGCCTGCCTCAATGCCGTTCCGCGGCTGGAGGCAAGCATTGTGGTCGTCGAATGGCAAGCTTCACCCTCCCAAATACGCGCTCCGTCGTGTGTTGCTCGACAGATGGGATTAGGGACCTTCAGGAACTTTTCCACGTCTTAGTCATCCATATGCGATCCACTTTGCGGGTCCTTCCGATTGGCCCTGGTTCAGCTCCTGATGCACGCTCAGGATGCGTTTGATCTGTCAGTCACGAGGGCGGTTGGTCTACTTCTTGTAGATTGAAAAATTTGATGAGAAAGTTTAGAAGTGTCACGATTGCCAAGGAACTATGCACCGGTGTTGCCAATAATGTGTACAGAGTAATCTCTGATTCTTCGTACTCGTTTTGATACGTCAGGCGAACTACTAAGAGAGGTATATCTAGAAGCCCATTTCCCGGCAAAGGGCCGGGACCGCGAAGCGAAATGCCACCACAAACGGGTTGGCGGGAGACATAGTCAGGTAACAGCGGTTTGAGACAACGCTTAAACCTCCTCCTCAAGAGGGACGTCCTCCTCGTACTCCTCCTCCTCCTCGTCAACACCAGCGTCCTGGTACTGCTGGTACTCAGAGACCAAGTCGTTCATGTTGGACTCGGCCTCAGTGAACTCCATCTCGTCCATACCCTCACCAGTGTACCAATGCAAGAAAGCCTTGCGACGGAACATGGCAGTGAACTGCTCACCAACGCGCTTGAAGAGCTCCTGGATGGCGGTAGAGTTACCGACGAAGGTGGAGGACATCTTGAGGCCGCGGGGAGGAATGGAGCAGAGGGCGGTCTGAACGTTGTTGGGAATCCACTCGACGAAGTAAGAGGAGTTCTTGTTCTGGACATTGCGCATCTGGTCCTCAACGTCCTTCATGGCGACCTTACCACGGCTGGGAGAGAAAAGTCAGCGGGTGCTGGCAAAACAGTTGCAGATAGGAACTTACAAAATGGCAGAGCAGGTCAGGTAGCGACCGTTGCGGAAGTCAGAGGCAGCCATCATGTTCTTGGGGTCGAACATCTGCTGGGTGAGCTCGGGAACGCTGACAGCGCGGAAGGAGTGGGCGCCACGGCTGGTCAGAGGAGCGAAGCCGACCATGAAGAAGTGGAGACGAGGGAAGGGAACCATGTTGACGGCAAGCTTGCGCAGGTCAGAGTTCAGCTGACCGGGGAAACGCAGGCAGGTGGTGACACCGGACATGACGGCGGAGACGAGGTGGTTCAGGTCACCGTACGAGGGGTTGGAGAGCTTGAGGGTACGCATGCAGATGTCGTAGAGAGCCTCGTTGTCAATGCAGAAGGTCTCGTCGGAGTTCTCGACCAGCTGGTGGACGGAGAGAGTGGCGTTGTAGGGCTCAACGACGGTGTCGGAGACCTTGGGGGAGGGAACGACGGAGAAGGTGGCCATCATGCGGTCGGGGAACTCCTCGCGGATCTTGGAGATCAGCAGAGTACCCATACCGGCACCGGTACCACCACCGAGGGAGTGGGTGATCTGGAAGCCCTGGAGGCAGTCGCAGCCCTCAGCCTCGCGGCGGACGACGTCGAGGACTTGGTCAACGAGCTCAGCTCCTTCGGTGTAGTGACCCTTGGCCCAGTTGTTGCCGGCACCGGACTGGCCGAAGACGAAGTTGTCGGGACGGAAAAGCTGACCGAAGGGACCAGCGCGGACAGCGTCCATAGTACCGGGCTCCAAGTCGACGAGGACGGCGCGGGGGACATACTTGTTGCCGGAAGCCTGGGTAGATGAGAAGGTCAGTATTCGTCAATAGGTTTGTCTGCACCCTTGGGGGCTAGGATAACAAACTTCGTTGAAGTAGACGCTCATGCGCTCGAGCTGGAGCTCAGAGGTGCCGTTGTACCTATTGGGAAATTAGCGGTCAAGTCACGGAAGTGGCCAGATCAGTAGGTCGACAACATACACGCCATTGCTGTCGAGGCCGTGCTCGCCAGAGATGTTTTGCCTATGGCAGAGTTAATAATTGGTTATCTTTCAAGATCGATCTCGCCGAGTCTTTGACGTCGGGTTGGCTACGCACCAAAAGGCAGCACCAATCTGGTTACCCTATTCAAAGCAGTTAGCCCCGCACTCGGGTTCGTTGGGTTGGCATCAGGAAAGACTTACGCACTGACCGGTCTGGAGGTGAACCTATCGAAAGAAACAATCAATGGTCAGCGAAATATTCCCTAGGTAAGAGCAGTTGGTGATGGTATCGTGGTCGTGTTCGGTGAGGACCAGTATTGGGTGGAAATGTCGGCGGGGTACGCTCAGGGGCAAGCCCAATTATTCGTCTTCGGACGCGTCGCAGGTTTGTTGTGATGATGGGAGAGATAATCACTTACAATCTCACGCATTTTGAATGATGGGAGGCTCTTGAGCTAACTGGGCCGACGTTGAGCAATGGAGAGGACGAGTGCGAGGTGCTTGAGAGCTACGCGAAGCTTCCAAGGCGGACGTGGTTGGAGAGTGGGCGAGGTCAAGGTGTGGTTAGGTAGGGGGAGAGGTTGTTGATTTTTGTTTGCGGGTAGATGTGATTTTGTTCACCGCCACGGGCCCGGGTGGACAACAGAAGACAGGCCAGCGGCCCAGAGACAGGCCAGAGAGGAAGGGGTGCAGCTCGCTTGTTTACTATTGGGGCCCGTGCATGACCCTGATTCGGGAAAGACCAGTGCAAGGCGCTATTTAGCGGTGGGGTCGCGGCGAGTCGAGGTGGCAGCAGATTGGCAGGCACGGAAGGTCACCCAGGTACGTGCCCGGTGGTCCCTGTTTTTCTTCTCCTCTATTCTCTCCGATCCGAGACCCGGGGTGGCCGACTGCGCTGAGGCACCCAAACATTCAACGACACGTCTAGACATGCATTCATCATAAGGTGAGGCTTCGACGCTGCAGAGTCGTCAACGAGGGTCCGGGCAGCAAGAGGTCGCCGAGTTCTCCGCCCTTACAGCGAAGACTCACCACCTACTAGCCCAGTGTCAAATCACGGAGCCTCAGCCAATTGCATTGTTTGGCCCTGTCTTCGAGCGCCAACCAGAAACGCTAAATTACAAGTGGAGCCCAACAGTGCAGGGATCCCATTGCTGTCAAATGAGCTAACGGTGTGCCTGAGAGCTATCAAAATGGGCTGGACAGGACGTAGCTCGACTTCCCCCAAAGGGGTTCTTGGTGACTGACAACTCAGGCATTCCATTCTTCAAGATGGTCTGATATCTATGGAGACTATTAACCCACTTACGAAGATCCCTCCGCCTAGTGAGCCTTGACAACACCAGCCGCGTCGGCCTGAGATGCGATTCTCTTCTTGTAGGCCTGGACATCGCCAGGGAACTTCTCAACCGTGCCTCCGTCGCACACCCAGAGAGAGGTGCACACCGTCTGCAACATGGTGACATCGTGAGAAACCATGAGGACACCGCCCTGGAATTCCTTCAGAGCAGAAGCAAGCGCATCCATCGCCTCAATATCGAGATGGTTGGAAGGCTCGTCAAGAACCAAGATGTGGGGGTTGGTAAGGGCAAGGCATGCAAAGGCAACACGCGACTTTTGACCTCCAGAAAGCACCGCCATCTTCTGCAGGCCTGTTGTACCCGTAATGCCAAAGGCACCAAGTTGTCTGCGGTACTCCTCATCTGTCCTACCCGGGTATTCCTTAGCCATGAACCCAACGGCGCTCATGGTCAGGTCCAAGGCATCAACGTGATGTTGGGCAAAGAAACCAACGCGCAGACGGGGGTTCTGCGAAATCAGACCAGAAGTAGGCGACAGCTTTCCGATCAACAGCTTAAGGACAGTTGTTTTACCCGCACCGTTGGGTCCGACAATTCCGATTCGAGAATCCAGCTGCACGTCAAGGTCAACGTTGCGCAACAAGATGTTGTCCTTGTTGTAACCAAACGTCACGCCAGTCATCTGGATGATGGGAGGCGTCATCTTCTCGACATCGGGGAACTTGAAGTGCACGCTGTATTCGGTCTCGGGCGGTTCGAGTATCGGCATCTTCTCGAGTTTCTTGATACGCGACTGAGCTTCCGAAGACTTGGCTGCGTTGTATCTGAACTTGTCGATGAAGGCCTGAAGATGGGCTCGCTGCGCCATCTGGTTCTCGTACTCTCTCTTGGCTGTCTTCTTGCGCTCTTCACGTGTGGCGTAGAAGGACTCGAAGTTGGCTCCGCGGTAGTAATCGAGGCGCTGAGAGTGCTGGTGAATGATGTCTGTCGCGATTTCATTGAGGAAGGCTCTGTCGTGAGAAACCACCAAAACGGTACTGGGATATCCTTGGAGGTAGTTCGAAAGGAAGGCAATTGAGGGAACGTCCAACATGTTGGACGGTTCATCAAGAAGTAGCAAGTCGGGCTCGCAAAACAGCGCTCTAGCAAGAGCCAGACGCATACGCCAACCACCGGAAAAGGTCTTGGTGGGATATTGCTGGCGTTCGGCCGAGAAACCGAGACCGGCCAAAATACTTGCGGCTCTTGATTCGGCTTTGTCAGACTCCATCTCAGCCAGCTTGCCCTGGATGTCACCGAGGCGGTTGTCCTGGGCTTCTCTTTCTTTGTCGAGTCTGGCAGCGTCGGCCGAGGTATCAGCCAAGCCGGTTCGTTGACTCTCGATGTCTGCCAGCTTTTGTGTGATTTCCTAACAAATTATCAGCGCCTGGCAGCAAATGCAAGCGGCCAAGATTTGGGGATGACTTACAGCCTGTTCTTTAAGAAGGACCTTGCGCCATACGTCGGCGTCGAGCACGGCTTGAATTGCGGGGGTATCGTCTCCAGTAAGCTAGATAAGCGTCAGCTATAAAGTGAGGTACACCCTGGGTATTTGGTGGTTCTTACCTCCTGTTCGACATGGAGAATGGTGATGTGAGGCGGAATGGGCAGTTCTCTGCGAGACAGAGCACGTAGAAGCGTAGATTTACCCACACCGTTGTGACCAACGAGACCGTATCTGTGACCGTAGGACAAAGTCAAGTCGGTATCAGTGACAATGCGCTGACCGCCGATGGACACATCGATGTTGTCCAACTTGATGTCCTTGGTCTTGTTGGCGCCAGAACCGCCGATTTGCAGCGGGTTAACTGCCATGTAAAACTCTTCGTAGGACTGAGTAGACTCCGGCTCGTCGAGCAACCTGGAAGCCTCGTACTCGACCGTCTTGAAAGTCTTCTTCTGCTGCTTGGCGGCAATCTTGCGCTCGGCCTTCTCCAGCTTCTTGCGGTCAACCTTGGACTCGACCTTGCGAGCGTTTGCGGACTCGAGATCGACAGCTCCAGTGGAAACGGCCAGGGTGGAAGACATGTTTCGCTGAGAGCTGACCTGGAAGGTCTCGTCAAGTCGCCTCACAGCAGAAGGACCACTTCGAAGACCGCCATTAGCTTCAGTGTACTTCTCAACCCATTTCTCGACGAGCTTCTCAATCTTTTCCTGAAGCTTGGCGTCCGGCTTTCCAGAGGCAGAGAGCAGCAACTCGGTGACAGTAGCAGCAGCCTCCGCAATGGGTGAAGGGCCGGATTGGTCCTCCTCGTCGGAGTATATGGTCGAGGCGTGAGTCAAGTAACCGACCGAGTACTCAGAGAGTACCGGGTCGATGTTGGGTAGCACGGTTCTGATCTCGGCGTCCATTTTGACACAACAGCTGCAAGTTTGTGATGGTGGGGTGAAGGAATCGGAAGGTGTTAATTCCTCGGAAGATAGAAGGGTTTACGCTGTGAACAATCGTCTCGCGGGAAGAACGATCGGCAAGAATTGAATCCGTGCAGTTATCTCTTCGCCAGACTGATTCTGTTGGCTGGTGGCGACCTCATCGACAGTCGGTTGCGATATTCAGAATGAGCCTCAAAGATGTGGGCCCGAGCCCGGTGCCCTGCCCGGGCCGCCGGTCACTCAAGGGATAAACCTCGGCCCGTAGGTCTTCCAGATGGCGCTATGTCAGCAAAACCGACGATCGGATCCCAACCAATGAACGTCTTGCATCGAGAGCATTTGCATTTCAACGACGAAACTGTTCCTCCAAATCCTTGACCAATCGTATACAAGTTCTTGGAGCAAGCCGAACAGCATCATGTTTGTTCTACTCGTATCGAGTAGCTTCTGTGTACGAGACATATGAGCTACTGCCAGAGATACAAACGAACTCTTTGTCTCTGAATAAACCGACCGAATGGGTGGCCATTGATGATTGACATGACACTGTGGAGTCGGTTGAGACAAACGGGCGGAACGGTAATCTTCCACAGCCCGGATGGAATGCTCTATCAATTAGGATTTGCCACAGCCGTCACCGACATTTCCTGGCCGAAACCGTATGAAACTCATGGTCTCGATTCGACAGAGGCCAGCTGAAATGCATTTGCAGGGCCTAGCTCAACTCGCATCAACGAATCAGAAAGCGTAGGTCATAAGAAAGTCTCGGGCCAGGTACCCTGCTGCGTATCAACTATCAAAAAACCAGACGCGACCTGCGGAGATGGGCAAATATCCTGGATTTTGTTTCGTGCAGCTGCAAGCAAATCGCGTCAACTGTAGCACGCGCGCGACGACCTGCAGGAAACCATTGTTGCGTGGCAACCAATCATGGTTGCTTTTGTGTAGGAGCACACAACTTAAGGCTCTTGACAAGGAGATTAGGATTCGGGCGAGGTAGAGGAAAACTCTGGCCCTACTCGGCGCCATGCTACGCCATGCTGCGCTATGCGCTGGAGATCCGTCCGGGGATCCCAGCAGCAGGATAAAGTTGTCCCAATGTTCGATCCTTCTCTGCACAACCCAACCTGTGCAAGCTTAGACAGCATATATTCCGTCTGCCTGGACAGGCCACGCGAGGACGAAATTGGTAGCATCGCCGCAATCAGTGTCTCGGATCGAAATGAACGATAGGAAATCGAGCGGCAGGAAAAACAAAAGTCGAGATATCGCGATTGACAACACTGCAGCAACACTATCAACGCTTTCGGCATCATCGACTGCAAGGAGCAGCTTGGCTTCTTCTCCCGGTTAGGATTCCACGTCATCTTTGTCAAGTCACAGTTCGGTCATTGTCTCCTCACCTCGGCGGAGCCAACGGCACGCCGCGCACACGAAGTTGATTGTGGGAAGTCCCCGGTCCCGTATCGCATCAGAAGCTGCAATGAAGTGGGAACATCAGCTGACCCTTGGAAGCCGGTCTTGCTCCCCTGAATCTTTCGTTCTATGTACCATACGACATTGTTCCCGCTCAGAGTTGCATGCGGACATATGGTGCAACCATGGAGGCTTTGCATTAGGGGTTCTTGAAGGGAAACCTTAATACCAAGGGAGGCAATGGCAGCCTGTTTCTACGTCTACCGCGCCCTTGATATTGTAAGAAATGTTCGAATTGAGCGATTTGCGTCCATTCAGGCCCACCGTTAAGATTCCTGCGATACTTGCGAAATACCGCATTGGGATCTTACACCCGCTAATGACTGACGCACCGCACTCGCAACGAGGAAGCTTCCGACGAACACCTGGACAGCAAAGTAACACAGAGCTTTCGAAGCTGTGATTCTTCGAGTTTGCAGAGGAAAATCCCAATCGGGCCACTATTGGTTGAATTTGCTTGGTTGTAACCCTGCTCAAATTCTCTGGAGTTGAGCTAAATAAAGCGCGGCTTTATTTTTCTGTCCTTTCTTTTTTTGGCAGTGGAGGCTCTTTGCCTGGCTTCCCTGCTCACACTTTTCGGGCCCAGCACCGTCTCCTCTCTGCCACCAGTCCCACATAGGCGACTGGGAAGATGCCTATCAAGACTTCGTCATTGGAGACTGTCACTGTTCAGCACTGGAAGCAAGGCTTCTTCTGATTCGATGGGGCCTGCGAGTCGGGCTCGTCCCCATTTCGGCCTGTGGGCGGTAGCGCTAACGAATCCTATGGTTAGGGACATTTTGGTTCGCCGTAAGGTACGGTACAATGACGGGCAGTCAGACCCAACCATCCGAGTGAATGATCTTCAGGGCTAGCAGAAGGGGGAGTGTCTTGCTTGGGGTTGGCTCTTGTTGGTGTGTGTACTCGGCATTTCAATGGACAGAGCGTAAGTGATCTGTCGCACCAACAGTCCTACAGAACCTGTAGAGCAGAGTCATCAGGTGTCCACCTATCTGCACAGCGGCCGACTAAGAGTTTGGAGGACACGAGGACAGGAGGAAAGGAGATAGAGACAAAGAGGAGGCTCCCAAAGTCCAAAGGACAAGACACCGGAACAGATCGGTAAACTGGGCTACAACCTCGTTCTGTTGCATTTGCCTCCCCCTTCCCCGAGTCTCCATACCAGATGTCACGTCCTCGTACCGAACCCCGCGGGATAGACAGATGAGGCTTTGTTTGTTTCGAGTTTCACGCGGCTCGGTCTGCTAGCAGGCCAACAACAGGCCATGTTGGATTTCCGGGGCCTGTTGATAACAAGAGCCCGAGCGCATTGACGTGCTCTCTTCATGGAACTTGACTTGCAGTCGCCTCCTCCATTGGTCCCGGGCTGATGCACCTGTTGCATGATTAGCCTACAGATATGCGCACTTTGGCTGGACGAATCCCAACTGGGCTCGGAAACCCTGGTCTGCAGCTAATCGATTTCATGCTTTTCTCCCCTCGGATATAATAGTCAGCGCGAAAGACCAGGCTCTTCCGGTTTGCCGCCCCCTCATAAATGCCAACATATAGCCATACATGGCCAACCTCCGGACTGGGTGTGGGCCAAGTGACACCACGACAACAGCAACCTCAAAAGTCATGCCTTGGCGTTCCCTTGCTGGCCGGATCGCTTACGGGCTTAGTCGCCCTGTCGTAGGCATGGTACCGCTGTCGGGGTTTATTCCGTCTAATCAAGGGAAAACCACAGTTAGCAGACAGGCAGGCTTTCTTCTGAACTCCAATGGGAAATCAAGGCATATGAGAGAGAGAGAGAGAGCCGTTTAACCGCATCGAGCGACGCCAACATGTCTGGTACGAGACGGGCCTTGTTCGTGTTCCTCTCATCGCTGGCTTTAGTCAAACGGCCGCAGATGGCATGCCTTGGAGATGGCCTAGCCGCACTACGGACGTTAACTAGAAGCCGCTATTCGGTCTGCCCAGCGCGACGAGGAATGTGTCTCAGCCGTGGACCCTGGGTAACTCTTCAAGCCTCTGCAGACTTCTGACATCTTTCTACCTGCGACGGGAAACACCACACCACATGGCCGTCAAGCAATACCCAGAGGCGGGTCGAGATATTCGCAAGCCTCAACTGTCAACCCGCTAGCAGCTCTCTACAATTGAGGCCGGCAGTATCAGCCCAGCCTTTTCCACAAGTCCCAAGGTGGATAAGGCGGGACGAGAAGGCGAATGAGGGAACACATCCAAGAAGCTCTCCCGTGCAAGGCCAGATGCCGAGGGCGATGACGGGGCCACATGTCGTAATCGCAATCCTCCTTTTTAGTATGAGTTGGTATTCCCCTTCTCGAAGGAATCCACCATGGCCGTGCCGCCCACCTCTTTAGCCCGCGCTAGAGAGCTTCCGGGTGGGTGCCGCCCACGACCAAGGAAAAGCGCCAGGCTGGCTCCAACCCATGCCGGTGAGTGCGTGATTGGTTTGACGAATGGACGAAGCAGGCTCCGTGGTGAGACAAGACGCCGAACGTTGGGCACAGGAGTAAGGTTTGGCTAGTTGGCGGCGAGCCAAGGTATTTCCCACAATGTGTGGTTTGATGATCAAGGGAAAAGAGAAGAAAGGAAACAAAGAACGAAGCATAATCGGCGGGGGACTACCGACACGAGCTCGCCATGTTCCCATCAGTCGTGTCAACCATGCTTTTCCAGGAGTCCAGAGAGAACGGCCCTCCCCCCTCCCAAATTTGAGGCTGGCTGGCGGGGAAAGAATCCAAGAGCCTCAGAGCGGAGCCCGTCGTCTCCCCAGCCGCCCTGTGCTTGGTTGCTTGAGTAAGTCAAGAGCGGGGGAGACGGCGGGATATTGTGTATCCCAAACGCTCTCGGGGAAACGGCACGTTGATTGGACAGGGCCCTGGTGAGGTTGTTGTCAGAAGAGGAGGGGGAGCAGAAACATCTTGACCTGTGCTTTCGTCGTGGCGGGGCTTGGTCGGTTATGCGGAGAGTTGGTAGGAGAGCCTCTTTGATGGCGTTCAACAAGGGCGATAACCTTGCAGCTTTCCCAAGGTGCGAGGCATACGCACGCGGAACGGGATGGCTGGAAGGCATGAAGACGGGCGGCCGACACACTACTTGCGGCATTGCTCAGGAGACGCGGCAAACTTGATGAGGCCGCGACGCCGGCTCTCTCTTGCATCACAGGCAAGACACAGCATACGCATGTTGAAACGACGGGACTGCGGTATCACCTCATCAACCGACGAGACAAGACAAGGCAAGGAAGGCGAGGCAAAGCCCAGTGCATTCATTGTGTTTGGAACGGGCCCTGCTTGCGTCCGATGCACCACACAAACATGGGTGAGAGATGGGTAGAGCCTCTCCTACGCGGGATCTCCATCTCCCTCTCCCTCCATCTCTTTCGTTGTGGTGTGTACTATGTATGTGCGAAGGAGAAGAGGGGCCGGCGGCCAGTTTGGGTAGCTTGTTTACTTGTTTTTCTTACCCAAGTGGGCGTTGTGTGGTGTGGTGTTGTTGTTTTGTTGTTGCAGCCACCGCAACCCAAAACACAGGCCAGCGGGTGGTCCACCGCAGGATCCCGGGCCCTTGTTCGTCCCCTCCATCCCATGTCACCTCGTCACTATGGGGCGGGGGGGCGATGATTGCGGTGCTTGGTGCTCACCACGGTCCGTCGCATCACAACATCAGACCGCCAGCCGGCCAGTTGGGTCTGTCTCTTGGTTTTCTTTTCCCGCCCCTCCTTGATGTCTCTCCCAACCACGCGGCTTTTTGCTCTAGGGTTGCAGCACATGATTTGGCAAAACCGATTCTGTCGGTGTGGCAATGTGTGGTTTTGGTTCTACCGGCATCATCCGTGGCAGCAACGGCAGAAGCAGAGATACCAAATGCAAGATATACGGGGGTTGTGGAGACGCCACACCAACTTGTACCTGACCCCTCACTGTACCTAGATGGGAGGAGATGGGGATGAAAACGACAACTGAGATGGGAGGAAAAGTATCCGCATCCGAGTGCTAACCCAGGCACGGCGAACAGCTGAACGAAATCCCGGGAGGTGGGGAACAGGGAAGAGCCACTTCCTCCGTGCGTAGTGCCGAACTCAGAGCCCGCATTCTCTGTCTCTCTCGGATGGGGTTCCATCGTCCAGTCTCTTAGTCTCCAACGCCGATGCTTCAGCTCCCCATTCGTCCATCCACCATGCCCCAATGTCCCTTATGCTTCTCCCATGGGCGTCTACAGACCGGCGACCGTTGGGGAAGCGTGGGAGGGCACGCACCTGGAGGAAGGGTGCTAAAGCTGACCAGTCTCTGCAGGATCCAAGGCCCTTCCCTGATTGCGTTTGGTAGGATAGTCGAGCTGCTTGTGATAGCAGTGTTTATAGCCATAACCAAGTTCAACTCACGGACCCCTTTGCCTTGCGCTTGCGAGCCAGTAAGCAAAACAGACCATCAGGCGCACCGGTGCGTGGGCATCTATGTGTTGTTGATGTGACCGTGCCCTCATCTGCTTGTGCCGGGAATACAAATGAGATGGCAGGAAACAAGAGCGGCGTTGTCTTTAGTTTTTGGGTTGGGGAGCACACGAGGGCTCGCCTAGTACATGTGCGTCTCTCCCTCTCTCTCTGGCTCGTGTGCTTGAAAGCAAGTCCGATGTATGTCTTTGGATGCGGCAGCTCAATAGGCGGAACCCATTAAATGAATATGCAGATGCCCATGGGCTGAATGGGCGACGACTAACGCCAGCGACACACCAAGGGCGGTGATGGCGGCGCTAGAGCAGGGAACGGTTGGCGTCTCGCTGGGCAAGGCCACAGAGAGAGATCGGCTCGGAAGCAGAGATGAGTTGCTGCAGGTGTCAGAAGCGAAGCGAGCGTGGCTTGACGCCGTGCAGGCGTGTTCAAGAGGACGGAGACGAAAGCTGAGAATTTGCCCACATTGGCGGGATGTTCCATGTTCAGTCTAGTGGTTTGATATCCAACGGGTTCACAAGACCGAGGAGTCCATCTGTGCATCCGCTAGCACTGGTAGGCTTCCACTGGCCGAGCCTTTGGATAAACGGCGTGGTATGTTCCCAGACATGGCCGAGAGTTGCGGCGCTTCTTGGGGTATTGCGACGCTTAGATTTCCCCGCGGCTTTCAGGCAAGGCCCCTGCAGAGGTTGGAATGATGGACGTTATGGAGAGGGCATCTCCCGGCAACTTGTTGTCAAATTGTGCCATTACTTACCATCGGCAAGACGCGAGGTTCTCGGGGCCACGGGAGGCAAGCGAGTGATAAGCGAGGCAGGAAGAGGCAGATTTGAATATCGCGAGCGCCAGCCCCATGTGGGCAAAGGATCCACGGGGTGGCCTGTGTTCCTTTTCATTTACGGGCCTTGGTCGAGATCGTTGGACCTGATGTTTGAGAGAAAAGCACTTGGCTCTGCTGGACCGGGGGAGGGGGGAGGGGGGCAGACAAGAGACAGCAGGTCTCAGCCGATGCGCGCTAGGACCGATCGCAATGCTTCCGGGTCGTCTTTGGTGCCGTTTCTACGTGCTTTTCTTTTCTTGTCTGTTTCCTACAGCAACCGGTTTCCTCTAGTATTCCCTCGGGGTTCGACGGCGATAGGGACTCGGGGTGCGCCTAGGCAGCAGCAGCAGCAGCGAGTGGATAAAAAGTGTTACATCTTAGGCTGGGACTTTTTTTTTTTTTTTTTTTTTTTGGAGAACAAGGGAGGCTGCACGGGATGGACAAAAGCGTGGACGAGAGAGTCATCAAAGAAGCAACGAGGGTTGATGGAGGTTGGGTTAGCACGTGCGATATCAGTCTGGGACTACCTTAGAACGGCGAAGACGTGGAGAAACGGATGGGCTGGCGGCGGTTGCATCAGATGGGGACGACGAGGAAATTGGGCGTTTTTGTTCTCTTTATCGTAGTATCGTTGGCGATGGAAAGGGATGGTGGTACGGAAGGGAAGTGGCCCGGGAGAGGTGCATTGGCATTGGCATTTGGTAGTGAATTGACATTGTCACTTTGTGGCATGGGGCAGGCACGAGTGCATCGCCCGGCTCTGCCATGGGGGTTAAGTAAGGGCGAGTGTACTATGTTCCACGGCAGCGGAGGAGGAGGAGGAGGAGGAGGAGGAGGAGCAATGCAAGGACAAAGAGAATGGCAAGAAAAGCAGCGGTCCGTTGCAGGAGGATCAGACGGACAGACAGACGGAAGGACGGACGGCCTCTTCTCACAGTGTTGCTTCGAGGACTAGATGACACGCATGGTTTTTTGCATGTCCCGACCAACCTGCGAGCCCGTGTTATCAATGGATTGCTGGCACTCATTACCTACTGTACCCAAGCATAATAAGTCGGTCGTTTAACGTGTTATTTACCTGCACCGCGTATTGTTATTATTATTTACTTGATTACCGGACTCAACTTAGAGCGAGCCGTAAGCAGGGAACGGTCCAATGAAAGGTGCAGTACATGACAGGCAGGTTCCTGGGGTTCCCTGACCACACGCTGCTGTTCCACACCAAAGCCAAAGGCAGACGAGACGAGACGAGCACGCAAGGCAAGGCAGGGCAGGCGTCTCCAGGCTCACGTCGCTGCAGGAGGGGGAATCAGCAGCGGCAGCCACTGGGTGCGGCCGGCTTCTCACTGGCTCAGGCGCTCAGATGTCCTCAGCGGTCATCTCCTGCTGCTCCAGTCGTGGCCCACCCGCCTTATGCACGCTGCCTGGCCCAGGTAGTGTACGATGGCTGTGGGTATCTTGCTGTACTGCATTGACTGTATCTCATGTACCTACGTAGTCGTGCACCTGCAAACATGCCCCCCCGGCCCCCCCTTCTGTATCTCTCTCTCTCTCTCTCTCAATCTCCATCGCATCAGCGAGCCAAAAGGTGGACTACACTACGACGAGGTAAGGTACCTTAGCGCATGTATTGGCCTGTTCCTCTCCACTCTTTCCATGCCATCCTGGGCCCCCGGTGCCATTTGTCAAAGAAAGTAAGGGAAAGGAAGAAAAAAACAACAAAAGAGAGCAAACGACTAACTGGTCCATCCATCTCCATCCCAAGTGAGAAAGCAGAGCGGTCTCGCGCGCGCGCGACAGAGACAGATGAGAGAGAGAGAAAGGGACGCAGCAAAACAGAACCAGGAGGACAAGACTCGGTTCATTTTCTCTCTTCCCACAAGCCCATCCTCCTCCACTTCCTCTCCACGTCCACCGTCATCCTCCCCCGAATCCCAGTCTCTTTTCAGTTGTCTCCAGTCTCCAGCTCGCCTGGTTCATCCCGGACTTATCCTCTCTGGGACCACGACCCTGCTTCCTCATTCTCCATCAAGCCGGGCAGAGACGCACGCAGAGCCGGACACAACAGTCGAGCCTTGCTTTGTTCTGGCATTGCGGTCATCAACCCTCTCTCCCAGCCCAGCCCAGCCCAGCCCAGTCCGAGCAGCCCTGGCTTTTCCACCTTGACCTGGCCCGGGACCTGGACCTACTGTACCTAGCTGGACCTGGACCTGGACCTGAACCTGGACCTGGACCACCATCCGAGAGAACGAACGAACGTCTGTCCGTCCCCTCCCACGCGCTCCCACACAGACAGAGAGCCACCCCATCCATCTCCAATTCCACCTTACCGCACCTTAACCTCACCCACCTTCACCTTTACTTTGACCTACCCTACCTCTCCTCTCCTTGCTTCGCCTCACTTTCACCTCTCTACCGACCGCGTCCGACCTGCTTGCGCGCGTCCTCCTTCTTCTCTTTGCTCCGCACCGTCTTCTTTTCTACTCTTCGACTTCTGTTCCTGGTCTAAAGGCGATTTCTGCATCCATTGGCCCGTCGCGCTTCTTCGACATCCGGAAGCCAATCTCTCTCTGTGTCTGTCTGTGTATGAGATCAACACTTGCGGTTGACCGGTTGACCCTTTTTCGTCCTCTCCCGTCTTTCTTCTGTCTCGGGCCTCACTCTCTTTTCTCCTCCCTTCGAACGCCGTCTGGGTTTTCCTTCACTTCACGTCACTTCTTCACCTCGACTTTGCCATAGTCTCACGGGAACCCCCCCCCCTCCCCCGTCTTCTCGAGTCGCCGAGACCGCGAACCACACCCACCGACTCCGACACCCATCTGCACCGCGCCCGCCGCGAGCCACAACACCAATACTCGACGCGCATTCCTACACCACGACCCGAGATATTGGCCCATATGTCTTGACGATGCTGACCACGTCTCTCGAGAGCACCCACGACTCCTTCGCCCGTATGCTCGCCCTCGCTCTCGTCTGTTGGTTCTCCGCGTAGAATAGCGACGCTCTGCCATCATGCAGACCGTTCCCAGTGTAAGTTGCTTTGCTTACTTTGCCTCCTTCGATGCCTATATCCGTACATGCCAACAGGCATCCCCCCGACACCGGATTGAACGCTATCCGCCGACGCTTTCTTCTCCTGGACCGCAGGCGACACACCACCACCCGCGCTATATGGGGCTTCCTCATTTCCCATACACTCCTCCATTCCCATTCCTCAACACCGGTGCCCCCTGATATCTCTGCTGCGTTTGCGTGGTTCATCCCATCCCCTAAGCTGACTCGTCGCCTCTCCCTCCTTAGCTCGTGGGAACTGGCACTGCCGTTGCTGCAGCGGCCCTCGGTCTCGTCTTTGCCCATCCCGACGACGAGTCGAGTTCCACACAGTCTGCCTCGAACAAGAGGAAACTAGCCTCAGACCAAGACATTCCTCCGAATCATCGACTGAGCAATCCCCCTGTCTCGTCGCGCCCCGGCACCAGTTCTTTCGCCCAGTTGCCGACTCCCACAGACGACGCACGCTACACCACGCTCCCCAACCACCAATTCTCCTTTTCCAACTCGAACGAGCCCTCGTCCCCGCGCCCGTCCCGCCCCCTCAGCTCGCACTTCAGCTTTGCGCCGTCGTTGCTGCACAGCAGGAGAGCCTCGTACGTGAAGCAGGGAGACCAGCCCGCACCGCCCTCCGTCACGGAGGATTCGAGGGACTCTGTTTCGTCCAATGGGTCCTGGATGAGGCGCTTGTCACTCCGGCCATTGTCACAACACGGAAGCATCAGATCAAGCCTGGGTCTCGACAGCCAGTCCGTCGCCTTTTCACACGGTTCCGCAGCCCCGATTTTGTCACCGACCGGCTCGATCCCTCCACCGCTGCCACCAAATAAACTAGTAAAGCGACCGCCTTCGGCACACCAGAATGGTCCTGTGATGCGCCGCCGTTCCAAGACGCACCTTCCCAGTCTTCGCCGACCCGCGACCAGTCACCAGAGATCCGCCACCCTGCACCAGATCCATCACGACGTAAATCTCATCGAGCCCATTCCCGAACCCAAATTCTCCTTCGACCACTACCTCCATCACGCGGGAGACGGTGCGTTGCCTTCACCGCGACCAGAAGACGACTCGACTTCCCAAAAACCGAAATCGAGCACCAAGTGGACCTCGTTCTTCCACACGCGCAGAGTCAATGTCACTGCACGAAGCGCTCCCGATCGCCTAATTGACCGCAGTCCCAGCACCCGATCCTCCTTGGCCACAACAAAACGCATACTGGTGTCTAGCAACGGGAAGCAGAGCATTTACCTAATTGGTGGTGGTATGCTAGGCGCCACTGTTCCGCCTTTCGAGGACGTCCCATCGCTTGTGGAGGACGCAGTTGTGGTTGACGATACGCGCGACCAAGTTGGCGGCGAAAAGGAACCCGAGGAAGACGACACCCCAGAAACACCAGAAGATACGCCGACCAAACGCACGAGAATCTCGATGCATTTCAACTCTCCAAACTGGATCCCGAGGTCGGGCAGCCTTCGGCGCTCAAAGCGCGGGGCGGGTTCTCGAGGTGGTGGTGGGAGCAAGCGGCATGTGTCCGCGCCTACGACGACATCCCCCGGTCGCGCCCAAGACGGCCATGTTGCGTCTGCGGACGCAGACGACTCCCAAACGTCGCCAAAGCACCAAACAGCCGCCAACCTGGACCCCGCATCTGCTGCACAGTTCAACCCACGCAGTCGCAACTCTTCATCGCCTTTGCCTCCGCTTTCGCGACTTTCCAGCTTCAACGTCGACATTTCCAAACTCGGCTCCTCAGGGGGCGCCACTCCGTCGCCCCGTTCTATCCAACCCTCCGGCAGTTCCCAGGGCTCGTCGGCGTTCGCTGCGTACAACCGCAGTGCTCAGACCGATCGAAGCTCCACTATGAACAGCTCCGACTTCGATGCTAGGGATTTCATCTCGGGCGATGACGACACGGATTTCAAGAGCGAGACTGTCTTCGACTCATTACGGACTGCCGAGTCCGATCGTAATCGCGCAGTCGAGACCCCGCTCGACCACATGTTTGACGAGTCGCCGCCAAGCACTGCTGGACATCCCAGGACCAAGCGACTGTCCATTCAAGAGATTCTCGGCCGTTCATGGGACGCCGATGACAGGATCATGGAAGAGGATGAGAATATGCCGACGCCGGTTCGTGTCAATCATGAGCCAAGAATACGCACCGATTCCGATGTGATGGCGCCCCGCTACAGTCTTGAGCGACCTTCGAACGAGTATTCGCTTGGAAGCAAGGACTTTGGCCGCTTATCAATCGAAGATGATTTTGACGACGACTGGGCTCGCGACGAGGACGAGATGGCCTACAGCAATCAGCTCTCGCCCCCCAGTTCGATGAACTCCCGCGGCGTCAGCCCTAATTTGCGCATGGCGCTCGCCAGCATTAGTGGCAATGGCAACGCCGACGCGGCACACGATCCCAGCGAGAGGCCACGCAGCAACATATTTGACTGGAGCGAGCCGACCCAGGACAAGTCGGACCATGGCAGCTCGTTTCGGCCCAAGACTGCCTATGGAAAGCAGGAACTTGACATTAGAGGTGGTCGCGCGGCAATTCGAAAGGGCCCCACGGCCATGCACGTCCGCAGCCAGAGTGTCCCCGTAGTACACGATCCCACAGATAGCGCGACGATGAACCCAAAGTTTGGCACTTGGGGACTGAGCAGCAAGACTGTGAGCGAGGACTGGGACGACGACTTTGAGTTTGGCGGCAACGAGAGTGAAGACCAGGAAGCTGACAGCGCATTCGCCATGGTTGTCCCCGCCTCCATCCAGGCCTCCCAGCCCAGCCTCAAGCAGCACTCCGGACACATCAGAGAGTTGTCTCTGCTCGTCAACGATCTCAAACGCTTGTGTCGACTTGGCCGGGATTTGGACATGCTCGGTGGCTCTAATGCCGGTGTCTGGAAGGAAGCTGAGGGGATCATCGCGCTCGCATCGCCCGACGAAGATGAGTTGGAGGGCATGGACGTAGACTCTTCGTCCATCATGAGTGGGTTTGACGCTGTGTCTCCCGCCCCCATCGAGAAGGAAGATCCCTTCGACGAGGTTCACGAGCTGAACGTGTCCAAGACGGCTGTCATTCGTGAACGACCTGCAGGTCGCAGACGTTCTGTCTTCTCGCCTGACGACGACATATTTGGCGGAAACAGCCCCGCCCCGGATGAGCTTCCTCCTCCCCGCCCGAGAACACCTGAGAACAACATCAACATGGGCGGTCACGACGTCACCGACATTGTCAGATCCGTCCTCGACGCCATGCAGCAGCGGTCTGTCTCTGACTCGGCGCGCGATGACAAGCTACACTTTGGCACCAACAGCCTCAAAGCTTTGGTCAAGCGCGCAGGCGATCTTCGGGACACACTGTCAGAGGTTGTACGCCGCGCAGATCAGATCACGTCGAGCCCTGCACGGACTCCCCGTCAGCACAGCGATAGCCCGGCTTTCACTCGGGTCTTTACCCCGGAACACACCCCGTCCCCGTCTAGCCCACCGAAGAAGTTACCTCACAGCCGGAGCACAAACTCTGGGCTCGGCCGTGCATCTGTCGACGCTTCGCCATCAAGCGGCTTGCAACGGATGCAAATGATGACTGTCAGCTGAGATCAGGAAACCGAAGTTGAGCTACAATATCGGGACCACTGATGAAGCTACAAACTCTGCATCCATCACGGGTCGCATCGACCATGTACATGTACGAATACTTGTTGATTTTTCTTGTCTGCATAGCGACGGCTTGGGGTTTATTGGGTTCCTGGTCCTTTTTATTATTGGTTGCGATATACAACATAAAGACAACCCGGCCACCTCCATCGACTCGGTCGACACGCAGAAATTCTTCTACCGCGATCCCTGTGACTGGCAACAAGCCCAGTGTACGGACGCACTTCGGCTTTTTTTTTTTTCCCAGCTGGATATCCTTGACGGCTTTTTATTATTTTCTTACAAACGAGAGAAGGCTTATGACGACATAATCATGTACACTCTCGCCAGACGAGCCTGAAGCCCGGGTAAATAGATTGCCCAGCAGAGGATAACCGCCTCCTGGTGATGGAACGGGGGAACGATGATATGGGTATGCGAATGAGGAAGGAAGGAAATGACTAGGATTGGAATTGAAACACCACACGATGCTTGCCCACGTTGCGACAACGAGGGCTACAAGTCAAACTCAAAAGGCCTACCAAGCTTGGTGACCTATTTTCGTACGATTTCTTCAACTGGTTCTGGTTCTGGTATTGTACAATGGTTAGACGAACAGGAAAAGCAAAAAAGACAGAATCGGGTTTTCGGGCGGTCCGCTGCTTTGTTCAAGGATCCATTACCTCGTCACAAGGGCAACGGACGGTTTTCCAGTCGGCTGCGGTACATTTTCTCGCACGGCGGCATTGTTCCTCTCTTTTCCATTTCCGATTGTTTCATGAGTATGAGGTGGCAGTGGGCACACGCGCCCGTTGACGCTCCAGCCCGGCACCATGAGATTGGGGGGGGCATATTTTTTCTCTTCGCCCGAAAGACCCTCTGCCGGAATTGAGGATTCCTTTTCGCATCCCTATCTCAAAGACGGGAAAGCCTTTCCCTGATCTCTCTTTGGCGAGACAGATGTTCGGGGGCTATGAGGCTACGGCTACGGCTAAAATAATACATGGGTCCTGTGGTAAAAACGGAAACGGGGACGGCTCAGAGGCCACACATTACGGGGTTGGGGATGATTTTTCACACGTTTACTTCCAGAGAGAGGGTAGTTGCACATGAGTTGATGAGCGTAGCATAGCGGACGATGACAGATGGCACGGGGGGGAGTCGTACATAGCTTGATGAATACACACTACTTTTGGGACCTTCCAAACTGTTGGGACTGGCCGTCTCGCAAATCCTACAAGTGTTGGCTGGATGGCCGATATGTTGAGCGGAGAGCACTGCTGATGGGCCTTGACATGTCCTGGCACGATTGATACTCACTCACCCCCAAGAGCGAAAAGGGTCGGCAGCCTGCTAATACGCAGCCAAGGCGCTTCCACTCCATCAGCAACAAAGAGGGTTGGGCCGTCGCATGTGTCACGGAGAGGCTATGGGGAAAACCATGGCGCCGCATGCGGCGGACTTGAAGGTCCAACTTTCGATTCCATACTTGTTTGGTGATTTGTATAATACACGGGAAACAGAGACCCTCCACCAAAGAGTCTATCCCAAATTCCAAATGCTGGTTAACACGTGATTGGCTGCCTCTGCTGGGCAGAGAGCCTCGCCGTCATTAAATGAGTTGTACGTGTGCGCTCTTCCTACTTGGCTTCTTTGACAAAGATGGGGGGTTACAATGACAGTCTGAAATGGATGGGGGGAAAGAAGGGGTATACAGAGAAACGAGGCTCCTGGAGAAAAGGATATAACAAATTGTCTTCTTGTTTGTTTTTTAAGGCTAGGGACAAGGGAAATATAGTTGACACCGCTGTGGGTGTGTGTGAAGTGTGTGTATGGTGGTTATAAGATCAATCCAAACCAGCGCTATATAAAGACGACTGCCATTGACCCTGTTCGTACATCGTCATCATCGCTTATCCTGCCTCCCTGCTTTGAATTACCCGATACGCCTCGAAGTTCTGTCCACCCATGCATCTATGACAGGTATCCCCCTCCCTCATACGGTGCACTTAATACCGGAAAACGACCTTGGAAACGGGCGGCTTGGCCGCGCCCTCGAGCCAGTCGCGTCCGCCGCCACGGGGCGTCACGCGACGCAGCTCGGCGCCGTAGAAGCGGTTCCACATCACCTGGCCGTTGAAGTTGACGAGCCCCGACGACGACGAAGAAGCGGACACGTCCGTCTTGGCGCGCTTGATGCGCAGACGACGGGCCTCGGGGTCCTCGGGCCTCGTGGGCGCGGTGTCGTGGGCGTGCAGGCGGGGCTTGGTTGGTGGTATCCACATGATGCCCATATCCTTCGGGGTTGCGACCACGGGGGCAGACCACAGGGGGATGACGTGGGATGCCGGCGCTGGAGTGGCGGGCTCTTCAGTCACGAGAGACGAGGGCTCCTCGACGGTTGCGGGTGGCGAGCTGAAGAAGATTGGGTTTGCGACGGCGGGGTCGCAGATTGCAGTTGTCGCCACGGAACCTGCGAAGGCCGGGTGGGATTTGGCGACGTTGAAGGACGCGGTGATGGCTTGGTTCAGTGCCGCAGACCATTGCGCAGGAGTAGTCTCGACGCGGACGAGCCGCGACGACGGGATGGCTCGAATGGCCTCGCTCAGCGCGGCCTCCCACTCTGCGGGCGTGGCCGTTATGCGGCGGAGGGGTTCCGGCTGCGGCGCTGTCTGCGCCGGCTGGGACATCTTGGTCTTGAAGGAATCCCACCAAGTAGCCTTCTTGACGGGGACCTCGGGCAAAGGCTCAAAGTCGGAGACGGCTTCCTCATCGTCGGATCTCGTTGACGCGGTGTCCAAAGACGGGGTCGAGCGGCCCGAAGAGGCTGCCTCGAAAGACGAGCCGCGTCTGGCCGAAGAAACCGACATCCAGTTCTCGACGCGAGTCTCGACAGGAGCAGGGGCCCAGAGGCTTGTTGACATGAGCTGCGGCAGCTCCTCAGACGTTACTCTGGCGACCGAAGACATGTCGAGGCCAACAGGCTCGGCCGACGTTGTCCTGAAGCAGGCACGCTTGTGGCCGGGGTTGAACAGACCAGTGGACTCGGTGTAGACGACGGCAGGCCGAGCAGCCCAAAGCGTACTGGCTGCTGCTGGCGCGAAAGGTGAGCTGTGTCTGGCCGAGGAAAAGGACATCCAGTTCTCGACACGAGTCTCGACAGGAGCAGGGGCCCAGAGGCTTGTTGACATGAGCTGCGGCAGCTCCTCAGACGTTACTCTGGCGACCGAAGACATGTCGAGGCCAACGGGCTCGGCCGACGTTGTCCTGAAGCAGGCACGCTTGTGGCCGGGGTTGAACAGGCCAATGGACTCGGTGTAGACGACGGCAGGCCGAGCAGCCCACAATGTCCTAGCCGCCCGTTGCTGCGGCTTGTTCCACAGCGGGGCGTTCGTCTTTGGTGCTGCCTTCTTCGCCGGCGAGGTCCAGAGGGTGGCGCTGTGGATGACAGCGGGCTCCGGGAGACGCTCGCGGACACGCGGGGCAGCTTCCATCTTTTCAACGTAGCCTCCCCACGTGCGAGCGTCGGGTTGCGGGAGACCCGCCGTCATCTTGCGGGCGGTGACAAAGGTCTTTGGCTTGGGGGTCCAGAGGAGAGGAATTGACTCGGGCGCGGCGGGCATGGCCTTAGTAGCGGCGGTGATGACCATGCTGTCGTGCTTCGTGTCCTCCTCCTCGTCTGCGGCGGTTCTCTCCTCCTCAGAGTCTTCGTACTCTGACTGCGAACGCTCGGAGACGTCCTCGTCAACGAACGAATCAGGGCGGTAAAAAGCTGGCTGAGGGAGCAGGCTGTTCTTGGAAGGCACCTGGTCAGACTGCAAGAGGCTGGCGATCTCCCAGAGGGTAGTCTCGTCGAAGCCGTCGTCGCTGTCGTCGTCCTGTTCAATGTCTGAGACTTCGTCGTCTCCTTCTTCCTCTTCGTCGTAGTCGTCAAAGAAGGACGAAGAATACTCTGCAGACTCGAGTTGTTTTGCACGAGCTTCCAATGCGGCACGAATTGTTGATCCACCAGTTGACATAGTACCAGGCATAGCCATCAACATATGACTCGGCCGTGGTTGGACTGTCGCAGTGTCCGACTTCTCGCCCCAGGGGAACTGGAAGATGCCGAGAGTGCCACGCTTATCAGGGAGCGGCTTCGGGCTTTCGAGGATGTCGGGTAGGAGAGTAACACGCTTGCTTCGCCTTGGTGGTCGCTGTGTGACGGGACGCGCCTGTAGTTTGGGAGGTTCAGGAATCCAAGAGACACGCCATAATCCCGAGGTGGACCGCAGCTTTTTAGCAGCGGTGTGGTCGGGCTGCCAAAGTTGCGAGCTTGAGATAGGTAGGGGTTCGGAGACCTTGCGCGTCGGAGGGCGGACGGATAGGCCAGGTAGGGTGTCACCGTCGCCGCTCGGGGAAGACGACTTAGTCGCGACATGATGATGTGCCGGGGCCCAAAGCAGCGATGGGTGCTCGCGCTCAAAATAAACTGGCGAGTCGGGTTCCCAGAGGCCCCCGGTGGTGCGGCTCGCTTGTTCGGCATGACCCTCGCGAGTATCTGAGCGTCATCGGCGTCGGACTCGTCGGTGTCCGGTGGGGTAGGACTGCCCAGCTGCAACGCCGTAGCGCTCAAGGGCACCTTTGAGACAGACAAGAAATTGAGGTTTCGCTTTGCCAATAGTTCGGACGCGTTCTCCATGTATTCCATTTGAGCATCCGCCAACCGCTGTTGCCAGAGGCTAGTGCGGTTGTCGTTGTAATTGTTCTGGGACGATGAGATGGACGAAGCGCTTCTCAGGTCCTCAATAGACGACTTGCTGATGCTCCCCATCCGAGCGCGACGGGCAGCTTGCCGATCCAAGGAAATGTTGTTGCGCTGGGGGATCTCTTGAAGTGCAACATCAATGCTAGGAACAGCTTGTGAGTCCACGATGGCAGACTCGTGTTGCGAGTTGCGGACTGAAGTCGTTCCAACTGTGGAAAGGGAGGCGCGGCTGAGACCATGCTGCATTTCGTGCCATTGGCTCTCTTGCTGCCCCATCTCGGCTTCCAAGGACTCAAGCAAACGAATCCTCTGTCCTTCGCTCTCATACGAGTCCCTGTTGGGCTCCTCGAACTTCTTGAGCTGCGCCTGGATCATTTCGTACGCATGCTGCGGCGATTCCAAGGGAGAAGGCTCGGCAGCGTGCATCACGATCGCGTTCTTCATGGCGGGAGACCGCAATCGAAGAGGCATCGGCGGGGGCTGTCTGCGCGACTGCACCTTTTCCTTGCGCTCGGTGAAGGTGATGCTCTCGTCGCCGATGCGGCGATGCCAGCGAGCACCTTGGTCGACAACACTCACGTCCGGGAGATCGACAGGGCTTTCGCGCGCCTGCGGAGCCTCCACGTCCCTCTCATGCTCCATGGATGCATCAAGCATGATTGTCATGACCTCCTTGCCGTCATTTTGGCTAATCATAGACAGGTCCCGGGGGTTGCGCTCGTCGCGTGGCTGAATCCACATGGGCTTAGGCATGTGCATAACCTCTTGAATGTTCACCGCGGCCACCGGCGAGTGGATTGATCCCCAATTCGTGGCCGTCTCCTCATCGCGGGTTCTCGCAGTCCTTGCCTCGCTGAACTCAGAAGGGCTGGGATTGCGAACCGGGATGACGGGTGATGATTGCCGCTTGGCCCCGTCGTACGATGGCTTGACCCGGAGACCGTCGTTCGCTGGAAGAGCAGGGATCCAAGACTCGTGCTCATCAAGCCTGCCAGTGATGACCGACGTGTCGACACTAAACTTGGATGTGAAACGAGCAGGTACATCCGGAAGGACTGCTTCTTCGATCTCGTGAATGCTGTGAGTACGAGCAGAAGTCTTGGTCGAGCGATTGGACTGCCTTGACTGGTCATTGTTGCTTTCTGAATCCCACGCATCCTTCTCCTCAAGGGCAGTGTTGCCCGCTGGCTTGTAAGCCGAGGGAACGACAGGCATCTCTGGAATCGGTGCTCCAGGTTGGCCATTTGCAGCGGTGCCGCCGATGGCTCCGGGGAAGAAGAGATCCATCTTCTCGTCAAAAGTCATGCTCTTGGTGTTGTTGGGCAGCGCCCGTATGGGGGCACCAGCACTCTTGGGTGGCGGCGGCAGAGGCGGCAGCTGAGTGGGACTTCCAGGACTTGACATCAAGATGGACTTTCTGCTGATGATTGAGCCGCCAGACTTGCTCCTCTTGTGATTAGGAAAATTCTCGGCAGGGAAGATCTGGCGATCCTTGCCCTGCTGTCTGGGAATGGGACGAGGTCGATGAACAACAGAATTGGACGATTTGAGCGCTGGGGCGGGAGACTGTAAGGGCAGAGGCGTCTTGGCGGCATGGTTCGTAGCTCCCTGAATGATGTTCTGCACAGCTGTGGGATCGTTGTACTGAATGTTATTGACAAACAAGACGGTCTGCTCCCGAGGGACAGAGTGGTCTTTGGCCGTAGGTTTCATGGTCATCGCTCTCGGGTTAGATGGCAGACCACCGGTCGGCCGCCGTTGCAAAGTACCGCCTGGTGTTTTTGGAGATGGCGGGGCCTGTCTGGAAGGCCGAATCGTTGGGTCGACCACGGTCTGGATAGGCCAAGTTGATGGGAGATCCGCCTTCTTCGGTGACGCCAAACGAGCGGCGCTCTTGGGCGGAGGTACCAGGCCCATCGGCGGCGACGTAGATTGGGCGGATGTCACGGAAGACTTCTGGCTCGCGGATCGATCAAGAGAATTTTGACTCAGGGATGTCTCTACGGTACGTTGACTTGTAGCCCGTCCAACCGTCCCGAAGGTGCTCAAGGGCCGTTCCGGCCGCGGCGGGCGGGGCGGAGAGACATTGGACACCGGGATCGGTTGCGGGGGCGTGGTCGGTCTTGTCTCCTCCTCTGACCGCCGGTAGTCCTCGGGCATCTGTCTAGGAGACCTGCGCCTGATCTCCTCGACTCCAGGCGATAGCTGAGCAGATGAAGTGATTGCCGGAGGGTTCGACTTCAGTCCTACGGATCTGAGTTGTTGAGACTCCGCCGGAGGTGACGCCAGTCCCACGTCCTTCCGCTTGCCACTTTGAGCTCGCCTGAGGGCCTCCTCTGGAGTGATGGCAGGAGGCTTGGGAGCGGGACGATGAGCGTTGAAGGTGCTGGAATTCCGTTGCATCGTCAGGTCGTTACCCCGTCTTTCCCTGTCGTTCTTTGCAGCAGTGGCGAGGTCAACCGTAGCGATCTTGTTGAGGGGGTTCCGCTCGCCGAATTCCTGTAGGATCGGGTTGGAAATGGCGTTTTTCATGTTCGACCCCGGCCCAATCTTGTCAAAGATGCTCCTCTTGTTCAGAATGCTGGGCTTAACGTCGATTCTCCTGCTTTCCCTAACCGGAGCTGTCTGTGCACGAATCGGTGGAAACAGCTGGCCCTGGACTGGAACTCCGCCGACGCCTATGTTTGCCTGGCCCGGGACGGAGCCGGCAATGGTGGGCAGGGCGCCGCCAGCACCTGCCATGAAGTCCCTTGGCTGGTTGAAAGTTGTAACAGTGGTCACCGTGCCTCCTTTCAAGTCCTCGTATCGCGAAGGCGGGTAATCGGTGTCCGAGGTTGAGATGTCTCTGCTAGAGCTGATGTTACGCGGTGACTGGGCGTCTGGGTGAACAGCCTGCTTCTGGCGAGCAGGAAGCAAAGCTCCAAAGTTACTCGTGAGGATACCTATGAAGTGTTAGCCAATAAATGCAGCAACCCACAAATTGCCTACGTACTGAGTAGGATTGACAGGCCAGTGGCAGGGAGAGCCGTTCTGAAAAGCAACTCAATCGTGTCAATGCCCAGAAGCAGCGGGATACTTGTCTACAATGGTGGCATGTGGTTAGTATTCCGAGGCATAAAAACAACGACGTTCTACTCACTGCAGTCCAAAGACCCAGTCCCCCAATGGTCCACATGACGGCCTTTTTGCATTGCGCGGTTGTGATGCCGATCGAGTTGGCTCTAAAGGCAAGCATGGCGATGAGAACAAAGTCGGTGACCATGACGACAGCCCCAATGGCCAGAGCATCGTTCCTGGCTACGCATACAGTGGCGATCTGGGCCTTTTGGAACCCAACAAAGACGGCCCCCAAAACAAATCGCACGCCGAGAACCGCCTGGTATACCATGGTGCCAGCAGGCGCGCTGGCGTTCGCGTTGATGGCCCATAAGAGAAACTGCTCGATGGCGAATCGCGCCAGCTGATCGAAGATGGAAGTAAAAATTACGACGACTTGGCACCCGGAAGTCGAGGTCGGATCGAGGGTAAGGCCGGTAAAGTCGATTTGAGCCCACAGGGCTGAGGATACAAGGAATGTGATGAGGACCAGCCTCAGGCCGTCCCGAAAGATATTTGAGCCATGGCCCTTTAGTAAAGGAAAGACGGAGGGCGTCGCGGCTTGGATGACGATCCCACTAGTTTTGCTGTAGGTTAGCTTATATGTTTCCTTCTCATATCATGATGGGCCGAGTTTTTCTCCATCGACGAGCCACAACCTCCAACTCTTCCCAGATTCAACGAGACGGTGGGCAGGCGACTAACAAGGTAAGGGCCGCAACCAAGGCCTGGACGATTCCTGGAATGAACATTTCGTTTGTCGAGGCCGCGGGCCGGCCGGAATAGAATCGAGGGAAACCCAGTCAATGGGGGGAATGTTGAAAGAATAATATCTTAGGAAAGAAAAGGAATCATGATGGAAATGCTTTCGCACTACGGTAGCATTCGACGATCAACCAGAAAAGAACATGACAGGAAAGATACCCCACGAGGCGGCAGATGGATGGTATGAAGGAAAGCAAGATTGGGTTTGAGAGCACGCGCGGTAGAGCGAGTTTGGCGGCAGGTTCTCTCGATCCTCTTCGGGGACGCAAGAGAGTGGAGAGAAGACGGGGCACACAGACGAAGAGGAAGGGAAAGTAAAGAGCACGGCAGATGACAGTCAGGAGGGGTGTGAACGCAGCGAGGCACAACGGGATAGGTATGTAGGTACTGATCTTGCGGCTGCGTCTACGTCTGGGCTGCCGCGCGCTGCTGCAAGAATGATTATCAACCTTGGGAAAAGAGGCAGCACCCAGGACGAGAGGCTCGAGGAAGAGGGGGAAAGGAGAATAGCGGCAAATGACACCCCTTCTTCTCGCTTTTCATTGCTTGCTACAAGGTTGTTCTCGGTACGATATCTCAGGGAGCCGAGCCAAGTGTCAGCTAGACAGGGAGCTATACGCCAATCCCGGTGTCAAGCCCGGAATAAGTAGTCGGTAAGCGAGCGTCTGGATCCTGAAGACCAGAGATAAAGTGGTAGCGGGAGAGAGGAAGAGATAGAAAGAGACGAAAAGAGGGTCTCAAACCGGCCGAGGGCAGGGTGCTGTGTGAGATCTTTCGATACGTCGTTCATGCCGGCAACGGTCGGGGTCGTGATTGGGTTGAGTGCAAGGCTGACAGGGGGTTAACCTTGTGCTACCCACCTCGACGCCATGGCGTGCGTCGACTCTGTTTCAGCGTCGAAACCCACGATGTTCGGGACGGAGGGGTCTTGGGCCGGCCAGAGGTCCATCCATCAGTCTCTGACCTACTTCTCTCCCATCTTTTCTTGTGGCTTTTCACCTCTTGTTCTTTGGACCACTGCCCTGTTCCGTCGGAACAGGACCGTCCATCGAGGTCTTTTGTGGGACGTGGGCTCGACGACCGGGGCTGGAACGGAACGACTTGGGCTTGCGACCAGAAATAACACAGCAGCCGCCTAGCCCAGGTTAAAGGCCGACGTGCCCTACCGTCACCGTCCAATAAAGTGTCGATGGGTTACTTGAGGCTCAACTTTGAGGCTAGATGACCCGCTGACTTGCAACGGGAGTGAGGGAGAGAGAGAGAGAGTTTGCGAGGTCAAGTCGGCGCCTGTTGGAAGACCTCAGCAGAACTGCCCGGAGATGGACAGACTCGACCAATTGGCGACGGCAGAAGACAGTGGTTGCAGCGTCTCTCGCTTGCCGAAGGTCTCGAGTTGATGCTGACTTCCACAAGAGAGGGTTTGCAAAAGAAGGTATCGGCATGCAGCGTTCCTCGCATCAGAATCTACGCTTGGTACCTAGTGTAGAACAGCCACAGAGGATTGGGAGAGCTAGAATCAACGGCCGTGCCTCGCATCTCAAAGCTGCAATCCCCTGCTCTGGCTTAGGGATCGAAACAAACAACACCGAAGGCCCTGTCTCCCGAAGCAGTTTTCTTCTGCTGAAGTCAGTCTCGGTCCAGAGCGAGATGACATGTGTTTTCATCATGCGACAAGGGACCTCGTCCTCGCCGCCTTGGGTGCCGTTGTATCTCCCGGTCGGCCCATGGGAAAAGAAATAAGGTAGGGCCGGCCGAAAATGACAGCATCGGATGGCGGATCCAGGGAAGAAGCCGGTGGCGCCAGGGGCAAAGAAAGTGTGCAGCCGCTCAAACTTGAGACCGAAGAGGAAAAGGGCTGAAATGGGCAAGGTTGGAGAGTCGTGTAGGTAGGTAGTAATTGGTAGGTGGTAGTGTGTGAGGGGAGTAAGGGAAGGGGAGAGAGTGTGTGGGAGGGACGATTCCGCCTTTTCTCAGCCACTTGCCCAAAAAGAGGACTTGTTCCTAAATTTGTCAGGGGCTTGCTCCCCATGGTTCTTACCACACCCTCCGCAGTGGGGAAGTGAGGCTCCCGCCGGCGAGGATGTCCCTGTGGCGCCTGAACGGCGGCCACGAGGACAACCGAACAGACACCTTTTTTCCTTCCCCCCCCCTCCTCCTCCTCCTCCTCCTCCTCCTCTTCTTTGAACCAGGCAACCAGGACCTGCATTCTGCAAAGCACACTTGGGCACTGACCCTGCTCTCTTTTGCCAGGCACGGAGCGTGCGCTGGGTTCCCGAAGGCTAAGCGCACAAGCTCTGGCCGCCCAGCTGTCGTGCGTTTCGGCTGCAACCGAATCCGGCCAGAGACTCGGGCTCATGATTGGCTTTCATTCCTGTCATCGTCGCATCGCGACTCTTTGACTCGGCCCTTGTTGTTTTTTGTCTTGTTTCTACCGCCTCTGCATATACCTTATTTCCCAACTTTCCTTTCACTCGGTTCCCTTCTGTGTGTTGCTTTCTCTCTTCCTGTCTGACGGCCACTCTGCAGTAGCTGGTTTCCAACCACAGCGCCCGTGCTGCCGGAAGACGATAAACCGCCGAGACGAAGCGTCTTGACGAGTGTATCTGCATCCTTGGCTGCCCTATGACGGCCTGTCATCAACGGCCCGCCTCGGCATCAGAAGGAATCCGGCCAAGACGTGACAAGACGTGTAGAACGCCCTCGTTGCCTGATCGGCGTGATGGTGAGGCTCGCCTGTGCCTGTAAAGATCTGGGTCCTTACTCTAGCAACCTATTCCCCTCCCGAGCTTGTGCCGTCTGATGAGCCCTTTGGAGACGAATTTGATCCGCGTCTCTCTTTTACAGTGTACCCCGCCCGATGCGCAACCTACGAGTGTATTAGTGCACGCATCCAGGCAATGATAACTTTGTTGTGATTTGTTGTTATATTAATTGGCAGTGTTCAAGGTTTAAAACCCATCGGTGGCTAAATGAGCCCGGCCCTCAACGACAACTCTAAACTCGCGAACCAACACTCGAGCGGGCTTTGCGATTGATAACCTTTCGCTGACTCCTGGGCGGGCTATGAAGATTGAATCGCCTCCCACCGACATCTTATGTAGGTGGCACTTTGTCGCAAGGTCGGGGATCGGCTCAAACGTTGAAATCGAACCCGCAGATCAGCTAGCAGGAAGAAACCAAGGCGTTGTCCAGATCGCCGGGCGGCCAAGCCGAGAGAGGCATTTGGGTTTGAACACTACCTTTTCTATCGTGTACAACTGTGTGGAATTACCTGGCTACAACGGGCCACCACTTTTGCTCACTGCTGTTCCTGCACATGGTGCGCTTACATCCGCTCAAAAATCTGCTCGGATAGTAACCACTGCGTCAGCAGAAAGTTAATGAATGGCTTTATCGTGATAGACGATCGTCAAGGCAATGCTCTGTCGGCGAGAAGGGTGAGGAGCGCCGGGCCTATGCATCGCCCCCTATTGTGGTAGTTCCGCTTCCCACCCGACAACCACTGGTATCTATTGCATAGTAAGGGTTGCAGGGTATGTACTGTATGAAGACTCCCATGTAGATATTAGCGGCGGTTGAACATTGCCTGACTGGCTGGACCTACTCAATCCAGCCTGGCGTGCTCCGTGCCGCTTGTGGTGCCGAATCCTTATCAGTCTACTCCGCACCTCTCCCCATATCGGAGCCGGACCAGAGTGTACCCGCCCGTGCCATCGCCCGGCCCGGTCTTCCAATGAGCCAACCTCGCGGGCGCGATGGGCGTAATGGGCGTGATGGGCGTGTCTGGCCTGATCGTCATCCTGGTGTTGGCACTCGAATTGCTGAGCATATAAATATATACCTGCCTTCAGGGTCAGAAAGAAAGTACAATCTCGAGATATCGTCCACCTATTGGTGATTCCTGTGAACTCGTCATCATGCCTCACACGGAGCTTGAATACCCCAAAGAGCCATATGGCACCGTCAAGCGGTACAGCCCCCGTGGTTAGTTCATTCCTGGACCGTTGTGCGAATACATTGTCAATGAATTAACCGGATCCAAAGCGTCGTACGCCCTCCGCACAATCCACACAATCATAAACACCAGCCCCATCCTTCACGTCTCCTTCAACGCTCCCGGCTCCCCGTTCCCTACTATTCTTCCCATGCTCGGGCAGATGGGCTCCTTCGCCCGCCCCTCCGCCGACGAGGCCTCCGTCCTCGATCTCTACCTGCACGGCTACGTCTCTTCTCGCATCATGAACACCTCGCGCCAGTCCACGTCCGAGACCCCGGGCCTCCCCGTCTGCGTCGCGGCATCCCACCTCGACGGCCTCGTCCTCGCCCTGACCCCGAACTCGCACAGCTATAACTACCGCTCCGCCGTGCTCTTCGGCCACGCCTCTGTCGTCGAGGACCCGGACGAGCGGCTGTACGCCATGCAGCTCATCACCGACGGCGTCGTACCCGGTCGGTGGGAGAACACCCGCGTGCCGCCCAACCGGGCCGAGATGTCCTCGACGAGCGTGTTGAAGGTCAAGATCGCGACGGGGAGCGCCAAGATCCGCGAGGGCCCGCCGGGGGACGAGAAGCACGACAAGGAAAACGGCGAGGTTGTCGGAAGGGTGTGGACCGGCGTTGTGCCGGTATACCAGACGTTCGGGCAGCCGGTGCCGGGGCCGTACAATGAAGTGGACGGGGTTCCTGGGTACTTGAAGGGTTTTGTAGAGGATTCGAATGGATGGGCGAGAGAGGCGGCTGTTGAGGCGGCTACAAAAATTGTGGTCAAGAAGAGTGATAACGATGAGTGAGATAGAAGAGGCCTTGAGAGCCATGGCCGATGGTGGAGGGAACATGTAATGCATTGATGACCGGTGAGTAGAGTCAGACATTGACTCATGGAATCACAACACATGGACTTTTGTAACCAATTAGTAGTTGTGAGCAGCAAAAGCTATTCGTGATCTTTTTGTGGTATACCACTTTATAATTACAAATACCGAGGTATGTACAGTGACAGTCTCCTCCCAACGACATTGCTATTCTATGCAATCGATATTCACAGCGCCACTTCCCGGTGCACATACATGAGTTTACCACATCTCCCAAATCTTGTCAGGCAAGACGATCCGCATGACCTCCCAATGGCCCAACGCGCTCTTCTCGTGCCACTTGGTCAGCTGCTCGGTGTTGTTGTTCGTCAGGATGCCAAAGTCGCCCTCGAGGAAGTGCTTGTCGAGAACCTCGTGGTAAGGCATCAAGAAGGCGCGGCGGGTGCGGCTGTCGAGGAAATCGTCCTCAACGGGGGCGCGGAACTTGAGCTTGCCACTCGTCTTCTTGCAGAAGATGACCATGTTGGTGAAGTCCTGGCCATCCTCGGCAATCTTCTCCTTAGTGGGGTGCTCCGACTCGCGGAAGATACGGCATGAGGGGAACACCTGCTTGATGGTGTCGACGATGAGCTTCGGGGCTGGGTGGAGGAAGTCGCCGGCGTAGTTCTGAGTTCATCAGTCAAAGTTACATGGAAGAAAAGCGCCGGGTACAACTTACAATGGCGATGGCGCCGTCGGGCTTGAGGAGCGAGTTTAGACCTTGGAGGAACTCGAGGGTGAAGAGGGGGACGGGCTCGGCGCCTCCAGTAAAGACATCGTGAACGATGTAGTCGAATCTAGCATCCGGATCATCGACAAGCTTACGTGTGTAGCTTACGGCGTCCGCAATAACGGGGGTGTGGTTTGATGGCAGCTGGAAGTACTTGGAGGCAAACTCATGCACAGCGGGGTCGATCTCGACGATCGTTGTGTCAACGCCGTGAGCGACGAGAGCAGCTGGTGTAGTGCCGATGCCGAGGCCACTGACCAAAAAAAAATTAGTCCCCTGCTCACGAGGTTCATGTAAATCTACAACTCACATGTTGAGGGCCTTGGCCTCGCTATTAGGCACCGCCTTTGCAGTCTTGACGAGCCGCACAGCCTCCAGCATGACGAATACGCCGTAGATGGGCTCCGCAACTCGGGGTCCTTTGTGCTTAACCCACTCGCCACCGAGGAGAGAGTGGTCGCATCTCATGACTCTGTAGCCGTGCTCTTGGCTCTCGAGAACGGAGACGTATCCGGTAAGAGATTCCTTGCGGTCTAGCAGGGTCCAGTTGTTGGCCTGCAGAGTGCTGTTAAGCGAAGCAGACGCCATGGGCGTCAGAGCATGCGTGTTCAGCACAGCCGTGTGCAAGACGGCCGGGATGGCGAAAAGCAGCAGCTTGGAGGGCGCGTAGACAGAGTACGCGGCAGCCAGCAGCGTCTCGAGGCCGATTCTGGTCTGGAAGAAGGACCTGCCGATGTACGTCTGGAGGTATTCTCCCGATAGCTTCTCCAAGAATTTGAAGAATCCCCATGATCCCAGGCCAGGACCCGCATCGGCGATGAACTTGGGGAGCTTCGAGAGATCGGCCTTCTCCAGCTCGGTTGCCAGGCAGCTCACCGAGATCACAATAAGGGGGAACAGCGTGACGGCCTCCATGAGCAGGGGGCCCCAGTACGCCGTGAGGGTACCGCTCGCCTGATACAAGTAGAACTGGACGGCCGGCACCCAGAGGGCGACGACAGGCAGCAGTTTGGCCGGGTGGAAGGGTAGCGAGCGGTTTAGGAACATGTTGCCGGCCCAGCCGAAGAAGCAGGCGACCATGACGAGCTTGGCGTGATATATCGACGACGGGATGGAGCCATAGACGGGCGAGAGGGCCAGCTGAGAGACGTTGCTGTAGACGGCGGCGAGAGCAAGCAGGGTGACGGACTTAAGATACACTGATACCTGCTGCCGGAAGAACCGACCCTTGGTCTCGCCCTTGGCCTTGGCCGCCAGGCTCTTCAGCTCCTTTTCGAACCTCTCGGGCGTGAAACCCTCGGGGGCGGCGTCGACCTGGGATCTCGACTTTGGTGGCATCGTGGGCGAGTGATTTGGTGATGCCGGGTGAGGGTTGGAGACGTTATGAGTGAAACAATGGAGAGTGTGAGAGTGAGGTAGATGTGTGTGACCGAATGTACAGATATGAATTAGGAAATGGAGGATGAGCGTCCGGAAGCTATGCAGAAGCTCTAACGAGAACAAACAAAGGTAAAAGATGATACAGCGAGCGAACAACGGCCAGGCTAAAATTGCATATCTGGTATCCAACAGCCTGCTGTTGAAGCTCTTTCTCTTTCTCCTAAAGGTATGGAAACTCGAGAGCTCAGACTCCAAAACAGGGCCAGGCCGTGTGTTGCGATGCGACAGCGCTGTGGGCAGAGGGGGTTTTGTCTGTTGCTCCTTTTGCTGCGTTTTGAAACGTCTCCTCAGCTCATCCTTCAATCACTGCTGGTCCAAAAATTCTGGGCCCCTGTGGCGCGAGCTGTGAGCTTGGCGTGGCTGACATGTGGCGGTGCCATCACGCTCAATATTGCTGCGCGTGGCCATCACCTTTTTCCATCATTTCACTTCTTATCTCACTACAACATCAATCGACGCCCTTTTAGACATTCAAGTCTTTTTTTCTCATTATTTCGTAATCGTGACGGGATAGAGAGCCTCTAGGCCCAAACTATACAAGATGCCATCGTTGCCTTGCGGAATGACTCCTGTAGCCAAACCCCCTTTTTGGTTGCAGAAGAAGACAGCAAGAATTCAAACGCTAGGTAGGGATGGATCGCAGAACTCAGCTGCGCCATACAGGATGCCATCGTTTCCCTGCGGAATGGCACTCTTTTGGCCAGACCCCCATAAACACTCTTTGCTCAAGTAATGCAGTCCGCCTTACCCATGCATGAGGATAGCCGTTATCCTTGGCTATACAGGATGCCATCGTTGCCCTGCGGACTGGCCTTCTTTCCTGACCAGACCCCTTTTATTCCCATACCGTAAGTCCGTTACAAAGGACGGCCGGCGATTCTCCGACCGTACAGGATGCCATCGTTTCCCTGCGGACAAGCATCTACATCTTTGCTTGACCCCTTGAAGAATCCACGACACGAGGCGCGTGATTATACTCCTCCTTTAGATCTTCTCTCCCTCGATGATAGGCTTGGCCTCGTCGCTGGTCCACCAGCTGACGCCGGGCTTGCCAGGGTAGCTGAACTTGGCCATGCTGTCGGCCTTCATCTCGACACTGTAGCCAGGCTCGGTAGGGGTTTGGTAGTATCCGTCCTTGATGACGGAAGGGTTGAGGAAGTGCTCGTGGAGGTGGTCGACGTACTCCAGGACGGAGAGCTTGCCGCTGACGACGACGTAGTCGATGGTGCTCAGATGCTGGGTGTACTCGGGGAGACCGACACCACCGGAGTGAGGCACGATTGGGACGTTGTACTTCTTGGCCATCAGCAGGACGGCGAGGACCTCGTTGACACCACCCATGCGGCAGGCATCGATCTGGCAGATGTCGATGGCCCCAGACATGAGCAGCTGCTTGAAGACGACACGGTTCTGGCACATCTCGCCGGTGGCAACGCCGATGCCGTAGGGCTTCAGGGCCTCACGGATGGCCTTGTGGCCAAGGATGTCATCGGGAGAGGTGGGCTCCTCGATGAACCAGGGCTTGAACTCCTTGAGCTCCTTCATGTACTCAATGGCTTCGGGCACAGACCAGACCTGGTTGGCGTCGACCATGAGGATGTTGCCGCTGTCGTAGCCAATGACCTCACGGGCGATGCTCAAACGTCTCTTGTCCTGCTCGACGCTGCTGCCGACCTTGAGCTTGAAGTGGCGGTATCCCTTGCCAAGGGTCTCCTGCAGCAGGCCTTTCATCTTGTCCTCGCCGTAGCCGAGCCAGCCCGCACTCGTGGTGTAAGCCGGGACGGCGCGGCTGTTCTCGGCGTCCTTGATGCGCTGGGCCTTGGTAGGCTCCTGCTCCTTGAGGAGCTGGATGGCCTCCTCGGGGGTGATGGCGTCGGTGATATAGCGGAAGTCAATGCAGGCAACAAACTCCTCGGGGCTCATGTCGGCGACGATACGCCAGACGGGCTTGCCAAGAACCTTGGCCCACAGGTCCCAAATAGCGTTGACGACGGAGCCGAGGGCCAGGTGGATGACACCCTTCTCGGGGCCGATCCACCTCAGCTGGCTGTCGTTGACGAGGTATCTCCAGGTCTTGCCCCAGTTCGAGACAAGATCCGACAACTTCTTGCCCTTGACTCTCTCGACGAGGTAGTCAATGGCTTTGCAGACAATATCGTTTCCGCGGCCGATGGTGAAGGTCTGTAAAACAACAAGTATAAGCGGCGATACAAGACTAGCAGATGTGAAGAAAGGGGAACATACCATGCCGTGTCCAGCGAACTTGGAATCGGTCTCGAGAATGCAGTAAGCGGCGGAGTAGTCACCGGCGGCATTCATGGCATCAGAGCCGGTCTTGTCCAGCGAGGTGGGAAAGCGCACATCGCGCGTCTGCCACCCCGTGATGGTAATGTCGAGGCTCATGATGGCGGTTCTAAAGGGAAACAAACAGTAGCAACGAAACAGGGGAATGGAAGCACAAGAGTTTAAAAGGGTTCGAGGACTGAGGGTATCGTCGAGAGGGACAGGTAGAGAAGGGTGCGGAACAATGTGTCAATGGCGACGGACATGAGACCTTTATAGTGTCTGAAGATGCTTTCCTATCCCCCACCTTTTCCCATGGCGGCATGGCGTGGCCAGCCACGGCCGCGACACTCGACTTTTCCATTTATTGCTTTACCCCGAGTCTGGAGTTGGGCCGGAGGGGCAGCAGTATGAGGGGTGGGAGACATTGGAGGAGGGGGAGAGGGAGGGGGAGGGGCATGCGCCGGAGAGGGTCCCTTTTGGTGGAGAATCGCTCCAGGAGACAACCCGGCTTGAAGACCGCCTGCCAGCGCTGGGAGCTAGCCTAGGCAAAGCGGCTACGGACCCTTTGCTTTCGAGCCCTCTGATTGATGGAGAAACTCTACCATCGCGATGTCTAGCTCGGCCTCCACTCCGCCAAAATCCCAGAGTTGGACTTTTTTTGACGATGCTATGTGGGGGAACGAGGAGCAGGCTAAACACCCGCGACAGGCAATCTGTCGGTTCCCCGGCATTCGGGGTCGATGGATTGTGTGGCTGGGCTTGGCATCGCATAGTTTTGCTGGAAGATTTGGCTGCGAGAGCCTCATCAGGAGACCACATTTCATCTAGCATGCGCGTTGAAATTCTCCGGAGAGTTTGTACGGAACGGCTGTGGATGGTTACCCGTTGCCAAGAGGATGTGTGTTCTGTGCATGTGCATAGCGACGTGACATGGTGGCATTGGCGAGTTTTGAACCTGACATCAGGCTCACTCTTTGACGAAAGTAGCGTACTGTACAGTACGTCTAACAAAACATCCTTTAAATCGCGTCTTGAAGGCTACGATCCTCCCGCACTAGTTGCACGCTGCAGGCGGCAATCAGATGAAGGAACTCATGGCCATGTCCCCATGTTCCCTATATCTCATGCAGTGTTTCTTGAAGAGCATTAACGGCTCCCAGAATCACCAGGCCCCAAGAAATTCAGGCAGAGAAGGAGGTCGTGAGGAAAGGGCGGCTGTCAACAAAGTGATAGGGTCGAAAAACTGCTTCGAGGCCATGGGTTGTGAGGGCCTTCGACGTTGTAGACTGACAACCATAGACGGGATTTCTCTGTTTTGGGGTTCAGTAATACAGCACAGGGCTCCTGTTTGCAGGAACATGCTTTGATTACGACTCCAGTGCTTCACAAGAATCTGCGGGATTCAGACTAGTTGGGCTGAAGCCTAATAATGAACAAGAATCACCTGAACAAGAACCACCCGATCACGAGGGGCGCAGCCGATGGCGGATGCCGTGAGAACCGATTTGTTCCAACTGCACTACGAGCTGAAGCGGGGCTTGCAAGGGTAAGAAGCTCGAAGAACAAGACAACAATTGTGCACACGGTCGACGTCTATGGGCTCAATAACAAGAAAGCATGCGTGGACTTATAGCAGAGCAAATGAGACAGACTCGTCATGCTGGAAAACAACAAGGACGCCGCTCTTCTTCTCTTGGGCTTATTGCCACGAGAGGATCACACACCTACATGGCGCCTGTTCGCTCTCCACTGCTTGAATAACATGTTCTTGAGGCGGCGGGTGAACGCCTTGGGTAAGAAGGGGATTTAAACGCTTGCGGGCGGATTCGAGTAGCTCGACGACTTCCCCGAGACCGCCCGATCGTGCCACTTGCTCGGCCTCCACCTCAAAGTACTGACGGCCACCACCTCGGAATAAGACCGTTCGCTTGCTTGAGCTGGTATCATATGACGCCAAGTAATCCTCGAGAATTGTATTGTTGTCGGAGGAGTTAGTCCAGGGACGATCGGCCGAGGCGGGCCACGGCTTCTCGGCGTCCCGCAAATGCACCGGATCGACGACGACGTACAGAGTGCGGAGAGCGCGGGAGCCCCACAACGTGAGCAGGCCGTTGAGAGCTTCCGAATAATAGAAAGCACTTCGGCCGTCCGATACCCCGGCTCGATTCGGACCGGGCCAGGCGAGGGCCAGCAAGCGTAAGGGAGTCGGCAGCTGGAGACGGAACACACTGCTAGTGCTGATCAGACGGCACGGCCACTGCCATCCCGTGTCGAGAATGAGCAGATCGTTGGCGGCATCGATTTCCATGTGGCACGGATCGAAGGAATCTTGGCCTCGGAGAGGAAAGGGATAGGGAGGCTTGATGGACCTGTAAGCACGTGTTGCCACAGCATACGAGCGACGGCAAGTAACGAGCATGCTAGCCAGAGTGGTCATGACGCAGTCGCGGTCCGCAAGATCGGAGTCGCCAGTGGCTGGAAGGCGATAGAGAAGAACTCTGTCTTTGACGTTATAGCTGTCGATGGAGCCGTCCTCGGCGCGACCCATTGGTTGACGAACCAGTCGAGCATGGAACGCCGTGGGAGCGGGCGGGGGGATGGCAGCCTCCCAAACCTTGTCCTGGAGCTCCAGAGGGAGATGGAGGAAACAAGTGAAGTCAATCATGGCCAGTGAGGTAATGCGAGATGTTGAGACCGACGTCGACGCCCATTGACCCAGAATCAAGCCAACGGAGTTTGCATGGAGCGTGGCGAACAACGAGGCACGGGCAAGACGCTGCCCAAAGCCCGGAGTCCAACCCGGGATATGACAGACGGCGGGAGAAAGACACGGGGCTCAGGCGTCAGTATTGGTACCGGTGCCAGTCTTCGATCACGGCAACCAGATGGCCGAAGACGTGGACCAGAGCTGAAGGATCGGAGTGAAAGAAAGAGAAAAGGCAGTCAGCAGGCTAGACACTGATCAAAATCAATGCAAGCAGCACGCGCCGGAGTCAGGTAGCGAGAGAGTCATGTACGCCGCGGGGAGGTTCTTGTGAGCCGATTGGCTCATCGCGGCCACTGCGGCTGCATAGACTGCAGTGAGCAGAGGTCTGTCGGGGATGTCGAGATGCAGACAGACGGGGACGCCTGGAGCGAGGAGTGACAGGGTGACAAGCAGAAGAAGGTGGCAGGACGGGAAACAGAGGAGAAAAGTGGCGGAAAACCAAGGTTGAGTGACACAGACAAGGTTTTTTTTTATGACATCAGCCAATCGTGTCCGTTCCGACATTCTTAGCGAGCCCACCAGCAACCTCGCGAGGCCTTGTTGTTGGCATCTGGTTCCCGGAGAGCTATACGGCCCCCAAATACATATACCTACCCTGTACAGCCTCTTATTACCTATGGTAGTGTGCACTGTACAGGTAAGCCGTGTAAGTACAGCCCGGCCGTTTGGCTCCACTGGAAACACAGCCAGAAATGCCGTCCGGCCGCCTGAAAGATCGTCGACCACCATGGGGAAAGCCACGCTGGATCGGTAGACTATCAGCGGGAGTGGACATTACCAAGTGGCAATCATGCCCGAAAAGATGATGGCAATGGGCCAGTTGGACTTGCCTGATCTTCGCATGGGACCAGGGGCCTTCGCACCTCGCACTCTGCATCGTTCACATCTTGTCTCTCTTCTCCTACTATCAGACTCCTCTGCGCTCCTCAGATTGTAATTCGCGTCGCTGTCCCTCCACGTCGCCTCTCCCCCGTAAAGTTACCGGCAAGTATAGAGGCAATGTTGTGGAGGTACTTGAATCACCTTCTCCAACCTGATGTACCGTCTTTGGCAGATGGATAGACCCCTTCGATGCTACCACTTATCTGGTCCCAATCCTCCATCGAATCCAATCCGAATCCAATCTGAATCCAGTCCAGCCCACCAGTCAACTCGAACTCGTCCGACAACCCGTCCCACATCCTCTATACTACTATAGTTTGGGCGAATGCGAGCTGAGATACTATGTACGACCCGAGCCCGCGATCTGGATGCCCCCACCACAACCAACCGCGTGCCAGGCTGCATCCATGACCGGGTCTGAACCTCGACCGTCCCCCCCCCCCCCCCTCCGCGTCACTCCTCTCAAGTGGGCGACGATGACGTGGGTACAGGGGTGCATTCGGCTTCTTATCCTCCCATCCATGCCTTTGTCTGGCTTCCAGACCACACAACCTTACTCATGGCGGATACCATCAGTCTGTGGGTACGGACAGAGGAAAGGCATACAAACACATCCCTACCTTGTCCAAGGGACTCTCGCCGCACCCGCCTTGTGGTCGAGCCACCTGCTATGCGCTGTCCACCTCACATCATTCTGAGCTTAGCTTACTCTGCCTCGACCTGAATGCACTGTTGCTACGCCGCAAAAAGCGAGGCATCTTACCCTAACCTACGTATCTCATCCCGGTATACCCTCCTTTCTTGCTTCTCCCCTCTGCCACTGACCGCAGCCTCAGTCGAATCCTGTTTTGAGCTCAGTCCTCCCGAGTACCCCACGGCTCCATCTTCGTACATGCATATCCTCCCATCCGTACGCGTGGATGCTCGACCTGACTCTCCGTTGCCATTCTCAAAGTATATCATCCCTCCCCTCTGCTGCCCCCTCACGCCCACAAGCGAACCCTGTACACGGGACGAGGCAATTCTATATGTTTAACTCCCCGTCCATGGACGTCATTTACTTACCCAACAGAGTCATGCATCGTGCCAACAACGCTCAACCAACACATATATGAAATATATCAAGACCTAGACCTTTATTTTCTGCCCTCTAGCAACTGGACTCCTCATAAACGTTCCCTATTACATTTGCTTGCAGTCAAGTTGCCTCAAATATCTCTTCGTACCACAAAAGACATGGATCGCTCCCAAGGACCTTCGCTGGTATCGCCAGCTACCAGCTCGAATAAGACTCCAGAGCCTCCGCATCGCCTACGGCGCAAGTTACAGAAAACGTTTCCTAAACATAGGTTCCTATCCATCCGACGTCCCGCACCCATCGACCCATCTGTGTCAAACAAACTCAATACCGGGGTGGCAGTGACTGCCCAGCAAGCCGGAACAGTCGGCCCGCCTTCATTGTGCCAGTCACCAGACCTCAGCGATGCCAAATGGCATCAGTATCTGGGTGAGAGCAACGCAGTGCAAGATACTCCGAATACGCCTAGAACGCCCGATAAACTCAGAAAGGTTTCCTTCGACACGTCTGGCTCGACCCTTGTTCCAGAATTCTCTTACCTTGCCGTCAGCACCTCAACTCCTCGACCCTCTCTCGACAGTTCTCTCAGCTCACCAACCTCGTCAATAAGCACGAGATCAAGCATGAGGCGTCGCGCAAAGACGCCCATCTACGCCATCGGCCAGCTCGAGAACCCGACTTGTGGTAGAGACTCAACTACTGCCGACAAGGTGTCGAGCGTCGATCTCATCGCCGAACAGTATCGAGCTCTCCTTCAGACACACGACACCAGCTCAATATGCACTGACGCCCGATCCGATCCTCTGCCTTCGCGACGACCCTCACATAGGCGGTCTTCGCTTACACGGTCGCACTACAGTGCCGGAGAGGCACCTGCAGAGTTACGGCCAGACGTCTACAATCCGGCACCGTTGCGCAAAGCCTCGGCGCGTCCCCCGAAACCCAACGACGACACGCTGGTTGCCTTCGACGAAGAAGCTATATACTTCAAGCCCCTGTCCTTTTCACCAGAGTTTCCATCGACGCCGTCGCCGCAGCCGCCGCCGCCGCCGCCGCGAAATCGGGCCCGGCTGCAGCGCAATCATTCGTCTCAAGCACCATCGAATCACAACCTGAGCTTGCAGATTGCCACAGACCTTCTGACCCGCGAGCTGTCGGCGACCATGTTGAACCGGCCGCAACAGACGGGGACGGATATGTCATCTCTCCAGATCTGGGTCATGATCGAAGCATACGAGAGACTGAGGGACCAAGTCATGGGGATGGGGCAGCAAAACGAAGATGCCAAGAACATGGAGGCCATGTTCGACACTTGGCTGAGAGCTCTTTACAATATGCACGACAGGTTGACTAGTGATGTGGCATCCCACGGGAGCCATTACGATGAAACGGAGTTGGGAACGGAGGGTTTGGACTGATGGCATCGTCGTACCTTGATACCCATGGGATATTGATGAAGGCGTTCGGATTTGCTTTTGGCTTGTAAGACTAGATAGATTTGAGAGACGGCAATGTTAACATCAGTACTAGCCTGAAGGCATGAACCTGTTGCAGCTTCAAAGCAGCTCTCTTTTTCATTCGTCACCATGCAAGCTTCTGCTAACAATGTGGCTTTTGAACCAACCCCACGGTTTGGAGAGCGGCCGTTGACCAAGTTCCTCACTGCCAGGGCACCGAGTGGCGGGGCGCCGACTAGGAGGGGCGTGTCCGGGGGGCCTTGGTCTGTTGCTGTGAATCATCGAGCCCCGCCCGATTGAGCCGATTGACCCAGCACGGCGGGCGCCTTCTCCACTGCCAGCTAAATAAATGGTAACTAGGTAAGGTAGAGCTCCCACCAACGCGACTCGCGCTGCCTGCGTGCAGCCTCTTGTCCACTTCAACATCGTCATTGCCATTCGACTTCCTACCCTCGTACCTCGGCACAGTCGCAAGCACAAAGTATCCCTCGGCGTCTTTCACAGTAGACAACGTCGACAAACACAACCAGTTGCATAGAATCATGGACGACGATTTCGGTGCCGACGAAGACTTTCTAGCAGCCCTCGCATCATCGAACCCAGCTCCTCCACGCCCCCAAGCTCAACCGCCTCGTCCTCGTCTTCAGCAGCCCACTCCCCAGAAAATCCAGCAACCGACGCCGCAGCGTCTGGACAGAGCGCCGCCGCCCAATGCCTCGTCCAGTGGCAAGGTCGTTCAGCCTACGCCGCAAGCTCTTCCCCAGCGAGGATCCGGATCTGCCATTCTCGTGTCTCCTCGCCAAAGGGGCAATCCAGTGCTCGCTTCGTTAAAGTCGATGCCATGGGAATACAGCGATATTGCGGCTGACTACGGTCTTGGTCTGACGACATGCGCGTTGTTTCTGAGGTCAGTCGGCTCCTGCTGCCGTGTCCCTTACACCAATAGCTTGCTAACAAATGTTCGTGTGAAGTCTGAAATACCACCGCCTTCATCCCGAGTACATCTACACGCGAATACGAAATCTGCAAGGAAAATACAACCTACGCATCATGCTGACCATGGTTGACATTCCGAACCATGAGGAGGTACTGCGCGAGCTGTCCAAGACGTCACTGGTCAACAATGTCACCATCATCCTCTGTTGGTCGGCTGCCGAGGCCGCCCGGTACCTCGAACTCTACAAGTCGTACGAGCACGCCAACTTCAGCGCCATTCGCGGCCAACAAGCATCGACATATGCTGAGAAGCTTGTCGAGTTCGTCACCGTTCCCAGGAGCGTCAACAAGTCAGACGCTGTCGCACTGGTCAGCAACTTTGGCAGCTTGAAGAACGCCATCAACGCGGACCCTGAACAGATCGGCATCATTGCTGGATGGGGAGCTGTCAAGGTCAATAAATGGGTCAGGGCAGTTGAGGAACCCTTCCGAGCCAAGAAATCTGCCAAACGGCAGCTGGATCGAACTGAAAGCAGCGAGGGTGGAAGACCGGCGCAGGTATCGAGATTGGATCAAGCCGTGCCTCTTAGCAGAGTCCCGCTGCGCGAAATGGAGTCCATGAGAGGGACGCTACGAGGGTCACACGCGGTTGACAGGCCAGCAAGTAACCAGGCGAAGAGGCCCGCGCAGTTGGAGAGGGGCAATCCGGACCTAGACGAAGACGACGAAGAGGCAATGATTGCCGCTGCCATCGAAGAATCGAGGCGGACAGCTGAGGCACAAGCCGAAGCACAGACACAAGCGCAAGCGGAAGAAGCTGGCAGTGAAGGCCCCGAGGGCAACTCGCTCCCTGGCGGAGTTGCTGCAGCACTCGCGAAGTTGCGAAAGCAGGGCTGAATCTTCCCCTGAATGCGATGGTACTGCATAAAAAAACATGATTCAGTCTTGGCGATATATGGGCCGAAGCTGAATCAACTTTTGCGAAGTCGACTCGCCTCTTGAGACGGTCCTGCACATGGCACATTTCCCTGAGTGCTGCAAAGCTAACTTGCTTCGCAGTTCGAAAATAGGAAGGCCCATGACTCGGCCCGGAGTCTGATTTGATTGATGCATGAGCACGGCACTGATTAGAGGAACGAGTCGAACGATGAGTTAAACCTTTAACTCTTCGAAAGGACCCTTGACAAAGCCCAAGCCAGTCACCATTGAGTCGGCAAGGGCTGCGAATGACATGATTAGACGAATCACCTAGTCAGAAGACATACATTCAGTAGTTGTGGTATGTCGTTTTCGCTGCGACCTAGGATCATTCCGCGCCATCTACAACGTTTCATCAGAGTCGGTGGGGGATGTTCGGTGCATCTCAGTTCTGGTCTAGTTTGCATAATGCGGGGGACTGGACACTGCCGCAGGTTTAGAGCCCAAGTCAAGAGTTCGAGATGATGATCGTCACACACACACAACCGTGTCTCTCCGATGCCACCCTTCTGACTATGTCAAGTGGTCCACTATTGGTTGGTATCGGCAGAGACGGCGGATCTTAGTTCTGGCGCCGCGCCGTTTCTCATCTTGCATGCTTTCCCGATGTACAACATATGCCGCGGCGTACGGGAGATTATCGAAGCGCTACTACTTTATCCTACATGAAGCCGCAAAGCAGTGCAGCAAAGCCGAGCATGCGGGGCCTCCGATGCCCAGTGGCCAGCAGCTCCTGTCTACAGCAGGTCGACGGCCATCGGCACAGGATGCAATCCTTTAACCCGCCTGCGCCAAGAATGAAGGCCACAGTCGAGTGCAACTTCAAAGCCATCAATCACACTCCGCTGCATCGTGTAGCTGCCCCATAGCGGAAGGTGAAGTTAGTTGACAAAACTCGGAGGCTCGGGCATCTCAACTCGGCCTGCATTCGTTTCCATTTCCCCCCTATGCAACGAAACGCTGCATTTAAACTTTGGGTAACACCAATAAGGGCCCTTCCCCGACAGCAGCTCCGCACGTGCTTGATTCACCAGGGACGTCTGTGCCTGATGACTTTCCCATTCCCGTATGAGCGACGAACTGGGCAAGATCTGCTCTGCGCGTGTTGATACCAGTCATACACGGCAACCGACGGATTCGGCCCGCGTGACGGTTAAATAGTTGCTCTCCTTTTGGTTACATTGCAGCCCTACCGAAATGCAACCGCAACTGGAGGCGAGGGCCTCGAGAGTATGTTTGGTCAGTTCGTCTGGTCCTAGCTGCACCGTAATCATCCGGAGAGGGGGGTGCCATTGGATGGAACAGCAGAGACCAGAAGCCGGAAATAACGAGGATAGACACCAGCGGCGAATGGTTCATATCGAAACAGTAAACAATAGAGCACTAGCAGCTGCAGTCGCAGAACCGTGGGAAGCAGGAGAAAGCAGGGGCGCAGTGGATGGCCCCAACCATGAGACAAGAGCAGGGGCGAACGCAAAGTCCGGGGGAGTCAGGATGGAAATTGTGTTTATCCATCTGATGCCGTGGTGGGTGCTCATGCTTCTCTCCGGTAGTCAAACGGTCCCTGAGGTTGCATGATCCCAACCTGACTGACCACTTACATTTGGTAAACTTTCGTTCTTGTCGGCAATGCTGTCGATGAATATATATATAAACTTGGCTGCACCTCCTTCTCGCATTCGTCTGTCTGTTCGGAATACCACCCTTCTACCGCTTTTCTCGGGATCCCCTCTTCCAACACAGAGACCTCTACGTCTGTGACATCATGCATATCTCCGGGCGTGTGTTGGCTCTCGCCGGGCTTGCCACGCAGGCGTCCGCATCGCCTCAGGCTCTGCTATCGGCCGCCGCTCCACAGTATGTTAACCAACCCGAGAGAGCCAACGCCGTGAAGGAGGCTTTTCAGCGCTCGTGGGACGGATACCGCAAGTTCGCGTTCCCAAACGATACACTGAAGCCCGTGTCCAACACGTTTGAGAACGACCGGTAAGTCAACAGCAGCTCTGCTCAGGGATGAAGTTGGCCGTCGCTAACATGCGCTTCCAGAAACGGCTGGGGTGCCAGCGCGGTGGACGCCTTGAGTACTGCCATCATCATGGAGAACAAGGTCGTTGTGGGTCAGATTCTGGAGTTTGTGCCCAAGATAAACTTCGACGTAACAGACTCTGAGGTCTCCGTGTTTGAAACGACCATCCGATACCTGGGTGGCTTGGTGTCTGGTGAGACATGTCTCCCACCAATTTGGGATTCTGCGAACGCTGACGATGCCGAACAGGACATGACTTGTTGAAAGGGCCACTCAAAGACGTCGCAAATAATCAAACTGGCGTGGATGCGCTGCTTACGCAGGCGAAGCGGCTCGCGGACAACCTCAAAGTCGCTTTCGATACCCCCACCGGAGTGCCTGACAACATTCTCGTCTACGACCCGAAACCGCGCAAGAACGGCTCCGACACCAATGGCATTGCCACCATCGGAACTCTGGTGCTGGAGTGGACTCGCCTTAGTGATCTGACCGGGGATAAGCAATACGGCGAGCTGTCACAAAAGGGCGAGAATTTTCTGCTGAAGCCCAATGAAGAGGTGTTCCCTGGTCTGCTGGGTACGGATGTTTTCATTTCTAACGGCACCTTTGCCGATCGTTCGGGCGGCTGGAACGGAGGAACTGACAGCTTTTACGAGTACCTCATCAAAATGTGGCTGTACGACCAGAACCGGTTTTCCCTATACAGAGACCGATGGGTTGCGGCTGCCGACTCTTCGATCAAGTTTCTCGCGTCGAGCCCAACGACACGACCAGACCTGACCTTCCTGGCTGCCTACAACAACGCGAATTTGAGGTTTATCAGCACTCATCGTGAGTTAATAATTGCCATTCATCGTAGCATTCAAGTACTGACTGAAAGCCAAGTTGCGTGCTTTGATGGCGGCAACTTCATCCTGGGCGGTCTTGTTCTTAAGGAGCAAAAGTACGTAGACTTCGGCATCAAGCTGACTGAGGCTTGTCACGAAACGTATAAGCAGACGGCGACTGGAATAGGACCAGAAATATTCCGCTGGCAAGATGATCGGCCGCCAGTCAACAAGACTTTGAACCCCGACCCGCCCGCCAACAAGACCGAGTTCTACGAACGGGCCGGTTTTTGGATCACGCAGGGTGGGTCTAGTTACGTTCTTCGTCCCGAGGTCATTGAGAGCTACTACTACGCTTACCGCGCGACGGGCGACACAAAGTACCAAGACTGGGCTTGGGACGCCTTCCTGGCCATCAACAAGACCTGCAGTGCTGGCAGCGGCTTCTCATCTATTACGGACGTCAACGATCCCAAAGGCGGGAAGGCAGATGATTTCCAGGAGAGCTTCTGGTTTGCCGAGGTACTCAAGTACAGCTACTTGATCCAGGCCACGGATGCAAAGGTTCAGGTTGAAGTGGCAGACAACAAGTGGGTGTTCAACACAGAGGCTCATCCATTCCAAATCGCGTAGTGCGACGACTGGGTGACTGGGCGGGGTTAGGCGTGCATAATCATGGGGAGATATGCAAGTGATATTGGTAGCCGGCATGAATACCCATCATGAATACAGCTTCACTTGTTTTCTTGGACACTGATTGGTACATGTGGTTGTTGATGTGCCATCTTATGAGCCACCGTCTCTCTTGGCGTACTCTTCTTCCATTGCTTCCTCATAAAGCCGGTCAGCCTCAAGCTCGGCTTCCGTCTTTGGGCGGGTTGAGCCTGCTCCCGTGTTCACACCGGCGCCAGTGGCTTGCTCCGTTTGTTGTTGGCTCTGGTCGTTGGCGGGTTGTGGGTTCTGTGCAGGAGCTCGTTCGTCTTCCGGGACATTCGGAATGCCGAGCTTGATGGGTTGGCCCATATTGATGATGTGATGGAGATGGTGAGTCAGGTATAAGTGAGGGAGTGAGTGTGCAGCAGCTCGAAAAGAAGGAGTGATGCGATACGGGAACGAGAAGTGGCTGAAGATGGGGCTGGTGAAGCGCCGAAGTGTAAGGTATTTATGGATATTGCGACTGGGTGGCAATGGCAACAGTTTGTCGTAAGCTGGGATGGAAGAATGGGCCAAAAGCAGCTGCCAGCGAGGAGTCATGAAATGTGGCGAATGAGAGAGTGGTCCAGCAGGCTCAGCTGACCGTAACGACTCCGCAAATCGCCGCGCCGTTCGGATCCGATGTCGCTTCGAGCCGACCCGCCCCACCGGTCCCCCGGGCCCAAGGGGCTAAAGTTGCGGCCACATCCTTTGCTTTCGGTCTCGTGAACATGTGCAGAGTACAGGTGCAAGAAGCCATCTACCGGTCAGACACGCCGGACATATTCCCGATCGCCTTTTTTTTTGCCGTCATCCCCTATTCATCTAGACGTCCTCGGTTCTGTTTGATCGTGGAAGTGGGTGGGATGGGAAAGCGCTGTTTCCCAGGGGCGGCAGGGTGCGTGAGAGTTCGCACCCATGCCGTGATCAGATCGATTATGAAGTAAAACGCAGGGGCTTTTTTGCGGGAATGTAGATTGGTACCATGCCAGGGTGCCTCTCCTTCTGAACTGCATCTCTTTACATGCTTGCTGCTCAGTGGTTGGTGTCTTTGGTGTCTTGGGCGACGAGATGCCCAAGCGTCCAGAGCGTGCATGTGGTGCGACGCTTCGCCGTTGTGCTTGCAGGGCTCCATAAAGCTTCAGCACAGGCGATTCAATTCCAGCCTTTCTTTTTCGGTGTTGTTTATCCTTTTTGCTCTTGACCGCGATAGTAACATCTTGGCTTTGGTTGAGATGGGCATCTGACTGAATGCAGTCGTGACATTCCAACCTCACGATAGTGCCATCCGGGAAGAGTAGCAACAATTCAGGGCAGAGATGTGTGAGGAACGGCGTTGCGTCATGGGAAATGGGTTCTCAGGCAACGTCATTCTTGGGCCCCCAAGGAGCTGTGTAAGCCGGAACCCTGGAAGGGACGATTTAGGGGAATTCAGGGCATTCTTGCTGCATCGGAGACAACCATCGGAAGACACGGCTTGCGGCCTTGCGAGGCTCCATTTTGTCGTTATTCAGCGACGTCCTTGCGTGTCTGGTGACCCGAAAGTCATCATTCTGGTCCGACTTGTGCGTGTCCTTTCGTTACAGAGAGGCCTGATGCGGCAAAGGAACATATGGATTATTCCAGGAATCTTGGTTAGGGAGAGAGGGCTGAACTGACCAGTCAGGACTGCAGCGAATTCCACTACGCCGCGCCGAGAACCGAGCGGAATTCTATGCTTCGGTTGTCGAGATGACCAGTAATCATTCTTAGAACACAGGTTACTACTGGAATGGGGGGTTATACGCCTCGTTCACACCGCCTTGTCTTCCCCATGTTCATCAAAAGTGCTGAATTTGATATACAAATTTTTTTCCCGCTGAGTCGGCAACGGGAGATAAACGCCGGGAGGCCGAACCGTCATCCCCGGAGGGTCGGACGGTGGTCGCAGGACCAATCACCGGCGAGCCTCGGGGCCGTTGCAGACCCAAAAGAGGCAAGTTGATAGAACCTTCGTGAGAGAGATGGGTTTGCCCAGTGGAGTGGGGACCTTGGGGCGCGGCTTGTGCAGATTGCAGACCCCCGAGGCTTTCCTTACCCCGAGCTCTGAGACCCCAACAGCCCGGTGGGGCCCTCCTGAACCAATGAAAGGCCTTGGAGATGCTGCTTAACTCCGAATCTGACCAATGGCGGCCCGGGCAATGTTGATTACTCGTCCGAAGCGTAACACGGGACCACATGGTGACCAGGACCCCTGCAAACCTGCAGACGATGCCAGGCAGGGGAGGTTCGAACTGGGCCCTTGCGATGGAGAGCTGCAGTTCACGGGCGAACGAGAGAAGTTGAAGCGGCAGAGGGAGGAGCTTGACCCTTCTGGACCGCCGCTCTCTGGGGCTTTGTAAGTTTTGGGTTTTTTTGCCCATGTTGCCCGGATTGCTGGGTTCTTTTTTTATTCCATGTGTTACAAGGGAGGGATGGAGCAAAAGCTTTATGGAATTTAAAGGGACGGTAGGTTGCTCTTACACTGGAATGCATTGATCTCGTCGTCCATATCTCGCACACATCCCGTCTCTCTTCCATACACACACGTACACACACTCTCCCTCTCCTCTCTCTTTCTTCTCGTGACTACCCAACCACGACGGAAGCAAGACCCAAACAACACAAAACTGTCTCATTACCCCGGACTCGACATTTCTCTCTCACATCTGTGTCACCTTGGCGGGAAAAGAAAAGCAGACTGCTCCGCTCCCTACGGAACCAACATCTTAACCTGAGCAGGGAAGAGAGACGTCAGACTCTCCAATCTCCGCTCACCCTCAATCGACACTCAGCACACTAGGGCGTGCATCACCATTGTCAGCAGGAGAGGACAAGACATCACATCGCAGAAAACATGGGTCTCGTCACGTTGAAAAACCTCCTCTTCGGCCGCACACCGCCCCCCGCCCGATCCAAGGCCGCCATCACTACCAACGAGCGCGCCGAAAGCACAATGTCGGATGAGACTGTCGTTGACGGCGGCGACCTTGAGAGACAACCCCTGCTGAGTTCTGGGGTCCGGACGGCTTCAACGGCGACCATGGCGACGGCGGCCTCAGAGACCTCTTCGACCTCGACAATGTCTTCCGAGAGCGAGTCTCGCCGCTTCCGTTTCGACGCCCGTGTCATCTCCGACGCCACGATCGGACTGTCGGATGGCTTGACGGTGCCCTTCGCCCTCACAGCCGGCTTGTCAGCACTGGGTCAGACAAAGGTCGTCATCTTTGGTGGTATGGCCGAGTTGATTGCCGGAGCGATATCCATGGGGCTCGGTGGCTACCTCGGAGCCAAGAGCGAGGCGTAAGACAGCTCTTCTTCAGGCCCCTCTGTGCATTCTTCTCATCACTAACACCCCGTCGCAGCGCCTCGTACAAAGAAACCCGCAATGAGTGCACCCGCCTGACGCGCGAGGACCCGGCTCTCGCCCGCGCCCAGGTCGTCGAGGTCCTCGAGCCCTACGGCCTGCCGAAGCATACCCTCGAAGAGGTGACGGACCACCTCTCGACGTCGCCGCGCCTCATCGACTTCCTCATGCACTTCCACCACTGCGAGCAGGAGCCCGCCTCGAACCGCGCCTTCGTCTCGGCCCTGACCATCGCTGCGGGCTACCTGCTCGGCGGCCTTGTGCCGCTGTTCCCGTACTTCTTCGTCCCCACCGAGGACGTCTACCTCGCGCTCTACATCTCCGTTGCCGTCATGGCCGTTGCGCTGTTCGCATTCGGCTACGTCAAGACGTGTATCGTCTCTGGTTGGTCGGGCGTGCGCTGCGTGAAGCAAGCCGTCGTCGGCGGGTTGGAGATGGTCGTCGTTGGTGGTGCCGCGGCAGGCGCGGCAATGGGGCTGGTCAAGGCGTTCGATCAGCTGGCGCAGTCTGATGGTGTATCAGCGTTGGCGAGCAAGATGTTCTAATACCCCTTTTTCCTTAGTACTACACCTTTTCCTTTCTGTTACTGTCTGCACCCATACTTTTTTTTCTTTGTCAGGATGTGTACGGTAATGGGGTCCATGGAGTTGGAAACACACCGGCGGAAAATCGGCCGGGAGAAGGTTGAGAGATTATCTCCCATATTTGCATTGTATGGCGTTTACGCGGGAAGGGACCCTTGATCAGGATCACCTTGGAGGACGGGACGGATGACGATTGGCAGCGATGCGAAAACAGCATTGACTTTGAAGTACCTGACAAAATTCCAGATGGACACAAAGTCAGGGACAGCAATGGGACGAAAGCAATTGTTAAACAATACCACTCTATCAATAGACTCGGAATCATCTCTTTCAAATGATATCCACACTGTAAACTCAGTGTAGACTATGATAGCAACACCACCAGCTACTCACATGGACCAGATGCAGTCAGCAGCAACCATTTCCAGGCAGATATCATCATCTCATGACCCCCCAATCAACAGTGAAACGTGCCCCTTGATTGAATATACGTGCAATATCTTGAAGATACATTCCAAGCGCATAGAGTTGTGACAAAGAAGGCCAAACGATTGCAGTGTAAGCCATTATGAAGCTACCAGCACAACTCATGCTGTACTTCTCTCCGAACAAGTGACTTTCTCCATTCATATACCATCTGAGGTCTGAGAACCAAGAGGCAGCATATCTACACGTTATTTGTTAGCTTTGATTGCACCTTACCTTAATCTTCGTATCAGCTTCGCAGGCACACCGCCTACAAGGCATTCAGAACCAACATCTTTCGTCACCACAGCTCCCGCCGCGACTGTGGCGCCTCTCCCAATGTGGACGCCAGGTAGAATGCTTGCACGCGCTCCAATCCAACAGTCCGCCTCGATGAAAATAGGCATGGCGAAAGAAGTGCCACCAGCCTCTTCGCGCGCCTGCCAGTGGGTATCGTGTGTGCCCGTACAAATGCAAACGTCTGGCCCAATTAAGCCACGGTCGCCAATAGTCACAGGAGCGTTGTCGTAGATGGAAACGCTATGGAGGAAAGAGATCAGTATCTTGAAAGGTTATAGAAACAAGTCCGTCGCTGCAAGGTTTTATTGAACTAGTCGCGAACAGGTTTCGAAAGGTAGGATTCAAGCACTACTTGGCGAGTCTCACCTGCGGTTTATATAAACACCGTCACCTATGAAAAGGTTGCAGCCCCAGGTGACAAAGAAAGGCGGCTCGATGTTCACATTTGTGCCAAGCTTCCCTAGCATCCCCTTGGCCACCTGCATTCGCCGCGATGCCAGTGAGGCAAGCGTAGCGTTGTCGAGAATAGTTGCATCGTTAAATGTCTGCAGTCTCCTCATCACGTCGACCTTGTACTGAACGAGTTCAAGGTCCTTGGAGCTTCGGAAGCTGCATAGCAACAGGCCGTGGTATCAGTGGCGGCATTGGAGAAGCAGGAACACCGAGGGTCTTGGGCAAGGATACACATACCACATTCCGCTGATCATCTTCTCAAACTCGTCGCACCAAGGTACCTTCACTTCAATTTGCCGAACAATGGTGATGGTTTCTGGGTTCTTACTTGACGCTGACATCCTGATGACTACTTCCCGACGTCGTACAAAGGTCTGGAAGTACAGCTTAGAGGAGACGATGGATTGTACCTCGCGATTCGCCAAGGGTCACTGTGTTGTTCTCGATCGCACTAACGTTATCGCGTGAAGTACGACGGTGTATTTCAGCTGCGCTGCAAATAGCCTCTGATGATATGTATCCTGGTAGATCATGGAGTCGCTATATATGACTGTGAAGCGGAGAGAGGTCACAGGATGACACGGGTTTATGGTAAGAGACGATACTCGTTATGCTACGTCATCGCTCACTGCCTGTGGTCATGGGAAATAAGCCTATCGTGTGAGAGAACCGCCTCCAGTGACCATAATTGCATGCTGCCAAACAGAGACGTTAGTAAAATTGCGGCTGTTAATTGGACTAACCGGGAAGACCGGTACTCCTTGAATTCGACAAGGACCCCAATGTTATAGGAACGCGTTCAGAGTTTTACACGATTCTAAACGGTAATGAACGCCTATCTAGTTTCCTTCTGAGAAAGCTTGTCTATCTATGAGAAGATCCGCATAGTTCCAGCCCTTGAGGAATCCTCACTGCCGCTCAAGTATAGGCTTACACTCTTGGATACCTAGCTGCTAGCGCTACTGGTGATGCAACCTGCATGTTAGTCGTTACTTATCATTTTGAGGATGCTGTTGTGCCACTATTGTCGCCTCTGTTCTTTTGGTCAACCGGTTTCTGGGCCGGTTGTTTTGAGCGTTGTCTGCCGGCAGTGGCTGCCGATCAGCAAAGGTGAGTGGAACTCTGGGCTCGCGTCGTTTTGAGTACGAAAACGTTTCTGGTACCTTATTGATGTGAAGGGTAAGCATGCTACAGTAAATGGCTCTTGTCAAGGCTGTAAACGACAAGTAGCCTCAACGTATTGCTACGTAAGACACTAAGACGGACTAAAGGAACCAGAGTTTACATCATGCAAGGCCCACTCAAACGAGCGAACACGTTCCAAAAGAAAGCAATTGTCATGTTCATACCAGGTACACTTATGAGTCAAGTTCTGAACGGTCCGTCAATCTAGGCGTATCGTCGAAACCATTCGGGAAGGCTGACTGATGTAGTGGTTCCCTGGTTCCGGAGACTAACTACTTCCTCCTGTTGGATATATGTGATCCCTTTCCAGGCAACATCTCTCACAATTCCCGGTAACTGCATGGTCCAATGCTCACCATTTGGGTGGGACCGTGGGAATCAGGATCCGTGTATCCTTCCTTTTAGTCTGGGATTATCCAATAACCGCAAGATTAGGACGTGCAGTAACATCTGTGGCTTTGCTCAGCCATAGTACTGTAGCTCGAGGCCTTTCTTTGGGCTTGTTTGGGATACGGAGGCCGAGACCTATAATAACCATTACTGGCTATCGGGATCCCTATCGTGAATTGCAACATGAGAGAAGAGAAGCAGGTTGTTGAGGTTCGGATGGCCATTTGGGGGCAGTACATAACCATCGACTTGAGAGTCCAAAAGACTAGACGGGCCTTTTGGCTGACACAGCCCTATCCAAGCGGAAACGGGTGTTGAAAAATCTCATCCACGATCGCGGAACTGCCATTGTGGCCAGGTATCAGAAGCTGATCATACAGATGGACCATTTGTGCCTGCTTCTGTTCGGCAGGGTGTGGCCGATGACAAACACGTTACCGTTTCGGATCCATTGGTGAATCCTATAAATGGAGATTAATCCCTTACCAGCGAAAGAGAAAGTTACACGAAGCAGCCGCCGTTTGCTGTTTAAGAATGGACTCTAGTTCTGGTCAAGTGCTTACATCCCTGTCCCAGGCCTCTCTCTGTCTATGGTATATATGACCCGTACCTAATCCGGAAATATTAAAAGCTTAGTTTCACCTCCAGACGCCTGCTTGCAATGCAAAACGAAATTCGACAGCATACGGTATTGGTACACCAGTATCGTGTCCCAACCTCAGAACTCCCTGCTCTCACCAATCTCGCAAACGTCAAACACGCCCGTTGCCGGAAGCCCCTTGCGCTTCATGGCGTCCTGCAGGAGCTTCGGCGGCTCTAGGACCTCCTCCATAGTCAGTGCCCAGGTGCCCCAGTGAATGCCCATGGCACGCTCGCACTTGGTATCCTGGAATATCTCGACAGAATCAAAGGGGTTGGCGTGCATCCCCGAGAACGCTACGCGCGGGTAGTAAGCACCGATGGGGATCAGGCCGAGGTCGAAGGGCCCGCGCAGGTCGCCAATCTGCTTGAATTGCGGGCACATGGGCAGGTGGGCATACTTCGGGCCGTAGTCGTCCACGTCGAGAGGAGTCCACGGCACGGCGCGGTATCCAGTGTCGCCTCCGAACCAGACCGACTTCCCGGCAGACTTGACACCCCACGACGCCCACAGGGTCGTGTCTTTGTCGAACGGCGTGCGCGCGGAGGTATGTTGGCAAGGGAGACAAGAGATCTGGGCGGAGATGGTCTCGGGGGCGTCGTCGACGCCCTTATCCACGGTCAAAGATATCTCGGCGTCCTCCCACCAGTCGAGCTCGGTTACGTTCTTCAAGCCAGCCTTCTTGAACCACGACTCGAGGCCCAGGCCAACAAAGAAGTGGGCTTTAGGATTGTGCTTCTGGATGGTGAGGACGGACTCGTGGGACAAGTGGTCGTAGTGGCTGTGGCTGATGAGGACAGCGTCGACAAAGGGGATGTCAGCGAGGTCGCAGGGCTTTGGAGTGTAGCGCTTGGGGCCCATGAAGGAGAAGGGCGAGCAGCGGTCCTCGAAGACGGGGTCGAAGAGCACGCGCAGGCCCGAGGGAAACTCCACGTAGTAGCAGGCGTGGCCGAGCCAGGTCGCGCGCAGCTTGTTGGAGGCGGTGCGAGTGGGAAGGAAGTCGGGCTTGACAACGTTGACAGTTGGCGGCGACGTATCGGGGGACTTGAGGTCGCCAGTCAATTGAGGCCTGGAGATCGCGGGGTTCGTGTTAGTGGCTAGGCTTGATCGGCATCATGGCGGCGCGGGGCCGGAAGGGCCGGAGCGTGATACATACCAGACGACATGCTTGAAGATTTGGGAGAAGCCGACACCTTCCCCGAAAGAAGGGTGCACATTCTTGAACCCAACGGTGTTGCCGTTCTTCTTGACGTGATGCGGCTTGGAGGAGGCGTCCTCGGGCGCGGGCCCCAGGTCGGGGATCTTGGTGACGGTGGTTGAGTATGAGGCCATTGAGAGGGCAAGGAGGGAAGCCGGGGTGGTCGAAGCGTTCCTAATACCAGGGCGTATGGGTGGTTGTTGGAAAAAGGTGCGAATGAACTGTCTGAACCTGGACATAGTTCTTCACAGGCACTAACCTGGAGGGATCGAGGGGGGCAATGAGATATATAGATGGAGCTGGACTTGCTTTGAAGAGGGGGGAATGTTAGGAAAAGAGAGATAGTCAGGAAACAAATGCAGCACGGTATGCCTGCGTTGGCCGGCCGGGGAAATGGGGTTCGACTAGACGGATCGCGTGTTCCACTCGGGGTTAGCGAAAGGGAGGAGCCCGGTCCGACCAGGTTGCAGGCGCCGTACGTATGTGAGCAGCTTTGTAAAGTGGCTTGGGTCGTGGTTCTTCTCAGCCGCCGGGCGTCAAAACAACATCAGTCAGGTACGCTGGGACATGAACGATGACACTTGCCCGAAGAAAGAGAAGCCGCCCGTCTGTAGAGCAAGACGTCAACCATCTGCGCGTCACCATGTGCGTGTAAGTTTCGCTCACCCTTTTTTTTTTTTTTTTTTGGTGGAGATGTCGGACATAGGACATGACTGGGTCCCTTAGCTCCCGTCCCAAGCCAAGGTAGTAGTGCACGCCGAACCAACTGCTGCAAGCTCGTCAGACATAGATAGGTACAGCGGATGCACCGGAGTTTCCAAAGTCCTTTCGCCGACGCTCCGTCTCCAATTCCCATTTTCGGTCTTCTCAGATCCAACTGCGGACTTCTGTGGACTCGTCCGGCCACACGCCAGTGGCTTGTTACGAAGACACGGTGGAATAGTCCCTCCATCGCATACGCGGGAGGTCGGCACTAACCTCTTTTCGTACTTATCCTTCATTCCGGTCACCACTCAGACTCGGGCCCTTCTCATCACATGCGATAAGCTTATTCGTACGTTGGCCCATTGCTGTTTTACCATGCATGGCCAGTCGACGTCGGGTCCTACAAAGCAAGCCACTTACAGACAGACAACCGGCCGCATTCGCTACACTTCCGCGCACACATTTCATTTGCTTGCGCGTAAGCTCACCCGCAATTGGATCGTGTTCTTGTTTGATCCTCTTACCGGTAGTTGTCGAGTTTTTCTCCAGAATCGACTGCATGGCGAACATGAACAGTTGTTCACAACAAGTACTTATGGCCTTTTTCGGAGACTTTATAGAACCCCAACAAGGCACCATGTCTATTCCTTCAACCCTGGCTACCGAAGCTCCAGTGGTGCCTCACAAGAGTAACCTCGTCACGCTCCCACCCCTTCTTCTCCGTTGCCCGCCTGTACTGCATCTTTGCCTGATGCACGTTCACTGGCCTTTTGTAACCCACGGCCAACGTCAGCTGACGTGTCTCCTCCTCTTTCTCCCGCCGCGCCCGATTTACCTCGCCAGACCATGTACCTATGCCTCCTTGGCGGCCCCGATTGGTCGTCATCTGAATTGTTGTACTCTGAGCCAGAGTCTGTCCCTTCACCTGCATCCTTTAGTATCCCCAGTGCCTCCTTCACCAGCGCAGGACTTAGACGCCGGGATGTATCAAACTTTTCTTTGGGTAGGTCGTCTTTTGGGAGTTGAACTTCGCAACCGGTCTCAGCTTCACGCGTGCCGGAGCTCGCAGAAGTGTGGAGAATAGTAACGGTCTCCTCCCCGTGTTCGGTTCATCGCCGTAGCCTAGCGAGATGATGTGGGATGAGTTCAAAAACGATTCGTCTTGATCGAGAGCTGGTTCCCAAGACGATAGAACTCGGTCTCGCAGTCCTGCTCTATGCTGTTGCATAGAATACTGTTGGCCTTGCAGCCCTTTGCCCGATCTTCCATAGTACGGCATTCGCGAAGCCATCCTTCCACTCTGCTCTGCGCATCCAACGGCAGACGGCGTTCTTGAACTAGGCGCCACACATCACGAAAGTCCACATCGCCAAACCCGTTCTGCAAGGCCTGAAGTTTCTTATCCAGCCGCGGGATGCTGCTGTTTCTGCAAAGTCCAAGATACGAGGCTTGCCAGGAGGCTTCGGTGTTGGCTGTCTGTCATGACTGAGAGGTTTGTTCGTTCCTAGTAAGTGATTCCATCATTTCTGCAGTCGATGTCGTTGGGTTGCTTTTTGGGTATGCTTTGTCATTTGGTTCTTCCGAGCGCTTTTTTGTATTTAGGCATGACTTGTCTAAATGTTTGTGTTGTCGCCATAATTGATCTTTCTGGCCATGCTTTCTCCGATATTTATGATGGAGTACGGAGATGACAACCCAGCGACGCCTCTTCCAACCCAAATCTCCGAACCAAGGGCCCAACCATAGTTTTCACAAAGTCCACTGGCACACGAACCGGTCCTGAAGAGTCAACACGTCCAAAAGCAATCAGAAAATCAAATTTGACTAGGACTACGCTCGTCCCCTGTAACCGTCATTATCCGTCATCATGGTATCGAGAAACAAGAACCAAGTATGCCCTGGACCAAAACTGCGCCCGAACGCTCAGCAAACAACTGACAGGAGACTGCCCCCACAAAGAATGTCCATCAAGCCGCCCAAGACCTTGCAAAGCTGTTTACATATCCAGATTCCGGGTATCCTCTCTCATCTCATCACTTCCCAGCTCCTTTTCAAGCTCGTCGGTAACGAAGCCCTCATAGTCGTCGAGGTTCCTCTGCACGTGGATCTTGAACTTGATGACATCGTTGAGCATCCGGTCAATCTCCGTATGAAGCTCTTCTCGCAAGGAGTTTGCGCGAAGCACAAGCTGTTCGTACCTGCGAACGTTGTTAACATCCGAACAGAGCCATAACGACATACGACGACTTACTCGATGCTGGTATTCATTTCGCGCTGCTCCATCAGCTGTACTGACTCGGTCAGAGTTGCCCGCATCTTTGCGAGTTCCTTCTCCATCTTTTCAATTTGGGCGTCAGATGCCATCTTTTGCGTTGTTGTGACCTGGGACGTGTCAGTTAGCAGCAGCGCCAGATTTATCCAACCAGTGTCAAACATACCTCTTTTGTCTTCTCGTACTCCTCCTCCGCAGCACGGACACGGTGCTCCAGAGCCTCGACTTCGTTGCGCTTGTCCTCAATCGCCTCCTTGATGCCATCGAGCAGGTCATGATCCTTCATCATCATATCCATGGCAACGGTTCTCCTCTCAGAGATCTCTTTCCTCAGCGTGAGGAAGCTGTTCTTGACCTGACCACGCAGATCGAGGTTGAGAATATGGGCAGGCTGGTACCCAGTGACAGGGTCGGCAAGGAGGCGGTCGCTTGAGGAAGCACCGCTGGATCCCTTGAGTTGCGACGAGCTGAAATCTGGGCCGTCGTTGACCGTCACCTGCAGCTCGTAGTCCTTGCCGTTGGCATTGACTGCCGTCGCGGGTATCAAACCAATCTGATACGCCAGGGTGTTGTACCTATCGACCATTCTTTCGAGTTCGTCAAGCTTCCTACTCGCTTCAAGTTCTTTGTCGGCGACCTTTTTCTTGACTTCCTCTAGCCTTTGTGATGCGGACTCGATTCCTTTTTGCAAACGTTCTCGCTCAGCCGTCATGCGGTCGATATCCTGCATGCTAATACCTAGATCGTCCACGGCCTTCTGCAATCCTCGCCGTTCATCCTCAACTTCCCGAAGTTCTTCGTTGAGTTTTTCAAGCTCCTCCTGGAGAACCTGTATCCGTGCTTCGTACTTGTCGGATCTTTGCATCGCGAGCGCATTATATTCCTCGAACTTGACCTTGTCCTCTTCCATGATTCTGAAGTGGTTATCGAGTACAGCAGGATCCGGAGTAGACTTTTCAAGATCTTCAATCTCACGCAACAGCCGATTATTCTCCCTTCAAGCATCTCAAGTTCAGAGGTATACTTGGAATTGGACTGCTCGAAAGCCTGCGCCATCCGTTCTATGTGAGGAGCCAGTGCTCGGTTGGCATCTTCATCGTCGGCGTCCTCGTCCATGGCAAGCCAGTCTCTATATGCCTGGCTAAGGAAGTCGAAAATGATATGATCGCCTGTCACATCAATACCACTCTCGAGGCACGCATCGTCGTATCGGTTGCAAGCATAGCCATCCAGCATCTGCGCCAGTTGCATCATCCAGTGTAGCAGCCCCAAGAAAGTACTCCAGTTCTGACCACCGACGGCCGCGATCTGACTCTTGGTGATGCTTCGTTCGTAGGGGTATCGAAGCTGCTTGAGAATTGGCGGAACTTCTTGGTCAATGTTCTTCTGGAACTTGTAGCTCGGATCGATGCGGCGGTACAGCCACTGGAACATAAAGTTGAAGTCCTTCTGGGTAGGGGATTTGATGATGTTCTGAGAGAGGGTATGCTTCATCTGCATCTCGAAGTTGTTCTGAGCTAGGTAGTCCAGCAGTTCCTGTCCAATTCTGGCCTGGTATGATCGGTCTCGCAATGGGCGAGGGTCTCGAGGTACACCGGCAGGCTGAGGTGCTTGCTGGAAGAAGCTCTGGTGACTCATCGGCCCTGCAGTCGAAGTTCTTGCGCGGTATACGCTGCTCCTCCTATCCGCATCTTGTGAAGAACGCCCCGGCGCTGGCGTTGGCGCAAAGGACTTATCGCGCATCGAAGTTCGCTTCACGGAGGAGAGGCCAAGGTCTGCGAGGTTGGTGCCGGACGAAGAGCGCTGGAACATGGGCTGGCTGGGTCGCGATAGCGCAAGAGAATGTCTAGAGCCGGACATGGAGCGCCCATGGCTGTTCGAGTAGGGCGCACCTGCACCTGAAGCGGATCGCTTCATGGCGGATGCGGGTTGTGGTAAGCCGGTGTTGTAGTTAATGCCTCCTAAAGTCTGCGCGATGCATCAGTAAATTTGGTTCTGGGAAGACTGCGTTGTTGCGACAAGTCCATTTCGAGGGTAGAACTGACCTCTCTTGGTCGGCGCACGCTCCACAGGCCGGTGTCTTGCGACATGGTGGGAGGGTGCCAGACAGTCGTGATTCAGGGGTCAAGTCGCAGCCCACTGACTGGCGAAAAGACTGGAATGATAGAGTGAAGATATTTGTAGCCGTTGGGAAGAACAGATCATGACGCGACAGCCGCTGGTCAAGATGTTGCGGTTTGCGTCCACGCGTGTGGTTTGTCGATGGGTGCGAACGGGATTGCAAAGTTGGGTAGGTGCAAATGTCAACGGTGTTGTTGCTCTGGAGGAAAGTAAACAAATTGAGCAGTCCCTCGCTGATTGGCTGCGCGTAGCCCCTCAAACAATGGGCGCTTGGATCATCATCCCACTGATGCCCAACACGTGACGGTGGGGTAGCCTCCGGACGGACTTGCTCGGCATTTCTTTGAGTTAGGTAAGCATTTCTGACTTTCCCCAGCCGCTGCTCTGCGCCGAAGCCTCGGCTCAGAAACCGGCCACCCATTATTACGTATCGTCTGGTGACAGGCAACCAACACGTCGGCTCTTCCTCCATTCTCCAGTGGCATATGCGACTTGCCTTCATCGCCTCTGTCAAAAAGCAGCTTCTTTACTGAAGGAGAATGCGACGGGGTTGATAAGGCAACATATTTAAGATGGCGATTCGAGAGGACATCGTCGCCTCGGCGGTATGCAGGCCCTCCCTCCATGTTCTGTGACTTGTGGCTAACTTCGATTCAGACGCAGTGTTAGTACCGCGCAAACTGGCTAAACACATAGCAACAAACTGACGAACTTGTAGTTCTGCAAGACCCGAGCGTCGCGAGCTCGTCGATCGAAAACCGTGTGGCTTTCCTGCGGACGAAGAACCTGACCCAAGAAGAGATCGATGCTGCTTTGTCGAGAGTAGGCGCCCAGCCTGCGTCGGCTGCTACGCCGGGTTCGATGGCGGTCGCTCAGCAGCAGCAACAACAACCATACTATCAACCCTACCCGCCTCAGTACGCGGCATGGCAGCCACCGCCGCCGCCCCTAAGAGGGATTGGAGGGATTGGTTCATCATGGCGACTGTTGTTGGCGGTGTCAGCTACGGCGCATACACGTTAGCCAAGGTACCGAGTTCTGTGTTTGCAGCTCCCTGAAACAGATGTGACTGACAGTTTCCTAGCGATATGTGTACCCCCTGATTGCACCACCGACCCCGAGAGGCTTGAACAAGATAAGAAATCAATCGAAGAGCAGTTTGACAAGGCTTTTGGGCTTGTCGAACAGCTTGCAAAGGACACGGAGGAACTCAAGGCAGCGGAGCAACAACGGACAGAGAAGCTGGACACGGCTCTAACAGACCTGGAATCGATTATGCAGGAGCTGAGGTCAGCTAATACGCGGCGGGAGATCGAGACACAACGCGTCAAGGACGACGTACAAATCCTCAAGGACTCGATCCCGAAAGCCATGAACACACAGAAAGACCTCACCGACTCGAGATTGAAGGAGGTGAACTCTGAGCTCACTAGCCTCAAAACCCTGATGACCCAACGCATGAACGCGGCGTCATCGGCGAGCACAAACGGACTGCGGACTGGCGGAAACCCTACCCCCGCATCTCCTGGACTGAACCGCTCTGCTGCGACGGGTAGTGACAACCAGGCGGGTAACACCGAGCCGGCTGCCAACTCTGATACGTCCAAGACGACCGGCACGCCTACCTACAACCGACCCTCGCCTTCCAGTGGCGCTACAGGCGCAAAGGCGTCGATTCCGGCATGGCAGATGGCCATGGCCAACAAAGACAAGGACTCCGTGGCCTCTTCCACGACACCGAAGGCAACTGGAGCTGACAATAGTTCGCAACAGCAACCAGCTGAAAATGCTTAGTACCGTGTCCGGTTCTAAGGCCGACGTAGTTTCACTGTACAGTAAACGGTATTCAAGGATTTCATTTCGTTATGAGCTTGGAGAGCGAACGATGTAATTGTGCTTTTGGGTTGGTTGATACACTTGTACCAGACATGAGCATTGAAAACTAGTACCAAGGGAAACGGCATAAAGTATGGAAATGACAGATGTGAAGGCTCACCACGTGCAAAAGCCAGCCACAAGCCCTACTCTTTCAGGGTTGGCAATATGAAGATCAAGCTTAAGGGATGTTTTGACATGTTTCACACGGGCCGGCTGCTATTCGCGTGCCGTCATTTTCATGCTCCTTATGCAAAGAGGGTCTCGCGGGGAAAGGGTCGGCTAGACTTGGCGTCACAGCTCATTCATGATACAACGGAGCTGCCCGGCCCACTTTGTTGATAGAGATGGGATGAAGATGGCAACTATCTGACGATCTCGCAAGTCGGACTGAAATGGGGGAGGTGTCGACCGGAGCAGCTGTAGGTCCCGACCGCAGGCCAGGGCTCGTTGCCGGTGCCGTAGCATTGGGTGGGTTTCTTCCTTTTTCCTGGCGACGTTTAAATAGGTAGCATGGGCATTTGAGCAAGGGGCTACATGCCCCAGGGCCCATCTCTTCGTAAGTCGCTCTCCATTCGGTAACGGTCGCAGATCTTGTACTCTATGTACTGTCTGGCTCCTGCGTGCAGTAGTGTCAAATCGAACTCGCTTAGACCCGCAGCCCAGACCTTACTGAGTCGAGAGAATGAATGGTGTTGCAACCACTTTTATTTAATCCATGCGTGAAGAATGGAGAGTGCGGGTGTTGATGCTAATCATAGGCGAAACGTCTCGAATGTCTACTCGGTCTGTCAATAGTACCATACCGTGCCACAGGGCTCTAGTTGTAACTCGCTTTGTTTGCTTTGTGAACTTTCCGATGGGTGCTTCCTCAAGATCCGTCATGATCATTTGCCCGCGTTGTTTTTTGAGTACATTTTAAGTATTGGAGTACCGCCCCACATAAAGTAGTGTTTGCTGTCAAACACTGGCAGATCTTACTGCAGCGCTTCTTTTACTTCCATTTCTTGTCGTTCTTCTGCTCCTCCAGTATCCACTGTCGCAGAAAAGAAAATGGCACCAATAGTCTGGTCCTTGCGACAACTAGCCCCGTTTTCTTCTCCCAGCAGCCAACAACAAGCAACCAAATCGCGTGGCATACTTTCCCAACTCAGCTTTTCCGCAACCATTTCCTCATTTGTCCGTCCTTGCGGCCCTTCCACAGGACGTCATGAAGCCCGCTGATGGTGCCAATGACCCCCGTCTCATCACCTGATTTTTCTCCTGGCCGGGATTGTCTATGGAGACCAAACATCTCAACTACCAGGCCCATCCCAGCCCTGCATCTGCCATCTCAATCACCCTCACAACTGAAGCTTACACTACTTTCCCGCAGCTGCCTCTTGGCTTTCGAGACGCATGCCCCTAGTCACTTACGCAACGAATGCAAGACTGCATCTCGTTCTCGCCAGCCACTCAGGGCTTCTAGAATCCTTCGCATTACGGTACTCATAACCCGCGCTCGCCACTCACATTCCATCTTCACCCCTCCCCCTCGGCCCTCGGCGTCTCATAACCCTCCATCTCGCTCCCGTGATTGGCGGAATGGATAACTGGTGATGGGACTGTTCTCAATGGATTTGGCCGTTGTCAACAAGGTACCAGTAGTCTTTGGCACTGGACGCATGAGTCTAACGAAGGAGCTAACGTTGTGATTAGGTGGGCTAGACCGCGTATCCATCCGATGGCCGGCCACAAGCGATTCGTCGATTGAGTCCTGTCAACCGAGGCCCAATGCTGAGCAGCATGTCATCGACTCGCTCACCGTCTACGCCTCTCGCGTCTCATTAACCAGTCACCTTGGTCTCGTTGGTTCCCTTCATCTTCAACTCCTCTTACTAAGGATCGTGTCGTGGGTATTTGGTCTCATCCGCCGACGCTACATTCGTCATCTTCTCCTTCATCGTCCAACCTATCGTTAAGCACGTTCCCACAACAGCGACTGTTCCTACAAACATTTAATCTCAATCCCCCCGCTTGCGATTCCACCTTGGTACCCTGTCTCGAGATACCTCACCCAGGGTACTGATCTGCGGGTGTGTGCGTGTGTGTGGCTACCGCAGCCGTTGCCCAGGGATCGCGGCCAATATTCTGTCCATCTGAACATCCTGTCAGCCCCGGGTCCTTGACCGTTGGTACCACTGCGGACGAATTGCAGCCTTCTTCTTCCGGGGTAGCGTGTGTTGTTCATGTGTTTCAACCCGGTCAGGCATAGTACCTGCTTGGTTCGCTCGACTTCACCTGGTTGCTTCTTCCCCTCTGTTCAATATCCTTAACTAGGCGCCGTCTGCCGCCCACCTCGCTCTTCAAAATGTCCACCTCCTCGTTCGACTTCCCAAATCCCCTCAACATGCACCCTGCGCAGCTCAAGTTGTTGCTCTCGCTACTACCCAAGCTGCCCTTGATAGCGCGGGTAGCCCTTCTCCACGTCCTACACATGTCCAAGTCCTCCCAGTACCTTGACTTGCGGAGCGACCTCATCATCTCGGTCCTACGCTCATACCTCCAGCCGACCAAGCTACGGTCCATTACCTCCACCCAGAAGCTCGCCAACCGAGTTAGCGGCGTCAAGGGAAGGATATGGGTTTCCACCTACGCCAGCCCGGTCCCGGAAACCGATGTCCGTGATGCTCTCGTCGGGGCCATACAGTCACTGAGGACGCCAGATACGCCGGAGATTGATCTGCAGTTGCCCGAGATTTTACCCGTCGAGGCTGAATGGACAGGCTACCGTGCTGGTGCCACGGCCGATGAACGAGCACCCCAGATCGGAGAAAAGGAGAAGTATGAAAATCTCCAAAAAGAGGCTACCAGTTCCTTGACGGTGTTGTACTTCCATGGTGGAGCGTACTACCTCCTCGACCCGTCAAGTCATCGTCCGGCCACCAAGAAGATAGCCAAACTGACGGGCGGACGTGTGTACTCAGTCCGTTACCGACTCGCCCCGCAGAACCCTTTCCCTGCGGCTCTGCTGGACGCTCTCATCTCCTACTTGACACTGTTGTACCCGCCTTCCGATGCCTATCACCAGCCAGTTGACCCGAGACACATAGTCGTTGCCGGAGATAGGTAAGCTGCTTGACCCCATCCACCCCAGGTTTGCAATGCTGACCAATTCACAGCGCCGGGGGCAACTTAAGCCTTGCTTTGCTACAACTTTTATTGGAACTGCGCAGACAAAACAGAAAAATCCGCTGGCACGGCGAAGAACGAGACATCCCACTACCTGGCGGCCTTGCTTTGAACTCGCCGTGGCTCGACATGACACAAAGTTCACCAAGCTGGGACGCCAACCGAGACTTTGACTACCTTCCGACTGCCGAGGAATATGCCAAGTACAACCCGCCACCATGCGAAGCATGGCCCGCGAAGCCTCCACGAATGGCTCTTTATGCAGACGATGACCTGTTGGCGCACCCGCTGGTGACACTCGTCATGAGCCGAAGCTGGGAAGGCGCGCCACCTGTGTTCATTTGCACAGGATGGGAACTACTGGCGGACGAGGATAAGTACATAGCTCGCAAACTGCACGAGGAAGGCGTGCCAGTGGTGTTTGAAGAGTATGAGGGGATGCCGCACTGCTTCTCTCTCATCCTGACAAAAACGCCGAATGCCAAGCGCTGCTTCGACGGCTGGACCGGATTCATGAAGAAGGTCATCACGCACCCGGATACCATTGACTCAAAGGCCATCACAGTCAAGGCCAAGACGCTAGAGGAAATCTCCCTGACCTTTGAGTCTTTGCTGAGCAATGTTAGCGAGGAGGACATGCACCAGAGGGTCCTGACGAAGAAGAAGATGAGCTTGGCATCCGCTCCAGAAGCAATACCAAAGCTGTAGAGGAAAGCAAATCACTGATGAGCCACTAGTTCTCGAGAAGTGTCAGTGATAGGATATAATTAGCTTGTAGTCATGTACAAAAGAAATCATAATAATATGCACGGAAAGGAGGGGGTTGTGGAATAAGAAATGGACGTGGTCTACCCGTGTTGCATCCTAAGATGATCCTGCTAAGCAGCAGACAGATCTCCAAATCCAAGACAATGCCTGGACAGTAGGAGCTTGCGAGCGAGACGCGTGGTGCGAAAGCGGAGACGATTGCGTTGGTACTCGTCTGCTTGTCACAAGATGACAAGCAAGGTGTGAGGTTGCGATTACAGTGCACGTGGTCTTGTGTTCTTGTGTCTAATGTAAGCATCACCATATTGCAGAGTAGGTAACAGTTCCAGGTCCTACGCTTGCTTGCCCACCTCGCAATCAGTGGTCACGAAATTCCCCGAAACTGCATGGGCCGCCGTGTCCACTAATCCGGGACCAACGACTACCCTTTCACCCAGTGAAGACCAATTGACGGGAGCTCCCTCGGTGGCTGGAGCCGGTCCCCTTCATAGGGGAGGGGTACCCTTAAATGGGCCAAGGTGCACTGGAGCTGACCACCTACATATGCCTCTCCCCCTGTCAGAAGCTTGATTAAGCTACCGCCCAAAACGGGACGCTGTGGCGTTCGTCGACGGCCAAAAAAAATAAATCCATCTCACTTTCTAGCGCGTCGTCGTATCCGCAGACTCACTCACTCACTCACTCATAACGAGTGGTGACATATCGAGATCTTTCACCGGATCTCACAGCCTACCGGGAGGAGAGCACCCCCTTTCATCACAAACCACCCTCCCACGTGGATTATACCCCCCGGGGACCTCGAAACGACAAAATGGAGCGCCACAAAAAGTCCGTCTCCAAGATCGCCGCCGCTGTGCGGTCCTTCTTCGACCGCCGAGAGCCGTACCGCATCTTCCACGGCTCGACCAACAGCACTCGGCCCTTCCGCCGGGACCGCTTCGTCGACATCAGCGCCCTCGGCAACGTTCTCGAGGTGGACAAGGCCCGCCGCACCGCCCTCGTTGAGCCCAACGTGCCCATGGACCGCCTCGTCGAGAGCACCCTCCGCCACGGCCTCGTCCCGCCCGTCGTCATGGAGTTCCCCGGCATCACGGCCGGCGGCGGGTATGCCGGCACTGCGGGCGAGTCCTCGAGTTTCAAGCACGGCTTCTTCGACGATACCATCAACGAGGTCGAGCTCGTCCTGGCCAACGGCGATGTCGTCCGCGCCAACCGGACCGAGCGCGCCGACCTCTTCCGTGGCGCCGCGGGCGCCGTCGGCACCCTTGGCATCACCACCATGATCGAGCTGCAGCTCATCGAGGCGAAAAAGTATGTCAAGACGACGTACCACCGCACCCATAGCGTCGCCGAGGCCGTCGAGACCGTCCAAGCCGAGACCCTCAACGCCGACAACGACTACGTCGACGGCATCCTCTTCTCAAAGGACCACGGCGTCGTCATCACCGGCAAGCTGACGGACGAGATCCCCGAAGGTAGCAAGCCACAGACCTTCAGTGGCGCCTGGGACCCCTGGTTCTACATGCACGTCAAGGACCGCACGCTCACCGCCGGCTCGGGCCACAGCGACGCCGCGGCGGCCGCCGTCGACTTTGTGCCGCTGGCCGAGTATCTCTTCCGCTACGACCGCGCCGGATTCTGGGTCGGTGCCGCCGCCTTCGATTACTTCAAGTATGTCCCCTTTACGCGCTTCACGCGCTGGTTCCTCGACGACTTTCTGCACACCCGTATGCTCTACCGCGCTCTGCACGGCAGCGGCGAGTCGGCGCGCTTCGTCGTCCAGGACCTGGCCCTGCCATACAAGAACGCCGAGCGCTTTGTCGACTACACGGCTGAGAACTTCAATATCTGGCCTCTGTGGCTGTGCCCGCTGAAGCAGACGGCCCCGCCGACCTTTCACCCCCACACGGGCGAGATCGAGACGCTCCCTGCTCCGGCAGCGGACGGTAGCTCCGGCGGCAACGTGACGGCGCCGAAGCCGATGCTCAACATCGGCCTCTGGGGCTGGGGCCCCGCGAACCCCGACGAGTTTGTGGCCAAGAACCGCGCGCTCGAGCACAAGCTGGGCGAGCTGGGCGGCATGAAGTGGCTGTACGCACACACGTACTACACCGAAGACGAGTTCTGGCAGTCGTACGACCGGCAGTGGTACGACAGCCTGCGCGAAAAGTACGGCGCCACGACGCTACCGACGGTGTACAACAAAGTCAAGGTCGACGTCGGGGCGCGCAAGGAGGAGCTCAAGAGCTGGCGCAATGTCGTCAAGTCCAAGCCGCCCATCGGCGGGCTCTACGGCATCTACAAGGCCATCCAGAGCAAGGACTACCACCTGCATCGCCATGCCGAGTGGAAGTACAAGGGGGACAAATGAAGTGTGGGAAAGCGGCAAAGCTCCTGTTGGAAGCCCTTTGACGATTACGGCCAGTAAACTTTCATGTTGAACAAACTCACGATGGGAACGGTCAAGTATGGTACCCACAGATCGTCATGTGTGACATGTACTAGTAGTGTAGCATCACGCCCATCCGCAAAAGGGAGCCATAGCATTTTAGCATGTAGACAGAGCATGGTATCATCCGGCGCATCAATTGTTTGGCCCAGGGGCTGTTCGGCAAAAAGTCCGGTTCAGAGAAAACAACAGCCATGGTTTCAATTCATTTCATTTCCTATCTCATCTTCATCAGTAGTGATGCTCAAATACGCCCATCTGGCCCGGTATATACAAATGTCCCTATTACGAGGCGCGGTTTCACGCGACATGGTATTCTCTCTTGACGAGACATCCATCTGGTCGTGATCCGTGGTGCGCTTCTATATGTTCCTCCGCTGATTAAACTACCTCATGCTGGCCGTGCTTCTTCAGCAATGATGATGTCGCAAGATCTATGCATCCGCCTCTATTTGTTCGCAGTTCCCAAGGTCCAAAAAGTGGTCTCTCTGTAGAAGTGTAAGGCTTTATGCCTTAACGCTGTAGGTGCGCTGGAACTTCTCGTTGACGTTCTCGAGGTAGTAAGTGCCAGGGACGATGGTGGAGGGGTCACCCTTGGGTTTGTAGTCTTTCTGGAGGTGAGCCTGGTGGCGGAGATCGCACATCTATGGATATTTGTCAGCAGGCTGTCTCCAATCTTGTGTATTTGGAGGGGTGGTTTCTTACAGCCTCGTAAGCCTCGGGGGCCAGCTTGCGGCGGGCCTCGAGTCTGGCGGGAATGTCAAGGGCCTTGGAAAGGGGAGAGACGTCTCCGTTGATGCGCAGGGACAAGAAGCTTGCAGCCAGACCAGAACCGTAGCTGAAAACACCAACACGCTTGCCGTTAAGAGTGGCGGCGTCGACGTAAGAGAGCAAGCTGGCAACACCTCCCCAGACGCTACCGCAGTACATGTTGCCGATCAGAGTGGCAACCTGGGCACCGGGAGCGACTCTCTCCTGATACTTCTTCTTGGTGAGACCCATGAAGGTCTTCTCGACAACCTTGTCGGTCAGAGACTTCTCGTAGTCCATGTCACGAAGCTCAGGAGCAACCTCAGCGAAGACGGGGCTGTCGGCATCAGCGAGGTAGTCGTGGTACAGAAGGCGGGCGTATGACTTGGCGACAAGCTTGCAGTTAGGAGCATGGAAGGCCAGGTAGTCGAAGCGGTCCAAGTTGGTCTTGGGGAGCTTGGCCTCGCCGTTGGTGCCGTTACCGTTGGCGTGACCGTTGGCAGCCTTGGAAAGCTTGGCCTCACGCTTGTTGTACTCGCGGTAGGCAGCATCGAGAGCCTTGGTGTAGCAGGTCAGGGAGTAGTGGCCATCAACGTAGGGGTACTCGCTGGTGAGGTCAGGCTTGTAGAAGTCGTAGACGTGAGACATGTAAGAGCCGCGCAGACCAGGCTCGACAACAACGGGAGCGTTGGGGCCGACGAGCATGGCGACGGCGCCAGCACCTCCAGTGGGGCGGGCGTTGCCCTTGGCGTAAAGGGCAATGTCACCGGCAACGACAATGGCATCACGGCCGTCCCAGGCCGAAGACTCGATCCAGTTAACGGCGTTGAAGAAGGCATTGGTACCTCCGTAGCAGGCGTTGACGGTGTCAACACCCTCAATGTTGGTGTTGTCACCGAAAAGCTGCATCAGCACAGACTTGACCGACTTGGACTTGTCCAGGATGGTCTCAGTGCCAACCTCAAGACGGCCAATCGAGTTGGTGTCGATGTTGTACTTCTTGATGAGGTTGGAGGTGACGGTCAAGGCGAAAGAGTAGATGTCTGCAGGAGAGCGCAACATGTCAGTACGGGCACGGGAACAGAAGGAATTGGCAGGCAAACTCACCCTCGCGGTCGTCGCAGAAGGCCATCTTGGTCTGGCCGAGACCGATGGTGTACTTGCCGGCGCTGACGCCATCGAAAGTCTCCAGCTCGGATTGCTCGACGTACTAAGTGGTGGCAACCATTTTGTCAGTGTGGAATTCATTGTGGCGCATGGGGTTTCGACGAGGGGCAGCGCGCAGGAAAGCATGGGCAGGAGAAGCAGCAAAACACGAGGGGTAAATTTGGTGGCCGGTGGGTTGCGACTTCGGCGATGAGGGGCAGCGCGTGGTTTTTTTCTCCTTCTGGGTTTTTCCCCCTCTCTGTCTCCTGCGAATTGTGGTGCGCGTGGTCACTGATGCGCGTGGCGCGGAAGTGGCAGAAGTGAGACCAACCTGGCTGGGGAAGTAAACCTCAATGGCCTTGATGCCAATGTTCTCGGGGCGGGAAGCCATTTTGGGTGGCGCGTTCGAGTAGATTGAAGATTTGGGATAAGGGTTGGGAGGAGAGTTGGGAGTCTAAAAAAAAGTTGACGAGTTAGTCTCCAGTTCTCACTTATGAACTTGAACGACTTTCACCGCCGTTTCAACCACCCAGCAAACCAGTCACAAAATGTGCCCAACGTGCAGAACGAAGACAAGGGTCTTCCAGCACGGGGGAGGGGAGGGAAGGGTAGGAAGAGGGGGAGGGGCAATAAAGCCCAACGCACCTATTGGCACAGATTCGGCGACTTTTCAACGGAGGTAAAAAGGGGCGATGCGGAAAGTTTGGAGGGAGGGAAGAAAGTCCAAGATGTCGAAAGAAGAAGCTGTAGAGAGGGAGGGAAAGAGAGAGAGAGAGAGGGTTGGTGAGAGGAGAAAAAGGTGTTGGGATGAGACGAGCGAGGAGTAAAAGTGTCGAGGGTCGAGGGGCGTTTATCTCTTTTTTATTTTGTTTTTATTTTTCTTCGTTTCCCACAAGCTCTTCTGCAGACGATAGGAGAATAACGGCGGCACAAGGCAGGAGAGGTGCGGACGGGAGGAGTGGTTAATATTAAAAATCCCCACTGACGTAGCAGCACACACCACAGCACTGCGCGCGAAGAGTCAAGTATCCGTTGATGGATGGGACGGGACGGGATTGCTGCTATCCTGCGACCACAGAGATACAAGACGGGACGCGCATCGCAACCCGTACGTACCTCTCACACTTTGGGACACCACGAGAGGAACGGCGGAGATGGCGGCGGGTGTGTGACAGGCGGTGGCTTGGTTGAGAGGAGAGGGAGTGTGCGCACAACAACAAGACACCAACGCCCAGCCAGATCCAGGGTTTTTTTTTCTTTTCCTTTCTCTCTCTGAAGAATGGTCTACCTACTCTTCCCCTCCCAAGCACCCCCCAAGGCTGGTGAGGTACTCTTGACAGGTACAGAGTACTCTGCTTCCCTTGCATTGGATTCGTCCCAGACAGTCGAACTAAGGCAGGCCGCTAGCTCGAGTGAAGATGACCTCCCGAACCTCCCTAGGCAAGGGTCGGCAAGCAAGGTACGGGCTGTTATCTTATCCAGACGCGTGCGCAACGACCCTTCACCTTCACCGTGAGGTGCCTTGGCTACGTATGCTGTTGCACCGCAAGAATTGGCACGCCATCGATCGCGAACATTGATCTTCGTCTCGCCTAAGCTGCTGAAGTCCGCAATGTTTGCACTTAGCCCGGCAAAGCGAGGAAAGGAGACGACAAGCCCCCCGAAGACACACATCGTTCCTTGGTGGACGGCGTGCCCTGTCGAGCTTAAACAAGGGGCATACGGGTGAAGATGGGCGATAAAGGGATTGCTGCTGGGCTTGTCAAGCTGACTGCCCCCCAGACTTCGCCCATCCACCTGAAGCAGCAGCAAACAAGGTACCTACGTCGTCCAGACGAAAGACGGAAGTACCCCGCAGCACTGTAGGGGAACGTTGTTGCGTACTACGTAGACGAGGCAAAGTTGCGATGGCCCTGAGTCGCGGACGGGGTGCAACTCCAGACCAGACTGGTTCAAGTCTGAAAAGAGCGCGACCGCAGCACATACTGTACCGTATGCCAGTGTGTGGGGAGGAAATGTCATGGAGTGAGGATGGGAGAAGGGGTTTTCCCCTCCATCAGAACAGCGAGCGGTACGTACCGAATATCTTTCGTCAATTGAGTGGGATATCGGAACCAACCCCCCCCCCCCGGTGGGCCTTGGTGGTAGCGCTAGAGAACGAAGTTCCGCTGGGCGGGACCAGCTGCAAAAAGGTACCTTATCAATCAGTAGCCCCATTCGTAGAAAGGTCGACTTGCGGCAAGTAACTGTTCGTACTGCCTCCCTCACACGCTTGCATTGGGGTGTGAAGCAAGCTACAACAGACAGTTGCGCCTTCCGGGTTGTGCTTCGTTGTTCCTGCTGGCTCGATTTGGGTGTGTTTCGATGGAATCACAGTTTGGCCAAAGCAGGACGGACGGGTTGTCGGAACGAAGCGGTTGCTCTTATCTGTGCTTATCTTATCACCTGCAACAAATGCATAAAGCAGTAACCTTGTAGAAGAATGCGCTGTGTTGGAGAAATGGGCCGACTCAGACAGCCAAAGTTCCGTCGGAAAGACTGAGTGATAGAGGTGCATCGGCAGGCATGGGGAAGTGTCTCGTGTCGCCAACCATCCCGAATGATTTGGGGAGAGAAGGAGGGTTTCGGTGGTTTTTTCCCTCTCCGTATTCTTTTCTTCACATCTCGCCATAACGTCTGCACAACACACTTGAGGAAGAGAGATGGAGGTACTTGATAACACGACAGGACCAGTACTTCGCCCTTAGTGTGCTCTGGGTGCTTCACATTCGCATACCGATGCTCCACTGGGCCGGCCCATGGATGTTTCTTGGGGCCAGCAAAGCGGCGATTGGAAGCAGAGTTGGCCACATACTACCTACTATGCAGCAGGAGGGGGAAAGCAAAAGTGAGGCAAGAAAGGCCGCACGAAACAAGCACTGCGAAGCGAAGCGCATCCGGCAGGGCATTGAGCTCGCTGTTTCGTTCATGGCGTCGGTTCTCGAGACGGCGGCCATTTCGGGCACTTCCTCCAAGCACAGCGGCGACCTCAGATCAGGACACGGCCATCGCCAGCGAATGAGACTCGACAGCAATCACCCAATACCCGGCTCGGCTTTCCTTCTTGGCTTCGGTCTACAGATGCCATGCAGTGTTCCCAAAGTAGCTTTCAAACCACAAAGCATGGCAAAGCAAAGCGACTACGAGTCGTGGATATGAAGGCAGATAGGAACGGACAACCCCTCCTCGTCCTACTACTCGCTCGCCCTCTGCCCTCACCTCTCGGACGATCCTCACTGTTCGTTTTCCATTCGGCCTCTTACCCTCACGCCCCACCTCGCCAGTTGCGGAAAGATTGCGGTGCACTGCGGATACTCTTACCTTTGCGTTGCTACGATGAACCGACGAAAAAGAGTCGTCCACTCAGAGTCGTGCTTCTCAGGTCCCGCTTAGGAAGAGGTGGAAGATGAGATGCTGCGCATGCCCCGCCGCGTGCGTTGAGATCCCGCAGGTGATTCGCTCTTACTGCTCTGGGCCTAGCGCTTGCTGCCACCAAGCATTCATTGATTGCCAAACCATGATCTCTGGCGGCCATAGATTAAGCCCATCTGGGTTAGCTCCATGCAAAACGGCCATGCGTCCCAACATCGACATTTCCCATCTGGTCCCACCGACAGGCACTCGCCCAGCCAGACACAGGCACAAAGCGAATCCATAGGTACAAGGCCGCGGAGGCACAGACACGCAATCATAGATAGGTACTCTATACACACACGCCAGAACTGCAAGAGAAGAGGCAGCGAGACACAGGGAAGGAAACGAAGAAATGGTCTCGACGAGTGACATGTGTCACTAAGCCACCGCCTCGCACAAGCGAGCCTCAAACCAAGGCGGTCCGCCGCGCCCATTCATTTTCACGACATTGACCCTATCGTCCATTCGTCTTGGGATTCGTGTCCACCGTGGCTGAGCCTCCCGTTCTACCGAACTTGGTAGCTGGCAAGCTCACAGAAGCTTCGCAGGAACCCTTGCAGCTTCAATCACGAACTGGTTCCTGCCGTGCCGCATCTCGTCATCAAACGTCCTTGTCGACATTCGGCCCTGCACAGCTGACGATGGCCCAGGCATACGTTAGAGCTGTGCCGTTGCGACCTTTCTTCTTGTAACGGCATCCTTGCAGTGTCGCAACACATTTTTGGCTCTCGATGAGTCCATCCCCCATATCGATGATCACCCCCTCCCCTTTCCCACTGTCTGTTTCGACCTCGCATCGCCGCTTCGGTCCTCCGACATCAACGACCCTCCTCTGCCGCCTTCTGCTCCTCATTCGCCGTGATTGCAGGCACCGGCACACGCGGTTTATCCACATGAGGGGCCGCCCCGTCACGACAAGGCATATGCGCACTGGAAGTGTGGCTTCCTTGTATGGCCTCGCCGACTTGCACCCAGTCAGCCGGCTCGAACTCCGAGGCCCTTCGACCGAGTGCAACAAACAAACAACAAGTTGAAGACTTTTCTCTCCTTTCCCCCTCTCTTCAATTCATTGTCAGGCTCTGCACCGCGCCGCGACCGGAACTCGCATCGGCCCTCTTGCCTAAGCCAGATGGCTTGGCCCCTCCTCCCCAGTTTCCAGGTTGTCCAGTCTTTAGAAACTCCGATGAATAATTGCGCAGTACCACACAGCACTGCAAGGCAGAAGCACTAACAAGGCACGGACAGGACCTTCTTCATCGTCCGAAGATCTTCTCCTGCCCCTTCGTGCGCCCATTCTATTGATTTGGGAAACCATCTACGTCTAGAGCACAGTCACACCCCTACCGGTACATCCAACGCATCGAACCGTTGATGGTGACGTCCTGTCTTAGCCCCCTCTCTCGCTAGGACACAACGTCTCATTTGTCCGTCGACAGCTGCTTCCAGAAGTCTGCTGCAAGGTGCCGTCGTCTCCCTTGAGGAGCTGTTGTTGCAGCTGCCATGTCCACTGCCTCGGAGCTCTGAGACATGGCTTGGGCGCCTCTGTACTATGCGGTAAGCTGCACCAGTCTGATCAACCAGCCAGCCAAGGAACGGGCATAGCTGTCGAGTGTGTTGATGGCTGTCAGGGCGGTCTTAGCCAAGCCACTAACGTGGACGAAGGCGTTGGGGCTTGACGCCGTTGCACTGCCGCGAGATTGTCCACTCATGAGACCCTTCCAATACGTCCATTGTGAAAATATTCATGCATTATAGATACCCTACGTAGGGTGAGTACTCCTCTATGAAAACACATTCGCTATGACATGGGATCGCGGGAGCCCTCCGGACCTTCCCCATACGAGCCGGTAGTTCCAACGCCGGTCAATGCGTAGCCACGTACCAAAGACAAGGAACAGAAAAGTACGCTGATAATTTACAATTCAAACTCAAACCTCCACTGGAGTTCCGTACCCGGAGTCTCGCTTTCGGTTGGCGTTGTCGGCCCCGTTCTCGGCTTTAACCTCCGAGATCACCGGGCTGCTCTCCTTCTCCTCCGCCGCCGTCACCGTCGCCGCCACCTCGACAGGGGCTTCCGACTCAGACCCTGAGTCGGAATCGGAGTCGGACGAACCAGAAGAGCTCGACGCCTCCTTGTTGCGCCTGCTCTTCTTCTCGCTCTTGCGCTTCTTCTTCCTCTCCTCCTTCCGCTTCTCCTTCTCCTCCTTCTTCTTTTCCTCAGCCTCCTCCTTGCGCTTCTTCTCCTCCTCCTCCTTCTTCTTGGCTTCGGCTTGCCGCTTCTCCTCGGCGGCCTTGAGCTCCTTGTCCTTCTTCTCCTTGCGCGTCTCCGTGACCCATTCCTCGGCGCCAGCGACTGCCGCCTCGGCGCTACGCTTGTGCTTCATCAGGTACCCCTGGATCTCGGCAGGGCTGAACTCGTGCGCGGGAATCTTGGCGACGAACGCCTCGGAGAGGGTCTCGATGTTGGCCACGATGTCAGCGGTGCGCTTAGCAGCCTGCGCGGCAAGCGTCGCCTCGGCCTCGGGGTCAGAGATTTGCCCGGCTGCTGCGCAGAGATATCATCCTCGTCGCCTTCAAGTGGGGCGTAGATGGCGCGGAAGATGGCTCCGATGATCTCACCGTCGGCGAGGGTAAACTTGACGATCTGGTCGACTCGGCCGGGGCGGATGAGGGCCTTGTCGAGCTTCTCGACGTGGTTCGTCGTCATGATGAGAACGCGACCCTCCTGGCTGGCTACACCGTCGAGTATGTTGAGCAGACCGGAGAGGGAAAGGCGGCCGCTGGGCTGGTTAGGGGGGTTGCCGGGAGTCAGCTGTCCAGGAACCATGTCTCCACTTCCGTCCTTGTGCTCGGTGGTGTTGGTCATGCCAGTGTCCTCTCTCGTGTGCGTGAGGCCGGCAGTGTCAATGTCCTCAAGGAGAACTACACATCGCCGCGGCAGCTCGGCGAAAAGGGTGGCAAGGTTCTCCTCGTTGGCCGAGATGGAACTCAGGCTCACGATGTAAATCCTCATCTTGAAGAAGCCGGCCAGAGCAAGCGACAGCGAAGACTTGCCGGTTCCGGGGGGGCCGGTAAGAAGGTAGCCGCGCCTCCAGGGGATGCCGCGGTTCGAATACCACTTACGAGTCGCGGGGGAGAGGTAGTCGGCGACATCTTCCACAAGCTCCTTCTTTGTCTTTTCGTTCAGAATGACGGTCGAGAAGGGCCGGGACGTCCGCGCCATGCAGCGCTGCCACGTGGGCTCGGTGGAACCTGCGCGCGTGCTGCCGCGGTAGATCATGGTCTTCTGGGAATCCTTCTTCTGGTATTCGCCCCGGGCCTCCTGGAGGAGCTCCTTGAGAATCCAGGGGTTGCGGCCGAAGCACGAGAGGCTGATCTCCTCGCGCTCGCTAACAACAAGGTAGGAGGCCTGCTCGCGGTTCTGGCTCCTCTTGAAAAGCAGCAGGTGACCGCGGTACCAGAAGGAGTGGCTACCAAAGCTGGGCGTGTAGGCGAGAGGCTTCTTCTTCTGGCCGAACTCGGACGAGGATCCGTCAGTGGAAACGTCGTCATTCTCCTCCTCGTCGTCGTCCCAGCGCCAGAGAAACCAGGAGCGCGAGCTCAGGTTAGTGTTGACAACGAAGCGACGCGAGTTCTTGGCGAAGCGCTGGGCGGCGACCCAGGACATGAGGATGTTATAGATCTCGTCGTCGGTGCGGACCTCGACGGTGGACATGAGGTGCTTCTCGACCTTTTCCCATAGGTACTCGCTGAAGTAGCGCCAGGCAAAGGTCGCGCCGCCGCAGAGGATAACGAGGGGGATATAGACGTTAAGGTCGATGCCGAGGTACTTCTGGAAGGCGGTCGTGAAGACGCTGAAACCCGGGAAGAAAAAGTCGAGCAGCGCCAGCTGTGGCGCGGGCTGGGGCATGCTCGACGAGGTGTTGATGGGGTCCGCGTACGCGGATTGGGTGCATGTATCCATGGCGGAGATGGCGTCGAAGAGTTCTGTGAGAGAGGCCAGCCCGAAGTAGGGGATGCTGATCCTGGATTGCGGGACGCCCGAATATTATTTGTTCCTGCCGGTGGCTGCTATGGTTTATGTAGGCCTGGAGAGCAGAGGTCCAAAGGTTCTCTTTATAGGAGATTGAGAGGGAGATCGTGAGTAGTTGAGATGGGATAGGACAAAACACTGATGGGTGTGAGAGAATCAGGCTGTCCTATATACTCGGCTTCCGATGGGATATAAACATTCACGACCAAGTGAGGCAACCACATCAAAGAGGCGTTCATGTGTTCGTGACCACGCATCTAGCCAGTAAGGCAGACGTGCCGTCCACCCCACCATGCAAAGGAACGGGAGACGCATGTCCCACCAGATAAGTCACTGCCCAATTAGCATCACGGCGATATTGGACCAATAGATTCACGAGCGCACTGCCTTTCATGAGGCCGCCTGGCAGAAACCCCTTCACTTGAGTCACTCCGGACTACGCTAGGACGGCGGTGAGGTAAAGGGAGCCCTATGCACTGTTTTCTTACTCGCTTCCTTGCTAGTAGTTGGAGAAGCTTTCAGGCGACGATCAGGTCTTGTCCAGACTCCCGCTAGTTAGGCAACAGTGCCACTTGTGAGTTGTAAGCCTGAGACTATGACGAGGAGTCAGAGGAGGACCCCCACCAGCTGCCTATTTTACGAGTCCCTGCTTTGGAGCGGTAAATCGCGGTCTGGGGAAGCGGGCAGTGTTGACGTGTAAAAGGACTATGGGACCGAGCCGCCCTTTGGATGGCTGATAAAGTGGAAGAATGCGAGACATGTCGTAGGCTGCAAAATTTGGTGGGTGAGTACTGCAGCGCAGTAGCTGTAGGTGAGGATGACTGCATATTTTCCCACGTAGTACCCATAAGTGCAAGCCATCCAAGTGGCCGGAAGGGGACAGGACGTCTCCTCGAGCAGACAAATGATACGCTAGGACTTTAAACGAGAGTATGTCGGTTTTCGTACCAATCGTGACCGTTCGAGATGCACACTTGGAGGACAACGATCTGGGGTTAGCTGTGGTCGTTGCAGGACAAGGCCAGGGGCCGAGCAAACGCCCAGTTGACTGGTTCATGTTGGCCGACTGCAAGAAGCCGTGCATCTTGAAAGATGCGCGGTTGAGGATCCGGAGTGGATGGGGCCGTGGATGCGTGAGGCCAATCTGTGGCTGGGACTGGGCTCAGCCACGTAGACAAGTTGCTAGCTACAGCGGCTTCCCCGGATGACGCAGTGTCGACTGCAGGACGCGGAGGATTGGAAGCTTGGCTTTTCCCTTTAAGGACTTGTCGGGATCAGCTCTCATGAACAGAACGAAATGGAATCACAGCCATCATGTTGTCGTTCTACACAGATGGGGCCTCCCTATGAGTTCGTTTGTCCCTGGATTCTAGCCAAGGTGCTACCTCTCTTACTCCTCCCGGGACTTTCAGTTTCCTATCTTCCCACCGTCATTGTCCTTGTTTTCACCAACCCATCCAACGCCCGGGTAGAGTTTTGGAGTATGGAAGTTACTCCCGGCTAGTTAAACCTCGTAAGTATCATTGCGGGCAATTGCGCAACATGAAGCCATGCATTTACAAAACGATGTCATTATCTGCCAGATTGAATGATACATTAGATTTCCAACGCGAATCTCTCATGATCTCGTTACTGAGATCAGGTGTCATAAGTCGTCAGACCCCTCACCCCCTTCTCTGAAGGTTCTGTGTTTCCCTTCAGTGTTCTGGGTACCAATCCGGGGGATGGGGCTTTGAGTAGTGTTTTGTTCGATCAAACGCCATATCCCCGAACAAGAATGTAAACAAAAGGAAAAGCACCACCCGCCGTATGCAGTACACCTGATTACCAAGACAAAATTGCTAGATACACTATCGACGACGTTCAAAGAGGTCTCTTTACTCCCAGTCATCGTACTTTCCTGGGTGGTTGCCGCCGCCGCCGCCACCACCACCACCACTGAGATCGAAGAAGGCCGGAGCACCGCCGCTACTGACAGGAGGAGGAGGCGGCGGCGGTGGGGGGTAGAATTCAGTGTTCATATCGAAGAAGCCGGGGCTCTCGTCGTACATAGGGTCACCCGGAGGCGGCATGAACTGCGGAGGCGGCGGCGGCGGGTGATTGAACGGGGGTGGGTGCTGGTGCGTATGTGGGGGCACGGTGAAGCGAGGCCGGCCATGTTCGTTCGGTGCCCTGCGACGCCGTCCGCTGCTCCGGCTGTCGGACCTGGAGGCGATCTCGGAAATGCTGTCGTCCCATTTTGGTTTGACCCAGGCGTATGTGGTGTACGAGATATTGCTGTAGACGCTGGCGTCGTCGTCGTAGTCCCAATCTTCTTGGAACTCGTGGACTTTGGTCTTCCGCAGGGACATTGGCTTGCCGAAAGGAGCCCCAGCAGTGTATTTCATGAGGGAGACAGCCCAATGGTCGCTCTTGATGTTAGAATGGGACACCTGGGACGACCTTGACTTCTTGGAACTTCCCGAGCTCGAGGACGACCTCGAGGACGAACGGGAAGATCCACTGGACGAGTAGCTCGAGACGGACGAAGCATCGTCCATGTGGTGACGGTGGCCCATGGTGGCAATTGGACACCGACAAGCTGAATATCCTTTTGGTTCAACGGCTATGCAAAGCAAGCAGCGGCAGTAGGTGCAGCGTACAGCGAGGTCCGAAGGGACGAAAGGGGGCAAACCCGGTATGACGCAGCAGAACGATGGAACAGGAGGCCAAGCTCGGACTCCTTGCAAGTCAAGTTGAGTTTGCTGATCACCGAGGAAGAGACGGAGCAAGCAGCAAGCAACGAAGACCGAGCAGCAAGTCGCCGGGATGGGGCCTGATCAAATACTTGTTGCACTCTGCGCTGCAGGCGGAACGGTCGAGCGTGACCGTGAGCAACCACATCTGTGGTCGACGTTGCTCGCCTCATCCTATCCTTTGGGGGCCCGGGCAAAGCAGTGGCCATGCAGCGCAACATGCATGATGCAAAGTGCAAAAGCAAGGGGACTGAAGCTGATTTGTATGTACTGTACCTCACCACACTGGCCAAGGTGAAGGGAGCACTCGAGATCGAACCAGTAATGGTTGAGCAACGGATGCGAACAAGGCTACGGTGTCTGCATGCGGGGGTTTTACACCCTCCCAGCAGCAAGCCCAAGAAGTTGAGTGCTCACACTCCGCCCTGCTTCCACGGCAGCCCTGCGCCGGCCACCATACATTGGCGTTGTTTCATCCTGAGCTTTTGAGACAACTCAAAGTATACTGAAGCAGAACATCCCGAGCCTGGCAGCACCAGCTACCTAGGCAAGGCAGCTACCCTAGACCGAGTTGCACGATCAAACGCATGTGCCATACCAGGAGGCCATACGTGAGAAGCAAGGGAGGACACAACCAAACGAAAGAGGCAGGGAGAAGAAAGACTGAGGGGAAAAGAAAGCGAGGGTTATCGGGTTTCTAGTTCTTAGCTTGCGCTTCAAGTCGCACAAACGCGACACCAGAACAGGCATTGCAGCCTGCGCGATTTCAGCGAAGCTCGCAACTCGCAGAGCTAGTGACAAAACAGGCCAGCGTCAAGCGGCATGTATCTAGTTGAGCAATAGCTCAATTTAGCTCTCCGCCGTAGGCAACGGTCGTCAACTGCCGTCGAGCCATCTACAAGGATCAAAAGACCCGAGTGTGTGGGACAGAAATGAGGCTGCAAGTGCAGAAGAAACGCTCAAGAGGCAGCCAACGGAATCCATCATCCCAAGCAGCCCCTGGACCAAAAGGGCAATGCACTTGCATGTCGTCGCTGGCAATAGGGGATGACTGGATGAAAATGGGGCTGTTCAACGTGTGAACGACAGCCACTCGGCAACACATCTCGTCTTGACGTGCAGTAGCTCCAGGTCTCGCGCCCACACAAGAGAGGCAGCAGCATCCACCTCCTCCCCTTCCATTTGCGTCAACGAAAAGAATGAAGAGTGCACATGCTGTCGCCTTGGCCAATGTGCTCTTCTGCTGCCGCCTGGATTGGAAGAATTCCTTTGAGCAGGCTGACTGAAAAGCAGCGCGTCCATCTTTCATTGCCTATCCTTTGGCCTTCGGTCACCAGATGAGAGGTGCGTACCATGAGGGGTCACACCGAAATGGGTGGATGAGGACGGAGGATGTCAAGACTTGGCATAGCCGAAGCTGCAGCCGCCCATCCAGCCAGCAGGCGACCGCCAATGGCGTTGACCACCGACAGAAGGATCTCTGCCGAGTGGTAGGTTCTAAACTCCTGGCCAACAGACTGTGGGCGGTCGCAGCTGGTAGGTTGATGGCTGCCTAGGTATACCAGCTTGAGCCTGGCTGCGGGAGCCGGATGGTGGGAGGCCGAGTTCGCGCACCACTGCTGGGACTGATACGAAGCATATGCTGCTATACCGAAATGTATTGCGGCGTTGTACTTGGCTTTTGCCTGGCTGCCTTGCCGGAGCATTTGCAAGCACCTCGAGCCGTGTGGAGGCAATTTACAGCCTGCCAAATCCACACACGCTCCGTCCGGGAAAGCAAGACGGTTCGAGGGAACTGGATTTTGGTATCATGAGGCTCTGTGTTTTGGTCGTTGCTGCGTGGGATTGGGGAGATGAATGAGTTAAGCTAGAACGTCGGTCGATCCAGTTGCGTAGTTTAGGGTTGATGGGATTGTGGCGTAGCTGTCGGGGCGGTATAAGAGAAAAGTCAAAAGAAGAAGCCTTGTGGATATGCGAGATACCCAGGCCTACCATTGGAAGGAAGCAACATGGAACATCGTTGCTGCCATTCGGATGCAATGCTTTCTACTCAAGCATTTGTGGACTAGGGCGTCCAGTTGGTCGCAGTGAAAGATACGAACGAGACGAGGGAGACCACGAAACGTTCGGGTTATTGCCGTGAAACCAACTCATATAGACTCGACTTGCACCTGCCATGCAATTTGCTGTGGACACGTTGGTGGAGTTGGTTGTTTATTGGTGGTCCAGGTGCCCCCGAAACACCATTGGGCAACTCGTAAACGGCAATGCAGAACCACCTGGGGATCATGAATTGATTGATTGCAATGTAAGGTTACTCGGCCAGCGAATGAATGAATGAATGAGAAATGGTGAGTATCCCGTGAAGGACTGAAGGCTAGGTAACACATAATCAAGGGCGCACCAGGCGCCGATAGCCCGTATGCTAACCACAACGTAAACAAACTGAACTGATAGTGGGCGCTTCGATGGCTCTGCACATGGCGTTCTACTCACGGCGTTCACGTCGACAGCGTGATGGCTAGCTCTGGATTACTAACGTGTAAATGTTTACACTAGATGCTGTAAAATAGGAGCCTGCAGCCGGAAACGAGCCGCAAGGAAACGACCAGGCGTCTCCAGAGGGCAGGGCGATGCAATCGTAAGTACATGGCAAAAATGTTGGAAACGAGTCAGCATCCAGGGCCAAGGGGTCCGACGTGTTGCTTGCAAGGTCCAGGAAGACGGAATTGACAGAGGCTTGATGCCAATCCAACAATTTCCAGTTTGGGGAAACAACGAGAAGAAGTGACAAGACGACCCAGAGACGAAAATAGTTCAGAAACACTTATCGGTGACCGAGATGCGGCGACCCGGAAAGCTTCGCACAACATGGTTGTCAGACGCAAAGTGGTTGGGAAGGGTTGCGGTTCTGGGTACTTGGATCGGGATAAGAACTTTGATCGAGGTGATGTACACTGTATATGACAGTCAGACAGTGTCGTTTGCCGGCATACCAGACCGAGCTCAATTGGCGAACCCGGCGAGGAGGAGGAGGAGCAGGAGGAGGAGGAGGCGACAATGTCGGCCGAAAGGCACGGCGATATCGAGGGTGTTTGTTGACGATCGCAGTAAACCAAACCACTCGAGCGTTTTACTCGATACATTCCACGATGCACCATGTGCAGAGAGTGAATTGTAAAGAGGTGTTTTCATGTGAAGCAGGCCCAGGCAGTTAGTTGTTGGGTACTGCCTACATGGCTTCCATGGTACATTCTTGTAACAGCGCGTCTCACAGATACTTGGCGTGGCACCGGCTGTGTCTGAGTGTGGACGGATACAATCATGGCAGAAACCTGGAAGGAATCTTGCCCGTCCCTCTGGTCCTTTGAACGTTGGGTCCCTGGTACAATACCTTTACGCACCATGTACACCACCTAGGTACTGTAAGGCCGTTTCTAGTGAGGGGTGAATCCGACTTTAGCCACTGCAGGACCCCTAGATCGTGGGTTCTCCCTGAAGGCCGTCTTCTATCTCTCTCTCTGTGTGTGTGTGTGTGGTGAATTTGGCCCGCGTCGGGGCTCGCGGTCTCAATCGCAGGGATGATTGAGGCAGCGGTGGGCGCTAGACCTCATTTGCCTCTAACCTCGTGGGGAGTCTCGGTCCCCACATGCCTGTTTTCTTGGCAGAGACCGCTTGGCCCGCATCACCGTCGCGCTCCTGCCGAGGTGGGCTTCGCGCTAGGGGCCGCCTTGAGCGCTGGCGCGAAGCTCCTGCGCCGGTAGCCAAACTGAGATCTGCGAGTGTCCCTGTTGTGCTGTCGGACTGGGCTGGGTGCTCTCCCGTCTCGCGTCTCCTTTTCCGTGAGGCGCATTCCTTGCCAGAACGAATGGGTTCGGAGGCAGTCAGAGGAGGCAATCGATATCTCTTCCGGTCCGGTTTCTGCACTTGGTTGCCTTTCAAGCTTCTTCCTTGACTGCGGCTCCTCGACTCCCTCGCCTTCCCGTCCGCCTCCACGCTTTCCTGTCCCAAGCGTGCGTGCCCTTCTGAAGCTGCGCCGAAGAAACACCAATGCCATACGATGCGGGAACCCCACTGTTTGCCAAACGTCTGAAACCCTGCTCTGTGACAGCGCCCCTCCGAGTGCCCGTTCTCGGTCATCTCTCAGCATCTCGCCGTCTCCTGCACACACGCACACACTACATCCAGCTGAACCGTCTCGTAGTGTTGCCAACGGTACGCGGCTGTTGGGAAGAGGCTGGCCAAGTCCCTCAGCCATCGGAGCACTTGCGGAGCGCAGGCTTGCCATGTCCTGAGTTCGCTGGCTTGTCATCCCATCTCACACACTGACTGGGAGAGGTTTCGACTCTCTCGTGGTGGGTGGACGGCAAACGCAGCGACCGAATCACCAATTGCCTCGGTCTTTGGCCTGGTCTTCCGAGGAGGGTCTTGGAGCCTGTGAAAGCTGGCAGCGGCGACCAGGAACGTTCTGTTCCCGATGCCTTCAAACCGACTGACTAGCGGACAGCGTTCCTCGCAAGATTCGTTCTTGTCCATGGTTTCGGGCTGCCATCTTCTGGGCAGTACTTGGCCCCATCGTTGAAGAGTAGACTTGGTCTGTTCGTTCTTTTCCGAGCAAGCTCGGCTCGGCTCAGCCCAGCTCACACGATCTTTCTGTTCTGAATCTGGTGTCGATCCAGTTGCGTCTCTGCCGGGATGTGCCGTGAAGCGATTAAGTATTCGTGTACCAACGGTCGGGCAAGACGGGAAATGGAAACGAAGGGAGTGGTCATGGTTGTTATCGGAACAAAATAAGACTCCTGTCATTGATGGGGGAAAATGTCGGCAATATGCATCGGAATCGATAACCATTCCCGCCGCGTCTCTGGAGATAAGGTGCGCGCAACCCCGGTCCGCTTGGATAGTCATGGGCATGGCCGCACGGGACAGATGCCAAGGACGGTGCAGCGCCGAAAAGCGACCGGCGCTCCAATCCACAGGCCCTGCGTTTTTTCGCGACGAGAGTGTGCTGGAGGAGTGGAAGAATGGCCTTTAAACTACGGCTGGTGAGGATGACCTCCAGCACGTCAACGAGATGACTGAGGGACCCCGTGTTCAGCCTTGGATACCTAGATGGACGCTATTGTTGTCGGGCCACGAGTTGCCTTGTCTTGGTGTCTTGGCACCCTCCCTCTCTCCGGTAGCGTGAATCGTGACGAGCGAGAACAGAGGCCGATTGTTTTATGATCGACCACCTACACTCATTCCCGACCAGGTCCAGTGTGTCTTGGAGAAGGGATGCCGTGGATGCACACTCGCTGGGTTAACAAACGACCGGCACTGTTTGGGTGGGCCTAAGCTAGTCTAATTGTCGTGCCTTGGGATACTCCTCGGAGGACGAGGCATACATACAAAGATGCAACGATCCAAAGTGAGCCCTGTCGCCCTGGGCTAAGGCAGTAGTGCGTGGGCTCAACCAAGTTAGCGTTTGCCGACTCCAGACGCCAATGCTGCAGCTCCCCACCGTTCTCACACACGAACGAACACCTGCACCCGCAGCTTCAGGGAGAGGCGGCGACGACGGTGGGCTGTCGGCTTGCCGCTGCGGGTTGGAATCCACAATGCAGGTATTCCTTCACTTGATCTTTCTGCACAGTCGGTCGGTCCCTCAGTCTCTTTTCTACGCCGCAGTCGCACATCGCCCCCTTCTATGGCAATTGGACGCTCACAGGCAAAAGCTCGACGTTTTTGTCCTGCTCGGCTCGGCGTCTGTCGCTGCATGGCATTCTCTGGGTTACCTTAGCAGCCGCCTTTTGCAGCTCGCTGACGCTGACGCGAGACCGGGGCGAGGACACACGTCCCCCCGTCTCTAACCAACTCGGACGGGGAAGTACATGTTTCATCTGCGACTACACACTTAGGTGTTGTGTACCTCTTGTCCTGTGGCCTTAGCATGCATGGGCTCGAGGATTCCGCCCGGCCCCCCAGCCAGAGATGCAAGTCTTGGTCCAGGGCGCCTGGCACAAACTGCGACCTACTCCCAAAGATGGCCTGGCCTCCCCTTCCTCTCTCCCTCCCTCTTCCTTTCTCTCTCTGTCCCCTCCCCGTTCTCCTTGAGCCCACCCTCTTTTCTCGACTGTGTCGGGTACCTCCCCTTGGTGTCTGCACCAGAACAAGGTACCTACTTCCTCCACACCCCGGCCGCTTTCCTGGCTCCAGTTGAAAAGTCTCCAGCGGGTTGGCTTCTCTCGCTTTTGGATACATGCAGCCCCTGTGTATTCTACCTCCACAGCCGGTAGACAAGGGGAAAAAGAGGGCCCCCCTTCCTAGCCTTTCCCAGTTCTTCCCAGTTCTTCCTAGTGCCACCAATGACACGCCTGGACTTTTCGTGTCGGACCCCAAACCCAAACTGTTCCTGAATCGTCCAACCTTGTCTGGTATTACCCTCCCGCACCCGCACTCTCACTCCCTCTTTCGCCCTGTTCCACGCCTATTCCTCCTTCTCCTCCACGACCCAACCTACCAAACGCCCTTCCTTTACCTCTCCTTTCCACGCTGCCAACTCCATCAGTCCACTCATCTACGACAACCCGAAAACCATCACCCCCTAATACTGCCGCCTTACACGACGACTGCTTCCTTCGATTCTTCAATCTTTTTTCACGGCGACGACTGGTTCGGAGCGGCAAATCATCGAGGCGACAAAAGAGGCATCGTGGGTTGAGGTTGGGATTGGATCTGGGCCTCCGGGGTCAGCCGCCGACGCCCATGTTGTGAACTTGGTGCCACCATACCTTTGAACGGCCGCAGCTCGTAGTCGATTCGCGACCCAATCAACGACATCGCCATGGATCCTTTCCACGACAAAGCGGGCAACGAGCGGAGGGCTTCCCTCAGGATGTCGGCCAGGGCCTCACTCGTGACCGACGACGGTGATGACTACGCTTTGGCGGCCATGGGTATTTCTGATGGCTTCCGCCCAGCCAACCTGTCCGCCGCACACCAACCCATCACCTCGACCACAAATCCTTCGACTGGCTCGGCGGTTGTGTCACGAGACTCTCCCGTCCCTCAGCGTGTCACTCCTGCCCGACCCTCGAGCATCGCGAAGCCCCCACGCTCCCACGATCCACTGGCTCTCCGTCACGATGGCTCGACATCTCAGTCAAACGAGGCGCCCATCTCCCGCGTTTCCAGCACCTCAACCGACTCACCAATCATTCGATCCGAGAGTCCGTACGAAGGACCTTCGGGACCGTCCCATCCGTATCAGATGTACCCGCAACGGACAAACAGTGTGGCAACTTCTACCACTGCTCGCATGTCCGAACGCTCGTATGCAGGACCTCGTGGGCCAACCCATCCATACACGCTTTACACGCAGAATACCGTTCCTGTCGACACAAACGAGGGTGACAATATCCCCGTGGGGTTTGCGGGGCGTGCCGACGGCTATCATCGACGTATCGGTCCTGAAGGGGAGGAAATTGCTGACCTGATCGGCCCCTTGGGACACACGGAAGAGCTCCCACCATACACCAGGTATCCCGAGCAAGCGTATACGAGGAAGCATACGGGCGAGCCGCAATCGACCCCAGGGCAGCAGTCACAACAAGACGAGCAGCAGCAACGACACCAGTCGCCCGCGCCCCAGCAACAGCAATCGCAGCAGCCTGCCATCGCTGGCATGGCCGCCTCAGTCGCCCCTATTCCTGGCGCAGGCGGCCTCGGGCTTGCTACCCGCAACCCAGAGTTCGAGTCGCGAGAGGACCTTCGCTTGCAACCTTCCCGAATGTCATCCCGGACACTTACCTCAGATACTGCCAGTCAGCACGAAATCAACACCGCCGCCGAGATTTACGCCGAGAAGGGCGTAGCCGAGCCCGACCGAAAGTGGCAAAGAAGGGCAAAGAAGCGTTTGTTTGGTGTGATTCCTTACTGGGCCATCTGCTTACTGGCAGTCGGAGTGGTGATGATGTAAGTACTGGCCTGTGAGCTGCACCTTTCTTTCGCGGCTAACACGTTTTATCAGGGGCATCATCTTGGGTGCTGTCATTGGTACCTTCTTCGCCAAACACAAGAAGCCGCCGGGGAGACATCAGGACGATGAGCCGATCCCGCTTGTCATTCCCACGGCTACCGTGGATATCAAACCCCTGGCTACACTACCGCCAGACCTTCCAGCTATGGAAATTGGCACATTCGGTCTGCCGCCTCTGATTGCGAGCCAAGCCCCAAGTACATGTTTCAACGACACCACACAGTCACAAGCCTGGACCTGCAACATCCCCTTTACTAGCTACGTTATGGGCGTTTCCCGGATCGCCAACGAACTACCCATCTCCGACTACACCTTGAAGCTTACCACATTTAACGACAGCGACGACAACACTCGAGTTAATATGTTCTCCTGGGGTACCCAGCCGCCTGTGATTATTGATCCCCTGAAGATGCGACTTGTAAACGATACCTCCGAACCAGGCCGTGGCGCTGCGTGGTTTGCTCAGATGACATACAACAAGACAGTTGTTGTGGCGGAGGACAGATTTCCTGGCGTCAGTACACCAAAGAAGCAACAACCCCAATCGAAGAGAGGGTGGAGTGTCCCCCCACCATACCAAATGGGAGATTTCAGCAGAAAGGGGGTGAAAGGAGCACAGGCGGGTGATAGACCGTGGATTTGCACTTGGCCAGGGACCCTGCTTGAAGTTTTTGTGTATCCAGCGCAGAACAACAGCTACCGAAAGCCTACCTCGACTATGAGCTCTACTGTAGTCGCCACCTTTCCACCATCAACCTCGACGCAGTTCTTGGTTCGTCGAGACGTACAGACTGGAGCTCCTCAGTCGAGCTCGATTCCTACGGATCGACCACGCCGGGCACCACCCCCGCCATACCCTCAAGTTATCAAGTTTGAAGAGCGTCGCGTATCACTTGATCAAACAAAGAATGCCGTTTGCCGACAAGTCGAAATATGCGACGACGGTGAGACCACTGTCCCTGTTCTGACCGACGAGGGCCAGCCGGTTGAAGTTATGATTATGGAAAACCGGCAAACCGTGGCGATAGCCGATTCAACGAAGCGTTGGATACACGAAGACAGTCTACTGGTGTCTCCCCGAGACAAGCCAGCTAGGACAAGTCAGTTGAGCGACTGCGGGTGCATATGGTGGTTTACATAGCACCAAAGACTTTTGACGGCAAGATCTCATCACCACCACAACCCGGATTTGAAATGGTCAATGTGCCATACACACACACACACACACACACACACACACACACACACACACACACACACACAATCTTTTCAGTCAATGGGCTTCATTGCTCAATATGTTTTTATAGGCGTTGTTTTGATCTGGATGGGCATCATGGGCGTGTTTACTTGGCGCAGTATGGCAGGCGATAGTATATACCTGGCGGATATGTATGGGCGGGCGAACAGTTGCCATGTCCCCGGAAGAGCCCCCCCTCCTTAGACATGGGAGGTCGGAGTAGCGCCGCCCTAGTTACTATAAGGGCTGACCAAACACTATTTGAAAGAGTTTATTTGATGTTGCAGGTTTGGATTGGTCTTGCACGTCAACTCATGTTAGTATTAGTTTCTGAAGAACGGGAAAATAAAGTAGTGGCCGATGACGACCATCTTTCACAATGACTCCCCTTGGATTGGTGGTGTACAATCGCTTATTTTGATTTGTCGCTGTTCATATCAGCTGCTAAGCCGTCCAAGAAGCTGTCGGCCAGCTTTTTGGCCCTCCTCGCTTCGACATCCTTTCGCCGCTGCTCAATCTCCCTCCGTCTCGCCTCCTTTTTCTCCTCCCGTTCTTTCCTCGCAGCCTCCGTCCGGATCCTCTCCTCTTCGAGACTCTGAAACTCCTTTTGCCGCGTCTCCTCGTCCTTGCTGAACTTGTAGAAGCCAGTACCCTTTGTGCGAATCTCGCTGTCGGCGTCGTAGTGCCTGGCCTCGGGCGGCGTGGCGCTGCGGTCGCGCTTGCGCGCCAGCTCCTCCATCTTTTCCGGGTCCTCGGGATTGAAGGCCATGGTCTGGATGGCGTCGCCGTAGAGAAGCTTCGCAGGAGCGGCGGGGCGGGCGGACATGCGCTCGAGCTCCTCGGCGCCGAGGAGACCGCGGCGGCGTTGGCGCTCGAGGCGTTCCTTGTCTGCTCTTGTGCCGCGGCGGAGACGGCCGAACTCGTCTTCATATTCTATGACTTCGTTGTCCTCGTCCTTGTCCTCGTCGGCTTCGTCGTCGGAGCCGGAGCTCGTTTCGTCGGTCTTGTCCTTGCCAGCTTCCGACTCGGCCCATTTCCGGTCAAAGTCAATGAGGGGAGCTGCCTCGTTCTCTTTGGGGACGTAGTCACCGCGCTTCATGGCAGCGTAGAGTCGTGCCTTTTCTTCCATATTGCGCCGTGCGCGGGCGAGGTTCGAGGACTCTTCCTCCGTGCCAACGGGTTCTTTGAGGTTGGGCTTGTTGGATGCGTCTGTTGAGCCGCTGCCGGCTTTGATTCTGCTACTACCAGCGCCATTGTCGCCTTCGCGTCGTTTAGACTTTGCGCTGCCGAAAATCTCGTCTTTTGTTTTCGAGGGACGAGGCCGGGCTGGCGCGGAGGTTGTGGTGGAGGATGCGGACATGAGGGATGTGAGTTGGGCTGTGAAGTCGAGGGAGCTGCCGAGCGCCGCGTTTGCCTTGCGCTTCTTGGGCGGCGGTTGGCCGTAGAGGTTCGGGTCTTGAGGCATCTCGATGTGGGCTTCAAAATGGAGAAGCCCAGTCACCTTACGTTATGTTCGCTGTGGAGAAGCCGGAGAGAACTGATCGAACGGGTTGTTTGGCGCACGAGCATTGATGATGAGGAGGATAGTCATTGTGTTGGAGGATAAAGCCGAGGCGCTGTTGGCGACCCCCCACAGAAGGCAAGTCGCTATCGTTATCGGGGCTGCAGGGTGTGCCCGCCTGGCCTGCACTGGAAAAAGATGGGCAACGAACGGGAGTTGTCCAACCACCCAGTCAACCTTCTTTGGCCTGAAGTAAGTCGTCAAGGACAGCCTAGATCAAGCTTTCCTTTTTGACAATCATTGATTATCATTGGCTCCTTCTGAAAGTTAAGGCAGATATTTTGTAGCTGCCAGTCCGTGTAAGCTTAATCATGAACAGGGGGCCTTGGGAAGTGGAAGTCATTTCTCAATTGGCCGTACCGAATTCTGCTCAACAACTTTTGATGTTCCTCAAACAAGCTGCTGTCATTAAGCCTAAGTAAAGTAGATCTTGCACATGAACTCGACATGAAAGTAGACCATTAGTGGATGCATTGCGGGGAGACCAGGCCAAGCCCAGTCAACCGCTCGGAGGAAACTCGTACGCTCAAAGCACGGCTCTTGTCCCTACATCGAGGCGTCGCTCGCATTCGCTCTACCCGGACGACGCGTCGTTCCCGTCCCCGGACTCGCTCAGATGCTGTATCCGTTTCCGCGCAGCGGCTGCCACGGTCGGTGTCACGGTAGACGTCCCGTCCGCCAACTCGGGCGGGAACTTGTGTAGTTGTTGTTGCTGCCGCCGCTCCTCATCCGAGGGCAGTGAGTGGTTCTGGTTCTGGTTCTGGTTCCATGGGCGGCTCCAACATATCCTGTAAATGTAGATCCCAAAGTCCACAGCGATGAGAAGGATGATGGGGACGACAAATATGAAGCCCAGGGCGATCTTTGGGAGAGAACATAAGCACACCGGCTGTGTCAGGAAGTCAGGGAGGGGCAATGGAAAAGACTTACGAAGGCACCGGAGATGTATCTGACAGCGGTAGGGTAGGCGGATGATAGTAACGAGTAAGTCATCATGGTGTCGTACCACGAGGCCGTTTGCGCATCTGTATCCATGAGGGTGCTGCGAGAACAGTGGCGGCCGCTGGGACTCCGGGGTTCCGCTGAGATTTAAAGAGCGTTGGTTTGGTGACTGTGGCAAGAGAATGACGGGAACGGTTGAATGTAACGAAGGGTATCGTTGGGTCCAATGGACGATGAAGTGGGTGTGAGAACAGCGTGTGTGACGATGGAAACACTGCAATGTTTGTTGAGGGTGGGATGACTGCTTATTGGAAGCTCGTCGATAATACCCGCAAGGTAGCGTAGTCGTGGGTAGTTTTATGTCGGTGGTGGGCGGGGGCTTGGGGCATTCCCGGGTCAATAAATAATCATGGTCCGTTAGTAGAAGGAACCTTGGCCACGCCGGTCGTGCGAGACTGTAAAGTGATGGACGGGCAATGAGGCAAGAACGTGGGTTGAATTATCAGGCGGATAAACACTGATGTGGGCGACGGTGGAAAGGTGTGTCCTGGGCTACCCGGCGGCTCCGTGTCCTAAGGAGCATTCTCGGAGGACTGCGTGTTTATCTTGAATGTCTGCCAACAAACGACTTTAGCCCGCTTCTCGTTCTCAGTTCGAGCCCTTTCTCTAAGCAGGTAGATGCAGGATGCGAGGGAGAGTCAGAGCTGCAATGAGTTTCCTTGGCTCAAAGAGACAGGCGCGCATGTCTCTTGTTTTTGTCGTCATGTCTTGAAACCCGAAGCCACCCCTTTTCCTACTTTGGGTGGTGAAAGCCAAATTACCTCACCTCAGCTCACCTCACCTCTCGGAGCCTGCCCGTGTTTTCCATGCCTTCGACTCCCAAGCCCCTTCAATCAACGCGTTGCTGGCCTTCGCCCCTCAGCCCCTAACGCTTAGCAGACCACCTTCAAGCTACGCTGGTAAGGCAGGCAATCTAGGCACCAAGGCACCGGATCCCGCGTGCCGCGGTGCAGCAGCTGCTGCACCCTTGATGCGGGCCTCCAGCTGTCACCAGTGACATGTTCCCAAGATAAGTTCGGGGACCGTCAAAGTGCCCTCGAGCGAAGCTCCGTTATGCCATTTCACCGCCTGCCCAATCGGCAGCTCCCGTCAAAATTCCCCGCCATGCATCGCTGCCCGCTCAATCGCAACTTTTTTTGTATTTTCGGGCGGCCAACCCATCACTTCCTTCGAGCGCATAATTATCGCACGGCTCCGTCCCTCAAGCTTTTTGTGCCCGCAGACTGTTTGGCCGGAACTTCGATCTCGGTTCTCATACCACGTGTTATCAGGCGATACTCTCAACAGCTCACATTATGGGTAAAGCCAAAACCAAGAGCACCAAGCGCGAGGACTATCGAAATGCGCGTAATCAGGAGGGTGTGGCAGAATTGCCTAGAAAGAAGTTTTACCGCCAACGCGCTCATGCGAACCCCTTCTCGGACCATCAATTAGTCTAGTTGAGTCTTATACCATTTGGCTCTGATGCTCTCGCATTGTTGCTAATCGCGCCCTCTCTCGACCGCAGCCCCGCGAGCCCAGAGTCTATGAACTGGACGCAGTACTACCCTGCCTTCGCCGCCGAAGACGAGACCCCTTTGTCGGCTGATACAACAGCCTCCGACGCCACCGCTTTAGATGTCTCGAAACCTAAAACACGTAGTCTGAAGAAGGAGGTCGAAGTGGTGGACATTGGGTGCGGCTTCGGTGGCTTACTTGTGGCATTGTCACCGATCCTACCGGAGACCCTCGTCCTCGGTACGCAAACCCGGCATATTGTTGGCTGATCTACCCGCTGATCCTTCCTCATAGGCCTCGAGATACGCACTTCGGTAACGGAATACGTTCAGGAGCGCATCAAAGCGCTCAGAGCGCAGAACCAGGAGGATGGTCTGTACCAGAACATTAGCTGTTTGCGTGCCAACAGCATGAAGTTCCTTCCCAACTTCTTCAAGAAGGCGCAGCTCTCCAAGATCTTCATCTGTTTCCCCGACCCACACTTCAAGGCGCGGAAACACAAGGCCAGGATCGTATCGACGACGCTCAACTCCGAGTACGCCTTTGCGTTGCGCCCAGGTGGCATTGTCTATACCATCACCGACGTCGAACCCCTGCATCAATGGATGGTTGGTCATTTCAACACCCATCCTTCTTTCGAGCGCGTATCTGAGGAAGAGCAAGAAGCGGATGAGTGTGTCAAGGTGATGGCATCGGAGACTGAGGAGAGCAAGAAGGTGACGCGGAACCAGGGCCAAAAGTACGTGGCCCTCTTCCGCAGACTGGAAGACCCCCCATGGTGAGGAGGAAGGCATAGTGAGGAAAGCTGGAAGTAGAATGGCTCTAGAAGTAAGAAGCCGTGGCCTGGTGCTTGTCCACGAAAAGATCAATGATACCCTCTTCAGTGTGGCGGCACCATTGAGTTCCTAGGACGTCCACCAGGCTTGTCCTTCATGGGACCGGATCAGGTCTCATTTGACATGCGTGGTTGAAAGCAATCCAACCCGGGTCTGGCCAATTTGATTGTTATGTTAACTTTGTTGGACCTGTGAAGCTCTGCTGTAACGGGCTAGTTTATCTTTAAGCAGCGCTCCATGTACCGGCTAGCTGCATATCCATCATTGACCCCAAGTGACAGCTCAGGCCCACCTCAAAGTCATGCCCCTGCGGCAAGCCTGCAGCAATGGCCAATTGGTAGGGAGCTAACCCCGGTGAGGCGAGGTAAGGGCACTGGGGGAAGGCAAGGTACCTTCTACAGAGTATACAGTAGTACCTTGAAGTAGGTACTGGGTCACCTTCAGCACACCCAAGACGGACCATGCGCTTCGACATCACCCGCCGTCCGCCACCATCCACACGTTCTCTCGATCCGCACCCGCCTCACCTCCCCCTAATCGATAAGGCCCAGCCAAGCCAAGCTCCCCTCCCCCTTCATCCAACCTATCCGACCCAGCAGCTTCTGAGAGCACCGCAAATTTCGACGACATACGATGTAGCGACAGCCTATCGCTCCTTGGATCAATTTGGATTATGGCCCTGCAAGGCAGAGACCTGATCCTTGCCGCCATCACATGCTTCATAGCTTGGGGCTATGCTGTCAGTTGGTTACCGACTTTGCGATGGATGGGCTACGCCTTGATCGGAGGAGTCGTCTTGGCCACCGTCGCCTTGTTCGCCCTCGTACTGCTTACATCTCACGGTTCCAGACGCGGTTTGCGACATCGATCGCCACGTCCAAATGGCCCTGCGTTCCTTGCGCCAAAGGCTTGGGCCCGCGAGGTCGTCAGTCTCCAGACGCGACAAGCCTACACGAAAGTGCCCCTCGACCCTGGCTCCCCCCGCATCTCCAAAGCTTTCGATGACCTCCTCGAACTCATAATACGCGACTTTGTTAGTTCATGGTACTGCAGCATTAGCACGAACCCCGTCTTCTCGAACGAAGTCGACAAAGCTGTGCGCGATGCCCTTATCAGTATCCGGGAGCGGCTCTTGGAGCTCGACCTTGTAGATATCGTTACCACGCGAGTTGTTCCAATGTTGACAGCGCATTTCCGAGACTTCTACGAGGCCGAACGGGCTGTGCGAGGGAAGAAACTGAATCGATCCGTGACGGAATCTGAAGAGCTGGATCTCGCAATCGCCTCCAAATACAAGGATGGGAAACTTCATCCTGCTGCGTCGCTGTCGTTCCCGGACACGAAACTCGTACAACAGGATTACTTGCGGAATATGGTCTCTGGGATCTTGCCAAAAGTTCTACCGCCTAACGTGCTTGCTAGTCGAGCCGTATCCACCATCATTCGAGAGATCGTGGCTTGTGCCGTGCTGTTTCCCGTGATGCAAATCCTGGCCGAGCCCGATACTTGGAACCAAGTGATGGAGAATTATGGCCGTTCCATGTTGCAGGATCGGTCGACGGTGCGGAAGCTCAGGGCGGCGCTAGATCAACATGCCTCCCCAACACCGAGGTCCAGCAAGGCCGCCATAATCCCTCGTCTTTCGCCCACCGACAGCGAGAGAAAGTTCGAAAAGTTCATTCGCGCAATACGGAAAGTCAACAATCTCTCCGACGCCAGGAGACTGCGAAGCGAGGTTGCAAGCCAACTGAAACGCGATTCCCTGGAAGAAAACCAAGACCAGGTCTATCTTCGCCGGCTAGAGATGGGCAAGCGGCTCCTAGATCAACGCGTCCAGCTTCTTGCAGCGGGCGGAAGCCGACAGGCTTCCGCAACTCTGCCTACTCGTCCAGCCGGCGTTCCCCACGCAGTCTCAAAGCTCGAGAACGCATCACTGGTCGAGTTGCTTCGAGACGCATCCGGCTTGTCCTATTTTATGGAGTTCATGGACCGTCACCGCATGATGCCTCTTGTCCAGTTTTGGCTGGTCGTTGACGGCTTTCGAAACCCTCTGGAGGATGAGGGTCAAGACGACGAGCATTTGCCCTCCAATCTACCAATGTGGACTGATTCTGACCGTCTGGACCTAGCCCAGATCGACCACGCATATCTAGCCAAGGCCGAACTAAAGGTCTCACAAGCCTCTCGAGATGAAGTTCGAGCCTTCCTGGACGCCGGCAAATCAGCAACCCCTGAGCAATACTATAAGGCACGCAGAGCCATCTTGAGGGCACAGGCGGCTATCTTGGAGAGAATGCAAGCTCAGTTCTTCCAGGCCTTCAAGAAGTCCGATCTCTTTTACAAGTGCTTGGCGGCGCAAGAAGCATCGGCAAACGTGGCACCTCCCCCGGTCACAGAGCCGTCTGCCTCATCGCAAGTGCATCCACCAATATACCGGAATTCTCAGTCATATCAGTCCAAGCCAAACCCTGTCACCCGCTTGGCTCCCAGGCTATCAAGACCGCTATCCAGGCGTGCCGGATCCGCGTCCGATTTAACGAGTCTCAACTCTAATGGAAATGGCTCAGAATCGGTGCCACGGCAACGGCATTCCCTAGATGAAGAAACACCAACGCCGCTCTTTGACGATGATGATATCGACCAAGATGGCATGATGGACTCTCTTCAGAGCCTTGATCAGGATGTGGGCAAGCCGGTTCCAGATACCAACGTAGTGCAGGCCATGGAGGAAGCGCTAAATAACATCATGGAGGATAACCGACCGCAAACAGCCGAGGAGTTTCGAGCTTCACTCTTCGGCCCCGATGACGCGGTTGATCGGTCAAGTTTGTTCTCAGGAGACAACGACTCGCACCGTGGATCGCTTGAGGTGTCAAGATCTGCTGGACAGTCGTCTAAGGAGGCTGAGAAGCCGAGTCTCGCGTCTCTGGGGCTTGTCAGCGCAGCATCGCGCATAGGAGTTTTCGTGGACGATGACTTGTTCGGCGACGAGGACAAGTACCTCTCTGACGAAAGAGATGACGGAGACGAAGAGGATAAAGGTGACGTAGAGGACGAGGTGCACGAAGCGGCGCCAGGCGATCTCGGACTAGCAGAAGCCATTACAGCGCTGTCCAACGATATTGACCGTCTTGTTGCGCAAGATGCCATTGTCGAATCACTGACGAAGAAGGCGGAGCTAACCAACAACACGGCCGAGCTTCGGATTCTCCGGAAGTCCAAGGCAAGTCTACAACGCGAAATTCGTCGCAAAGAACTCCAACGGCAGCAATATGTAGTGCAGGAGAGCGATAATAGCCTGTATGGCCGATCTACTATCAAGATCAAGGCGATTCAGGTTGGACGAGAAGAAGACGGCAGAGAGTTCGCCTTGTACGTGGTCGAGGTGCAAAGAGATGCTGGTGAAAAGATGCCGGCAGCGACATGGATGATCACCCGCCGGTACAGCGAGTTTCACGAGTTGCATCAAAAGCTTCGCTCAAGATATCCTTCTGTTCGCAATCTCGACTTCCCCCGCAGACGAATGGTCATGAAGTTCCAGAGCGAGTTTCTTCGTAAGCGACGAGCAGCTCTTGAACAATATCTTCGCGAGCTTCTGATGCTCCCAGAGGTCTGCAGGAGTCGCGACCTACGAGCGTTCTTGTCTCAGAGTGTGATCGCGCAGGGCACAGATATTGTGGATCGCGAAGACAAAAAGGATATGATCACGAGGCTGTACGACTCTGTGACAGATGGCGTAGAAGACATTCTGGGCAACATTCCAGTCCTAGACCAGCTGTCACTGGCTGGTCAAAACCTCATCGCGGCAGCAACAAACCAGCTCAACGCCATTCCACTGCCTGTTAATGAGGATGGCGTTAGCGCCGCCGAAGCCGAGGCTGAGTTGAATGCGTTCGAGAACAAGGAACTGGAGTCTTTCATCAAGCCGATCTGCGACATTTTCCTTGAGGTCTTTGAGCTCAACCGAGGCAACAACTGGCTCCGTGGGCGTGCCGTAGTAGTTGTCCTACAACAGCTGCTTGGGGGCACGATTGAGCGCAAAGTCCGGGACAATGTCAAGATGTTGGTCCAGGAGGATGCGATTCTTAAGTACATCGCCCTCCTCAGAGACAGCATGTGGCCCGGTGGTGAGATGAGCAAGAACAGGCAACCGCGGACGACATCAGAAAAGAAGAAGACGAGAACGGAAGCCAGTTTGATGCTGGCAACTCTCGTGCCGGACTTAGCCGGGAGCGTGGTCGGAAGAGTAAATGCTCAGGCGGCCAGCCGGCGGGTGTTTGCAACTTTCAACAATTCGAGGCTCAAGTAAGTCATCCTTCTCACAACCTCGATTGCTGTCGAGTGTGGCGAGCTGACAATATCAGTGCACATCTAGCCTTTACGTTTATGGATGAATTGGTGGAGGTTTTGTTTGGTTAAGCTCTGGACTCGTCGCCCTGCTCGCTGCTTGTTTGAAGCAATGGGGTTTTCTTCGGGTGCATTGGCAATTGGCATAGCATGGCGTCTGCTGGGAACGCCTCCATTCACAATACAAGCCGGGGCGTGTGGGATGCGTTTATGAGGCTGCATGAGCAGGCGTCTGATTTTCGATATCTTGGTCTGGCACCACCACGCAGTGCAGGCCAGGAGGAGACGGACCACGATGTGGTTCATAATGTGAAATATTGATGAGAAATATGTCAACGGCGAGAGTAAATAAGATGACAAGGAATGATGCGAGGCCAAGATCTTTGAAGGCTCCTACGACCGGGTGAGACGTTGGTGCTGAATCACGATGCTTCGAAGAATGTTGGTCAATAGGGAGAGAGCACAGCGTTCCGACTAATACGAAACGAGGGTGTGTTGTGTGGTGGAGCGGCTATATGGAAACCTGCCCATAGATAGATATGCTGTTTGTGGTGTTGGTACGGATGCATCGATTCCATACGGCGAGTGGCTTTTCTGACAAAAGGGGTCGCTTTTCTATCATCGGTACCGGGGAGCGCGGTCGTCTGGATATGCTTCTCCGTTGAGAATGGGGGCAAGGTGGAGAGAAAAGGGGAGGTTCACCCTGTTACAGATCCAGGATGGGATGAGTTGGGGGCCATCTCATGGCTCGTGAGTTTCGAACTCGGGCTGACTTCGGCTTTGAGCGCTTGAAGAGGGAGTCTGCATGTCGGTAAATATCGTGAAACTGGGCCATTGAGTGAGCTTGGCCATGCTCGAGCTGCGATCTCGGCTGATTTGGCTGGTTCTCGAGTACGACAGGCGATACATGGCCCGAGTTGCAAAATCCAAACCCAGTAGCCTGGCTAACCATCCTGGGATTATTGTATAAAGGTATCCGTGATTCGTCATGGCGAGTGCCTACGTAACAGATGTACCTGTATCGCCCAGCTGAGCCAACTTGTTGGTATAACACCTTGGCGTCCTCAAATCCGTAACAGCGATCTCACGATTGTTCCTCGACTCCGCAGCAATCTCAGATGCAGCCATCAGAATAGCTCTCGCGGGTAAACAGCCAGGATCGGACATGTTAACACTCGCCTGCCTTATTGCGGCTGGTAAAACGGGGCAGGAGTTGCATGGGTTGCCCAATTCGGCGGGTCCTATACTGGATAGGAGCTAGGGGATGGAACGAATTGGGGGGTCAAGCCGTTCTCTTTTAAGCTTCGCTGCGGCGTTTAATACAACACTATTTGGCCTTGAGGTCGCAACGCACATGGGAAGTTTGTAGGGAACAATTTTGGTTTAAAAAGCGAGGATCTGGGTATCGTCTGGGTGCGGCAAGATGTTGCCTGTCAGCTCCGAAGCTGGAACCCCTGACGGAGATCTACCTTGATTGTTCTGAGACCTTTCAGAGGCGATGCTGTTACCTGCTCAATCTACCTACTTCGGCCGACGACTGCTGGTCTCGGATGGCTGAAGCGACTGAAGAACATCAACGGCTACATAAGACGTTGTGAAAGACCCCGAGAAGTGACAAAGGGCTGGACGCATTTTGCCCTGGCGAATGGTGACGTTCCTTGAGTCCAGCTAATTTCGCGTGCAGCAACCGGTCGTAAAAGATGCGCCACGAAGCTACTTGCTTTTTAGAGCGTCATCTTTAGCTTCCTAGCTAAAGAAGTCTGTACCAAGAGTTCCTTGACAGACAACTCAGTCGCCTGTAATTTCGCATTCGGAAGAAAAGAAGCCTCAGGCCGCGTGCCGCAATGGACATGGACATTCGGCAGCCCTCGCTGTGGTAGAAAGAACTTCAGACTATGTGGAGGCTCTTGATAGAGTGAGGGAACAAAAGATTTCCGGTGATCAGCGCAGCTCATCGGTCGTAAAGTGACCAGGGTACCTGAGCCAGGTGACAGCAATGTAACTGACTGTTTGTAGTGTAGAAGCAATGGAAGGTGCAGAGGCGAGAAGCATGTACCTCGCTGCGTGCTGCAACCTGAAGAGGTACATGCGGTAGCTCAGCTTAGGAAAGGAAGGGCGACTCAGGGCTTCTGATCATACAGCACCGGGGTCTGGCACGATCCCATTGGTTGATGCTACCTTGATCCTGGGGCAGACCACTCGTTGCTCCTCCTCGGTCGGCGGCCCAGCTCGTCCTGGCCCATCGTTCCCCTCTCCCCTCTACATAGTAGTATACCTCCAGAACCCATGTCAGTCTTTCTTTGCGCTCCACCCTTGCCTCTTCCTCTTCTGACCTGTGTGTTTTTTTCTCTTCCCCTTCCTTTTCCCTTCTGTCGCGGGTCATCCTTGCAAGGAACACAGGTCTTCCTCCAGGTCCAGGTGGTAGCTCGGTAAGGAAACCTTAGCGGATTTACCTACCTTCACTACCTTGCCTTGCCTACCCGGCTACCTTGACCAGGAACGGATACCAAGCAATAATATCAAATAACTACTCCTTCGCCTGACCGCACCTCACCTCATCTCACCTTGGCTCTGCCTCGTCTTCCTCCAACCACACTACCTTCAATACCACCACTACCACCCTCATCTTCTCCCCTCCTTCTCCCCTCCTCCTCCTGTTCCTCCTCACCTTCACCCTCTCAATCTGCCAGGGACACCACCATTTGCTCTAGCCAATCGCAAGTCGACCGGTTGGTGTAACGCCGGCTTTCCATTCCTCAAAACCTCTCGACCCTCCAACCACACGCCCCGGCATCTCTTGATTACTCTTCCCCTCTCGCAAATTCAGGCGACGACTTGGCCACGCGAATTATCCCCTTTCTGTCCGTCAGTACACCTGCTCCCTTGCGCCACACAAAGCCTGCTTTGCTCGTCGGAAACCATTTTGGTCCTGGATTTGGCGTCGATTGCTGTCCATCGCAGCTGTCCATCAGTTCTGCTCCGGTGAACGCTTTGGACTTTCTCCCGCCAACTCTCCCCCTCATCTACGGACCATCGCCTCTGCGACCCATCCCTTAGGCCGGAATCTTGCGTCAACGTGCTTTTCTTCTCTTCCCTGCGACTTTGACTGATTTGCCAAGGACGCAAACCATCAGTCATCATGACCGAGGTATCTTCCACCAGGTTGTACCTGGGAAATCTCCCTCGTAATGGTAAGCTCAGCCTTGCGCATGCGCCCGCCGCGCCGTTCCTGGTCGCAAACTGTTGCTAACCCAAGCGCGCTTCCATAGCCACCAAGGCCGACGTCGAAGCCCATTTTGCGACCCATGGCACTGGCGAAATCACCGAGATTAAACTCATGAACGGATTCGGCTTCATCGAGTACAAGGATGCGATGGATGCTCGCGATGTTGTGCCTGGTAGGTCGCCATTGCCCAATTCTCCTTGTACCAAATTACTCCCGTTGCTGACCTCTCTACCAACCAGCTTTTCGTACGTCCTTACACGCCATTGCGTCGTCAACTACCTCCTTCCGCTCCAATCCGCTAACCATATCGTCATAAAGATGGATCCGACTTCATGGGCGAACGCCTGACTGTACAATTTGCCCGTGGAACCCGGCATCGGGAGGGCGGTAGCGCCACCGGCTTCAATAACGAGCGCGCTCCCCCGAGGCCTCGCCGCACTCCCCATCGCATGCAGATCACGGGACTTCCCACCGATACCAGCTGGCAGGTCTGTTGATTCTCTCCCCATTCTCTATGCTGGATTCCTGGATTCCCTTCTATTGGTGGCGCATAGCGCGTCTGGACCTTCATCCTACCCGTCGAGATGGACTTCCCGGCACGGCAACGGCCTGCGGCCTCGACTTAAAGCACCCGCTGGCCGTCAGTCGACCTGTCCGGACTGTGCTGTGCTCCTGAGGCTTGCTCCATCAGGCTCATGGCCGTTTCTCTGAATCGGCTCGGGCCCTGCCGGAGCAGCGATAGACCCTCAAGGCCGGACGCTACCACCTTTGGCTTCACCCCCTTTGACTGGCCGCTGGCCGGTCTTGATTTCCGGATTTTCAGCCCTCTACGGCCATCACACCTCTCCTGGACACCAACTTACATGGACTCTGGATATAGGACCTGAAAGACTTTGCCCGTCAATCAAGCCTTGACGTTGTCTACTCTGAGACTGGCCGTGACGGTAACGGACGCGGGTAAGTCAAGCATCTCCCAGCACCTACGCGTGGAGCAGTGCTAACCCAGATCTGCCCAGCTTCGTTGAGTTCGAAACCGCGGCAGACTTGAGGACTGCGGTTGAGAAGCTCGACGGTCGAGAGTTCAAGGGAAGTCGTGTCACTTGTGTCGCCGATGTAAGTGATAAGCCACGACAAAATAAAGTGACAACAAGCTCACGCAGCTACAGACCCAGCCCGACATGCCGCCTCGTGACTTCCGTGGCGCACGCTCCCGTTCCCCTGGTGGCGGCCGTCGCCCCTACCCGCCTCCGGTCGATGACTACGACCGCCGTGGTCCCCCGCGCGGCTACAGCCCGCGCAGAGACGGTTACCGCGATGGCTACCGTGAGCGAAGTCCCCGCCGCGAATACTATGATGACCGTGCTCGGTATCGCTCGCCCCCCCGTCGCCCCATTGACGATTACCCCCCTCCACGAGGCCGTTACGACGACCCCTACCGCCGGGATTACCCCCCGCCGCCTGACCCGTACGTCAATGGCAGACCGTATGACCGCCCTCCAAGAGACTTTCCTCCCCGGGAGGCAGGTTACCCGCGTGATGGGTACCCTCGCGAGTATGAACGTGGTGGCCGTTACTGGTAACTCACTCCTACGCATATGCTTGCCTCAGAGGGGCTGTCCTTGACTCTGAATAGATCCTGGAAGCACCTTGACCCAGCGTCTTGGCCCAAAATCGATCTTTCGTCAGCAATAACCGGTGTAACGTGAGAATGGGATGAGGATGGTGAGCACTGCCGGGTTTTTCTTCGCATCTCTATGTGCGTTTGATGCCGACTCACAGACATGCTGAAAGATGTCAACATATTTTTCGGCACTAGATGGAATATTGCCACGGACAGCAAGTTGAGTGCCGTTAACCTGGGGAAAAGTACTTGACTTTCCGATGTATTATGTACGATTACACACATGGATATCCATCTGAGCAAAACGAAATAGGGTCTTTTTTCCCCTCCAAAATTGAATGTGCTTGGCCATGCTCATCAGTGATGTTGACAAATTGACTTGGATCGAAGGAAGGATCGTTTCGCCAGACATACAGATCGGTAAACGTGAAGAGAGGGAGCAAGTTTCGGCAGCAGAGCAGAGCGAGAATGTGTGCATCACTTGAAGAATGTTGGAGAGCGCTTTACTTGGTATCAAAGTTGACTATCGTAACCGCGTCGACTGCGGAGAATGGCTAGCAATCTGCCTACCTTTTCCCGTCTGTCATGGCAACCGTGCCTTCGACCATGGCTGGATACTTCCGGAACGCCCCATAGTCCAAAGCATTCATCACCTTGTGTTTCCTGCACCACAAAATACCCAGAATAATTAGACATCAAGACGACTAGTCGAGCAAAGAGTACACACGTCGTCACCCCACATACATACAAGACGTTCTCACATACTGCATCTACAACCAGATTATGCCGTCTTCTTCCACTGAGTATAGACGCCAATCAAACTGCTCACGGTACCGGCGAGCCCAACGATGCCGTCGTCAAAGTTGAGCCAGGCAAGGGCAGAGGTGGGAACGGTCAAGTCGCAAAGGTCGGAGATGAGCTGGAGGCGGCTAGCGGCGCGCTCACTGTTGGTGCATGTTAGCTCTGGATTATTTCGAGATGAGAGGCGCACACGTCGCAGTGTGACAACACGTACATGGCTATTCTCTTGGCTTCGACGACACCCTCACCCTCCTTCTTGTCGACCTTGGCCTCGCGCTGTTGGAGACGGTAGAGGGTATATGTCTGGGCAACGACACTGAAGATGAGACCGATGGCCCAGAAGCGGAAGGCCTCCTTCTGGAGCTTTTTGGCGCCCTCCCACTTCTTGATGCCGGCGGCGTCGAGGACGGTAGCGGCGTCAAAGGTCAGGTAGCCGGCGTAGCCCAGCTGGCGACCGACTGCAGCGTAGCGGAGGACCGGGTCAGTGGTCTTCGCGTCGGAGGCGGCGGCGGCAGCCTTGAAATGCTCAATGTTCTTGCCGACGCGCATGATCTTGCGGGTCAAACCGAACTGCTTCTTGATGGCCTCCCAGGGGGCGATCTCGGCCTTGGAGCCATTGGTGCGGAAGAGGTACCAGGCGTAGAAGCGGGCGAAGTACTGAAGGGTGCGGAGGACCTTGTCACGACCAACGGTCGTGGCGACGAACTTGTTGTAGTGGGCCACCGATGGGTGGTAGATGAGGGCGTCGGCGACCATTCTGAGAGATGAAACTAAGATCGCGGGGTGGACTGGTGGAAAAAGGCGAATACCAACGTGGGAAGGATTAGGCGTTTAGAGATGGAGACGTCTTTGATGGGGAACGCGGTGGGCTCGGGTCACGGAGGTTGCGGGATAGAAGTCACGAAAGTGTCGTTGGCATTGAAAGGGACGGAAGCGTCTGGTCAGTGGAGGTGGTTTTTGGGGGAGAGAGCATTGGGCGTGCCGAACAGTTGGAAGACGTGCTGCCACATGCCGAGGTCCGCCAAAGAGCCCGACACTAGCGACGAACCTACCAGCACGGAGCCCGGCGGGGGGTGCTTGTGTTTGGGGTTTGGGGTTCTCGCGCCTTACGAGAGCACGCGGCGCGGAGAGATTGTCTCTCACGTGCCTCTCCTCCTCTCATCAGCAGAGCACGCATTGCATCTGTGGACTGCCCAGCTCGCCAGCCCAGCTACCTATCTTGAGGCAGCAAAATAGAGTGGGGTCTAGAAGGCTGGGGGAATTGGCATTAGCCAGATTCAGGACGTTCAGCAAATGGCTACGAATGCCTGAGGTTTTATACCTTTTTGAGGGACTTGGCTAAGGCCGTCAAAGTAACATCCTCTTCTTAGTCAGTCACAAGCCAGCCATGTTCCTGTCTTTGATGGTGCATTCTCCTCTCCACATCTAGTACCTATGGAGAGTCGGACTTGCTATTACTACGCAATGACATCGGCCATGGCGATTTTTCTGTGTCAACGCTTCTGGCTCTCTCCATTGCCATTTCTAATCGATTCCACTCCTTGCTTTTCCAATCCTATCCGGCTACAAAATTCTCTACTCACGCTGGGGAGGAGAAACCGAAACTTGGAAACGCAGATATCAGCCGACTGTCAAAGTGGACAACCGGAACGCATGGGACGGACAAAGGCTTTTCCTTCGCAGATCGACGGACTTGAGCCACGACAGCCACAAGTGTCTCAGAAAAAGAATCGAGTTTCTGCAACAATAAGTGGCATTGCATATGTCACAGATCGACAGAGGGGGCAACGCAAACATAAGTCGGACTGTGAAATGGAGAAGTGTCAAGGTTTGTGCGTACCTAGGCATCACCGTTCCGAGCGAGCTTGGGTATCGGACGGGTAATCGTTCTTTGCACTTCCTAGCTTTCATCCCGTCACCCGCATGATGTCACCTGGTTCCCTTCTCCAGTCTCCTCCCCTCCACTTTCTCGAGTTCTCTTTTCCGCCGTCCTTCTCTGCCTCCTCTTCTCCTATCCCCGAAAGAAAAGCCCCTTCCCCCTAAGTGCCCGCAACAAACTCGAGCGAAATGTTGCCCGCGCACGCCCCCCCGCGGACAAGGTTCACTCTTCCATCCCAGCGCCAGTCGCCTGCTTAGAGATGAAGGAAACCCAGCCCGTCCGACAACCCAGCCAACCCGAAGGCTAATCACCCGTGGTCTACCGCAGCATCGTACCTGCTCGCTGCACACCGCGCCGAGGGTTTCCGAGAAATCCTCGAGGAGCGCCTCGCGTCCTGTGCTTCTGCGCCCTCGTCCCCTTGTCTCGGGTTCCCCTCGGCCGGATGTGCCTGCGGTTCGCTCCACTTTGGTCGTGGTGACTCGGGATCGCGCGCGATAATAGAACGTGACCCTGTGATAGCCGTATGCCGAATTGAGGGGCACAATTGCCCATGACTGCCATGAGGGACCCCCCATCAAGCCGCAAAGACGAGAGCTTCCGGCAATACTGTCTGATGTTTTGTTCCAGACCCGAGACTACAAACACGATCCATTTCCTCCAATAGTCCGTCTTCTTCGTAATCCCATCTCTCTCCTGGATTCCTCTCCCTTTCCTCTCCCTCATACAAACATTTATCTACGTGTTCGCACTCCCAATTCCTTGTCGGCTTAACTTCCGCTCCATTGTGTCATTGCGCATCCCACCTTGTTAGAGCTATCGTGAACCCCGCCATCACAGGCCTCGACCCCTCGTTGTCATCACGTACTTTCTCTTCGCCTGGACGTAGACGAAGCCATACTCCATACCCGTCGCCGAACCTCTTCAAGCGCAACAGGCTCCCCCTACTCTCAGCCCATCATGTCGGCCTACACAACAAACGGTACTGGTCAAGAGACCGAAAAGATCAACACCAACATCGTAACCTTAACCCGGTTCCTTACGGAAGAGCAGGCCAAGCACAAGGAGGCCACCGGAGATTTTACGTAGGCATTCCACAGCTTCCTGCACGCGGCAACAGCTTCTTAACCATGTTTCTAGTCTTCTGTGCCACGCGCTGCAATTCTCCTTCAAGTCCATCGCATACTATATCCGCCGAGCTACCCTGGTCAACTTGACAGGTCTAGCCGGTTCCTCCAACACCACTGGCGATGACCAGAAAAAGCTTGATGTCATCTCCAACGACCTCTTCATCGAGGCCATGAGATCGTCCGGCAAGTGCGCTCTGCTCGTGTCGGAAGAGGAGGAGGACGTCATCTTCTTCAAGGACGCTACCGGTGCCCGCTACGCCGTTGCCTGCGATCCCATTGATGGCAGTTCCAACTTGGACGCCGGTGTGTCAGTTGGCACCATCTTTGGTATTCACAAGCTACCCGAGGGCTCCACGGGCACCAAGGAGGACATCCTCAAGCCTGGCACCGAGCTTCTGGCCGCAGGCTTCACCATGTACGGCGCCTCTGCTCAGCTTGTCATTACCATGAAGGGCGGCACTGTCAATGGCTTCACCCTCGATAATGGCGTCGGCGAGTTCATCCTCACTCACCCCGACATGCGCCTGCCCAAGGCTCGCGCCATCTACTCAGTCAACGAGGGTAACTCGCTCTACTGGGAGGATAGCACCAACAACTATTTCAACTCGCTCAAGACCCCGCAAGAAAACGGCAAGCCGTATAGCGCGCGTTACATCGGTTCCATGGTGGCTGATGCGTACCGCACGCTGCTGTACGGTGGTGTGTTCGCCTACCCAGCCGATAAAAAGAGCCCTAAGGGCAAGCTCCGTATTCTGTACGAGTGTGCGCCCATGGCTCTGGTTTTTGAGAATGGTTGGTCCCCTTAACACAACCTATCTACATTGCGCATTGCTAACATTCCTCGACAGCTGGTGGTCAGGCAGTAGACAGCCAAATGAGAAGAATGTTGGAGGTTGTGCCCGAGCACATCCACGACCGGGCTGGCATCTTCATGGGCAGCTTCGACGAGGTCGAGAAGGTCAAGAAGTTTCACCTGTAAATTGCCGGGAGGAGACATCATCCTACGCAGCAACATATCACCCCCAACATGCGGAAACATGGCGCATTTATTACGATTTGTTAAACCAAACGGGTGGCGGATTCCCCTTTTTTTTGGCGGCGCTCTGGGCACCGGACAGTTTGCGAAGGAGGGTATGTGACATGGAAGGGAATGAATGGGACAGGTTATTTGTGGAACATGAGGGGATTGGTTGGGCACTGTTCGGCTTGCACCAGGACATGGCATCAAGCAGATTGGACTCCAGGATTAGTGGTGTACAAAAAAATAACTGCTTTTGAACAAGATTTGCTTGCATCTGATAATGTTCTACTGTGCCGTAATGCTACCACACTCAAAAGATCTTGGGAAACAGCTTTGGGGTATTCTTCTTCCATTCCTGGTAATCCTTGCGGTCGCCGTAGCGCTTGTCGTACTTCTTCTCGCTCAGAGGTACTCCGGAGACCTTGAGCAAGAGGAAACTGACAAATGCCGGGCTCACGTAGGACAGGGCCATCACGGTAAGCGGTCCAGTGACGCCGCCCGATAGACCGAGAGCCACCTGGATCGGCTGCGAGACGAGGGTGCCGGCCGCCGCGGTGGCGATGCCGGTCCAGAGAGAGATCTCGCCGAAGTAGTTGGGGTATTGACTGTGACAACGTTAGCTTTCCTTTGTTCCATGCGCTGCTCTTGGTTTCCTTTGCAGGACGTGCCAAGCAGCATACGTCCGCGGATCTCAAAAATGTACCTAACACTCCATAGACCGCTAGTCATGAACTGCTCATCGTGGGCCTTTTCACGTCTCTCCCGAAGCCATCTGCTCTTCTGCCGGTCAGCCGTAATCTCAAAGGCAAACCCAGCGACATAAACGAGCAGGCCAAGGGCGTCAGAGGCCTTGAAGGCCGGCAGAGCGGCGAATGCGGAGGCCGGAACAGCGTTCAGAGCGATGACGGGCATGAGGCAGAGCGATACCCAGGTGGCTTGGGCGAAGAAGGCGCCGGCAAATCTGGCCGGGGATTTTTTGATCTCATCGAAGCGGGAGTCTTTGCCTTCTTCTAAGATGCGCTGGAAGAGGTACGACCCCACTGAGTGAACAAGCGTGTGTAAGTACTAGTTATAAGGCGTTCCTGGCAGGTCTCCAGAGCGGGAGACTTACATCTAACGGCCCAGAAGATGACGGCACCACTGAGGACAACCTGTCTCCAGTTCAGAGCTCCCATGCCTCCAGGGCTGGTGAAGGGCGCAAGGAGGCTGGGCAATGATGTCGAGGCATTGGCAACGGTTGGCGTGTACTTTGCACGCAGGGCGGGCAGATACAGGCTTAAAGCGGTGACGGAAAGGTAAGTCAGCGAGCCAGAGAAGTCGTAGAAGCGTTCATTCTGGGCGAAGATCGACGGCAAAGCGAAAGCCGCCTGGATGGCATAGGCCGCAGAGACAGCTGGAACCAAGGTCCGCAACAAGGGACTCTTGAAGTTGGTGAGATGCAGTAGGGACTGTAGAAGTGACATAGTGGCGCGTCGTATGTAACTGGACAATGTAATTACCCCAAAACTATCGGAAGATGACGATCAGGAGAAAAGCACATTGGTGAACTGCAGGGTACCGGTAGACGCAGGCTATCGCAGAATCAGCCCTACGCTTTTTGTATGAGGAACAACACTCTGCTGAGCCCAGCCCCTTGGTGTGAGAGGTCGCAGTGGATGACGACACGACCCTGAATTGAGGGCCCAAGCTTCGGACTTGGAAGAGCTGCGGAATGCCGAGCATGCCGCATGCCGGATCCGGCTCATGGTGAAGGTTTTTCGGTGGTCGGTGAGTTTAGAAAAAGGTTGCACGCTACACCGAATTCTGGGACCGGGGTTGCCCCACCACAAGCTGCCCCGCGGTCGGAGGTATTTCGAAATTGAGAGTGTTTTCTTCTCACCCCGCCATCGGGTCCGATCACGCAGGCTTGCCCTTTCTACCGTACATCAGACAGGCATCGGACGCAAGGAACGAAGAGCAATTGATCATGGCATCGTCCAAGCAAGTTTTCATCGCCATCATCGGTAGGAACAACTTTTGAACCCAACCCAACCCCCAAATTTCTGTCTCGTCGCCGCTCTCCTTTGGAATGTTTGTTGACCACTTGGCGAGGTTACAGGTGCTGGCGGGGTTGGAAAGAGCTTCCTCTCCCAGCTCGAGGCCCTGGCCAGTCGACGACCCTCCCCTAAGCTGAACCTGGTCTACATCTCGACCAGCAAGAAGGCGCTGTACGACGCCAGCTACTCCCCGATCCCTATCGCTGGCGCCGTAGAGAAGCTCGTCGCCGTCTCTCAAGCCCCTCCTGCTCTGCCCCAGCTCGTTGAATACCTCGCCGCCGCCCCCGCCAAGGTCGTCCTGGTTGACAACACGAGCTCCCAAGAGGTTGCCGATGCCTACCCCGTCTTCCTCGGCCGCGGCATCAGTGTCGTGACCCCCAACAAGAAGGCCTTCTCTGGTTCCTACAGGCTGTGGCAGGACATCTTCACCGCTGCCGAGAGCTCCGGCGCCAAGGTCTACCATGAGTCCTCCGTCGGCGCGGGATTGCCCGTCATCTCGACTCTCAAGGACCTTGTTGACACGGGCGACCGCGTGACCAAGATCGAGGGTGTCTTCAGCGGCACCATGTCTTTCCTCTTCAACTCGTTCGCTCCGACGTCGGGTTCGGGTGGCAAGTGGTCTGCCGAAGTGGCTAAGGCCAAGGAGCTGGGCTACACAGAGCCTGACCCAAGAGATGACTTGAATGGTCTTGATGTCGCTCGTAAGCTGACCATTCTTGCGAGACTGGCAGGCCTGCCCATCGAGTCGCCCACATCCTTCCCAGTTCAAAGCCTGATCCCCAAGGAGCTTGAATCCTGCACGAGCGGGGACGAGTTCCTGCAGAGGCTACCCGAGTTTGACAGTCAGATGGAGGAGACCAAGACGGCTGCTGAGAAGCAAGGCAAGGTGGTCCGCTTCGTCGGCAGCATCGACGTCGGCAGCAAACAGGTCAAGGTCGGCCTAGAGCAGTTCGACGCATCTCACCCTATCGCCGCCCTCAAGGGTAGCGACAACATCATCAGCTTCTACACGGAGCGATACGGCAGCAATCCCCTCATTATCCAGGGCGCCGGCGCCGGTGGCGGCGTGACGGCCATGGGTGTAACAGGCGACTTGATCAAGGTGCTGGGTCAGATTGCGTGAAACTTTTAATTAGCACTGCGTATGAATCCAATTGCCTACCCCGGCACCAGTAAGATGCTTTGGTTCTTTTGGACTTTCCATGACAGTGACCTTGTCTTCTTCCACCCTCCCCATGGCATGGGTAAAAATCCTGTTCGGCTTAATCAAGCCCCGTCACATATAACAGTCATCTAGCCCATCCGCAAATCCAACTAAGCCACGATGGCCGAGTAGCTGGTTCCAGTGCTGGCGCATGTGCGACAGCATGATCCTTCGTGAAAGACACGTCTGAGTCGGACGACGTGGGCCGGTTACTGAAGGCGGCCAGGTGTGCAATGGTCAAACTAAAGTCACCCTCCTGGGTGCCGAAGAAGCTGCAGCATTATGTCAATAGAGTGTCATGGATGGTGTGGAAGGGGTGTGCTCCATACCTTCGCATCATAAAGCTGATTCTCTTGATGTTGGCCACGTCCAGGGGTTTGGCGTCGGATTTGGGCCTGCCTCTGTAGGTAGGCTTCAAGTCATCCCATGAGATCTTGACCTCACCAGGCTCGGAGACGAAGTCGTACTCCCAGCTAATAGTGCTTTGGTCTCGTCCATCCTCTCTGGGTGGCAAGATTTCGTCTTTGATGGTGAGAGTGTACTTCTTCGAGTCACTCTGCAGAATTTTGATGACGAGCCCGTCATATTGACTCAGGTCCAGGTGAAGAGTGCCGAGCGTCCTCTGAGATGCGAAGCCGGCTCCTCCCAGGGCCGTGATATCCAGGTTGCCAAAGAACCTGGCCTTTTCCGGCGACTCGCAGTGCAAGTAGGACTGGCTCTTGCCGCCACGCACTCGGTCGTCGGAATCGGTCCAAAGACTCGAATCCCAGGGGCTATGGGCTAGTGTCAACGGCGCGTATTCAAATCATATGGAAAAGACTGTGTATGATGACGGGAGGGGGTTAGATGCAATGTAATATTCGTGTAGTATGTCTAGGCAAACCTACTTGTCGCCTCCGTAGAGGTAGAGCAGCTTCCAGTCTGGGGCCATGACGGGCGATTTCTTGTTTGAGACACCTAACAGAGGACCTCAGTTGCTTGTGTCCCGACAGTTGTTTGGGGGATTGGGCAACCTGTTGAAATGGAGCCAGGGACAGAGGGCTTCAAGCTAGTTGATTGCTAAGAAAAGTGCCGATTCCAAACGGATTCGCGCTGTGGCTGTCGTCTCGGCAGTTGTGTCACTGGTAGGGCTGCGTTCTGGACAAAGAATGCAGACAGTGAGTGGTCGAAGAGCGCGAAGGATTTTGATGACTTCACGAAGTGCTTGCAGTGAGAGAAGCTAAGTGGATCCTACAGTCATCAGGGGTACGTCAAACGTCCCTTAACCTCCACGAAAGGTAAGGACCGTCCTCGGGAACGGCACTTGCCGCCAAGTGCTTGAGTACCTATGTACGTGCGCCAGGAAAGGTAAACAGTGGGGTTATGTGGTCGTGGTGGCTTAGTCACCTACCTAAACTCGTGTTGGGCTGAGCAAGGGGCTGTGGTATCCGTGTTTTACTCATCCGTTGGAGAGAGTTTGCATCCTTCAACCCTCTACATGCATCTTGAAAGCATTTAGAGTAATAGGGCCCCTTGGTTTGAATGGCAGTGTTGATACGCGGTCTTATCTTATGCCCTTATCTTGGGGCACTGATTGGGCACTGATTTGTATTCCCCGACCCGTTGAGGCAAAGCGTCTAGACAGACGAGAATAAACCGACGATCACATCAACTGCGTGGTGCAGTTGTAGAGAGACAGTCAAAAGTGGTAGGTTTTTGTTTTTCTTTACTCGGTTTAGTGCTACTGTATGCAATCATTTAACCTTTCACGGCCAAGTTTTCGTTTGGGCCACCGACTAATTTAGAGTTTCCATAACACTCTTGAGGCCTCGGACACGCTGATAGACCTATTGCAGTAAACATAACGGCTAAACAAGATGATCGAGGCGAGGGTGATGATGACACCCAAAAGCGAAAGGCGAAGACGAATACAAGCATCAGACACCAATTGCAGGCTTTGATGTCTTAGCCTTAGTCTTCGTCTCTATCCGAAGACATCTCGCCGCGTTACAGCAACGACAAGCCACGGTGCGTCTGCCCAACTTGTGCCTCGTGTGAATCTTCGATATGTATCTTCTATGAGTGTGGGGGTGATTAGGGCAGCTAAATTGCCACAATGGAATCGGATCAGCCACGGTTCTTCGTTGTTTTTGCTGTGAAGTCAATTGTTGTGGTGCAGAGCGATGCGGTTTGGGTTGGTTTGGATTTAATCTTAGAACGGCGCGGTCGGCAAGGTGAGGCAAAGCCGAGTCTATCTCGTGTGACGGAGTGGCCTCGACACGAGCAACCTTTCTTCAACATGGTACATCAAGTTGCGAAATCCTTGGTGGTTTGTTGCCTGTGCTAGATTTCCTGACCGCTCGCGGCGGGTGATCTCGTCATGAGCACCTGCAGGTTCTCGCAATGACTGGAAATAGATCATCCTCCTCAATGAAAAGGGATTCTTTGCTAGCCTTCCAAAAACGCCCGTGTGAAAACACAAAAGAGTTGGCTTGAAAGGTCGTTATTTTAGCGCAGAGACGGGGTTAAGGGGGGGTGGGCGCCTTCCGAGCCAGTGACCGTGCCTCCGCGGTACCACATCGGCTCCGGGTCTGATACGAGGAAGACGGAGATGTCGAAGGAAGACAGCTGCTGTAGCAAGTCCACCAAAGTTCACTGAGGCACCTTGACCTTGTCTCGTCAGTCAGCCGATAAACCTTCTGCTTGACTTGGGACCGAGCGGGATGGCAGTGGAACAGATGGTGTTGTTCGGGTTCGGACGAAGTAAATTTACTTCGCGGATGGAGATGGACACCGGGACGAGTAGAGATGGGCTGGACCGCGTCCATGGACCTTTCAGGCAAGGGCCGCTCTGATACCTACATTTGTAGATCACTTTAGGCCATGTCCATCCCCTCGCCAAAAGATATGGGATTGTTTGGACCGGTGTCATTGAATGTGGATACTGCACAAAGCAATAGGGACTTTGGATTCACTGCTTCGCTCTCCTTAATGCCGGTGATGCGACATTGGTCCGTTACCCATTTTTTCCGACTCCGCGTCCGATTCCGTTTCTTATGGCACATGGAGCATCTAACAGCGACGCGTTTCTGTTCCCCTCCTTTTGTCGTCTGTGAATTGGCTGGGCTGCGGGCAAAGTAACAGCTATGAGCTGTAGCGGATGGACCACATACAGTACAATAAAGACGGCGTGTGAATTATTCCCGGCTTCTTACTCTTGCTGTTGTAGGGAACTCCTGGGCTCGTATCTGGGCACCCCTTGCACAGGGATTCGGCAGGATGGGGGGAAGAGGTCACAGGCAGCAAGCGACAACCGCACTGAGCTTCGTTTTCCAACTTTGAAGATGACTGACGTTGCTTCGCGAAACATGCGCTTTCTCGGACGAATATCAGAATAAATCCTAGCTCCGAGTATGGCATTTGCCTAACCGCTGGAATTAAGAGAACCGGCGATGGCGAAGTAGACAGCAGCCCCGGGCTTAACTCCGGCTGGGACACGGATACACGTTGCTCGCGTCCTTGCTCATGGTTCCGCGCTTCTTCTTTCACACCCCCCTCCTTCCCTTGACTTGTACCCGTTTCACGGTCGCTCTGCCGTCCCCGGCGACATTCCGGTGACTTTTTTCCAACACCAACAAGCCATCCATCTTATAGTACCTACCCATTGGCTTTACACGCCACCAAAAACCCAATCTCTCACGGCGACGTCCCGAAAACCTTACCCCAGACCGGGTGGATTCTCCAACGTGCAAGCTGTGTCTTTGTTCTGCGCCTAAGGGCAATGTTGTGTCACCAACGATTCTCACCGTTCACAGCGCCAGATGGTAGTCACATCATGCAGTTGTCGGCAACTCTGCAACACACTCTCTTGCTTCCATCCCCCCTTTCGGACCTCCCATATTCTCTGCGCTTGCGTGGAGGGGGTACCACAGGCAACGGACAGCCGACCTGATTCCCTCCTTGTGTCACGTCAAAGCCAAGATTCGCAAGCCCCCCCCCCCCCCCCCCAACAACAACTGACAACGCGAGGAAGCTTCTGTGCGACCATGGACTTCTTCCCCAATCGAGCAACAGGCGCAGCCGAAGGTGACAAGCGAGTGGTCCGATATCTATATTTCCATCCTTTTCTCGTCACAACATCCCTGAACCAGCCATAAAGTGATGTTGTTCCCAAGGCATGCCATGCCCTGCAGATGCAAGCCGCAAAGTCTAGACGCGAAATAGCGAAGCCTTCTCGACGCCCGACTTTGCCCGCCACCTCGACTGAAATGCACAGATTCCACCATGGTACTCACACAACCTAATCCCTTTGGCCCTGCTCTATCTTGCTATGAACCGTCTTGTTTTAACTCGTATGGTGCCGTCCACACCCACAAGAGGTGGCGGAGACGAGGGCGCCGGGTTTGGCTGTTCCCGCGGATGCTCCCAAAGAGACGCCCCCTCCCCCTCCCACCCCACCCTTGTTCTTGATCCCATGGGGGAGCCACAGAGTGACAAACCCTCCCCCGAAGTCCCTATTCCGCAATTGCCGTTCACAGAGAGCTTTGCTACGAGGTCCAAAGGGTTTCCCCCGCCTCGGCGTCCGACCGAAGACACCCAACATAGCATGACGACAGCGGAATAGTCCACCACAACGCGGCAGAACTCCGTTCTTCCGCCGGAGTTTGCATGGCACATGCAAATCCGCCATACACAAGGTCCCAGCGGCGGCCGTTCTTGCGTATTGCGTCGTCTCCGTCATGTCGTCTCAAGCGTTCGTTCAACGTGAATTATTACACCAGCCATCATTGGCGGTTGTGTGCCATGTCGTAGCCTGGTCGTTGCCCTTCTATCCCATGATCCCGCCCATCCCTCCACCGTGCCCTCATAACTCACTAATCCGACCCCGTGTCTTGTACTCGTTTGCGGCGTAGATTCATTCGCCAGTGCTACGTAACGTCGTCGGTCGTCTCTGGTGTTTGACCTTGGAATTTCGCCCATTCCGGATGTCGTCAATCTACATCACGAAGGATTTGAGCACCAAATTCTTGCATTACGTCAAGCCCCCCTTTGGTCAGCGCCATACATTGGGCTCTGACGGGGGAATTGGAGGTTTTGGCTCCTTTCACCTGCGCCACCCATGGCCAAACCTCGTCGTTCCGGGTCCGTTCTCTGCCATGCTTTGTCAGCTTCCCTGGATTGGACCGCTGTATCCCACGTAACATGTTATGCCGGGATTCTAGGTGGCTTTAGCTATTCCCTCCCGCATCAGATCCGGCTAGATTCGCCTTAACCTCGCACTTTGGTATGCCTGGAAACCTCGTGTCAACGAATAGCCCTCGCCTTTCCGTCGCTGCGGATCATCCTTGCAGCCAATTTTGGTTCTGTTCACGGTGTGTATATGTTGGGTCAAGAGAACCTCGTACAGGAATTGAGGACTTGGCAGCCAGATACGCCTATCGATCAAGATATAGTGTTCTTACTCTTAACGTGATGTAGAAGGCACTTGTAATGTAACGATTTCATCTTTTGAAGTTTCGACTGCTGCTTCCAACCTCGCAACAAAACCGCCCTCAGTAGAACAGTTCGCCCAAGTTGAAACGCCGTCGCCTGTTCCCAGATCATATCTCCGTGAGGTCGAGCGCTTCGACCCATCCATAAAATTACAGATACTCCTTAACTCCTGGCCCAATCTCGCCTCGAACATGGAGGCGAACTAGAAAAGAAAAGATAAAGGATAACAAAAAAAGGACAGTGAATCCAAATAGTCACAAGAATGCTATGCTCCGCCAAACCAGGTTGCATCATGTTCCTTTCCGTGCCCGTCTCTATTGCTGGATCATACCGGGAGATCCTGGCATTGATAATGGTGTTGTGGGATACTCGTAACTAGCGTCGGAGCAGTTCGCCGAGTGATCGAAAGAGTGCGAGAGCGGAGGAGTCTGCTCAACAACCCATCAGCATCATGGATCGCAGGAAGGTGGTTGTCGCATATAACTCACATGAGGGTTCGCAGGGTCGTAGGAGCCGGGCGCGTGCATGTCGATACCGGGCATGTAGCCGTAGTTCATGTAGGGAGAAAGACCATCGTCGCTTGGGTATGATTCGCGCTTGATGGCATCGTTGAAGTGATTCATGGGTGGCAACGTCACCGGCACTGCTGCTGTGAGATATCCAGGGTACGCCTCGGCGGTGGTCATGGGGTACGGTTGCGTAGTGTATGTGGGAGCCATGATCATCTCTTCGGGTGGGGGATAGGTAGAGTATGCAAGGAACGGAGGAGTATTGGATCTCTCACGACCATCCTCGTAGTGTTGGAAGAAAACCTCGTCGTCATGCATGGGTGGCGTGAACTGGCCCTGGTTCATAGTCTTGGTCGGCGCTGGTGTCTTTTGTGTCTTGCTCGCAGGCTTCTTGGACGCCTTTGTTTGAGCGGGCTTCTCGGCGGTAGCTGTGCCTTCCTGGCCAGCACGTCTCTCGAGGTCCTCCAGGCGTCTCTTGAGCTTCTTGCCTGCATAGACGTGTCAGTACTGGGCGTCTCGTAGAGTGCGCGAATATATGCCGCGGGTTGGCTGCGACCTACGGTAGTTGCGCTGGGCAATGCGGTTCTGGATCCTCCGGCGCTCAGCAAGGTCGGAGATCTTGGTCCAGTCTTCGTCGGGGTTGGCAGAGCTGCTAAAAGCGCTACTAGTGCCATGGCCCGAGTATGCTCTGGGTGCGGGAGCAGTAGCCGGGTAGGCGTACTGATGCTGAGACATGGTGAACATTGACATTGGGGGCGACTGGCCGTTGTTGACTGTCCTAGCAATTGTGGTGGTACCAAAGTTCAAGAGTTCAAGAGTTGTTAAACACTGGCAAGCTCGAGGCGGACAAGACGTAGCAGAGCTAGCTTTGTGGATCGACACAAGTCGTAGCTTGAGAAGAGTCTGGATTGCTAAAGATCGAACTGGTGGGATAAGATGTGGTGGAAGAAGGGGCGAGGAAGCTATTAAATAAAAAGTCACCCAAGGCTCTCTCACTCGAGCTCAGCCCGAAGGACCAGCAAGTTGGGAGCAATGACATGGCTGGCGGCGTGAGTGCGAAAGGACCACAAGCAGGGGTGCTTGTCCTCGCAGGGCGTCGACTTCTGGAGGTTCCACATAGCCTACCCTAGTATCCGCAGGCAGAGGCAGGCAGAGAAGGCAGATGAAGGGTACAGGTACCGTGCCTGGTGCAGGGTATTGGCGGGAGGGGCGTGGCTGTGAAGGAGGTGTATGAGAGCGAGCGAGCGAGCGGGTGAGTGAGTGTGTTATGAAAGGTGTATGTACTAATAGTAGTATTTCCAAGATACTGGCTGTGGGGTTGGAGATTTAGGACATGGGAGAAGGAGGGAGTGAAAACAAGGAAGTGGGTGGAGGGGTGAGATGAGTCGTAGGGCAGAGGGAACGAACGGCATTCGTCCGCAGATACTACAAGAGACAGACGGATACAACACGAAAGTACCTTTGCCTTCATCAAGGGGGCTGGGGGGCAAAGGCAGCGGGCGATGAGAGTGACTTTCGGAAACGGAACGAGCCAGGAGCAGCGCCTCGTTCAAGTGACTCCGAATTGCACTCGCACCTCAACCTCTCAGGTTACGACGGGACGGGTTGGGCGGGTAGGCTGGGCTAAGGGATTGATCAGAGCAGACTAGCGGAAAGATGGGCGCACCAAGGGTGAACTGGACTGGGGCGGCCGCAGCAAGAGATTGACGGAGGGGACCATAACAGACGACAGCCAGGTCGCTGTGTGTCTAGACGTATATGGAAAATGCAGTGCGAAGTGCGGACTCGGGATATGGATTGAGTGTATGGGGGGGTGTATGTGTGTGTGTGTGTGTGGAGGGGCAGAAGTGAATTTTGAAGGGGAGGGGAGGGATGCATCATGTTGCAGGGGCTCGGGTCGAGGTTGTCGTCCACGCAAAGATGCGGTGGAGGTACGTCTCTCGAGCTCGCACTGAGCTCCACCAGGCTGGGATGGTAGGGGGGTTAGGATACGTACCTGAACCCATGAGTACGTAGCTTTGCCCATCAAGGAGATGGTACGTTGACGTGGGCTGCGCTGGAGGGCCGAGATACCTACTGCACAGGGGCAAGGGGCGGCGACAAGGGCCGGGGCTTCTCGCTCGGGGGTTAAACAGCGGCGGCAGCAGCAGCTGCTGCTACGGCACCGCCAAACAACACCAATGACTGGACGACTTGTACGAGAAACGCAGAAGGGTTTGGCAGAATGGGCCACATGTTGTAAAAACAGCATGGCCTCTTCATTTACTAATCTGTTATCGACATCATTATTATTAGGTTGGAGGAAAAGGAGGGGTTAGGCCTGCCATCGCATGTGGCCATCCACGGTGAAAACTGCAGCTCCAAGTATCCGAGAGGCTACGAAACAGAATAGAACTGCTGTGAAGAGGGTTTCACGGATGTAGTTAGGCGCCCGGAAGCATGGCATCGAGCGGCACGGTAAATGATTCCATTGGACCTGCAGTTGCTGCTTTGGGCTAATTTCGCCTACTTGAATCCGCTCTCTACCGATAGACGCTCGCCTCGCCTCGCCCTGTATGTCATGTTCACCATACTACCTTGGCCTGATATTGACATCATGCGAGAATAGCGGCCAAGTAATCTGGCTCGTCTTCAAGAGAATGCTCTCATGCAGACAGCAGGTTGTGCGTTTTCAAGACAACTGATTGTTGGGTCGACTCGAGGTTGAGCCGGCCCGAATCTTGTTTAGCCTTGCTGCCAGTCAGCTTCGAATCTCGACGGGCATACCGACTCGTCCAGCATGGCTGTGATCAAGGGATAATCCTTTTCCATCCGTCGTTTGCTTTGTAAGTTTCTTGATATATCCCATGTGCATAAGAGAGGGCTCTGCATCAGCCCAATACAGTTCTTGAGGAACAAGCAGACAGAAACAACTCACAGCAAAGGGTACGCCGCGAAGGATCGCGACCCCTGTCATCTTCTGTGTTACACAAAAGGGAACGGGAATAAGGCTTGGGCGGAGACGAGGACGGTATCCAATTGGCTTTCAAGGGGGGGGGGGGGGGGGGCTACCGTTTCCCGATGCGAGGCCCGTAAACTACGAGCTGCTCTAGAACCCAGCGGCCGCCGTTTTGTCGTAGGGCTGTCCACAGAGAGCCCATTCCACCACACCTGCTACTTCGTCTTTCCCCCTCCCTTACACCTCAGGCTCCCCTCATCTATGCTCTTCGTCACAAAGTTGCGAGGAGGATCTGCCAGCGAAGCGAGAGGAACCCATTCTGCATTACCTTGACTTTCACCATCGCAGCGCCTCAACGGGTAAACGGTAGAAAGGGGCCTACCTACATCAACTCTCGTCTTTGAGGATGCGCTACGTTGTTGCGTTTTACCCAGTGCTGCACAAGTTCCGACCTATCAACTTGAGCCTTTCCCCAACTTGGACTGCGTTTCCTCATCGAGGGGGGCTGCCATTCAGACCGACCAGATCCGAACTTTGTTCTGGTATCTTTAGGGCGGCCGATCCCTCCCCATCCTCTTGAACTGGCTCTCTGGCAAGTTCGGGAGAGAACGGTAGGCAGCCTCTACTGGTTACAGCCCTCAAAGCGCTGCTCCCCAAGCTACCTAGCTCAGCCCGCAGGACCGGCCTAGCTTCTCCCAAAGTTCCTCGCACAGCGCTAAGATACGTTGCGTTTACAAGGCACACTATGGCAGCCTTCAAATCCCGCCCTAACGTCTCTCCCGAGATAGTCCCCATGGCTGGTACCGTGTTTGGTCATTGGACTTGCCACCAAGGCATCTGACGCTTGTCTCCGTGCTACAGTGCCTTATCCCCGGGCAGGCTATGCGTGAAACGAGCGATGATAATGCCATCATAGGACCCTAGCCACAATGAGGAGAGCATGTTGTTCCCTAAAGGCCAAAAGGTCCAACAGAAGTTCCAGTGGCCTTGCCTCGCCAATCCCGCGCATGGTCGGGCGTTGACCCCCTCCCCAGTTGGGCACACACGTACTGGCAGCACGGGTCTGGCAAAGAAAAGACCATGGTACTGAAGCTGTGTCATTCATCTCATGTCCAAGGTGATTGATACGATGACAGATGTTTCCGTGTCTTGAGGTGTCTTGCAGGGCTGGCACGGTGTGTGACACAGACCTTGCTGGTTTAGTGACGGTCATGATGCGCAGTTCCGGTACCGCGCCTTCCCACGAACGATGGCTGAACTCTGACCCGGAGGAGTAAAAAGTCTCCGGCCCCAATTCCATCGGGGGTCCGTCTGCTGGAACTGCTGGCCTTAATAACACCAGGTTGGCTACATTCGCACAGCAAAGCCCTCGTAGGTTGATCGGGCCGAACATGCCAAAGCAAAGACGACAGCTCAGACGACAAAGTTGACATCTGGCGGCTTTTGCTGGGGGATTTGATCGACGACGACAAACCCTGCGCCTTGCACCGCTACCTGGGTTAGAGGCGCGAAGGCGTGGGTGCAGATCCCACCCGCCATGCTGTTCCCGTTCATATTCTGTCCCCCGGAACCGCTTGGCTGGTTGGTAATCCTAATGGGTCATGACCTATTCCGTGGAATGACCAGGAATATACTGTCAGGAGATCGGACGACGATGATGACAACCTGTGATTAGAAATGTGCCACTGCACCAAGGGAAACAATCTAATGCAACATGGAGCCAGGCGCCCAGGCGCGAACACTGACCAATGTGAAGTACGCATTCGCCTAGATTTATCGGCCTTTCCATTGCGTACAGCTAGGCTGACCCATGCCAATACGCACGATGTCTCCTTGCTTGGATCGAGCCTCGAACTTTCAGACGCAGCAATTACTACGTACGCAGTAAGGGTCTGAGGCAGAAGGAGACAGGCACAAGCATCCGTGGCCAGCCTGCAGAGTGCACGGGACAAAGTGGGACCCTGGGGTCGGAACGGGGCGGGCCAGCCCAAAAGAGGTAATTCGTAAACTGGACCAATCAGTCCCTTGTTCTGGAGGATCCATGTTGCTCCACCAGCCAAGCTTTTCTTCCTGAGTGTTCCCAAAAGGCGGGCCAGTGCACTGAACGTTAAGCACCTTAATTGCAGTACAAGGCTTTGTGCAGCAACACTACCTAGACAGAACCCACTGAAGCTTGGAGCACGGAGCATGGGGAGTGTCAGTGATTCCAGCGTAAAGCCCACCCTGGCGGCCCTCTTGTGGGATCCAGTATCATTCTGGCTCATCCTTGGCCCGCGCCGTAGTGCCCTTAACCTTGGCTAGCTCGGCCATAGTGAATAGACTCACCTGCCAACCAGAATCAAGAAAATACGATTGCCTAGAGAGAAGTGGAGAGCGTTCGTGATCGAGGCTGGTCAGTAGACGACCTGTCTCCAACTCACACGCCCGCATCGACGGGTTCTGCTTCTCCTTGGTCTCTCCTCCATGTGAACCAAGTAGACGAACATGAGATCCCCTGCCAAGTCGTCATGCCAAAGAGGTAAAAAGGAATCAAGACAGCCCCCCCCCCAGCCTAAAGGTGGGAAGTAGCCATTCCGACTACCAAGCCACAGGGCGAGGTGCGCCAGATCCATCAGGCCGTTTTAGCTCCTCCCGTCTCCGAAACACAGACGGCACAGCACGGGGCATTGTGGTGACCGACCAGGTCAAGTTATCCTGGATTATGGTTGTTACCTTGTTGGCACGCTGGCATTCGTATCACGGAACATGGCTGCAAAGTCGATGCTGGCTTTTGGGTTTTCAATTGCGACAGATTGCA